TATATATTCAAAAAAAAAGATAATACTCTATTTAATGAAATCTATATAAATATCCATTTAAAAAAGTATATCTTATATTCTAATCTTTTTGTTAATAACAATTCAAAAAATCTTTATAAATGAATAAATCAATAAAGCTAAATTTCAAAATATTTATATTCTTTTAAACAAATATCGATTATCAATTAAGGATTGTTTGTTATATAATTACAAATCGATCAAGATTTTGAAATATAAAATAATATATAAAATACTAAAAAGAAACTTTTATTATATACCCTTATTCATCGATTAAAAAGTATAATCAATATTTCATTTTAAATTCTAAAAAAAAGAAAAGTATTTATATATTTTCAGAAAAATTATAATAATTTCTTCAAATTCCTTCTCTAAATAATTACAAAAACAATTTCTAAACAATATTTCAATATCTCAATTTTCCTTTTATAAATCTATCTTTTCTTTTATATTTTGAATTCCATTTATTTCTTTTTTATTATAATCATCTTTCTTTAAAAAACAATATAATCTTTCAAACAAATCCATTTGAAAATCTTATAATAACTAAAGAACAAAATAAAAAAGTAATTCTTTATTTAAAAACTTTTATAACAATTTCTTTTTATTACAAAAAAAAATCCTTCATTAATATTATATAAATCCTTATATTCTATAATTCCCTTTAATTTATAAATCAATATAACATTTTTGAATAATAATTTAATATTATTTTAAAGCTAATAAAAGATATTAAAGATTTTATAAAAAAAATATAAAATAAAATCAAAAGAGCAAAACTTTACAAAACTACAAATCTCTTCAAAATCATATATTTCGTCAAAAACAATAATATTATTCAAATGATTGAATAATACTATAATAAAATTAAAGAAAATCTTAAATATTTAAAGAAAATCTAAACGATTTTTAAAAAAAAAGAATTTATAAAATTATAATCCCAAAACAAAAAGCTAAAAGGAAATACTACAAAAATTGATATAATTTTCTATATTATACAATTTAATCCTCAAATCCTTATCAAATTCTTAAATAGATTTATAATTTAGAAACTTATTAAGAAAAACAATTATAATTACAAAAAGTATATTTCAATAAAGTTTTGTAATATATATACTTTTATTACAAATTCAGATTTAAAAATAAAAAAGAATTGAAAATCTTTATCTTTCAATTTCGAAAAAGATCCAATCCTCAAGAAATATCAATTCATTATCAACAGATTCGAATTTTTGAGAAAATATAAATCTAATAAAACTTCTTTCATTCTACCTCAAGAATCTATATCTAAAAGTTTTAAAAAAACTAATAAGATTAAGATTAAAAAGATTGATAATAAGGAATCAAAAATAAATTTAAATATTGAAAAGAAATCAAAAACTATTGATATTCTTGATTCTCTATAAACTTTCTATCTTCTTTATAAATAAACTATTATATCAATTTCTGAATTTGTTATTACAAATATTGATAAATAAACAAAACAAAATTATATATTCGATTTTTCAAAAAAAACTCTTTTTTATTTTTCTATTTTAAATAAATTCATCCTTTATTATCAAAAAGTTGATTTCATTTCAAAAACAATTTCAAATAATAACAATAATATATCCAAAAAAAATTTTAAGATTGTTTTAAATTCCTTTTGGAAATTGAAAAGTTATAATTATAAATCTGATCTTCAATTTGAAAATAAATAATATATATTAATCAATAAAGATTATATTGTTAATCAAATAGAATAAATAATTATTATATCTTTTGATAAGAATATCATTAAAAAAACCTTTTATATATATTATTTATATATTTTGATCAAACTATTTGATATAAAAATCAAATATATTTTTACCAAAGAATTTCGGAATCGATTAATTACAATAATCTATAATCGAAATTATATTAATAAAATAAAATTGATCATTCAATTTTATTCTTGATTCTATTTCTATATATAATTAACTACTAAATGAATTAAACAAATTCAAAGATCTTATCATTTCGATTCAAAATCAAATATATATTCTTCTTATATAATTCCAAAATTCAAAATTAGATTTGTTCAAGAAAAATCTACCTTCGAAATACTTTTCTAAAAATAAACCTTTATAAAAATTCTTGAATTTGTTCTTTTTTTATAATATAAAGATTTTCCAAATTTTGAAATTAATCTTGAAAATATCTTTATTATTTACAAATAGAATTTTTATAATAAACTTAAAGAAAATCTATTTTCAAATTATTATTATTCTTTAATTTAAATATTTTTGAGAAATGATGTTACTTTATAATGTAAGAAAGTTGGAATTATAGACCAAATATATAAAGGTTTTAATTAATCAATCATATAACCTTTTGTAGTTAGATATAAAAAAAGAGTCTTTTGTCTCTTCTTTTCATAATAATCAATCTTCTATATATATACATTTAAACCTATATAATATCAATCTCAAAACTATTATGAACCCTGTTTTACCTATAAATGACGTATTACAATGTAATCTAATTCAGCTTTCTCTTCCAATTCCCTCCTCACAACGTGCTATCGGGATGCACGTATCTCGACCTATCACTTTTACAATAACAAATTATTATACTCTTATACACTAATAAAGAATTTCATTTTATTTCTATTCTTTTTTCTATTCTTCGATTTTCAGATTGTAATCAAAAAACAATTTTGTATTATTCTTTTATTGATTTTGCAAAACTGATATCCAAATATCAAGATATAAAATTATTTTCAAGGACTATTATTCTAATTGATCTTCCCAAATCTGATAAGAAATTAATTAAAATATATCAAGAATATTAAATATTGATATCAATTAATTCTAATAAGGATTTCTGTTTAATCAAAAGCTTTTAAGAAATATTCATTCTTTTATCAATCCTAATATAATTTAAATTGATTTATATGAAAAAAGATCTTTCAATAAATAGAAAAAGATAATAAATTTTATTGATAAATATTAATCAAAAAAGACTCCTATATAATCGTTTTATTGTTTAATATAATCCTTTGATTTATTGATATCATTAAAAATCATAATTCGATTATAATATCAATTATTTATTTTATTATAAATATTAATAATAATAAAATAAAAGATAATATTTTTCAAAAAGATCTTTATCAATCATTTCAAAATCAATTTATCTCTTTTATATTTCAAAAACTCAATAAAAAAAAACTTTATATATCAAAATTATTCTTTTTCAATATAGAAATATTACCTTTTTTAATTTTTATTTTATAAACTTTTTTAAGAAAAATCTTTTAGAATTCGAAATTGATAATAAACAAAATTTATATATTATTCAATTATAAATCTAAAGATTTTATAAAAATATATATAAGATTTTTTAAAAATGAATTCAATAAAATATAAACAATTTTCGAAATCTTAAAATAGAAAAAAAAAATTCTAAAAAGTATATTCTCTTCTTATACAAAATTTAATTTATAAACAAAAATAAACTATTTTAAAATTAAAAATTTAATAATATTTAAATTTATTAATAAGATTCTAATAAAAAATAAAAGATTATCAATTTAAAAATTTCTATTTAAAAAACTCCTTTATTTATTTTTCGAAAATTATTTTGAAAAAAATAAAATTTATTTACTATATTAAATCTAAATTGAAAAACCTTTCTTCGATTTTTAAAATACAATCAAAACAAAAAGAATTTTATAACAAAAAGTTTATTATTGATCTTTTAATATACAAGAATTATTTCTTCTTTTAATTAAAAATAACAAAATCTAAATCTTTTATATCATCTTCAAAATCAAAAAACTACCTTTGTCTTTTCAAATCTTTAAACATTTTTATTTAGAATTCAACAAATCTCTTCTTTTTTTAAATATATCTTCAAAATCAAAATTTAAATACTCGAAAACTAACAAAAATATTAATAAAAACAAAGTTTTTATTAAATTATTTATTAAAGAATAAAGAATTATTCTTAAATTCAACAAATCTTCTTTTTCATAATTTAATTTTTATACTTATTTTAAAAAATTATTAATAATAATATTTTGTATATTCTATATTCTATATTCTAATCAATTATTTTCTTTAATAAACTAAAAGAAATATATATTTTTTAAAAAAAAAAAGATATAAAAAAATTGGAATTATAAATCAAATATATAAAAATTTTAATTAATCAATTATATAATCTTTTATAATTAAATATAAAAGAAAAATCTTTTACCTTTTCTTTTTATAATAATCAATTTTCTATATATATATATTTGAATTTATATAATATCAACCTCAAAACTATTATAAATCTTGTTTTATCTATAAATAATATATTACAATATAATCTAATTCAGTTTTCTCTTCCAATTCCCTTCTTACAACATGCTATCAGGATGCATGTATAACGATCTGGTAAAGGCAGCAGCTACCTCTGGTTTTTGTATAGTTAGTAGTTGTAGGTTAAGGCTAATAATTATTGATTATTCATTCGAAAGTGAATACATTACTAGATCAATTAGAATATAAGTAACTAATTGATAATTAAGTTGAGTACAAAGTTCCTAAACTATGAAATTATTCTAGCTATATACTAATCTCTTTTCCTATATTAATTATACTAACTAGCTAGTATAACTAACATTCCTGTGATGTTAGTTCTGCTAGCTGGCTAGCAGAGCTAGCATATTATATGATTGATCCTGAGGCCTCTCATATCCCAAGACCTTTCCTTTCCTAGAACATTTGTCCTAGAAGCTTTCCCTTTAGGAATTATAGCCTTAGGATACAATATCCTTTAGAATGATAATCTCATTACAATTAATTAAATAGAACACTTATTATATTCTACTATAATTGTTTAGAATACTTATCCTAGAAATCCTGGGATCCTAGGCTTAGGTAATTAGGATCTCCGAAAGCAACGGTTAAATCACATCCCTCTTGTAATCGGTATATAAATCACCGACAACAATAATACTACTATAATGAAAACCATGAATCGTGATAGCACGTATCTCGACCTACCACTTTTATAATATCATCGAGCACTTGCATTATTATTTCTAACAAACTTTACACACACCCCGTCAAAACTTCATGCAAAAATGTCAACACAATATGATTCAATCGGTGCCAAATATGACTCTCTCAATGTCATGCCAATTCAACAGATACAGCATGTAGATATGAAAAGACTTATTGGCTCTTTCGATTCTCCCAAACGAGTCCTCGAGCTTGCATGCGGTACCGGTTTCTATGCACGCCAGATGGTATCCTGGGGCGCTTCTCACGTAACGGCATTAGATATCTCCCCGGCTATGATATCCACTGCCCAAAAGTCTCTTCCAGCCGAGATGAAAGATCGTGTCACTTTCTGTGTTGGGGATTGTGCTCGACCAGATATTTGGGATAGTGGCGAACTCAAAACTCAAAAAGGAACTTTTGATTTGGTCGTTGCGGCATGGCTGTTGAATTATGCACCTTCGGGGGCAGAGATGCAACGGATGTTTGAAAATATTTATGCCGCATTAAAGCCTGGAGGAAAATTTGTCGGACTCACTGTTCACGCTGCAATCATCGATAAGTTTCAACCGGACGATCCGCTCAATGAGAACGAGAAACATCTCGGTACTGTCTATGAGGTTCTTGGGAAAGTTGATGATGGGTATAGAACTTGTTGCCATGCTTTCACTGAGCCGGAAATTAAGTGGGAATTCTATTTCTTGCGAGAGGATGTGTACTCCAAAGCAGCACTTGGGGCAGGAATGGGTGAGCTCGAATGGAATGTGGTATTACCAGGGGAAGAACAAGTGGAAAAACTGGTAAGCTTACTCTCTGATCAAATGTTCTTTTGACTAATAAATGGATTGAAGGGCAAGGAATACTGGCAGTCATATTTGGATCGACCAAAAGCTGCTATCTGCATCTCGAGGAAGCCAGATCGTGAATGATGTGAATCTGAATTTTCGACCGCCAGGTCTAAGTATGATAGACATTTGGGTTTATCAAAATATGGACAATCAATAATCCCTTGGAAGGTTCCAGCTTTTTGGAGACTAGTTCGGAAAGTAATAATGGTACCAATATCAAAGTCAACGTTAGTTCAATGATGTATTGTAGCCATGTGATAATCTATAATTCCAATCTTTTTATAATATAACAAGATCTAATCTAATTAATCTTAAAATCGATTAGATATTATTTATTCTAATATATATATCCATCACCCTTGATCAATAGTATCGAGGGGAAGTCATTCGATTCAATCTACTCTATTACTCATATTTACACCTATTCCGTGATCCCTCAAAGAGCTCTGTAATTATCCCATTCCGTGATATATATACAGTCAGAAAGTATAGAATATATAATATTTTATAATTACGGACATAGAAATAACAAATTCTGAGTTTGAATGTCCTAAATTGGAAATATTGAAGGTAATATTGAGAGTCTGATCATGAATTAGATTTTCCTGTGCCCAAAAAGTGAATTTTCCGTCGCCAACGCTTGTCTCATCTCATCCATAAACTCTAAACTTGGAAGCCAACGACATTATCACTCTTAACTGTTCCATCTTCTCTGACCCCTTCATATCCTTAGTTGCCCTATCAAACAGCTTCCAGACTTCAATGAAGTTATGCTCGCTTTCCACACTAGTCCCGATATTTTGAAGGGCAGTTTTCATATTCTCATGGTTTTTAACATTTTGAAGATCATGCAAGGTCAAAGCAGTTGGCGCATCTAACTTGTTGACTTCTCGGGTCATTTCCGTATGGATTGCAGCTAGTTGTACACAGCAAATCACAAGAGCGGCAAGGCCAACACCTAAAGCAGTTGCAATGGAGGAGCCAGTCTGGGGCTGGAAACTTTTAGCCGGATCATCACCGAGCGAGGCTTTCTCCGCCACCTCGTATCCAGGAATGATGAAGTCCAAGCTTTTTATGCTCGGTACCCAGTCCCAGACATTGCCGTTAGCTTTTGCAGCACCGATTTTAAATATACTGACTGGATTGGATGCTGCGGGATAATCGTTGTCTTGGTGCAAACCTTTGTCGGCTGCAGAACAGAATAGAAGAATTCCTGCGCTCACAGCCCTCCGTACTGCTGCGTCGAACTTCTCTTTCTCCTCGCTATTGCTATCAGGTTGCTTGACAGTCCACGACATCGAGATTATCTGCACCTTTTTATCTACGGCGGCATCGATTGCCTGCGTTGAAACCAAAACAATTAGTACCCAGGAGTTAGTGTAAGGGAGAATAAATTGCGGTATCTTACATCTGCAGCGCTCCTGGCTCCAATTCTAGCCTTCTGCTCCTTATGATCGAAGTGTGTTTCAAGTTTAATCACATAAATTTTGGCCATAGGACATATGCGAGTAATATTCTTCGCCATCACAGTACCATGGCCTCTTTCCGAGACCCAATGAGGTCGCATTCGATTAGCACCGTTGTCTCCATAATCAAAAGTTTGGCCCCCAGATATTTTGTCGCGGAGCCTGGGCTCGAGTAAATTTACACCGTCATCTATTAGCACGATTTCTATGGGTTTTATGGGATGTTATAGTTTCTGTTTCATTGTCCAGGACCAGACATTCTGGAACATAGCTTGAAATTCATCCATGCTCTTCTATCGTCGAAAATTGTCATTCTCAGCTCACTCGGACTTGAGGCCCTCATTAATAAAAAGACAGAAAACCTCCCCAACTCACAAGATGCCGATATTGAATATGGTGCCGCTCTGGTCGAAGCAGCGCGTGGTGGACACCAGGAAACGGTAGATACTCTTCTTCAATGTTTTAAACCTACGAAGGCTACGCTAGAACTTTCAGCCCGATCAGCTGACTATCGTGTCTTATTTACTCTTCTCAAATGCATTTCTGGATTGCTAGAGCGACATGAGTTTTCCACTGAGCTTTCTTACAAAGTTACTTGGCTAGGATTGGACGATGCTGTTGAGTATCTTATCGAACAGGTTCGTGATCAAATTCATACCCAAATCCGCTCTTCGATCTGCAACTCCGTTTTTTTTTTATTCAAACACATCCTTCCCGTTCCTTGATGCAAGCTTTGCTCCGAAATTTCCTGATAGGCAATACTAATTATCGGTTCTTCGTGCAGGATGTCGCAATTGATTTCGAGACACTGCCGAAGAATTCACCCCTTCACCATGCTGTAATGCTGAATTATGAAAGAATTACAAAGATTCTGATATCCGCAAAAGCAGACATCAATCGGCCAGCACAACACGGAGTCACACCGTTACATAAAGCCTGTATGAATGGAAGTCTGGAGTCGGTGAAACTACTTTTGGAGGCGAAAGCCAACACCGATTGCAAGTCCGAGGCACACTTGACACCACTTCAGGTGGCAGCTATAAGAGGTGGACATGAAATCATCAAAATGTAGGCAGTAACGTACTTCTGAGAATAAGCACGATTACTGATCCCAGTTTCAGACTTCTGAGTTTCGGAGCTGACAAAAGCTACCGGGGTGAGGCAACAGAGGCTTTAATGTTTGCGACGGAAAATGGTTTCTCAAATTGCTGCCGTGTTCTGTTGGAAGACGGGGCTCCTACCACACTTTCGGATGATTATTGTCCGCCATTGTGGTGGGCATGCAGAGGTGACAGTTTAAACGAAGAGATGTGTGAACTCTTACTCGAATATGGAGCAGATCCTAACTGGGAACCTGGGTACAACAATTCACCAATCCTAATCGAAGCTGTTCGAGCTGGTTGTAGTGTCGATTTGGTGAAATTTCTATTAAAAAAGGGTGCTGATATCAACGCAGTGGACGCGCCTTCCAAATATAAGACTCCAGTGATTTCAACAGCTGCACGACTTGGTCATACCGAGATCGTAAAACTTCTTGTTGAAAGAAAGGCAGACATTAATCTCGCCGATTTCCGAGGCGAAAAACCAATTTGTTTCGCCGCTAGAGGTAATTATCCGGAAATTGTTCAAATTCTGGTGGATTCAAAAGCAGATATTGAAATGGATCAGAATCTAGATTCCGGGTGTGGCCCCTTACATGCTAGATTTGGCTTTCCTAAGGTTGTACGTATCCTTCTAAAGAATGGAGCTGACATTAATCGGAATTGCTCGGGGGGGACTATCCTCTTTTTTGCCAGTATGGGCAATCACATTGAAGTAGTCGAGCTTTGTCTGCAATACAAGCCAGATCTAGAGACCATATACCTCCCTAACATAGCCAGATTCTACAGCGGACAAACGGCGCCAAGCGTTGCAATGCACCTAGGAAACACTGGAATCGTTAGGCTTTTGCTTGAGGCTGGTGCAAATATCAATCATCAAGTCTACCATAGCCTCTCCCCATTGCATTATGGATGCTTAGACCCGTCTCTTCCCGACGAACACTTGCGAGCTATACTTGAATATCGCCCTTATCTAAACATACTTGACGATGATGGGTGCACTGCTCTGCATTGTATATTTGCAATCACACCATTGTCGAGGATTAAACTTCTGGTGAATGCAGGAGCTGATATAGAAATCCGCAACAAAAGCCTCGTGACTCCTTTGGGCATTGCAATTCAATGCCGAAACGTTGATGCTGTGGAGTATCTCCTCTCCAAGAATACACAAGTCAATCTCACTGGTGGACCATTTGTCGGAGCGCTTTCCATGGCTTGTTTTTTTTTGGTGACTTGCCACTCTTGAAACTCTTGGTAGAGAAGAGCTCGGGAATTAACGTGAACTTGACGAACCCCAATTGGTGTGGCACAGCTTTACAAGGCGGTCTGTGCTCGCAGCAAGACCGCAGATGATGATCAATTGCCCATGGTATCATACCTCCTAGACGATGCTAAGGCTAATATTAATGCATCCGCCGGATGGATGGGATATGCACTAAATATGGCTTGCCTTTATGGTGATTCGTCACTTGTTAAGCTTCTTTTGAACAAAGGTGCCCAATCAGATGTTGTAGATGTAAGCTAATCGGTCTATTGAGTCTTTTATTCTTACAGTCTAAGTCTGTTACTCGATTTCAATCTCCACCTTTCTGTTTCTTCGCATGTATTGGTTCCCCTGCATCCAAATATAAATTAAATTCTTTAATGATTCTTCCAGGTCTTTTTCTGATAGGCAATGCTAATTCTCGCGATCTTGCAGTTGATGGGGAGAAGGCCGATTCACCTCGCAGCTCTCTGCACAATTGATCATTGGAACTTGTTGGCTGAGGATAAACTTCTCGAGACTGAGGACCAATTAAAAAGAATACCACTACATTATGCAGTAGCTAGTGGCAGAGTTGACCTGACCAAAGCGGTACTGGAGCGCTCGATAGCAGTTCTAGGCCCAACAGTTGTCAATTACCCTGACTGCGATAACTGGACTCCAATAATGTGGGCAGCACGAACTTGTGTGGAGTGGGGGACAACGACAAATGAACAGCCTGAAATCATCAAGCTTTTATTGTCGAATGGTGCAAATCTCTGGGTGAAAGGAGATGGTCTAGATAGAGCATGGTCACCACTAAGAGCCGCTAGATATTATGGGGCGCCCGAGGAAGTCATAGAACTCTTAACAACAAAGGCTGGTGCCCGATCTTTAAATGGCGAGAAATGGACCGTAGGTCTCATACTTCGAAGAAAGCTTCCGTGTCCTTCGATGCATTCTGTGACGGATGTCTGCTTGTAAGTTAAAACTTGCTTATCTGTGCTCAACTAGTAATTCGGTTCTATTCACTATTAACACTAAAATACTAGCAAATTGTGGGAAGGTGGTTTGAATGTGAGACCTGCTCGGAATTTGATCTCTGTTTTAAGTGCTATCGTTCGAGAGACATTCTGCACCCGGATTGTTCATTCGACGAACGTGGCACGGAATACGAATCCGAGCCTGAACCATCATGCGGTAGTAAAGTAAAGACACATGGCTCTGGTGTCAACCCAAGCGTTGCTGAAAGTGTTCATGAGAGTTCTGACGAGGAAAGTGAAGATGAAGAGAGCATCTCAAGCAATGAAATTACGGGAAATAGTGGTAGTTGTAATGTGGCCGAATCAAAAGGAATGACGGTAACAACAATGATGAGGATGAAGAAGACGAGAAGGAATATGAGGGTGACGGCGACCGATGATAACTGAGATTTGAGGTTTCGATACTAGATTCTACAGGAAAGTACAAGTATGGAAATACAAATATACGATTTATTCAATTTGTTAGCTATTAAATTTTCACTGGTCTCCTATTTCTTACACAATTTCGTTCATTTTTTTAATTCTCTTATCCATAATTAGCAAAAGCCTACAAACAATCAAGATAGTATGATGCACACAACTTACTCACATTTTTTTCATCAATTTATATATAATTAATACTATGTGTATGTGCGTATGTGTATTTCCATCATCACTCAATCCGACAGATCTGGATACAGCAATCCATATCATACTAGCTATGAAGGCCTAGCGCTACACATAATATGTTCGTGATTTAGCAGCTTTAATGGTACACAAGAAGGCGTATGTATAGCCTGGTTCCGGCTACACTCTGGTCATATAACCTCTCCTCAAAGAGCTATGAGTGTCCTGAGCGAGCTTTAATTCAACTCGTGGACGGATTCGACCAGCTTGAAGTTATAGTCCCGAGTTGCAGCATCCTCGATGTTTCCCTGAGCGATGCGAGTTTTGATTAGGTCCTCGATGATTCTGGGGAGATTTTGCTCCCATATTTGGGCGCAAAGTGGTCGATCAGTTGGTTAGTCAGTGATCAGCGGACTCGTTGTTTTTAGCTGACTGATGAATAATATATTATTATTGTTGTTGATTTGTTAAATTAATTAATAAATTGTTGATCAGTCGTATGATTTTTATTTGGTAGTAAAATTCTTTTTTTGAAAAGATAAAAGAGAAAAAATGAAAAACAAAAGAGAAAAGAGAAAAAGAAACGAAATGAATAAGAGTGAGATTATTTACTTCATTTCCTTTTCCCAGGTGTATTTTTTGGGGGGATAAGAGATTCTTCAGTTTATTAGCTAGTTCTATTCTTTTCTATAAAAGAAAAACCACATTAAGAGACTTAAGGATCCGATTCCTACTGGGACTCAAAGTTTTGCGTCATTCAAATACTCCAAGAAGTTAATGGTTCGGAGGAATTAGATTGCTGTACATTTTTCATTCAACAATCACCCTCCCTCATTCACATTTTATCGTTCAATTCTTACCCTTATTCAATCTCATCTCTCGGTTATTCACTCAAGCTATTTTACTTTTATCCTACTTATAATCTGTACTATATATAGACTCTACTATCCCATTATAGATTCTACCCTTCCCCCTCGCTTTTTACCTCGAGAATATATCAAAATAAAACAAGAATCTAGATTCTTAAAATAGATCTCCAACAGAAAATTCAGCGACTTGTTATCAGTTTCTAAATTACCTGACAGTCATTTGTCGTTCTTTTATTTATTATTCCAGATTGCTCTAGTATTTTTGATGGTATTATATCTCGCTTATTCACTTCCCCTTTTCATTCACTCCAACATCCATCTTATTCACTGGAATTACTGTTCACTTCACTCCTTCCCTACCCTATTCACCAAACCACAATAGCTTTTAACCTATAACTTTCTCAACACCTCTCACACAATTATCACATCAATTCTTCGGCTAACCCCTAAACAACCACATACCCTACTTCACCACAACATTTAACATTAAGTTCATCTATTATAACATCTTGCCATCTTCAGAAAGTATTCCAAATATCCTTCAAAAAATTATAACAAGGGGATAGTATGAGTACAGACCACTTTTGGTTAATGAATAGAAGGCATGTATGGTGACAGGAATTTGACTTAAAGTGTCTTCGACGGATGTAATCAAAAGGATATTTATATAGAACAATTGGGCTGTTATCTAGCTACTGAATCTCCCGAATAGGCTAAATATTAATGAAATGAGAATAACATCCACTTATCAATTCATAGAACCGATAAAATCTAGTAAAACTTTTCAATTTAGACGGAGAACAGGCGCCTGGTATCCAATAGACCAGTAGGAATCATCGCATTCTCCGCGACAATAAACCTATTCTCCAATTCACAATCTGTTTACAAAGCTCCAAATTGAAATATCAAATCTAATTCCAAATCTGACAAAGATTGAATTACAACGCAACCCCCGCCCTCTCTTTCTCCCTTACCTGACCCTCCAGAGACACAGATCTTTCTAAAACCGTGAGGAAAAAAAAGATAAACCTCCCCAATTCGATTAAAACTATACCTTATCCAATTCTTCCCTATAATTAATTCTTACATTTCAGGTTTATCATTTTTCCGAATTATCACACCCTCCACTCCAAATCAAGTTTTCCAACCAGTCTTAAATCCAACCAAAACCCATCATCCCAATAAAACAACAACCAACCAACCCAGCCAGTATTACCCATAAAATATTATATCAATTCAAATGATCATCCTCTCCTCATATCCAAAAAAGAATCCATTTTTTTTTACAACACCATCCGTTCCACGTGCCCCTTTATCATTCCCCTCTTCCATCGCTGCATCACCGATACAAATAAAATCAACCCATGAACCACTATCCATTACCAACTACCTATTAACCCCTCTAACCCCTCACTTTGCAACCTTCATCCCCACCCCAAATCCCACCTCTTCATTCCTTCCTTCCTTTCTCTCTTCCTTCACACCCCTAAATCAAATCAAATGAAATCTATCCATCCACCCCCTCCCCGCCTCTATGCCATCCACAATCCAATCCAATCCAATTCACCGAGTACAATAAATAAAATCTCCTTATCTATCTATAACCTATCATCAAAATAAATTAAAAACAGCAAGGAAAGCGACGAGAAGAGGGGTAATTATAAAAGAATATTTAAACACTATTTATCTATTATAATAATAATAATATTAGTATTAACACCCTTTAGTTTTGTATTGATTACTATAAGCTATATTAGATTGCAAAGTATTCTTTTGTATTAATCATCTCAAATCATATCTTAGCACTCTTTAAATTTACCCCTAAATTAAACGAGTCAATGTGATTGTGTTTAATTCTTTTACTTTACTTGCTTTACCCACTTAATCTCTCGCGTAATTATACACACAAGTACATAAACATTCATAAGTAGGACTTGCATTTATGTATTTGATATTGTGTTCAATTGTCTTTATTTTATTCTTTTATTCTTTTATTCTTTTCTCGTCATCCTGCCTTCCCGTCATCCTTCCACACATGCCCTCCCTAATCCCGCTTCCTGCCCATTTTTAATCTTCCCTCCCATTTTTACTTTCTTTCCATTCTTCCCCTCCCTTCCATCCCAATCCAACCCACCCTAGCCAAACAGACTTCTTCGTCCCCGCATTTCAATATCCATCCTAACCAATCCCACCCATCCTCAATCCACCGTCCTTTCCCCTCTACCCACTGACCACTAACCATGCCCCAAAAGAAAGAAAAAAAACGCCATACATGCATGCCATTTCCCCATAAAAATTCCACGAAACGAAACCCTCCCATCCCCGTCCCCAATCTAACCTAACATACATGGCAGTAAAAGGATGTAAAAATCCCGGAAAAAGGTATAAAGAAACCAAGCGACCGACCAAAAAAAATTAACCATCCCAAATCATACAAAGTATATAACAAATCATCACCCACCCAATCCCATCTTCCATGATCAACCTAAACCTCCAATCTAGAGTTCCACCTCAATACCTTCTCCTTCTCGAACTTGGGGCGCCCAAGTCAATATTCTTCATTTCCTCCAACAGCGCCCATGCATCTCCAGCTCCACCTCTTCCTGTCCCACTACTGACCGGAGCCGGTAAGGCCATTGGAATTTTTGCCGGTACAACCGGTAAACCCGAGCCCCTATATCCGTTCCCAAACCCTCCATTACTAGGATTAATTCCATATTGATAACCATTCGGCGGATAATTTTCATTAGCATATTCTGCAGTTGAAGGTCTATGCATTGATGTTCTACTAGATGCGTAGTTTTGATCTTTGTAGATTGGTACATTTGGGGATGAATGGTACGCCGGTTGTGCCGACATGCGGTTAGATTTCTTTTGAAGCTTCCTATGAGCTGTAGCTTGATGGTGATCAGGAGTACCACCGCTGAAATAAATTGGGGAGGAAACGACCATTGACTGAGGTCTCCCCGCTTGACGTAATTGCTTGCGACCAGTTGATGGCATTGGCTGTGCTGCTGGCGGAGCTCGATAATTGCGATCTGCCACTTGGGACGCGTATTTTGGCCCTTTCTGTTCCAGAAGTGGTGCATAATTGGATTCGGGAATATGATCACTTGGATCAATTTCTCTACCATCATAAGTAATGATTTTGGCATCTGGGTCGTCTTTGGAATCATAAGCAGCGCTTAGAGATGTTGCGGATTTTGATCCTGCTAGACTTGGGTTGAAAACATCATACGAATCCGGCCCAAATGCAATACCGGATAACCTTCTAGGTTCAGGAGCAGGACTGACCGGTTTTCGCATAACTGATGGGTTAGGAGAAGTTCCTCTTCTAGCCATGGGATTGGGTGAAGTCCCTCTTCTATCCATAGGATTAGGAGATACGCCTCGTCTATCCATGGGATTAGGAGATACACCTCTTCTATCCATGGGATTAGGAGATACACCTCGCCTATCCATCGCAGGATTAGGAGAGGCACCTCGTCTATCCATCGCAGGATTAGGAGAGGCACCTCTAGGCTTTACAGGCACCATAGCAGTAGAAGTGTATCGACCCTGGCGATCATCGTACGCTGCTTGTGGCGAGTATGGTACAACAGCAGAATTATCATGATAGGGAAGAGGTATAGGTTGTTGAATCTGCTGTGGTTGATTCCTTGAACTTTCTTGATATCTTCCTCGTTGCGAGCTGCTAGCATTTTGGCTATAACTTGCTCGCTTCTCCTGATAGATTCGATCCGATATTTCCTTAGCAATGATTGGATCCATTCCTGGCACCAAAGTTGGTGGCATCTCCGGTAAACCATAATCTCCATTAGTACTTTGCATACCCAGAGAATGACTCCTATCTTGACGAGATGAAGGAAGCTGTCCATAAGAATGTCTCGAGGTTACAGAAGCGCCGTGGCTGATAGAAGACATAGAACTAGACGCCGCATAACCACCCGAGCTATTTGAAGGTTGATGACTGGGAGCAGTTGTTGCGACACTATTTCCACTAGGTCGATGCCTTAAATTCAACGGTGCTGGTACTTGGTCATACATCTCATTAGTTTGCTGTTGCATGACACTTGACACGCTGCCTCTGTGTGGAATAATTGATTGATAACTGTTTGGCCCTGGACCTGGTGCTGGAGTGGGTGGAGCGTCCTCAACGGTTGGCTGCATGTCCTCATGACCAGCATTATACCTTAAATCTCTTGAATCATAAGAGTTATGTCTAGGAAGGTGAGGAATTCCATTCCCCGACCTCCGAGATTGATCATCAACCTTTGACGGACTATAGGCTTGATAAGATGGAGTAGGTTGTGTATATGTAGGGTTTGAATGACGATGCATATCATCCATTGAAGTATTGTAAGGATTCGAATCTCCCCTGCTAACTGGACGGCCATGGACTGCCCTAGGTTGGGCAAGGGGTGGTGCCGGGCTCACATTTTTACTTGCATGAGCTGGTGGAGGAGGAGGTGGGGGACCGGGGCTCGTCGGAAGCTCATATGGGCCCGGCTGTTGGGCTTCATAATTGATCATACGAGATCCATTGTATCTATCGCGAGGATCCTCTTCCTGGTTCGAGTATTGATTCATATCATGACCGTGTTCGTAATCGTTCTGGGACATTGGGTCGTAAGTTTCATATCTATCATTATTTCGCATTGGCTGTGAACTTTGTGGTGCCGCGGCTATCATATCCTCAGGTGCTCCATACGGTGTTGATCCTGGACTTACATCATATCCTTGAGGTTGATTATATCGGGCTTGAGGTGCATTGAATTCTACTCTTTGGAGAGGCGACTGATCCGGAGCGAATCCGTTCTGGTATCCACGCGGCGTTTGTGTGTGCTCCTGAGCAATCATAAGGCTATGATATCCACGCTGCGATTGAATTGGCTCAAAAATATTGGCAGGACCTGGATATCCGCGAGGCGAAGGTTGATCCTGAATTACATGCGAATTTGCGTATCCTCGGGGAACGTGATCTGGCATACCATTCGAAGACATCTGATACCCTTGCGGTGGTGTCTGGATGTGATCTGGTGGATTTTGATATCCGCGAGGCGGCGTTTGAACATGATCAGGTATCGCAGAAGGTTCTCTGTATCCACGAGTAGGGGTCATTTGCACATGATCAACTGCAGATGGTGCTTGATACCCTCGCGAAGGAGTATGAACAAGCTCGGCAGGTGCTGGCGCCGCAACAGGGGGTTGAGCTGGAGCTCCAGTGATGGGATCAGATGGCAGTGGTCGTCTCTTAACCACGGATTTCGCTCCGAATTGTCTTGGACCACTCACCCCTTCTCTCGTACTCCCACTTCCACTCATACTTCCGAAGTCCGTTATCGATTGCGCAGATGTAGATGGTGTAATGGCCGATTGGTTCTGTTTCAGTTCTTTCCTTTCTGGTCTCTCTGATTTTTCTGGTTTAGGCCTCTTATCGTAATATGTGATCTCGACCCTGATCTCTCCGGCATATTTTCCTTTGAAATTTAAATTATGCCACACATCACTTTGTCCACCTCCTGCAACAATAACGTCTTGCAAGTTAATCCAAGTCTCCCCTATCAGATCCGTTCTCTTGTCGTCGTTAAAAACTGAGACCTTCAATTGGTAATAATCTGGTGAATCGTGAACTGTAAATCGTAGCTCTTGATCCCTACGTAGCCGTGTTAGTAACGAGCCTAATAATCATTTCCAATTGAGTACTCACCACCGAGGAGTTTGTCCACCCCTCTTGTCCGTCTCTGTTTTTTTTGCTTCCTTGCCCAGTCGTGCTGCACAATAGGGATCCTGCTTGCCAATTGTCTTCCTATTCGGTAGATTCTTCGCTCGATCAACAATAACAACCAGGGTACCAATTTCTGGGCCATCAACCGTCATATCTGAAAAGATTCCAGCAGTATGCATGCCGGCCATTTTAGGTTTCGTCGCCATGATGAAAAAGTTAAGGAAGGTAGTATGTATGTGTACGTATGTAGGTTAAAAGAAAGGAAGATTAATACGTCTAATCCAAGAGTCGTAAATAATAACTCTCAAGGTCGAGGTCGTGGTCGAGGTCGTATTCCAAGTCGTAAAGTTGATCTCGGTCTCGAATGTTGTGTGGTGAAGAGCTTCTTTCTCCCTTCTTTCTTTCTTCCCTCACCAGCTCTAGCTGGGCATTGTCTCTGGAAATTGGTCGACTGATATTCCCCAAGTCGACGCCGAGTAGGTACTTCTTCGCGTTAGGACCCTTGCATCTCAGACCGTTCTATGCAGGATAAATCAAAAAAAGGCTGACGGTCCAGAAATTTCGAAGAATTGATTTGAGAAAAGAGAAATGGTGCCCGTTTTACTTGCGATGAAGCGGGTCTACAGTGGATTGACTCAAAGGTTGTTCAAAGTGTTCCCTCTCCTCTGTATGCAAGTTGTGAGAAAGTCGTAAAGGGAGTGGCTGAAATCGTGGAGAAAGAATGGCGAAGGCTGGTGTTATCCTTGTCGTGATTTTACCTTGGGACAATTGTCAATGAGAAACAAAGAAATGGAGTCAATTCATTTATCTATGGGATGGGTTAAATGTTACAATTGAATTGGATTACACGTATTGAAACTTTTCATATAGGTAAATTGGATTACCATTGTTTTTATTTACATTCGGTTGATTTTAACTTTTCGTACCCAATATTTCCCTCACTTCCTTTCCCATCAAAATCCAGAGATATCGTAGATTTACAACTGATGACGAAAATCGGGGCTTGGGTCCGGATAAATGTAAGTATGTACATAATTTAATCCTTGTCTCGAATCACGGGATAAAACCAATCCTTGTTTACACAGCTTATCTAGGGACCAATCCATAAGAGAGGAAAAACAAATAAAAATAGAAACCAAAATTTGATTTGGTTACGGCGGTTACCATCATTTTAAGTGGCTGGCGTGGCTGGAGTGGCTGGAGTGGCTGCAGTGGCTGAAGTAAGGTATTCTTTCATTCCCTTCTTCCCCAAGACATGATGAATAAGCCGGGCCCCGAATCGAAAATCATTTAACTGTAGCATCAATACCCATTGGTGGAGTCTATTAGATGCAGGTACTCCGTAGCTTCCAAGATTCTAGCTTCATTTATCAAAGATCTATGGAAGATCAGCGGCTGTTTCGTTTTAACCACCAACTACCTACCAAAGATTAAGTCGACCGGGATCGAGAGTTTTGACCATATCAAGGTTGTTTGCTATTGAAGGAACAAAAGCTATTCGGAGTACATACAGTACGCGCCGCTTTTGCTTGTTCTTCGGATATTCCCGAACATCGACCGGTGTATTGAAACCTTATCGCGTCTCCGCCTTACATCATCAAGAAATGCACAACTCCCTTTCATCACACCCTCCAACCTCCCAACCAACCTGCAACCTAACATTTCCTAACCAAGCTCTCCACTCACATATTCCCCCATACATTAACCCGTCAAAATCATGTATACCATTGCGCCCTCCCCCACCCCCATCATCCTATCAGACCCAGTGACCTCCACCCCGCCCGACACCTCAGCTCCTTCAATCCTCCGCTATATTATCGGTTTCCTCCTCATCGGTATTGCCTGGGGCTTCACAACCCCCTTCATCCGAGCCGCTGCACGAACCCATCAGCCACCCGCTCACCCCATTCTCACATCTCCTTCAGTCACAAACTCTTTTCTCAAATCGAAGCTGTACGGCGCGTTTTTCGGAGTTGTGGATCTTTTGCGAAATCCTAGATATGCAATTCCCTTGGTAGTGAATTTGACGGGGAGTATTTGGTTTTTTCTGTTGATAGGTCAAGCTGGTAAGTGTTCTTTTTGGTTTTATGGGTTGAAGAAAGATGGAGTCGTGGCATTGGTGACGTTGATGCTAACTTTGTATATAGAACTCTCATTGACAGTCCCCATTACAAACTCCCTCGCTTTTCTCTTCACCGTACTAGGAGAATGGTGGGTAGAAAGAAAAGTGATCAGTCGAGGTAAGTTCTATCATCTCTTCCCCTCCTCTTTACCCGCACTCCACTTTACATCAACACTATTGATCAGAACAAATATTCGAAAGTGCTTTGTTCCCGGTAGGAGAGCTGATTTAGCCATAGATACCTGGATTGGTATGACATTGTCATTATGTGGTATCGCGCTCTGCGTCCATAGTAAGACAGGATGAGTCTTCCATGAGTTATTTTTGGATCACGTTTCCGGGAGTGGGGGATTCGATGTTCTATAGAATGATTGGTTGAAAGAAGAATTGATCATGTGGGGTCCAGGCAAATTGTACACATAAGGTTTTTTGGTTAGCCGCCATAGGAGGCTGTAGTATATATTTTCTACTTACGAATGATGGAGAGAGCATGACAGGATTCACGATGTTGGATATTGGAAGTTGGAAAGGTCAATGCCAATAATATCACATAGAAGCTCGGTAACACGTTCCAATAGTTTGATTTAAAGATTAACATTAGACACGTTAGCGCAGCTCTATGCTCTAACCGAACTATCGCTCGTCTAACCCCGTGTAATAATAAAGAAGAAAGTACCTAAGCAAACAAACCGTAACCACCAGGGCCGGGGAAAAACCAACTGTGCGCCACCCCATGCCACCGCCAGCCCATTTTATGTGTAAGGAAATTCCGAACCATGGCATGCCAAGTCCAATCGTCCCAAACAATCCTAGTTTGATCGAGTCATCAAACATTACCCATCCCATCCCATCTCCCAATCGACGACCACATTCAAAACATCCATACAATAGTGTTACAGACCTCCACTCATTTTTATCCGCCCGGTCAGCCTCTCTTACACACCAGACTTGAACCTCGGTAGTCACATATCCGTGTCCACGTGCTCCGATTCCGAACACTGACACTGACAGCTTAACGTCTAGCCCGAACCCATCTCTGAACCTGTCTCAAGCTCGGATCTTCTTGCGTCCAGCGCCCCATTCCGTAATCAGACGATCTCAGATCCGAGTATATGGCCTCATCCGTGATAGATACCAGTTCCTATTTCCCAAATCAGTACGTTTAAAATCAATAGTATTGAAAGATCGAAAGTTGGCAGGATCCTTGCTCGCGCGCACAAGATCCGGAATTGGGTAACGCCTCGAACTCGGAGTGAATAATAAAAGACCTTTGACTTACAGCCCGGAGTTGCGCATCGCATGCGTTCAATTGATCCGTGTGCCCACTATGAGGTCTCTGGCCCTGCAATACTTGATCTCTGTAAGCGATCCAGCGCTGTGCTGCACCTTGGCGGAGGTAGATCTTCTGGGCTTCGTGACGGCGAGAAAAAGCGTCAAGGTGTACCCTTCTTACTATTAGCATAGAAAATCACGCAAGAGCCAATTGCAAGTCTCGTGAAATGAATCTGTGGGTAAGAAGAGACGTACTGTTGCAATTCCGCTTTAGCTTGCTCATCTGCACCACCTCGAACTCGTGGGACTCGAGTTTCGGCGGCACAGTTTAGGATATGCTGACCATCTAGGGAGCATTGACGAAGGGCGGCATATCCTTCAGTGTAGTAGTCATCCATATTTAACGGGTCGGTGGGAGCAGCAGCGATGTAGTATTGAAGAGTGCGGAAATCAGAGAGAAGATCTGCTACCCGAGCAGTTCTTTGATCATTTACTAGACGTTGTGTTAGTTACAAAGTTAATTGAGTATCACCCGTCCCGAATGCACTGTAGGGACGAGAACAAGTATTGGTCTTGCATAGTAGGAACATCAATCAACTTACATCCGTCCGCCATTGTGTATGTAGTTCGGTGTGTTTGAGAATGTGTGACGCCAAAAAACGGGAGAATGAACACTAGGACGACTTGCTAATGTGAAGGAAGTGGAGACGTGACAATGAGGAACTGAATGAAAGACTGTGCCGTTGATGTCTTGGAGATATGAAGCCATCCCGACCGTTTATGAAGCTTTTCAAATCATGGCTAACTAGAGCAAACGTTCACTCTGGACATTGATCATCCACTTTGAGCCTCGACGTGGCTGGCTAACGGGAGGATACCTCAGCCTGATGCAAAGCCAATTCTTTGATTCCATTGGAATTATTAGATGCCATTGAGTGACTCTCATGGTATAGAAAGCCATTTGTGGCCCACAATGAAGTCCGATGCTAATGATACGGGAGGTGACGAGCTCAAAGCTAGTATAAACCCTACCGAGCTGTAAGGATGTAAGGATGCAAGGATACTAAGCAATTGTAGTATTTTCCAGGATATGTATGACGGCAGTGATTTGCTACATGTTCAAGGGTTCAGATTAGATGACCCGAGAAAGGTTTAAGGAGAGGAAGGTGAGAAGTGCAGAGTAACGGAATGTAGGCATTGAAACATGAGAAGGAATGGTAGAGGATGATGAGAGGATTACATGAAAGATAGATTGTGGATAATGGATATGGGTCCCCTGCATGATGTACAATCAAGTCTATTCTATATATGTGTGTTCCGTGAAATGTGGATAATGGACTTGGGTTCCTTTTTAGTTTTCTTGGTCAATGAGGTAGAGTAAAGAAAGAGCTAAAAGTAATGATGTTCACCTCGGTACCTGCTCTCGCGTGGCAGCAGGGGTAAGATATTCAGCCTTCAAAACCTAGTGACCCCCGGTTGACCAGTAAATTCATCTAATCCAATAATAATATTGCAAAAACGCCATAAGAGTGAAAACCATGCGAGTTGAAGGCTCAAAGATGTATTGCCATCTGATCTTGGTACCAATAGGAAACCTCGGACCCAGACTATACATCACTATAGCTGAAGGTGTAGATAAGCATCTCACTTGCATTGGACAAGCGGTGACTGCGCCAGGTACCAAACTTATCGACGCATATGTATCATTACATACCGCACTGTGTGCTATACTCCGTATCATACTATCCTATCCTATAACTATCCTGTACATGGGGAAAGCTCCTGAGTCCTGATACAAACTACGGGGTAGATCATTTACGGGCATACCATCTTTTACCCACTACCAAGATATGATTTCTTCAAGGGTTATTCTCATTACCGCACGTCAAATATTTCCATATCCGTAACGTCGGTAAACACAATAATCCTATTTAGGTTCAGACCCTGTTACCCTTCTTGGATCCTCAATACTCAATATTGTCTATTCCCTGTCCTATATTTTTGTTTGGGATGTGAGATGATTGATGATTCGATCAAAAAATGGCATTGACCACCAAAACTTTATCTCCTGGTAGGGCTGCGCAATGCTAGCTCATTAATGCTGTCTGTAGTTAAAAAATCTTGTCCTGAATTTACTCAGATCATCTAAGATCATCTAAGATTAAAACAGCACACACACTGTCGTAGAACTAGATAGAGATCGTCCAGATATTTTCAGTACATCAATAGTCAAGCCACAATGAGGCTATGTTTCCGTTTCGTTTCCTTTTTTCATCCGAGCAGAGTACAAATTGTTGCGCCTAATTGATGGGATGACACAAAAAGATGTGGCTTTCTCGTCTATGCTTTCTCGGTATCGAATGCAATTGTCATCATAAATGTAATTTCATAGCAATAGTATTTCTTGGCCAATCATTCGTTGGTGTCACCGAACGTAATTCATGATTGCTTCTTCTGGACATCTTGCCTCATCTCTGTACTCATGATCGACAACTAGTCCTTCTCTGCAATTGCCTGTAACCTCTCGTCAATCTCCTCCTCTGTTAAAGCCCTGAACCCCGGATCTGTACCCTCCTTTCCGTTCTTTCTTGGGCCTCCAACAATACCAATCTCCAATTCTCCTTTCTTAAAATCGACGCTGAGTACTGTGCTCAAAGTTGTGATGCCTAGTTCCACTACATCTTCCCAGCTACCTTCTGCACAATCCTTGTTCTTGAGCTTCTTCTCCAGATGGTTGAACGCCTCCTGCTGTTTCGGGCCCGAAGCTGTTCCTTTGTAACCAGTGTAGTAACCAGCTGGATCACATTTGTACAGTTGAGGACCAAACTCAGAATCCAACGATATCAAGGTGGTTGCAACACCGTATGGTCTCATGTATGCCTAAAAAATCATTAGGTTAGCAAGATGAAGAAGGATACAATACCATCCAAGATCCCGGACGGAGGTTCCATTAAGTAAGCTTACTCTTTGGGTATAGACTTGGCTGATATTGGCGATCCTCTTTGCCAGGGCATCACACGGCATCTCGTATCCAAACTTGTATCTAAATTCTGCAGCCTCGCCAATAGCTCTCTGAACGGAGGCTCTTGCATCTGCGATAGAACCTGTCATGACGCATCCTACGGATGGTGACAATTGAAAGATGTGGGAGACGGATGATGGATCGATGAGCTTATCCTACATGGGCCACCAATATATTAGTATTGAATTAGAAATAGAATCTGGAACAATGTGTCGTACGGGAACCTTCTTTTGAGACAAGACAACGGCACAATCTTTTCCTCGAATGCCTACGGACATAATGTTCGCAGCGGTGATGGCTTTGAAAGCATATTCTATCCTCATAAGAACAGTTAGTTAAATATCATGGCATGTTTGCGTCGGATTGGAGTCTCGGTAGGTCAATAAAGCTGAAGATCCTACGAATCCCATGGCTCTAACAGTTCTATTTGCGTCTATGACTACGTACCGACTTGATATAATCTTCCTTGATCAGAAAAGATTGTGATATGTCTATCGTAACCTGCGCTACCTATTTAGAACTGTTAGCTTAATCTGCTTGAGCTTCTCCGGAAGCTTGTCTGGAAGCGGGCGCGCCAGAACAAACGTACCCGACATTTTGTAGAAGTTGACTGCGTAGCTATATTTGAGGAATGGGGCACCTCGCAAGTGTGATTGACGGTAGAGCTGAATCAAAAGGTATCGTGATTTTTCGAATGAGGAATCAAGATGTTGAAGAGATTATGGAGCTTCAAAGTTGTTATGTACAGACAGTAGCTACCAACCTTACACGCGGAAGCTTGAAGCCTGGACTAAGATGTTAGTTCAAAATGGTTTAGCGCCAGAATTTAAAGCGGCGGGAAATCTTATCAAGAAAAAAAGTTACTTTGCGGACCTTCACTTCAACATCAATCTGAACATCAATTTTTGGTTTTCTATATAATAACAAGCCGTACACGGATATAAACTTCAGTCCATGCATCTGCAGGCTGGCAATTTCTCCAATTTCTCTGATCCTTCGCCATGATACCTTCTTCCGCGAGTGGAGGTGCGCCACGAATCCCCTCATGGAAACGATTAGGCTTAAAGTTAAAGTCGGCCCAAGATTCCTTAGATATCAATTCTCAAGCCTCAATTACCGAACCTCTGAGAGAAATCGAAATCGCAAATAGGAAAAGACCAAGAGACACTGAGTCCGAGCACGAAACGTCTTCGAAAAAGTCGAAAAATCTCAACTCTCATCCTACCTCTGAACTACTACGACCATTCGCTTCCGATCCAATTACTACACCCAAAAAATCTGCGCTAAAGAAGTCAGTCACATTCACTCCAGAGACAAAATCCCAAGATGGCGATAGTATCAAACAGTTATACTTAAGTTGGGTAGCCGATCAGAAGGCTCAAGACGACTTTTTCTACGGTCCTTCCACTAGCCAAGCTTTTGAAACTCCCGCGCCACCTATAGTCGAAGAACAGTTTGATACCACACTTCCGGAAAAGGAACGAAGGGTGAAAAGGGTGAAGAAGCCAAAATCCGAAGACAAACCACAAAATGGTGCAGATGAGAAGGATTTGAAGCCTCAAAAGTCAGTAAAGAAGTCGAAAGTCTCCAAACCTACCGCCGCTCCACGTCCGTTCTTAGCGTATCTAAGACAGTATCACGAATCAAGGGAGACGTGGAAGTTTAATAAGAACCATCAAAATCATCTACTGAAACACGCTTTCGACGTTGAGGTCGTTCCTTCCGACCACGCTTATCTCCTCTACGAGTACGTCAGAGGCTTGCAGGGAGGGGTCAGAAAACGACTCCGAGACGAGGCATTAGCTATCAAGGTGAAAGATCGAGAATCAGACGCTTCCGGTTTTCCAGCGACAATGGCAGACAGTAACAAAAGACAACGAGAGTACGATCTCGCTATGAACGAGTATGTTGCGTCAATGACTGCCGGTGACGCATCTTCTCAAATGGGATACGAAGAAGGGGTACTCATGGGGTTATCGGACGTAGCAATGGCTCCGAGAATGGTCAAAAGAATGAGAGCTGAGAAATTTCTTGCTGAATTAGGCTCATCCTCGGAGGAAACAACAGATACGCAAACTACAGAAACAGGAGCTGTGGTTACGGACGGAGAAAAGCTGTTGCGATTGAACGACGGTATCACTCAAAAGCTCGGAAGAAAAAGAAAGCAACGGACACTTGCCGCGGATGATTCGAGCTCTTCTGACTCGGACTCAAGTAGTGACTCCGATGACAGCAGCTCCGAAGATGAATCAATGGCAAATGATGACGACACGGACGATTCATCAAGTAGTTCATCAAGCAGTTCATCTGGCTCGGGTAGCGATGATGATTCATCCAGTGAAGACGGGTCGAGCAGCAGTGAAAGTGAGGACAGCGAGGACGGCACTCAACAGTGAACGAGGGCTACTAGTCACGTGTTATCTCTCATTATATACTTATTTATCGGTCAACGGATAGGGTTTGAGGGCTGTTGTAATTGGCGACGTTGGAAGAATTTCAATGTTCCCATGCTACCAACATTTACTGGACAATGAATGAGCCAGTGAGACGGAATGGAAGTGATAATGTTCCCCCTTTTGGATGGCCTAAAATGTATGGCTGAAGGGATTAAGACATGTTGGTGGCTAATTAATGGTTGTGGTTGGATCATCCGATAGCCAGATCATCCACGACATTGCTACGTATTAACTGAGATACCCCGAATGAAAGTCAACGGGCAATAAAGCATCATTGCTCTTTGACCAATGAAATATCATTTCTCATGCAATAACTACTAGGTACTTCTTATCAGTAACTTTGTGATATCGTACCGCTTTCTGTAGTAGGGTAGAGATGTATATGCAATCATATCAAAATCGGTCCTCGTGATGATGTGTATGTATTATGCACTCTGAAGTCTTTTGTTTACGTCATCCTGACCCTCCACTTTTGAAACCAACCAATCATTGTGTCAAATTTAGACATTTCCCTCATTATCTGCCACCAACACCACCTTCACTAAAATCAAAGAATCCCATCATTTTAAACATGCACAACACCACTTTCTTAACATTTTGAGACTTAATAAATATAATTGAAGGAATTGGATCTTTTTCCGACTTGAATTCACCGCCATTTGTGAACGATAATTGCAAAGCTTTAATATTGACGAATCACACGATTAAGCAGGCAAGGAGGCAGGCCACCGGTTGTGCATTGCGTCTGGGCATGCATAGATAGGTATACTGCACATACTGCACATACCTACCTACTGCATAACCTTTTAAGACCCATCTGATTCAATTTCAACGTCTTGTACCCCTCATTCCAAGTTTCTTCAGACTTTTTCGCCGTTTTTCATCTTCATTCCCTTTCTCTATAAAACCAGGCGATATTCCAAATACCGGAAGACGAGATTGGAGGTGGAATTCAGGAAGGTTACGAAAGTAATCTTGGTTACATTCATAGCACAATGACGAGAGTTTTTGTTTATAGCATCGGTCTCGCAGCTTTTGTCGCTGGTACGTCATTTTCTATATCAACTATCTCTTTTGGAGTCTTGTTCTTGAGCTTCACCCATATTCATAACGAGAATAGTCTGGGATAAAAGCTGATCACTTCATATATATAGCGACGACATTGACCTTCGTATCAATCTTCATACCCGATTGGATTACGTGGGACATGACGACGCCGAACGGAAATCATATAACGAAAACCATAGGACTCCATCGCAGCTATAGTTCGCTGACAGGCCACTCTTCTCATTTCCCTACATCCGAAGATTGTGCGGGGCCAGATCGGAGATTCTGTTCCATGTGGCGATCGGTGGGATTTCTCATGTCTTTGGCAGCCGTGGTAGAATTGGTTACGTTGGTTGCATATGTGGTTGTGCTACTTGGTGGCAAACAGAAGAGAGAAACGGGTTGGAAGATACTAGTTTTCATGCTGGTGCTAGTCGGTGTAGTTCAGGCGGCTAGCATGAGTATTGTGGTATGTTGTGATTACTCTGGGATGAATGAGTCGAGGAGCGAGAGGCGACATGATACTGACAATTGATAGGCATATCTTTATGACCATGATGAGCAATTCTTTCCGGGCTGGAGACTGGATAAGGGATGGATCTTCTGCACTGTTAGTTGGTGTATCTCGATTGTGTCGGCTGGATGTATTGCGATCTCTGCATTTGCGTTCTCTCCTGAATATGGCTACGAACTTATACCAAGTGAGCGTTACGGAAGAATTCCCGGCTGATTTTTTTCGGTCGACACACACGAAGTCATAACAAATTAATATGGTCACAACGATTCGGTTTTACTCCTCCGCGGTATCTATATTTCTGGTAACACATTGATTGTTCTGCATTTGGAGCATTTTTGGGGCGGCTGTATGAATCTACGCGTATACGACTGATGGGCTGTTTTGAATTTAATTAAATTGAATTAATGATTAGAGCTTAGGAGTTAGGCTAATGAAAGCATGCTTCTCATCTTGACTATACTTAGTCTCCTGCACTGCGTTTTTTTTTTTTCAAATTTACGATAGCGCTGAGGCTCATCTGGAAATCTTACCAAAAGATGCAGCTTCCCGTCGATCACCATACAACGTTACCATGCTGAGGATGTCAGGGTAATAAGCGTCATCCATAAATCCAACATGATGAAGCAGGTAGCCCCGACCCTTCCTGGAATACAGTACCTGCATTTTCATGACCTTTGTTTCAAAACAATAGCATTATATTCTCCTCGGCACTCACTTTAGATATAGCTGAAATGTTTGACAAGTAGCACACACGGCTACTTAGCACAATGTAAAATTCTATTTTCTGGCCTGTTTCGTTTGTTCGTTTGTTCACTTGTTTGCTTGTTCGCTTCATGGGTCTGGGCCACGATAATGGGGAGATAGAGAAAGGAAGGTGGGGGCATCCGAGGTGTACGGGTTCATGCATGAGGAGGTTGGTATTTTGTGCAGCTGCGGTTGCGGTTGCTGTTGCTGTGTCACTTGAGGATTTTATACGGGAGGAAATGAAGAATCATGGATGGGAAATCCGCGCGAACGAATCAATAGAAGACGTGGACTCGAATAAGGCATTTAGCCTTTCTGAACATGATGACGATTTTTCTGTTTATATTGATAGGTATCCATCACTCTTCTTATTTTGTTGCACTAATTTGAGACGTTGACTGATACCGCAATAGTCTATCGGCGCTTGACATTCTTGAACTTACACACATCCAATGAGAGATCTAGACAATGGCTTTATTCCTACCGGGGCAATCTTATCCTCAGCAACTTCCACTTCGTATTGCTCGTCAGCCCTCCCAACTAGCAGAATACTCCACGCTACCGACCATATCTCCTTATGGAACTACTTACTTCTTTGCAGTTCCCTTCACACCACGCTCCCTCAATCACACTTCCCTTTACGAGGACGGTTTCTTAGTCCAGAGTCGCGTTCCATCTCTCCTTTTTGCCCATTTGAAAAATTGGGGGTTTTTTTTTCATAATTGCCCTATAAAAGTTTATAAAAGCTTATAAAAACTTATAAAAACTTATAAAAACTTATAAGAACTTATGAAAACTTATCGGACGAAGGCCTCCTGGTAACGCCCATCAATTGCGATTTCTTTTATTATCGTATGTAGGTTTCTTGATCTACACTGAACCATGCGGATCGTACTGGAAAAAGAGAGATTATCTCTAAGCAGGCTCGTTTGATTGAACGAGATGGATAATGGAAGTTCTAATGTTTGGGAACATTTCCTTGGAGAGAAAAGCTCTATGTATGTTCTTTTGAAGAATAAAAAAGTTCATGTGCTTTATATTTATATGTGGCCAGATCGGGTATATCATCTTCTTCCTTTCTCCGTTCTACAGATATCGTGATATTGTTGCGGATGTTTCGCTACCTAGCTTAGTTTCAAGTATTAAAAAGTTGTTCCGCTGCTATAAAAGCGTTTGATCATGAATGAAGTCCGACAAGATCTAATAGGATCGCTTATTTTCCCCACCATCCATCTGAAGGATAAATTCGCACCCTATTCTGTCCTATCTGTACTCACTCAAACAAAAGCTAAGGTTCTATTATGGGGTACTTCACACCCCTTTCCCTACACACCTACCCAGCATGTCATTCATTAACAAAATAGCTCGCTCGCCCGCTCACATTTATAAAAAGCATTTACTAGGTACTTCTACATCTATATATTTCACATCATAACAAAGTCGGATTTTTAAAACAGAGGAATGTCTCTCTATACTATCATCCTATCGTACTTTCACTTAATGCATCAATGTATAATAATTTACTCTCCGCTCACCCTACCTCCTATTCCACGTAGAGTGATAGTTACTTCCCCATTTTGAGACCTCTAGCAATATCTTTACTTTTATTTGGTGTTAACCTATTCCTTTATCTTAAAATCTTGGACTTTCCGGACTCCCTACTGTTCTTTCCTCTATCCTTATCATTTCGATGATATGATATTCGTATAAAGTTAATCCTATCTGTGAATCTTTAGTCTAAGTTGCATATACACGGTGATATCATCCAATTTAAACTATATCCTACCAACCTAGACAACGCCACTTTTCCTCAAAAATTCAAAATCACCAAAATCAAGGGTTCACAATAATTCTATACATTCCAAGATCTACAACCTAGTAAATCCCCCCTCAGGAGGCTGCAACCAATTCCTCTCATCATAAACCGCCTCCCCCTCAATAACATGAAACGTGTAAATAATCCTGCCCTTCTGACTCGTATTCCTCTCACTCTTATGCAACAAATTCCCATGAATAAGCACCAAATCCCCCGCCTTAACTTCACCCAAAATATAATTCTCCTCCTGTTCCGCTTTCTCCCCCGTCTCCAACCCCCTCGGAAACCTCTCCCCTTCATTCCCCACAAACTCCGTTCCACCTCCCCCACTCTTCCTCACAAATCTCTTCCCCACCCCCTCCCACCTATGACTCCCAGGCCAAAAACTCAAACATCCATTTTCCTTGGTGGCATCTTCGAGCGCGTACCAGAAACCTACTGCGCTGGGTGGATCGGTGTATAAAAATGTGCTATCTTGATGTGCTGGGACCGCACCCCCGATTTCAGGGTTCTTGCAGATTATCATTGATTGGAGACATTGGGGTCGTTGGAACCCGAGAGATTTAGCAATCAGGGAAGGCGAATGTGTTGATTGGGGTGAGAGAAGTGCGGCGAAGGGGGGTGAGAGAGTGTGTAGGGCGTGTCCGATTTTGTTTATGGAGAGGTGTTTAGGCTTTAGGAGTTCGCCTTTTGGGGAGAGGGCGTCTAGTTTTTGGATTAGTGAGGAAGAATGGAAATGTATCATTGAGCAAATGCAGAGATGGAAAGGAGAGAGTTGAAATAAAACTCTGGAATACATACCCTCTTCAAAGAAAAACCGTATCTTATCACCACTCTCCAAAAAATAGCTATCCCCTACATGTTCGACTTCATCACCCTCTCCAGTACTAAATTTTGTCATAGGATGATCTTCCAATGAGAAATTGTTCAACATAGAATGCGTTTCAGAGAGAAGGGAAGAAACTGTTTCCGGAGAGAGAGCGCCTGGAATTATTAAATAGCCATCTTTGTTAAAGGTGCCGAGTTGTTCTTTTGTGAGGCCCTTGGAAGCCGCTGGAGCAAGGGGTGTGGGTGATGATGACATTTTTGGTTTACATTTGAGGGGTTTGCTATTGTTGTGAAAATGGAGGTTTGGTAGCAAGGGAAGAAATGAAGTTGAAATAGATGGATTTCCTTATCGGGTGACCCCTCATAGATAAGCCTACCTAGTACATATCGGAAGTATCTAAGCCTGGTGAGCCGAACTACGTCGGGTTTGTCCGAACGGCTATTCAAGCCGTAGAATTCATTTTGCAGGTCTGAATCATGAAGTTAAGTGCGGAATTACCTTTAGGCGCGGCATGTCCCTATAAGATCTACAGCACTAGCAGTTAGTGATATAAAGAGGGGTTAAAAGGTAGCAACCGTCCATACGGAGAAACAATTCAGAATATATAAAGTATTATCTATTCATTTCACAAGAGTCAATCAAGAATGATAAAATATCTCCTATATCACTTACTATTTTAATTATATCAAGCACTTCTTCTATCTTATTAAATAGATGTCTGATATCTAATTTATCTGATAATTATAAAAGCAGATCTTCAAAGCCTCCCTTTCCTACTTACTGTACTCATCACTCATCTCACTAACTACCTGGAAAATGAAAAGGCAATCCGACTACTCCGTCAATGACAGAGAAAAAATGCCAAAAAGAAATTGGTCGCTGAGGGGTTCGAACCCTCGCATCTCTCGATAATGGTGATTTTCCGCTTCAGATGAAGCTTCTTAAAACCATCGCCTTAGACCACTCGGCCAAACGACCAGTTTGTGCTTGTTATTGGTGTGTGAGTCCATGTTTGTAAATATAATTTGCACAAAATTTAGTGGGGAAATATTTAGGTGGAAAGAATTCATGGCCCCCAGTGTGTGTTCAGCTGGCACGTGAGCTCTTCTAGTCAACATCGGAACCTCAGAATCTTTTAATATTTGCCCAATGCTACAGTTGACATCATACATACCACGATTTTCGCCATGAATAACTAGCACATGATGATTCAGCTCCAGCAATCTTCTAGCAGCATGTCAAGCGCGCAGAACATTCCGTCCTTCCGAAGTAGCTCGAGCATTTACCCATTCTGAGCTTCAAGCATGCGATCATTCTCCCTGATGTGCTGCCATGCCTTATGTTCAGCCCAATTTTTGTCTGCGATGCGAGGGCAGAATAACATTAAGATTCTGCAAAAACGGACTATACTTGAAGGTGATCTTGGTGCGGGATTGAAAAATGTGGTTAAACCTATCAGAGTTCGAAGACCACCAGCTTAATGCACATTCAATGTCCAACTGGCCATTCACAAGCAGCTGCGGACATGACGATCTCATCCAAATAGAATAGATGAAATCAAAAATGTCTATGTCCTCACTTAGCTATCGGAACATTGCATCGTGTCGAAAGATCAACATTGTGCAAGCTACAGGCTAGGAACCAACAAGAGCCCTGGCAGCTTATGAATAATTTATCTTCTTCTTGTAAGACAGAGTAATCATACTATAAGTGCTACTTTTAAGTTAAGGGAAGACCCCTCTGTCTTGTACTTGTCTCTCAACTACATCGCGGGTCATTTTCAATACCGAACTCACCTCGGCTTTATCTACCGTCGTTGCAATAATCACATTTTGATACGGACAAGACTGAAACCCTGGAGCATAGGCCAGGTGGATACCCCTCCAGCCTTCCTTAAAATATCCTGCAATTGATGTATGGCATTCTACCCCTTTATTACATTGTTGAATTTTCTTAGTTATTGAAAATTATACATATATCCTTTTCAGATATTAAATCCCTATTATATAAATCATTATCAAATATTTAGTTCTTGTCAAAATAAATTCAAATTTCCAAATTTCATTTTGATTTTCAAGACTTTTTGAAAGAGGGTTTCAAGTGTCATGCCGGGATATGGTGTTTCAGGTATTGGCCAGAAACCATTGAGTGAAGCGCTGTTCAAGAAAGATCCGCTATTTATGAAGTCACAGATGTCGAGAGGATCTTTGCAGTATGATTTAAGCTCAAATCCTCGCTGGGAAAAGCTTTTGATAGCGGCAAATATGCTGCCAAAGGCTTCTGTACGTTTGCGTTTTATGGTTTCAGAAATTAATTAGTATGAGATGTGTATGATGTTTTCGCTAGCCATACCTATGAGTGATGATGGAATATAAAAGCGATTGTTGGGATCACTTCCGAAGGTCCCGTCGCTACACAAGATTGCTATTTTTGTTTGTTTTTGAAAATGTTTATCACAACCGAACACCAAGAATATGAAGAGGTATGGTTGAATTGGAATCATTGGTTTACTGGGCAGAATTCTGTAGGCAAAAGGAGTGGCTCGAACAAGGTTCTGAACCCAGTGGTTTGAAATGCAACCTAGAATCTCATGTACCTGGTACTTCTCTGTAAGGATTGCCAATTCAAGTAGTAGCTTGAAGGAGACTTGCTCCGGCACGGTCTTGTTCCGTCTATGAATGATCTGGGCAATTATCGAAAAGGCGTTGGGGTTGTCATCAGGCAGCTCGATTTCAGCTTTGCCCTTAGCGAGCAATTCAGCTCCTTCCTTGAATCTACCATCACTAAGCAATTTTTTTCAAAGACAGGCGATGCAAGTGTCATGTGCTTCGAGGATACCAGCATAGTAACGGTCTGAGGGGCATCATTAGGGCTAACATCAAAATCAGCATTGAATTATTTTAAAGGTGTTTGAGCGGATGCTTACGCCTTCCTATTCAACGATCCCGGTTTTCCGGGTGCGTCTTTGCCTTCGTCTTTATCCTTGGGACGGCGAGCGAAGATAAGGAGAACATCGCCTTTGGTGTCGAAGATGAGTTTCTCTGGAGCTTCGGGTCTTTGGATGCCATTGCGGTGGAATTGATGGTTATAGGTAGATAACTGGACGGAACGATAGAGAGGCTGTTATGCTTGAAGAAGATTAAATTTTGAGGTAAAGAGTAATATGGTGTTGGTCGTTGTGCGATTGTAGGTGATAAAAGAGAAAATTGAGTCTAAAGTTGATAGATAAAGTGAGTCGCGACCGTTACGTCGTTAGCCTATCTGGTAGAAGAGATTCACTTGACTTTGCTAGCTGGCTGTTCGGAATCTTAGGATAATAAGTATGAGTGAATGAGAGTCAATGTGAAAGGATAGCAGTAGTAATTTATAGGTGGATATCATCGTATAAGGAATTTAATTGCTGCCTAGAAGCCTATTTCGGGAAAATCATTGTCTCCAGAAGGCATAAGAGACAACAACTGTGTCATATCCAAATTATTCGATTTCGTTTTCACTCTCACCGGGAAATTAAGCTTCGCCTGTGCTCTCTTTCCCTTCTTAAAATCCTCCATTTCCAATCCACACAATCTCTTTTCAAGATTCACCAGCTCGGTATCAATCGCCTGTTTGACACCATGCGTAGACCAATGATGATACTCAAATCCCTTGAATGGTGATAGGCTATCACAAAGAGCGACGACTGCAACTTTACGGATCTGGTTGGCTACATAATTGAATGTGAGATCTGTATTTGTAAGATCTGGTACGGGAAATATGCCTAATTTTGTGGAACTCTGGAGAAGGGTTCCCAGTACCATGCCACTGCATTCAAATGAAGATTTGCGGGGCGCGGTGCAGTGGTGTTTGCCAGTATGCAATATAGTTTCCACTATGAAGTAGGCGTCGGTTATCGCGGCTAATCTTCGTTCTTGGATTGCATCTTCACTATTGTTAGTCATGTGCTTGACACTTGAAGAGATAGGAACTTTCTTACCAAGCACTCGATTTGGAATCGGAATGTCATCTCTATCTTCACCAATCCTACCCTTACTTTGTCGTTCTGCAATTCGAGTAATCTCCTTGAAGATACTTGATTTTTCAAATACCCAAGCAATGCTAAGCCATGGGAGTAAATCATCTGTAAGTTCCTCCGGCAATTCAGATTCAAGCTGGGATATCCATCTATCAGACATAATCTCAACCACCTCATGTAATTGATACTTATCAACCAGAGTAGAAATCCTTGATAGGAGATCTAAATCAATTTCGCGGGGAACACTCCTTGTCCGACCGTGAATAATACACATCAAAATAGCAAAGGCATCAGGGTCGTCATCAGGAAGGGAAATTTCAACCTTGCCAGCAGAGGCTAGTTCTCGACCTTCTTTGAAATGGTTGGCCTGAAGCATGGCTTTGAAGACAGGAGAAGCAAGGCTCATGTGTTTGGATGATACTAACATATGTACATCTTCCCTGACGGCGGTAGCTTCGTTCGTTAGGACATTCTTTTCCAGGTAGTCCCGTGGTCCTGGTTCTGGTTCTGTTGATTCCTCTGAATTTTCTCCTTCATCTGTATCTTCCAACTCTGTTTCTTGTGTGAGGACTAGGACTAGATCTCCATCAGGATCATATGTAACGACCATCTTGCTGAGTCCGTTTTGAATGCTGAATCTTAGCTGCTGTTCTTGTATGTTGAATTTGATAAGTTCACTCCAACGAGTTTGGAGATTGGAAATGATATTGAATTACCAAGATGATTATTTCTCAACGGGATCAGTAGGTAATGTGAGATAAATATCCATCTGTGATGAGATATTGAAAAGCATGATTCATTTATAGATGTATCTTTCCCTGCTGCCTGATGTTTGACAAGTCATGATTGATCGCCTTACAGGAACATTACCGAATCTACTAGTACGGTAGACTCGTAAGGCTGACGCATACAGATTTAATTGTGGCTAAAATTTAGCTAAAATGGCAAGGCGAACCCCACTAATTTCTGCCCCGCAGCCTTGTTTCATCGTGGTCTTCACCAAAGTATCTCGAAGTCACTAATAGTAAATAAACCAGAATCTCCTCTGTGAACTACGTTGATTCTTAAAGCATTTCCCACAGCTCCCGAATTTTTTAATTCTTGCTATTGCCTTGACCCAAGGAAAAGGAAATATGTCTATCGTTATTGACAAGATCCTTGCTGCTTCCCCAGACACTCAACGTGGTCGTCCCTCACAGCTCAGTTGTGATCCAAAGGGGGAGCGTATTGCTTATGCCGTGCGTATATATTTTAGAATTCACAATATGCAGTTGCTGACTTTTTGTATATAGTCCGGCAAATCTGTCTTCGTTCGTAATATCGATGACCCTTCGTTAAGTAAACAGTACATATCTCACACAACCCAAACTACCGTTGCTCGATTTTCTCCTTCCGGTTACTACATAGCCAGTGGTGATGTCTCTGGAACTGTTAAAGTCTGGGACTCTATAGAAGGTGTTAACACCAAGGGAGATTATCATATTATAAATGGCAGAATTAATGATATTGCATGGGATGGGGACTCTCAACGTATAATTGCGGTAGGAGATGGGCGGGAGCGATATGGGGCTTGCATAACTGCGGATAGTGGAAATACTGTGGGGGAGATTGTTGGGCATACTGCGGTTATCAACTCGGTCGCAATTCGCCAACAAAGACCCCTCAGAGCTGCTACTGGTTCCGATGATCTTAGCATGGTGTTCCTTCATGGGGCACCTTTTAAATTCAATGCTAAGCTGGGAGAGCTCCATAAAGGCTACATTTACGGGGTAGGATTTTCGCCGGACGGAAACCATCTGGTAAGTGTTGGAGCGGATCGCAAAATTCAATTATATGACGGAAAGACCGGTGATGCGAAAGCAAACTTTGGAGAGGGAGAACATAAGGGGAGCATATTCAGTGTCTCGTGGGCGAAAGACTCAAAGAGACTAGTCACAGCGAGCGCTGATCAAACGGTCAAATTATGGGATGTCGAAGCTGGTAAGGCGGTTCAAACTTGGAGATTCGGTGAAGAAGGAAATGTTAGCATTCCAGATCACCAGGTTGGTGTCGTATGGCCTTCTCGCAGTGATGGAATGATTATCAGTTTGAATTTAGCTGGGGATCTTAACTATCTGGCTGAAGGAACGGATAGACCAACCAAAATTGTCCAAGGACACGGTAAAGCTATTACAGCTATTGGATCAAGTCATACGGAGAAGGGTCAAACATTATGGACAGGTAGTTTTGATGGTCGAGTCTGTTCTTGGGATGTCGGTACTGGTATCGGCTCTGCTACCGAAGGCTCCTCGCATACCAATCAAGTATCGAGCTGGGCTAGCGCTGGAGACAAATCGTATAGTGTTGCCTGGGACGATACTTTACGAACTATCGATGTCCCAGGAAACACTTTCATCGGGGAGGCAGCTAAATTGAACGGACAGCCCAAAGGAGTAGCAGCTGGGGGTGATGATAGATTATATGTTGCTACCACCAACGGTATCGATATCTTCTCTCAAGGTACCCTCGTAAATACGGTTGCAACCAAGGACTTTACTCCAACATCTATTACAGCAAACGGGAACAGTGTAGCGGTGGGAGATGAGGGCAATGTTGTACACATCTACACGGTTGATGGAAACAATTTGTCTCCCAAAACAAAACTTACCAAATCTCTAGCGCAAATCTCCGCATTGGAATTTTCGCCTAGTGGAGATCTTCTTGCAGCAGGAAACTCGTCAGGAAAAATTCATGTTTATGATACAACAAGTTGGGAAATCAAGACGGATAGATGGGGCGGTCATACGGCAAGAATAACCAGCATTGGTAAGTCTGTTACTTTTCTTTTTGGATGTCTTACCCAACCCTAAAATATCCTTGACGCCTTTTTCGATTTCCAAGCGCATAACTAATGTTTCTCTACAGATTGGAGTCAAGCCGGAACTCATGCCGTGAGTGGTAGTCTCGATACCAACATCTTCGTTTGGAGTCTTGCGTCACCAGGAAAGAGAGTCAAAGCTCCCAATGCGCATAAGGATGGGGTTACTGGTGTTCGTTGGGTCGATGGTGGAAAGAAGGTCGCTTCCGTTGGTGGGGATGCTGCTTTGAAGGTTTGGGATGTTGCCGGATTATCTTGAAGCGAAATATGTGTTTAGAACACGTGCGATGTGCTTATGCATATTATTTCCTCTCGCGGTATTGAAGATTTTAGCGCAGTAAGATATCAAGTGAAAAGCATTTACTAAGGGCTAAATAAATATAGATTCATTCCATTGAAATTGGGGAAATTAAGGAAAACATTTCAATCGTGAATGGAACGACATTGGAAATAAGAGTCTGCGATAATTTCGAAGGATCTCGAAAACACAAAGTTTTCAATGACGTGGAAATTGATCACAGCATTTCTAAGCCATGAGGTTATGTGAAGTTCGAACGGCTCGTGCAAACACGACAAGCTTTGCCAACACAATCAAAGCTCCCGTTGCAGCCAAGAAGCTAAGTTTAACCACAAGTTAACCTTATACATCCAATTGAGTCTCTCGTCGCACGCAAGCAGGGTAAACAGACCAGACGGATAAAATCAGAATTTGATGGAAAGGCAAGAAAAACATGCAGATTGGAAACTGGATCCTCCTTAAACCATCTTGGCGTATGTAATATGGCGGAATTTATTTTATGTGAAAGCGAAAAGTGGCTCAAATGTAAGACCACCAGTGGACTTACCATTGCATTCCCTGCTTTTTGACGAGCGCCCAGAAGTCATTTTTGTGAATGTGTGGCTAGTGACAGGCTGACGTCATCATCCGTTTAGTTGAATTGACCAATTAAATGAGTGGAACGGAGCTTTCTCTCCATGTTTATTTCCACTAGTGGAAGGAAAGCTAGGAAGCTAGGGAAGCTAGGGGTAACTGCAGGTGTAGTTCGTGGCTATCCCTTTATTGATATCATGAAAAAATCAACATGCAAGATCTAGAACAGTTTCACCAAAAAGTAAGTCAAGGGAAAGAAAGACGTATTAAAGTTTGATCTTCCTTCTACTAAAAAGTCTTAGAGTTGTTGTGATACCATCCTCATTCAAATTCCTTTTGCATCTCACTCAGTAGAGTATTCATCGCTTTTCAAGTCGTTGAGCCACTTTCTTAACTTCATCTACCTTCGTCTCTCTGTTTGTTGCTTCAGCCACAGATCGATCTCGTCCTAGACCTATCTACGAGGTACTTAATTCAAGATGGGCATGTTCTCACGCAAACAGCAGGCACCTGCGAATACAGGACCTGGAACTCATGTAACTCCTCATGATACACAACATCATGGTAAAGGACCACTGGTTCTACCCATGAGCAAACGTCCAAGTTTCGGTCAATGGCTTAAAGTTACTTGGCTCGATATTCTTACTATGGCTGCGATGGGTGCTGTTGGACTTGGTGTTTATGAAGCTCATCCAGCTCCTTCTCGATCTTTCCCGGTCTATTTTCAAGATGGAGAGATTGTTTACCCTCAATTCGCATACGTGAGTATCTCATTCATTCCAAGTACCTTCTAATCAAGAAATGCGAACATGTTCTAATGTATATTAACTAGCCTCTTCGCAACGAAATCGTTCCTATTTGGGAGGCAGCACTTCTTGCCTCTCTCGTTCCCATCGCCGCCTTCCTCATTGTTCAAATCCGTGTCCGATCTTTCTGGGATATGAATAATGCTGTGATCGGTCTCCTCTATTCTCTTATCACAGCCGCAGTCTTCCAAGTTTTCCTCAAATGGCTTATCGGTGGTCTCCGTCCTCATTTCCTCACCGTCTGCAAACCAAACATTCCAGTTACCACACAACAAGAAACAGGAAATGGTCTCAATTACATCATGTACGATCGAACAATCTGTACAGGTGATGAAGATGAAATTGACGATTCTCTCGAATCTTTCCCATCCGGTCACTCTACCGCTGCATTCGCCGGTTTCGTTTTCTTATCCTTGTATCTTAATGCCAAGCTCAAGGTCTGGTCAAATTATCATCCCGCTATGTGGAAACTCATCGTAACATACGCACCTATCCTCGGCGCTACACTCATCGCAGGTGCACTTACTATTGACGAATATCACAATTGGTATGATTGTCTCGCTGGAGCCATCATCGGAACCGTCATGGCATTTTCTGCTTATAGAATGGTATATGCATCGATTTGGGACTGGAGAACAAACCACATTCCTTTGAATCGCGCGACTCCTTTCCCGGGTACAGGTGCCGGTGCGGAGCTGGAGAATGCAACTTTTACGAGACAGGTGGGATGGGGAGGTGAGGGCTATGGTTCGGGCGGGTTTGGTGGTCAGAATCATGGTTATGGTCATCATAATGCTATGAATGAGGGCATGGTTCAAGGTGGTGATATTAGAAATAAGGAATACTCTCATGGAACTCCTACCACAACCACAGGTATTGGACGTAAACCTGTAGGAACAGGTGCGGGTCATTATAATGGTGATGCTGCTCATATCGTTTGAGATAACTTAGAGGCGCAAAGGGATAAAAGGGACATGATGAGTAAAGCAATGATTTTGGCATAACATGATATGGTGTGGCGTTTTTAATGGATGGATGGATGAAATGAATAAAGGGATGGGATTTACGAATATGATACTAGTATGATTTACATTGGGTTTTTGTTTTGTGTTTTACTTTTCATACTTAAAGATTATATTTGATAATTAATTAATTTTTAATAATATTTCTTTCTATAACTTGTTTTTTTATCTGTTCTTGATTATAATCTAATCTATAAATAAATATATATTTATTTCTTTTTATTTTTTGTCTTTAATATAATATATTATATATAATAAAGAATCAATTAATTCTAAAATAATATTAAAACTTTTTTATCTTTTTTAAATTAAATAAATTGTTTTTTTTTAATAAATAATCAAAAAAGTAATTTTGAATCGAATATAATCTGATATATTAATATCAGTAAAAGATTCTTATAAAGTCTTATAAATTAATAAATCAATATTTTATTAATTATATACTAATATTACAAATATAAAATTATTATTTATAATAATTATAAGTTTTCAATTTATATTCTAGAAGCGTCTGTAATATATTTTTAATTTAAAATAATTATTTAAAAAGAAAAAAAAATCTATTTATTATAAAGATATAATAATATTAATATTGAAAAAAAAAAACTTAAACTTCTAGATAATTATAATCTGATTCTATAAATAATCCTTTATACACTAAGAATCCGAGATTAAATAGATATATGGATTGGATATATGGATTGGATTAGACGGAGGGGGGATGAGATGGGATGGGATAAAAATAGAACAAATAAGTGTGGAGATGAGGTGAGATTATCTTTACAAAGCGATGATAGATGGATTATAGCTGAGGGCGATTACTCAAGTATGTTGATATGACTTCATCTCATCTCATCCCATTTCCTTTCAATATGAAGTGCGGTGTAATAAACTGTCACTGGCAAGATTGCTTTATAAATGTAAGATCTTATATTCATCATCATATATCAACACACCAACGCCACAAGCAGCCTATGTGCTTTCCAACCATTCATCCATCCATCCATCCATCATTGGTATCCTTATCAAACCGTCCTACTATGCCATACCATGTTGCCACAAGTAAAGACCATGGAAATACAATACGCCGCTTTGTCTTTGACCCATCTCGAATCTATTCTCGTATCAATCATCACCATTATCTTTCCTTAACACTTGATTCACCAGATCTTCCTTCTCTAGCTTTCCCCTTCCCCTTTTCCCTTTCTCTTTCCCTTTCTCGGTTACTCTTCCGCCTAACGCCTGTATATACGTCATTAAAATTCATTACTACACCTAAAAATCTCAAATCCGTGTCCGGTTGATACGCCAAATCCCCTAGTAACAGAGAAATCCTTGTTTTGAATTGCGTCCCTAACCCACTCAATCTGTCTGCCAATAGAGGGAATTCTTCTTCTTCACCCTGAATATTTGAAAGATTGAGATTTAAAAGTGCAGGATTGGGATTCTCAAAAGGAGATCGAGAGGGAGGATAATCATCGAACCGAGTTCCGGGTCGAGAGGAGGTGGTACCTGTCGGGGGAACGGGAGGAGAATTGGCGTTTTGACGTTTGGAGTATTCCGTTACGCTGAAGGAATAAAGCCCGTCAACTGCGTCGCGGTATGATAGCATTAATCTAAGGATTTCACCTAATTGAACCATAAAAGTATTATCATCAAGGTCATTAGAATGTTTTTTCTTGGCGCCTAGAAGACCTTTATGTGTGATGGCATTGAGGTACTTAGTATGCGCTTTGATAAGATCGTCAAGTGTGCAGCCATCTTTGTGAATTGCAGATTGGAGTTCATCCCAAGAAGACTCGATGACTTCAAAGAGAATATAGTATTGGAGTTGAGCGATGAAGTGAATCATTTCTGCAAGGACACCACGAGTTTGTTTCCAAGATTGATGGAAGGCGGGATCAGGAGATCCGAGTAGGACACCGCGGGCGCCGGTCATACATTTCCGCCAGGTGGTAGAGAGGGCAAATTCAACACGTTTAATACGCCATAAGAAGTTAAAAACTTTGAGGTATTGTCGGTTACCCCATTCGGTTACTACGACATCGACAGGGGCATCGATTTTGTATTCAAGTGTAAAACAATCCCAACCTATATCACCATGAGACAGTTGCAACATGCGAGCATCAAGACGTCGGAGAACCTCGGGTGAATCGTATTGCGCATTAGAGCCACGAATAGCGTGTTCAAGTTGAGCTGTCAGGGTATGTCGATATTGGGCACCTGCGGGACGATCAAGATTTGATGCGAGTGATTCCATGAGTAGAGCAATAAAATCTCCCTGCCCTAGAAGGATATAGTTCTTAAGGGCCTTAAGATGCTCGAAAAGATGAAACTTCTCCGACATTAGGTGGATTAGGCGAGCCATGGTTGTCTTGTAAGCTTCATCAATCCATGTTTCTAACGTTGCGGTATCACCATATCGTAGTTCCTTCGAAGCATCTTTTGAATATGCCTCCACCCATTGAGAATCTCCACAGCCATAACGGATGAAGTTTAAGGACTTTCCGATCAGAAAGACCTTTTGAGCAAAATCCTGTGTAATGATACTTGGTACCATATCTTCATTAAGTTTGTATTTGTCCTCCCATACACTACTGGCACCTCCTCGACTTCTGCCATCTTGGACTTCTTGAATCGCATTGGGATCTTGCTCCGAGACGAAAAATTCATGGTATGGATCAGATAATTCTCCATCATAAATCCAATGTCGAAGCATATCGTAAAATGGCCGAGTGACATGAATCAACAAGCGTTCGGCAAAAGCTCCTACCATTGGGTCCCCATGTGATGACGAAAATCCATGGATCAAGGTAATGAGCTGGCCACCCTTTTTGCTTTTCGATTCTTCACTTATTAAACTCATCAATCTCAAGCCCATCGTAGCTTCTCGGGTCCATATTACGCATCTCTTAAGAGTGACGCCCGCCTTTCCAATGCCTCCCCTCGGCTCATTCTCATCTAATGATGAAAGTGCTCGTCGAATTTGGCCTTCTAATGTCGCTACGAGTCCAAGATACGACCTAAGCTCGCCAGCAATAGCAGCTCTTAAACTCTGGCCAAGTAGACCACCATCACTCGTCTGGACGAAACTGGACAGACTTCTGTACAGTAGCGATGGCTCAGCTAAAGTATGGAGGATCGAGATTATTGGCACGGGTAAAGTATCTGGTAGCCTTAGGCTTGATTGGGAATCAAATGGTAAATTCGACGAAGATAGACCTTGTAATGTGAATGGCAAATCCCTAAGTAATGCAGTCTCCGGTGGATCAATCTCGACATAATTTTCCGCCAGTAGAGCCGTCTTCAATGCGACACTCTCACGTTGGCTGACTGGCGTCTTTACAAATGCCTGCTCTTCTTCCTTTCTATCTCTCTGACCACCTTCTCGTTCCGGTAATTTCTTTAACCCGGCAGGCGCAAAAGCATCATCGAATTCCCTTTCCTCTCGCGACGTGTGACTTTGCGAATCAAAGGTGTTATCGGTTTGAAAATTTCGACGCGTGTCTCTGAGAGGAGCGGCACTTGCGGTATCTTGAACTTCAAGTGGTCTCTTTGATTTCTTCTTTCTTATTGGACTCATAAACGGGCTCGTCAATCCAGAAGGCCTAAGTTGCTCTTGATCTCCTAGCTGATATAGAAAATAAAGCACTGCCCATTTTTGTGTAATGACCGGTATAGAAAGGAGTCGGCTATAAAGGTTTGTAAACCGCAAAGCTTCATTCGGACTTGGGTTTGTTTGTATTAATCGTTTCTTTATCAAATCCGAAGCTTGGTTTACATCTGCGACAACAGCAGGAGTTTTTGAGCTACACAAATTGCCAAATCAGCATACCATTAAACGGCGCATAGTCTTTAAAGTCAATACCTTCCCAAAACTTCCCGTACAAATTCAACCGCATTGCTTTCTCTGTCCTCCGCATCTGCAGGATCTTCTCCAGGTATATCTACTTGAAATCGGCGCACTAAGCTGTCAATAGCAGTGGAGATACGAGTAGTTCGTGAGGACATAATTGCATCGTTGCGATAATTGAATATCTGCGACTCCTCCTTATTTCTCAGAAAAACATAAAAAGTTCATTAGCTTTCATGAGAATTACATAAATGAGTGGACGCGTTGAGAAAGGCCATACGCGATGATTTATTTACTTCAATTTTGAGGGGGGTTTATTAGTGACAGTACAAGGTAGGTTACCCTAAAACTCCAGATTTCTTACATAAGGCTACAAGGCCAACCCCCGACTCTCACAACGTCACCTCAGTCTTATGCGCGAAACGACCATCATTTATTCATCGACCACGGCATCAAATTAACAATTGGCATCCTACATTTGTGTCGCTGGATTCCTCTGCTATTGCTCTATTTATGGGCTATAGAAAATTCGGGGTTCTCGCGCCTTGAGAGCGTGCTCGCGCGAGCCTGAATAACTCCTACAATCATCATGCCCGACATCGATCCAGCGGCCTTGAGTCGCCCTAGTGTGACGAACAAGAGTCCAACTCCTGTTTTACCTACAAAGTCACTTACCGCGACGACTCCAGTTCAAAAATCAGCAAAGTTCAATCATGTTCCGCCCCGCATCGACCTTGAACCGTTGTACACGGCAGTCAAGTCTGCCATTGGCGATAACTGGGGGACATACAAAGAATCAATTGGTTTATTTCTTATGGGTATGTGATGAAAGCCATTGTCCCCTGGAAGGGGCGACAAATACGCGTGTGAAAATTAATGTTAATTCTTTGTTTCTCAGGGCAAATGAACCAAACAGAACTCTCGTCCCGAATTGATCATTTCCTTATAACAAATACTGGTGAAATCGAGCATCTTCACAATCAACTTATATCTGCCATCTATGCGAACACCACTCGTGAAATGCCTGATCAGGGCGTGGCGAGCTGGGTCAGTGCAAATGATAAACCTACAACAGGAGCTGGGAGCAAGCCGGTTAGCGGCGATGCGGCGGAACAAAGACTCAAAACAGAAGTTATGCAATTGCCGAGTCGTGATAGGAGAAGACTGAAGGATCTATCTCAAAATGATGTGAGATATTTTCAATATGTTGCGTATGCGAAGTTGGATTCGTGCTAAATTGCTTTGCAGTTCGACCCATTCGACGCATTTGCGACAATGCTTACAGAGCATCGCCGACCGAAGCCTGCAAGACAGCCAGAGACTGTACCTGCCAGTGCTGGTGGTCTGAACAAAACAAGTGAGTCAAATATAATTTCCAAGCCTAGGAGGTTTAGTAGTACTTACACATTGGTTAAGATTGGGATCTGGAAATTCGGAAGAGATATACTTTACCTTTGGCCTCGGAGTCTGGTGAATTTCCTGATATGACAACTATCGAGTCGCGAATGCTTCCCATATGCTACGAAACAGGATTGGTCAATGGCCATGTCCAGGATGCTGCTCAGTTCATGTCCGTGGCGACGGAAACGTTCATAAAAGAGGTCTTGTCATCGATATTTAGCAAAACGAGAAGTAATGGGCCTGGATCTATGGGTAGCGCCGGAACTGGTGGTGGTTCTTCCTGGGTTCAGACACACAAGTATCGCAGGCAGCTGGAAAGGGAAGAAGAGTCCTCGTTGCGCAACGAAGTCCTTCGAGACAAAAATGGCTTATTGCCCACTGAAGCCCGTGCGGCAAGTGAACGAGGCCCTCTAGGCATGGCCGATGTACGTACTGCACTTGAAATCGCCGACTGTGGTTTAGGACAAATGCCAGTCGTAGTGCAGCAAATAATGTTCGGATACCAAGAGGGCGAACTAGAAGATTGGAATGCATTTACTCGACTTGGGCCCCAAGGAAGGATCATCACTGAGGATGAAGATGGCGACGTTGAGATGGGTGGTCTCGAGATTAACGGTTTAACTAATGGTGTTAATGGACACGTGATAGACGAAACAATGAGCGATATTGAAGATTGGGGATGGGATGGGGCCGAATACCAAGATCGAGCTGCGTTGGATATGGTGCTAGATTCATGTCTAGCTATTGGAGCTTGATTCATGATTTTTACGGCTGGGTACGGAGTTTTAAATCTGGGTCTTGAGAGGCGTCATTAGCCCATTTGGCGCTAGCGGTTTAGCATTGGCGCAACGGATATTGGGTGTATCTATGTATCAGAATATTGTATAAAAAAGATCATAAAAGGAGGGTAAGGTAAGGGCGCTTTACGTACGGTTGGGTATAGGGGAAGTTCTACACAGGATGATACCCATGAATTGGCTCGATAGGCCACTTATTATTAGCATTCGTATGATGAAAGAAGCCAATAATTAGATTTTAAAGACTGCATCCATAATATAACATTCACTCTCCATACAATGTGACCAATCAATCAAACAATCTCATCGTATTGTTGAAAGGGGGCCGCCTCTGGCTTTAACCGCTTTTGACTTAACGGGGGTTAATTGCGCCAGGGCCTTCTGAAGACTGTATACCTGCTAGGTAGTCATTACTGAAACCTCAAAATCTTTCATTTCCTTATTTATTAACCCTATAAATATATGTTTTAAATTGTACAAACCCTTCATGGACATTGAAGGCTATTATCTAAACCTTTTAGATATTGAAGGGTTATTATTCAAATCTGTCTTGGATATTGAATGCTCATTATCTAAACCTTTAGATATTAAAGATTTATTATATATATTCCTTTTGAATATTGAACTTTTATTATATAAATTACTATCAACAATTCAACCTTTACAAACACTTTCAGATATCAAAGCTTCATCATATAAATCATACTTTATTGTACGTATACATCTAAATGTTCGGCTTGTGAAAAAAAAACACCCTAGTGATGACTACGTCTTGCCGCACGCATTGCGGCATTCTAAATCGAACTCTCAACCTTTTAAAAAATCTTTATTCAAGGGTCAATACCTAATTGACTAGCAAATAGAGTCATAGTATGTTTCAAATTTTGAATTTTTATACTATAAATATAATCGAACGTGTCGTAAAGGCCAGGTACAATCAGACAATGAGCTCGCCTGCATCATGCCATCGTAGTGGAACTATGGCACACGTTTGTATTAACTTAGAAATTTTGCCTGATTTTATCGATACAGAAAAGAGTCTATTTTTGTCATGAGAAAGATACTAACATATCCGTTTCCAGAAGAGAGCTCCTTTTTCTCCACACAGAACACAAGAGCCGTTCGCTATGCTTAAACCACGAGGACAGCCCGCAACTTTTTGGAAAGATTCCGCGCAAATGTGTAGTTCTCCAATCTTGAAACTAATCAAAACTTTGATTTGAGATATATCTCAATATTGAGGGAAGAGCTAGACGGACTTCCGGAAATCGGTGGGAAGCTAGTTGTGATAGTGTAATCAAGATGCGACGAGACAATAGTTTGAAATAATGGCTAAGAACACCAATCTGACCATGCAACAGCGAATATCTCAGCGAAAAAGTAGAGGGAGAGGCAGAGAGGATGAATACACCAGAATTTAGATTGTTCATGGTATTCATCGATACCCCTCAGAAGATTGGGAGAGATGTGCAACAGAAGATATCATCAGTTCGCAAGCCATATACACCATACGGGCTCTACTTCACTCCTGCCACTCTCTCCAATTCTCCCGAGTCCCTAGTATCAACTCGATACTCAGGCAATGGTAATCCTTACAAAGTTATTGAAGTATATTCAAATTTGAATATGGATGTAACCACCATCACTTCCACCAGCCAGATGACAAGATACCAATTGTTCGCAGAAACAAGGTCCCTAGGGTATCAAACTCACATCCATATATCTTTCATATTCACTTCCACATTAACTCCCCCATTCATCATCTCATCATTCTGATCTCATAGATATAAGATTACCTCGGCTTAATACCAAGAAACAAAAAAAAAAGCAAACATTCTCCAAAATCTTTTCCAAATCATCTCTTTTCAGCTTTTCTAATCTTCTTCAAATGCCCTAAGTTTTAATAGTATATAAGAAACACCTGTAGATTAGTCTCCAGTCTTCAAATCTGAATTTGACTTAAATTTGCAAAACTCCAAAGGTTCGATAGATATACAACAAAACATGATATAAGGAAGAGTAGTGTTTCCGGCGGGAGAAAGATGAAATGGGACTAAGAGGCGATGTTTGATGTGAGATTGAGAATGGATGAGATTTAATCTGAAGATGAGGGATGAGATATTAGGTAGTAATGCTTCGCTAATGGGGAGTAGAGGGGTGGAGAATGGATGTTGATGTTGGATAAAGTCAAGTTTCTCGCTACCTAGAGTCTAATAGGCAAAGAATGATGTTTGGATCCTATGAAATACTGTAGTGATCCTAGCTGTAGGAATTTCTTGACATCTTCATTTTCGTTCCCGAGTACGGTAATTTTGACTTTGTTGAAGTAAGTGGTAATTGATTACATAAGAACAATTTTCATTGCGGGATCACCGGGATGACCCGATGCCGACAATTCCCGCTAAGAGGATTTTCATGGCGGGTGAAACTTTTAGAGTCCATAAATTTTTCGACCTGCTATACCCACCGTGCCCACTTATTGACTCTCAGCAATACTTAACTGCAGTTGGCTTCAGTACGAGTATCTTCAAGACTTCAATTGAGTGAATTGATCATCATTTGACAATTTTGTAGTGTCTTGACGGCGTCTCCCAATTAAAAATGCTCCGGACATCCACATTTCGAGCTCCGTTGCCTCGGGCAATAGCTCGTACATTTACCACTGCCACCACCTTCCCCGCGAATGCCATCAATGTCACAAGCAAATCCACGACTCGGGTCCTCAACCGTACTTCCTCATCATATAAGCTTCAAAGCTTCCAATCTTCGTTTCCCAGTCTGCAAAGAAATTTTCATGCAACCGCATACAATATGGCACAAACAAGAACCGAGTCAGATGCTTTCGGCAATGTAGAGGTCCCTTCGGACAAATACTGGGGAGCTCAAACTGAGCGTTCGTTGGAGAACTTCAAAATCAACCAGCCTCAAGATCGCATGCCTCCTCCGATTATCAAGGCTTTTGGTATTTTGAAGGGCGCAGCTGCAACTGTCAATATGCAATTTGGACTTGGTACGCCGACATGAAAGAAGAAATAAACGTTAGGGCATGAACTGACGAGATATCGACAGACCCAAAGCTCGGAAAAGCTATCCAACAAGCCGCCAAAGAAGTCGCAGATTTGAAGTTGCTTGATCACTTTCCTCTTGTCGTTTGGCAAACCGGCTCCGGTACCCAGTCGAACATGAATGCTAATGAGGTCATCTCGAACCGGGCTATTGAAATCTTGGGCGGAACCATGGGAAGCAAAAAGCCGGTTCATCCCAACGATCACGTTAACATGTCAGCTTCTTCAAACGATACCTTCCCTACTGTTATGCATATTGCTGCGGTCCTCGAAATCGAAAACGAACTCCTTCCTGCAACCAAGTCACTACGAGACGCTCTCCAAGCTAAAGTGGATGAATTTCAAGCAAAGAACATCATTAAGATTGGACGAACCCATTTGCAAGACGCAACACCGCTTACCCTCGCCCAAGAGTTTTCCGGATATGTCGCACAACTTGATTATGGTATCGAGCGGGTCGAGTCGTCTCTGCCCCACCTTAGACTTTTGGCACAAGGAGGAACTGCTGTAGGTACTGGTATTAATACTTTCAAGGGATTTGCAGAGGCTATCGCCGAGGAAGTCACCAAGATGACCGGAACACAATTCACCACTGCACCTAACAAATTTGAAGCTCTTGCCGCCCATGATGCCATTGTTCAGGCATCTGGCTCCCTCACTACTCTTGCATCATCCCTCTTCAAGATTGCCCAAGATATCCGATACCTGGGATCCGGCCCTCGATGCGGTCTTGGCGAGCTTGCGCTCCCTGAAAACGAACCTGGAAGTTCCATCATGCCTGGTAAAGTTAACCCAACTCAATGCGAAGCTATTACCATGGTATGTGCCCAAGTAATTGGAAACGGCACTGCTACAACTATTGGTGGTATGAACGGACAATTCGAGCTGAACGTCTTCAAGCCATTGGTTATCAGAAATTTGTTACACAGTATCAGAATCTTGAGTGATGGAATGAGAAGCTTTGAGAAGAACTTGGTAGTAGGGCTACAAGCCAATGAGGAGAAGATCCAAAGTATCTTGAAAGAATCGTGCGTACACCCTTCTACTGATTAGTGCAACCTTTATCTCTCCCTAAAGCCCAAAGATACCAAGTACTAACAAATGTCAACAGTCTCATGTTAGTCACCTGCCTGAACCCAAAGATTGGTTATGACATGGCTAGTAAGGTAGCCAAGAACGCGCACAAGAAGGGATTGACTTTGAAGGAATCGGCGATGGAGTTGAAGGCTCTCAGTGAAGAGGATTTTGACAAGTTGGTTAAACCAGAATTGATGGTTGGACCAGAGGATTACAAGAAATAAGTAAGAGATGAAGGAAAAAGTTGTAGGGATAGGATGAGAGTTGTATTGATACCATACATGAGCGTTATTTATGGTTAGACATTGTTGTTTTTGGGTGTGGCGGGATACTCATAGGTGGGTCGAGCACGTTGAGCAAGTAACAGCGTTATCCTGCTAAACATAGGATATGTGCATAATTTTGGTTGGAAAGCTAGTGAGATAGGAAGTGCGAAAATGAAGATAAAAATAAATAACATCAATAGCCATGCACTAGATAACCCCTTGCGATTGATTAAAAGTGTTAAATAAGTATGATTTTTCCAGACAACTAATCATCGAATCCCCTCAGAATCAGAAATATCAATGATACCTAAGTGCTATTTGTACTTTATATTTTGATATCTCAACATTCATCCCTCATTTGCACCGGCGTTTTCTTAAGTGCCTTACTAAGCTACGCCACGCTTCGAAGCTTCCATTGTCAGGTACGGCAGCTCGGCAATCTTTCTAGAGAATCACATTCTCCAACCCTTCATGTTTCGCACCAAGGAAAAGCTTAGCAACAAACTTTACCCAAGTTTTGGATATGGAATCTACTTCCTCGAATAATTCCATACAGAATTGTCATCATGTGGTTCTACCTAGGTATTCAGTGGTTACATTCTTGTGATGATACTCACTGCACACCTCAACACATTTAACAGCAACTCACCAAGATGATATTGTGGAACTATGATTATCAGGTAATGATAAGCAATAACATTCAACCCAAATACCACCTGCAAACAACCGTTGTTTCCATAAGGATGACAACTTCCAAGCCCTAGAGCTTATGATGATTTACAGGTGTATAACCTTCTAGAATCCTTTCACATCTGTTCCCCGGTCATAAACTCCGCGAAAACATCAAATTCAGGCGTATTGCGCATATAAAGGGGCTTCAGGTCTAGATGAAGCGATAATAGAAACCGCACGGTATGGATGATAATAGCACGGGTTAGACCCCGATCCTCTGTCACAGTGGGTCTTTATGGAGAATCAGGGTAGGTATTGCACGATACCAGGTAGGTGAATCTGCTAGTTCAATCGCAAAATTATGGTCCCAAAAAGATTCGTTTCAATACAAATACCCTTCACCCATTGATGTCTTTCACGTCATCAAATCTTTTTGGTTAACATCCAATTCTTTCTTCAATCATGGATCTTCAAGCCATGAATCCAAATTTAACTCAACCTGATCGAAGAGTACTCGAGCTACTATTAAAAGATGTAGAAAAAAAGAACATAGGCGACTCGTCCGACACTTCTGCCAGTCAAATCGACGAACAAATTTCCATTCTTGAAGCACTCAACGACGAGAATAACGAGAAATTCCAACCTACAGTATTTACAAGCTGGGACCAGGAAGACCTTGAACGCCTCCCCGACCCTTTATACCAGTATATACTTAAGCCATACATACAATGGGGGAAAGGAGTGGTACGTCGGCCTACAGACGTTGTCTTCCTCACACATATCATCCTTTACCTCGCCACATCGGTCCCGAGTGCTATAATTTTGTACAACCGATTCTCTTTAATACACGGATTCTGCCATTTGATCATGCAGGCTCTTTACTGCGGACCGTTCACACTTATGCTTCACAACCATATTCATAACAACGGAGTTTTAGTAAAGAAATACGCATGGCTCGACAAAACCTTCCCATACCTTCTCGAGCCCCTCATGGGCCACACATTACATTCATACTATTATCACCATATCAAGTGTCATCATGTTGAGGGCAATGGGCCGGATGATCTTTCTTCGACTCTGCGGTATCAGCGGGATGATATAGTTGATTTCCTAAAGTACTGGGGTCGCTTTATGTTCTTCATCTGGCTTGAGCTCCCATTGTACTTTTTTCGCACCAACAAGATCAGATTGGCATGCGAGGTGCTCTTCTGGGAGGTCGGCTCATATGTAGGCATGTATGTGATGGCTAGACTGAATTTTTGGCCAACCCTTTTTGTATTGTTGATACCATTCATGCAAATGCGAATCGGTTTGATGGTAGGAAACTGGGGCCAGCATGCATTGGTTGATGAAATTGATCCAGATTCGGATTATAGATCTTCCATTGTTCTGATTGATGTGGCGGTAAGGAATCACCCTACATCCATGAAACTTTGAAGATCCTCAACTAATTTATCGTCTTGGTACTTCTAGAGTAACCGAAACTGCTTCAACGACGGTTGGCATACGGCTCATCATCTCAACCCACTTCGACATTGGCGAGATCAGCCACTTAGTTACCTCAAGGGAAAACATAACTACGATGCCGGCAAAGCTCTTGTTTTCCAAAATATCGATTACATTATGATGTTCGTTAAACTCATGCAGAAGGATTACGAGCACCTTGCTGGATGTTTGGTTCCGACAGGGGAGAATATTGGGAAGAGTAAAAAGGAGCTGGCGGACATGTTAAGGACAAAGACCCGTAAATTTACTGAGGAGGATATTCAAAACAAGTTCAGATGTAAAAAGGCTTCCTAGAGTTGCTGCCGTACAAATGGCATACTTTCGGAGATATTATAGATCACGGGGTGGTTGACCAAGCTAGCAGCTTGGAAATTCGCGAAGTTCCCCCAAAGTTCTACAGCCAAAGTCAGATGCAGGGAGAAAGGAAACGAGGAGTCGCAACAAAAATTCCTTCTTACCCTATTACATTTTCAGCACACTCTCAGCACTTTATATATGTACAGATCAGAGCACAACAGCGCATCATGGTACAATATCACGATGTTATGAGCTCCAATCTATTGCCAAAGTTGGCATTTCCGATCTAACATTTTAACAATGGAGCCGAGTGTATATATGAAGTATATATAAATATTTGTGGAGTATGTTAAATACATGAGAGGAAGTCAAAAGTCTAGATGGTTAGCTACTCATGCTTTAATGATATAATGTTGAATTTACTCTTGTTTTTACCAATACATTCTCTCTGCCTAGATGCGGTAATTGATATATGGTTTCTCACGGGTTGAAAGAGGAGAAATCATCATATTTTTGCTGCATTTCACAGAGAAAGTATTATAGGGACGTCAAACTGTGTCCAAAATAAGGTTCTAGGTTAGGCTCTAAAGTAGACAACCACATTTGAACTTGATGAATCTTTAGACATACATGTTGAGACTCGACCTACATGAATTTGTCAAGAAGCTAAAACATCAAGGTAGAACGGGGCTACACTAGAATGAGTTTCTTCTAGGTGCGCAAAAGATTTAATTGCCTTGGGAGATTGATAACACTTGGGGCGGTAATAGCAAGCTCTTGAAATTTAAAAATGTAAAATGGATAGAATATTACTGTGGATATAAGACCTTGGTTATTGATTTCCCAAACTTTTAAAGTTCCTTTTAAGTGGATGGATATTGTATATTGATTTCAAAGAGTATAGTTCTTTTTGACTCTATAATTTATAATTATAGAATTGTAATTATATATTTATTATATTTCTTTTATAGGAAGAAAAAAATTCTTCTTTTATTTTTTATAATCTATCTACTGTATCCTTCTACCAAAATGAAGATATATATAAAGTTTTCAAAGGCTAGACAGGATTAGGATAAATACAAAATCAAAGAATGCAGGGCCTTTGTAGTAGTTTTAGGAAAGCATGGGAGAGGAGGTTGATGGGAGGTTTTAAACGCTGGTGTTGTTTGACTTCTCATTCTTCAATTATGAATCTTCGATTGCTTTGGAGATTCACTGGGGGGTTCACTGGGGGATTCACTGTGGGATTCACTGATAGTGATATAATAGGATTGGTAAAGCTTGATATCTCACTTTTAATCATAGATCATAAACTATTTTGAAGAATCATTGATGGTGTTATAACACGATAACTTCGAAGTTATGTCAAGCAACATGAATCCTGGATCGCTTTGGGGATTCACTCTAGGATTCATTGATGATGATATGATAAAATTATCAAAGTTTGATACCTATTCAATCATAAATCATAAACTACTTTGGAAAGGTATTGATAGTATTATAATATGATAATTTTGAAGTTATGTCGAGCCTCTTCGAAGTAATGTCAAACAATATCAAAACTCTTCTAACTTCAAAGGTGTGAACAATGTACCACAATGGCAAAGCTCGACGATTTGCCGCAAGAGTTGAAAGGACTCATCCCCTGCTCTGTTCTGGAAGTTTCCACTCTTAAAGATCTCGTGAATTTGTCTCCACTGTTTCATGGTGTTTATTCTGAGAGTCTTAAGTATATATTTTTGATGGTTCTTTTAATTGAAATAAAGACAACTGTCTTCTTTGAAGTGTATGAGTATTGTATTGAGAGTTTAGATAATAATATAATCTAGACTACAATAACAATTAATAAGAGATATAAATTTTATATATATATTCTTGAATAATATTTTTTATTTGATATTTTATTTAATATTGCTATATTGATCATCTGGTAGCCCTTCAGTTAAAGCTTTTCTATTGCAATAGTGATGATGTACAGACTCAAATGACGGACGAATGAATATACGTGCACCGCTGCTATGTAATTTGATTTTGTATCGACTATTTGACGGAAAAGATTTTTGACAAGTTCTTGGAATGAGGCAACCCCTGCGACTATTTGCCGCCGCTGTAGCAGCAAGGTTCACATAACTTTTCGAATATATCCCGGCCATACATACTGACTCCCTATTCCAATCGTCTTATCATCCTGTATGATACAAAGGGTATCAATCCATAGGTATTGAATTTCGAGTGCCTTTATAATCAATCATTACCGCATCTTGCAGGGTCTTAGGTAGCTCCCTCGAGTTTATTCCACTGTTGTGTCACGTCACGTTTGATCTGAGTTTCCTGATAACATCTACCTTTCCCCAGCGATGACTCAGGGTTGCATAATGTCTCCTTGTGCCCAATACATCTGGAGCTTCATTCATATTTATGAGCGTGACATGGTCAACGAACATGGCCCCAACATCGATCAATCTGTGGAAAAGAAAGCTGGGTCATTCCGTGCCGCCAAACATGATTTGTGGTCTTTTCCAACTAAGACTAATCCAATCTTTCATGATAGAGATGCAGTTATTTACTAGTATCCCAGATGCAACGTCGTGAGCTATGCCAAATGTAGATAGCTGAGGTAAGTCCATTCTTGAGGAGCGAATTATTGGTATACGTAGACAGACCTAAAATGGTAAGACATTAATCTCTACTAGTGTAAGATTGAAACGGACAATTCCAAGCGGCTTCTGATCCATCCCCAGTTCGAGGGGAAAATCTTCTCGGAGGATGAGGAACCTGTATATGGTCTTGATACATCAATCAACGATTTGATTTTGTCCATCAAATTCGCACGCCGATGAGTAATGTAGCAATAAAGGCAGTCTGAACTTGCCGTTGTGCCAATATCTGATGATATGGAGTCCAGACAGTTTTAATATGTTTTTATTACAAAAATTCCCAATTATTCTAAAATTATATAAAATATAATAATCTCATAACCTTTAATTATAATTCCTCAACTCTAAAACCGAGGGCTTGACTATCAGCCATTAAGGATAAGCATCCATATCACTAATATCACCTGTATTGACCACCAACAACTTAGTCTTTTCATCCCCTTTCAAAGCAGGTACATTATCCCAATCCCTTCCTCCTATATCATTACGGCTACTTCCCGGTGTAATATACGTTTCCCAGAAATCATCCTCATCCTCGGCTGCCCGTGCATAAGCAATAGTCTGCGAAAACGTCGACATCCACACCCCTAGAAACAACCCTGCTTCCACCAAGACCGGATATTCAACAATAGCCGCGGCGTCAAATTCCATATCGACCAATTTTTTAAGAAGATCCGGGAGCGCAGATACCAATTCCCATTTATCATAGACTTGAAACCCAAGTGGGGAGAGTCGCTCACGGAATAGAGAAATCGCATCACTATCTCCACAACTCACATATATGTTCTTGATACCTTGTGCGATGCCATCGGCAGCAGATGCATGTTCGATTTCCTCCGTGTAGAAATCCATCTGCTGGTCGCGAGAACCGAAATGTGGAGGCCAGTCTGCTTCACCCCGGAGATGCACAGCAATATATCCATCGCGCAATTGAGGCGTATCTCGAATTTGCGACCCGAGGTGCAGAAGCTCTGGATTGTATTTGATGGTCCGGAAGAGCTCTTGTTGTAGTGCTTGCTCAGAGGCGTACGTGTAGTTATATGCAAACATGGTATCACCAAAACCTACTGCCACTGGATTCTCGGATGAAATTTCAGAAAGCGAAAGAGATTCTAAGTGCTCATCAACAGTGGATTTGAATGTCCGAATGTGATAGTTCCCTTCCATGTATTGTCGCTGTCCCATTTGTATTATTCGCTCCTCGGCTATCCCGGATGTATCCCCACATCGACGCATTTCTAATTTAGGGCACACAGAACCCATTTCCTGAGTCAGATATGAGATATCGAAATATACATCTGGACATACGCTGTCGCTGCTAAATAGAGAGGGATTCTCGCGGTGCCGTCCGGTAGATACGGTGGGGAGGATTATGTTGGAGCCGAGATCTAGGGCTAGTCGGAGACAGGTTTGTACGCGGTTGCGTGCGTTGTTTAGGCCGCCGCAGATGGAGGTTGATTCGGGGCCGCACCAGGAATGACAGTGTAGATAGAGGCCCGGTTGAAACGCGGTGGTTTCGCAGAGAGATCGTAGGGTGAGGGGTTTGTGTTCGTCCACCACCTTCTCATTCGCTGCATCCTCAGTTTCGTTTTGCTCCTCGGTTTCTTCATTTTCAATTCCTTCCTCCTCATCCACTTCTTCCTCTACGTCTTCTTCGTTTTCTTTTCCTTCTTCCTCCTCCTGTTTGGCTATTCTATCCTGCTCCTCCTTCTCTTCTTGTGCCTTTTTCTCCTCTTTTTCTTTCTCCTTCCTCAATTTTTCTTTCTCCTCCTTCTCCTTCAACACTTTCTGCTCATGCGGGCTAGCATCACCAGGTACACTTAATCCCCTCCCCATTCCCATTTCCACTAATTTTCCCAATCTAGAGCCCTTCCGCTCCTTACCCCTTACTGCAGCGCTTCCAACTCCGACATGTCTAACTCCACTTGCCTTCTCATCATCGTTCTTATCCTCACTCCCGAGCTTCGATGGCGAAGATATCAAATTTTCTCTCTCTTTCCCATTTCCATTCCCATTCCCATCACCTTTCGCACCATCTAGCCTCACATCCCCAGATATCGAGTGCGTATAAAACAGCACCCAAACAAACAATAAGAACACAATCACGAAACTATGATATCTAGTCACCATGTTTTCCGATTTAAAGTAACATGAAGGTCATAATCAATACGCGTATCAAAGTAAAAGATACCGATCACAGAGAAAGGAAAGATATCAATCAAAGCAGAAAAGAAACTTATCGCATAAAACATATTGGAACTTTTCCCACTCCTTGCTGGAAAGAAAGCTATAATGCGATGTTCGCGGAATAAATTCATGGTGAGTTGTGGAATGTGGAATGTGGAATTGATAAATGCGGTGCGTTATTGAGGATACTGCCTAGAGAGAGGGGAGAATCGGATGAAAGCAAATATTTGGGGATTGTATGATATGATATAATTTCCTACCTTATAGTCTTGTTTGGAAGGTTGTATGGATATTATGGTCTCTGTTTCTGGAAATTTCATCGAGTTGCGGAATTGATGAAAACAATTAGAGGAATTATTTCAAATAAAAATATAAGGAAAGAAAATCAGAAGCGAAAGGAGATATCTAAGTCTTACCAAAATGGCATCGGAAACCATACCGTGCAAAGCTTTAGGATCCTCGTTTCTGGTGTTTTTGACATGGCAGAGGTGTAGAAAGAAAACAGAGAGGAGAGAGGTTGAACTCGAGAATAAAAAGTATCGAGAGTCTTTATTATAAAAGGCTCATCCTTTACGTTTATTCCAGAAAGTGGGTTTTGGCAAATTCGACAAGTGTACGAGTAAGATGCCTCGAAACTTTTAGTAAGCATCGAAAAGAGGAAATAGGAGTTACTCATTTCCCAGCAAAAGCAAGGGGAACAAACATCTATAATTTTTCTTATCATTATCATATTCTCAGATACTCCCACCCACCTCGCATGAAATGTCTCAGATGCATATTTCAGAATTTGCTTTTGCCTCAAATTCCGAATGCGGCATGGCGTATTTTTGAATCCTCATGTACTCATCCCTAGAATAGGAGAGACGAGACTTCGATATATACACTTTCCATTCCCAAAAATTACGTGTATCATTGTCCTTTTTTCATATTTCGAAATAGCTATGTTGGGTAATTACAACATCAGCACGGCCAAGGAAAACTTTCTCAAGGCCAAACCTCGAAAATTACTGTTTCCATTCATCTATCTTGCGATATTCATTCTATTCATTCGAACTGCCTTTTCTCACTCGGGAAATAATGGTAATGCGTGGAGTATCATTTCTCAAGATGAGAACTCAACCCATCTAACCAACAATGATATTTCACCAACATCCTCCTCCATTTCTGTCCAAGCAAAACCTCAACCCCAAACAGCAAACATAACAACTAGCAACAAAGTAGCTGTAATAATCGAGACCCGACGCTCAGGAAACATCATTCCCTTAATCCTCCATTTCAGCGCTGTGTTAGGACCCACCTGGCCGCTCATAATCTACACATCGGCCGAAAACTTCGGATCGTTCTCTACATCCGCCGCGCTCTTGCGACACCAAGCCTCAGGGCGCATCATCGTGCGCTCTCTCGCCCCAGGCACCTGGTTCTACAACTGGGATTCCGTATCTGCATTTCTGACGACGCGATGGTTGTGGGAGGACTTGGCGCCTGCTGAACATATACTGTTATTCCAGACCGACAGTATGTTATGTGCGAATGCGGCAAGGAGCGTGGATGATTTCTTGGAATATGATTTGATTGGTGCGCCTATCGAGCCGAAGTTTGGTCAGGGCTATAATGGGGGTTTGAGTATGCGGAGTCGGAAGACTATCTTGAGGGTTTTGGATGAGTGGAAGTATAGTGATAATCCGCATCCGGCGGAGGATCAGTGGTTTTATGCTAGGTGAGTTTTGGTGGGTTTGGGATGAGATTTATGTGGCTGATGATTTTGTTATGGCCTAGGTTTAAGGATTTGCAAGATAGGGAGATTGAGGAGGGTATTGAGGATGGGATTAATTTGCCGAGTATGGAGATTGCGAGGACGTTTGCTGTGGAGACGATTGATCATCCTCATCCTTTGGGTATATTTTTCCTCTTTTTACTTTACCTTCATGTCCTTATATCTCAATTCACGAAGATATGAATGCAGAAACTAACCTGAATCAACAGGTCTCCATCAACCTACAAGATACATCCAGAAGCATCTAGTAAGTTTGGATGAATGGTGTCCGGAATATAGGTTAGCTACCACAGATCGAATATCTTAGACTTGTTTGCGAAGAGCGGAGAGTTCAGAATGTGGCATTGTATGAAGGATAATTATAATGAGATGGATGAAATGGTAGATACTTATTAACTTATTGGGTTGATTTTTAAATGTCGACGAAGAATTCTATCGTGTAGGATCGATGGATATAATTTTATGAAGTGTTTTCTTTTTGTCTTTTCTTTGAGAAAATATTTAATAAATCTGTATTCAAGAAAACTACTCCTTCTGTGTCCTCTAAGATTACTTCTGAATGATGCGTATAACAGTATTCACTAGCAGAAGTTGTAATATTCGATATACTTCAGCTCTTGCAAAGTTTCGTGGATTGTGTCTCAAAGATCAGTGAGTTTAAATCAAAATAACACCATATGCCATGCTCAAAGTAGACTATTTTCCCCCGTTGTTCTCTGGCCCTTGATATCATCCCCCGAATGACTTGAATGGTAATTAGAGTCTTCACCCGAATTATTCTCACTGAAGTCCATACAACTTTCATAGTCCAATTCTTCATCTTTAAAAACACATATTCTAGTATCTATGAAGATCCCAGCTATGATATTGTGAGAAAATTGGACTTGTATAAAATATACATAGAGGTTTTCAACTACTCAATCATATGACCTTTTATAGTTAGATATAAAGAAGGTATCACAGGTTTATAACCTGTTCTGATTAACTTATATAGACACACAACTTTCATATCCTATATAGTCGGTATATCTTCTTAACACCTTCTTTTCTTCTTTGTATATCATCATATTACTTAGAGACCTAGCTGCTACTGTGATAAAAAAGGCCTTTTTGCTCTTCCTTCCGATAATCAATCAACCTTTTATACCTTTATATTTGAATCTATATAACTTCAATCTCAAACTCATTATGAAACCCATTTTCTTTATAAATAATGTATTATAATATAGTCTAATCAGATTTCTTTTTCAATTCCCTTTTACAACGTGCTATCGGGACGCATGTATCTCGACCTATCACTTTTACAATATCTCGTTAATATATTAAACGAGTCACCCTGTTAAAGAGTCAAAGTCAGAACTATTAAATTTCGAGCTGGTCACTATAAAGACCTAGAATACATAAATAAGTAATTAAGAGATTTAATAATTATAAAAATAAATATATAATTTTATATATTTTAAAAAGATTTTTTTTTAAAAAAAGATCAAAGTTATTTTTAAAAAAAAAACTTATTATTATTATTATAGATTTTTATAGGTTTAATGATATTGTTATGTTGAACAAAAAGAACGAGAAAGACTTTGGATATTTCTGACCACTACATAGGAGGCGTCACTGATTTTACTCAAGCAACAACCAATTGCAATTCATCACGACTTCTGAGAGTCGATTTTGAAAAGTAGATTCCCAAGGTTAAATCGCACCGGAATACTTGACAAATTTTCTAATTCCTTCATTCAAACCTACTAGTGAGGATGCGCAACAAGTGTAAAGCCCTTCCTTACTTCCTTCTGTTCAGACACACAATCCAGATAAGACTTAGGGGTATCGTAAAATCTCTTAGACCTTGATTTATAACCATGCCGATGACTTCAATACAGACGTTCAGTAAGTTTCTCGTCTCTTACTAAAATCTATATAGTCGTCAGACTTAAGATTACAAATCCCCAGCATCCGCTCGCTAGTGTTTCCTTCGACTCCCAAAAAATGCGGTATTTTAACTCTTAAAGCGTTGTAAGGTTATTGATACAGCACACCACACTATACTACCAACCTATCACTAGGTATATCATAATAACAGAGAGAAAAAACAAGCAAGCTATCCTCACTAATCATTGCACAGCCCATCACACCATCACATATAAAATCAAAATCAAATAGTCCCAGCAATCCGGTTAGTGGCGTGCGTGCATGCGTGCGAACGTACGCCCGTGCATTAGGCTTTTTGGCGGGTTTTTGCCCACGACCACAGCATCCACACTTTAAATAACACTAGGTAGAGAAAGTAAGATCTTACGAAAGTGTATTGGCTAGTACCTTTGTATCTAGGAACCACACACGCGGCACGGGATTGTTAAATTAGGTATTTGGTTTTTCGGATGTTGTGTGGTTTAGTGTTCGCTTTTGTCCCTTCTTTAGTCATTTCTTTTGGTTTTCTCTTTAGTCTTTTCTTTAGCGGAATACTTAAGAATTGGTATCGATCTTAGCCCCAGGCCGGTTGAGTTGGTACGAGTACGAACACTAGTGACTAGTGACTAGAATCACGTACGGGTTAACTATTTCCGCGGCTTTTTCAAGGGATCGGGGTGAGGGATGAAAAATGATTTTAGCTTGGATGGCTACGCTATGTGTAAGATCTACCATCTAGTACCAGTTACCCTTACCGACGCTATGGAATTTGTAATTTGGTAAGAATAAATCGTAAGTCTAAACCTTACTTGCAGGGAGCAAAACAGAGCGGGAAGAAGCGAATTCCCGAGACTATATTAGAGGTTTTAGTTTCTCGATCTAGAGTCTAGAGCGGTAGAGATCGGACTCGGTGGATCAGAATGTATGGTGCTAGCTTGGATTTGAGATTGAGATTGAGATCTATTTTCTAGATAGTTGAAGGAAGCGAGGTTTGCACTAGTATACTCCCGTTCTTCGTATTGGGATATAGAATCTGGGGGTTTGCTTGCTTTAGCGTGTATATATAGTATGTGCTATGCAATTCCAATTTCATCACGGGGCTGTGCAGGGACAGTTATTGAATCCAGAAGTTAAGTACTGAAGAATGTGCACGTACACTCGTACTCTAGTTGTAGGTATGGAGTATGGGGTCGTGAACAGATATGTTGAGCACTTGTCTGGATTTTTCCTAGCCGGTGGCCACGCCCAAAGCTTTCTATTGCCAAAACGGCCATGTGCCGGTTGATGGACTTTTTATGCCTATGTCTATGCGTGTGCGTGTGCGTGTGCCGCATCTTGGTTGCACATTGGTACGTATACTAACGGAATGATGGGATTCCGCAGATGCAAGGCGAGCTCGATCTACTTTGCGGAAGTGAACTGGAGGGGAACTGTACAATCGGGGGATAGTATGTGCACATGTGGCCTAGTAGCTTCCGCACTTGCAAGAAACGATTCGGAGGTTTGACGCTCTGTGGTTTAGTTTTGTTCTTGGTGATGAGTAGTTGTGATCGGAGTTGAGGTAAACGAAATTCTACTGTCTTTCTCGTAAGCTTGATACAAGCTACAAGCTATGTTGGCTCTTGAGAAGGTCTAAATACAACTACTGCACTTAGTTCTAGTGAAATAATTCGATTTGGATTCTCCGAGTGTCGCTCCTAGAATCCAATCACTGTCCAGAAACCTTCTCCTACCTTCCAGTGGCCTGAATAGAGGGGTAATTGCCGCTCCTCATTCCAGCCTTATTTAGTGCTCCCTTCAAACGGGGATCTGTGTGCCCTAACGGGAATCTCTCGTCCGTGTAGAGAAATATGGGCTAGGAACGAAGTCGCATGATTGACAGCAATTATTGAATAGTTGGGGAAGTAATGAGAATCTTGCCACTATTCTATCTTCGTATAAATAGGTGAAAATTTATCAACACTTTCTTTTTTAGCCTTAAATACTCAAATTTGCACTAAACTCAGCTTCTAATCTCAAGCTGTCAAGACAAAATTACCTGCTAGCAATACGTATACCAGAAGCACTTAAACGAGACTAGCACTTGCCATGGAATTTCCCTCGGTCACATCCCACTGAGCACGTTCCATTTCCATTTCCATCTCCCTCTCCTCTCTCCTCAATAGCAACCAGTAAATCTTCAAGCCGATCAGTTGTAGGCGTAGATGCAAAAAACTTTTGTTGCATCACTCACCCCGATCTATTCTTGGTTCCGTCACAGAAATAATCCTGCGTAATATCAACAATGGAACTCTAGATATTTTCTGCAAGTATCAATCTTAGTTTCAGCACAATACCAAGAAACCGTATCAGATAAAATTTTAAATCACAAGACTTTTTACCAAAGGATTCTCTATTCATTTCAAGCTCATCCCACCCGCTAAGCTCAGGGGGAACTCATCAAGTGATGAAAATCGGCGAATACCCCACGGATTCCCGTTTCGGAAACCAAATTTCCTCGATACCATTCCCATTTCCATTCTCATTTCCACTTTTGGTACTATACGCAATGGGATATTTATCTCAACAAGAGTATTAAAACACAAAGATGAAAAATATCCAAATACCATTAAAATTTCATCCATCCATCCTCTATAACATGACAGCCGACCACAAACATCAACCTACTCCTTCCAAAAACAAGTAGCACATGCATTCCACACACGCCCAAATCACTTTAAAACGCCACGCGCAATCCGCCGTTATCAGCCCATCATTCCACTCCTGTCATGTGTCGCGGAAGGCTTAGCTTTGCAATGCTCCGTATGCGGTACAGTAAGTATACATAAAGTGTGCGGCTGATTTATCGGATCCCACAGCGTTACTTATTTCCCTTGGAGAATAAATCGAAAGGTAAATTATACTCCAGACTGGACTCTGGGTTGGGATTATTGGGCCCAAGACCGATATATCCCTTTGCGTACAAGCGTGGCTTGTTGGAATGTGTGAGTTGATGTTGGCATGGTGTTATAATAGGATAGATTTCATAATATTCAAGATTTGTCAGTTGCACGATTAGCTAGGTATGTTTGAAATACAGAAGCGGGATGTTATTTTCCCAAGTACGTAGAATACAGGAACGCTGAACCTTGAACTATGTATCACAGTGAGCTTCCGTATCTGTCTGTCTGTTAGTTTCCCAATCTTTCAGCTCTTGTCCCGCAATCAAGCTGTCAAATCAATGAACGGAGTATCTATCTCATGATTGCTCTTCGTCACCACATACATAGTTTTCCTATTTTGACAATTAGATGACATGTATGCTCAACCTTTCACACTTTTGATATTTCTTTCACAGATAATATCGACGTAATCTTACAAATATATCCCGACGAAGCAAATCTTGCGAAAGCGTGTGACAGTAACAACGGAATATTTATTAATTACATAGCTATAGTTTTGATTCAAACCGGGAGTCTGAACTAGCTGAGTGATACCGGCTCAGTACCATTTGCAGCCGCAAATGTCATTTCGTAGGTATCAGGTACGTACCTTTGTAACGTTAACGCTGCGGCTATATTTTGTGTTCTTTGTATTTGGGTACTTAGTTGTGTAGTGTGTATCTATTTGAAGGCATTCTTTTATCAATCCCCGAATATATCTATTTGTCGACGTCTAACCATACTTGGGTATCCAGATAAAATCCGACACTGAAGTAAAAAGACAATATATATACTCCGAATTCGAACATCACAAATTCCAAAAGCTATCTTCACAGGAAGTTCAAAAAGAAAAGCGCTATGTATAATATATTACTGAAACATTGCCGTTGCACGAAAATATCCCGATTCTGCTATGATCTGTCGAGATGAGCAAAAGAGACACTTACCTTAGTTACTCATCCATCTGCATGTGGGTTTCTCCGTCCACTCCAAGGAAATCTCGGTTTCCCACTCAAAGCTATCTAGCACTATATATCCACCCAAAATTGCAGCCTAAAAAGCCGTGCATGTACAACACACATGGCATCCAGGATACCTTCATGATCAATGACCACCATCAAATCAAATCTGCAGTGGACGAAAAACAAGTCTCGAATCTGGTGTCACGGTCGTATGAATCCTGACCTTGTGCTTCTTAGTCGCATATCTTTGGATTCGCTGCCAAGATATGTTGTTGCTTATTATTGATCTGCGTGCAGGAGGGGAATGTACGCGGCTCGTCATGTAATGTCACTTTGCTCGGAGTCTTTCGCACTAGCAGGGAACTCATAGGCGATTTTCATGTAAGTCTTCGGAGCTCAAGTTGGGGAGTGTAAGCAGAGCAAGGCGACAGACAGACAGGGGTCTACCTCATGATCGTGAAAAAACGAGATTGAATCCAATCCTGGTACTAAAACGATACTTATCGATAAATTTTTATTAGTGAAAGGATTCCCCTTGAAAACATTCTAAGATTTTCTCAAAAAGATATATCTAACAAGGAATTTTAAATTATATTTAAAACACATCATTTTTAAATTTTATAAGTTATTATTTGAGATTAGATAAGAAATATAACTTTTAAGATTTTCATACTAAAAAAACATCCAAATGATATTATAAAATGAAATATTGAAAAATTAATTATCTTGAAGATATAAGATATATATATATATCATTAGCAAAGGCAGCAATTGTTATAGAGCCAGCAGCAGGTGGTCTAATGTCATACAATGTAGAAAACCTAGGGATCAATTGGTAATTATTGTATTCGATAAAAAGGAAAACATCTTAGAGATCTTTTCCTTTTCTACTTAACTATAAAGGTCTCTGTATTAAACTAGTTCTCTTTCGCTCCTAACATCTAATACCCTCAAATTTTTAAGCATAACTCCTATCATTATTCATTACTTACGTTCGCCCCCAAACAATAGCCCCTCCTTCTTCAGTATGATAGTAGCGATTGAACACCGGATCTAAGATCTAGTATCGTGATTGTGATTTTACACTCCCTTCGAGTACACCCTCTCGTTCCTGTATGTGCGTTTCCCTCTCATTCCCCTTTGAAGCCCGGCGGCTACGAGTTCCAGAAAATGAAGTTGAACGTCATTTTTGCTGTTTAGGTCCATTATTGCCAAATCCAGAATCGCGACTGTCCGATGAAGGTCAAGGTGGTGTACGACATTTCAGCTGCCCCGAGACACTCTTCCTATTCTCCTCCAAAAGAAAATCTAACGATCTTTGGATCTCTTTCAATCGTTTGTCCTTGCCCCAATCAATAATATTCAAAATATGTTTTCGAAACTCGGTATAGTGTTTAGGGTTTGGGAGTAAGTAGCTATTGAGCATTTGTACGTAGTATTCGAGTTCATTGTGTTTCCAGGAAACATAGAGACGAGCTTCAGTTCCGGTCATGGCGATGCTGAAAGCTGTAGTATCGAGCAATGTGATGTTCTCGTTTTGACATTGCCTGAGTTGTTGGTTAAGTTTTTCGGCGATGTTGATACATGAAGCGGATGCTCCGACACATTGATTTGTTGCCACCCACAAACTACCAGACGTCCCAGGACCATCAGCCTTAAACTCAATGGCTAAAAAGGGGTACAAGAGATCACGAGAGTTGGCCGCTATCTCATTTCCCAGATTACTAAGTTATATTTGCTGTTCTTGGCGAAATGCTGAAGTTCGTTTATAACCGTAAAGCATATCAGGGCACGGATTGGTGATTTTGTATATCGAGGAGGAAATAGGAATAGCATGCTTAGACATTGGATTTCTATCAGTATGCATTAATGGATCAGATACTTTGGTATAAGGGAATATGTTGTTCTTGAAATGATTTTCGACATCTGATTCGCTCGTTGCCATATCTAACTGCTGCAAATCTTCATCTTCCTCAATTTGTTGAGGTGTTGGACCAGGGGAATCACGATCTCTTTGTAAATGATCAACTAATCTGTTGACGTGTTCTGGAAATTGCTTAGGTAACTGTTTTGCAAGAAGATATGATTGGTGGACAAGTTATTGACTCGATAGAAAGGATCGTCGACCAAGGACCTGCGACTTGATGCTGGTGTTGACATGGATACAGAATTTCTAGCACTAGCTGGATTGGAACTAGAGTATAAACTCGGTGTTGGTGGAAGTATAAATCCATCATTTTCTCGTTTAGGCACGGAGCTACTCATATCTTCTTCTGTATATGGCATATTCGATATAGATTTAGCAAGTCTTCTCGGTATGTAGTCGACGTTTGAGGAATCGAGAAAGCTGTCCGAACGACAGTATGTTCGCCGGTGTGATGCTGATGCAGCGTCCGAAGTAGATTCAAGCCAATGTGTAACAAAATTATCTACAGATTCAGAACAATATCGAGGTCTCTTCGAAGGGGAAATGGGAGGTGGTTCTGCGACAAGGCTTTCGAGAAATGAAGCGTGTGACCGCTTGGGATTAATAGGCTTTGGCTGCTGTTGCATCATTAGCATGAGCATCTCCATTAGTTGCGAAGATTCTGGCATACCTTCGTCATCAGCTCTACTTTAAAGGTTGGGGATTGCAGTTCCTGGTTCCAGTCACCCTCGACATTCAGCAACATTTCTTCTGATGGGGAAAGGGTAGGAGGCATCTGATGAGAATTTTGCATCTTGGATGATTAGGTATAAACTCAAATACTTTGTTTAAGTCTAAACCGTTTGAGAATAAAATTCTGTATATATAATTAAAGAATGATCAATAGAAATTTTCCTTCATTTTACAAATTCTTAGATTTAGACAAAGTATTTGAGTTTATACAGGGGTGTAGATGGTTGAAAGACTTTACTAGTTTGAATTACATGAGCAAGCCATTGATGGAAAAGCTGGAAAGTGGAAAAGCAAGATGGATGGTATCGCTTATGTCTTATGTCTCCACCAAACCCTTCTATCTACGCTGCATACATACGGTATGTAAAGCATGCATCGAGAAAACTGCAATGCGCAAGCCGGTTACCGAATGAGGTAGAGGGGGAGCGTGTTTGCAGTTACGAGTGTAAGCTGAAATCTTCAGAGCATGTCATGTCTATCTATCTATACATGTTGTTGTTACTTGTATGATTTAGCAATTTCTACAGTAAGCTTCCCAGCGAGATTATGCTTGAAGGATTTTAGATTGGAGTAGGAGTTTTACATAGGCTATGGGTTTATGTGTGGTAATCAGAAGATGGATATTGGTAATCATCCTACTCGTATCATCCTACCATTGCTAGTTAGTCGCAGCACTAAGAATTCCCATTCCTTGCCACTTAGACATTCATCTACTCATCATCTTTCCCTTCAAGAAATGATTTAATTGGTGTGTTGATGAAAAGAATCGGGAAAGGGAGAAATCAAGCAATCGCACGCAAAGTGGTCAATCGGATCAATCCAGAAACCAAGTGTTGGTTGGTGATACAGAAAAGCGGGAAGTTTTGGAGGGGGGTTTCCCCTCCCTTCGTTTTTACGTTAGGCACCAGTCTTCCAGGGTATAAATCCCGTTCTAATGGAAGAAGCCAAACGCGTCTTACTGTTTTTTGATACCAATATACTCTAGCATATATACATAAGGTTACCATACCGGAAAAAACAGAAAGAAGAAGTAAAACATCCGTGTGAGTTGCTGGGTAATCTAACGGTCAGAAATTCAATATTCCCCGTTCTTTCATCCCTAAATCCATATTGAGCAACATCTAATCCGCTTGTTCGTACACAACGAGATAGGGAGGAATTAAGGTAGGCTGATCAATACTTGATACGACTTAGTTTTCTCATTTACTTATAATTGACCCCTTCATTCACCCCGGAATTTAGCGATCACTTTTCGCTCCACCGTAGATTATTATTATGGGTTAAGGGTTTAAATTCGATCCCATTGTAGGGGTTAATGGTAGGGAAAAGGGATGACCCATAAGCCGCAATGTGTAGCGACTGTACCCCAAATTAAATCTGAAGCCCGCATACTATCGATCGTTCATCAATCACCTCATCGTCAATTGATGATTGTGGAAACGGATAGCGAGAATACTACCACCTACTTCATATATCAATGATAAAAGAATACAAGGTACTGTACGTACCGGTGCTGTAGAAATCAGGTACTGGGTGTACTTTGAAACGTGGCACAGAAGAACCTAAGAAGCTCTGGGGAACTCCACAAATTTACCTATCGTCCGTAGATTATTGAGAAGATGTTTGTTGGTATTTAGTATCTTTTGTTACTGTAGTACCTACCTTCCTTGTATGGGTTTTTGCTGCGAGTGGGTGTGTACGAGGGTATCATTTCAGTCGAGGTTGGTTGGTACTGTAACAGTCTAATTTTTCCCGTCTCCATTTCCCCATCCTCTCAATGAACCAAAACACTGAACATCTAAAGCAAGTAAATACCTCACCGTCTATCCACCATATTACATATACAAGTATCCAAACCATACATCTCCTTCATATCGTCAATCGCAATATCAAAAACCAAAGAGTAGTAAAAGATTCAAACAAGCGGTCTAGACCCCCATCCATGGCACCAGAGACCCACCAACCCCCAATCAGGTAAAATAAACGATTCAGCCAATTGCACGCCCCAGAGGTCACCGAGCGAACATGACTGAACACCGATACTGTACATCAACTTATTTGTACTTGGGCCGGCCTTGCCTTGCTCTCTTGTACAACATGCTCTCGCTAAAGCTAAATGAAGATTCGAATCCGAGAGAGCAATGACCATGTTTTAGCGGGGTGAGCTGAAGGTTCATAGTCATGTCCTGTATTAGGTTATGAGAAGAGGGTACAGTATAATAGGTTCAGGGTTACCGGTAGACATTGATTTATTTGTGTCTATGCCAAGGTCTTTCCATAGAATGATAATGAAGGGATGTTTCGCTTGATGGATATATGGATATGGATATGGATAGAGGGATAGATAGGATGTTCGACAGAAGACCAGCTGAAATGTATTTCAGGATCATTGAACGCTGCCTGATCATAGCGAGGTCATCTGGATATTTTAAGAGGGGAGAGTATAAAGAAGGTTGTTTCATTTATTTGTTGAGATGAAGGATGTTCCTCGTTGTTGAGTTTGATCAAGTGAAATCTGAAATCTGAAATCTAAAATCTAAAATCTAAGATAAGAAGATAGGAAAAGCATACTGCGACGATCAATATTTAAAGGATTATTCAAACATCCTCAAACAGATGACTAACTCCATGGCCGTGTAATTCAAACTAGTAAAGGCTTTCAACCATCCACACCCACGCTTTCCCTACACTTTCCCTACACTAATCCCAGTAACGAGTAAAGCCCATGAGAACCTTACATGGAACCAGCATTAATGTGGATGGTCCCCGAAGCTTGTAGACGCCAATGAAGTAGACCCCTGGTCAGTGCGTCCCTAAACATTCCAGATCGGCCTTTTCTTTCTTTTCTTATCCTGAGAAATTGATCCCACTAAGACTTTTCGACCACATCTTGGTGTCGTTTTGTTTTACCGAGATAGGTTTTGCTTTCTACAGGTTTTCTAAACAGGAACAAATTCTGATAGTTTCCGTAACTTCGCACAGACTATGAGTTATGAGTACTGTACTTAGTACTAGGTACTTTCAATCCTAAAGGGAGGATAGAATTCGATGTAGTAGTGCAAGCAATAATGATAACTTGAGAAGTTAGTCCTGTATGAATGATAATGATGCCATAAACATGAACATGAACATGAACATGAACATGAACATGAATATGACCTTGATGAAGGGCAAAGTATCGGATCTTTTCTTTTGTCACTCACATCACCACACACATGTCTTTGACAACTTCCTAGATTGTCTTAGCCGAGAATTACTCCAGCATTTGTCTCCTCAAGCATACAGGGTTATCTATCCCCAAAAAACCATTCAAGAGCGCCACGTACGCATCTCATTTGTTCAAAGAAGCGCTTGGGAAGTGATAGAATCTCAAGCATACTTACGACTGTTCATCAAAAAATGACAGAATGTTCTTTTTCCCCCAAGATTATCGCAAATTCAATCATGTCGCTAAACCGTGCGATGGCCCTGGTCTTGTACATAAGGTTACCTGCAAGCTGCAGATTTTCTCGAGTCCGATGCTCATGTCCAAGATCTTTCCCCATTCTCCGAATGCTGTACGTACTGGATGAAGCAAGCAAGCAGCACGAAGGGAAAATTGCTGTACCACGTGAGTGATACATTGGATACATAGGAGAATAAATGTTACGATATGAAGGGTCTAGTTAGTCTATTGAGTTGGTCGCGTACCCAAATTTGTTCATTGTTCCAAGATAGGTTATTGATTAAATAAATTAATAACTAGACAGAATGTTAACTTAGATATATTAATGACTAGATATATATAGTAATCATTTCAACGAAAAAAGACCCATATGATACGCATTGCAAAAAAAGAAGCTACAAGCCATCAATCTCACACGCAGCCAGAGCACTGGGAAACCTTAACTCTTAGCATCGAGACAACAGCGCAGCTCAACCCAGACGTTTTCCCGCATTTCTCCCCAAGTCCCCAAGATTAGCTTTTCTTCTTCTTCCCTCTCTTTTCTCACGTCTTGGCTTCAAGCCGCCCGAGCTAAAATGTTCAGCCAGAACGCCTTTGGGACACTCGCATACGCCGAAAGATTTTCTGGGGGTAGGATCCTGGTAATTTGAACATGGGAATGGCGTGCGAGCCAGCTCGATGAGATTTATCCTGGCTGGTTCAACTGTGACTTTTTATGCGAAACCTTTTTTCAGGGAATCGCGTGGATTTCGAGCCGATGGAGTGAGTGTGTTATTTGGATGGGGATCTTACTATAAATCGTTGGACAAGTTTATTGGGAAGAAGCTAATGTGAAATGCAATTGAACAATACGATCCGATATAATACATTACCATACATGACATTACAATACAATATCACCTAACTCTTTCCACGGAGAAGTCCCAGTAGCTATCCCGTCTTTTCATCAGATGATATAAAGTCAAGCTTTTCATTAACTACTCTCGTACATTTATTATTTAGACTTGAAGTAGAAAAGGAGAATGGATTACAAGTAATGCGATGCATCGACAGGTAGGTAGGTATAATCAATCACCAATGGCCAAAAGAAATCCATGTTTATCGCATAAAAAGAAAAAAGAGAAAAGGAAAGGAAGAGGCAAAGATAAGACTTAAAACGGATAATAAATAGCTGGATGATGATATTCAGGCAATTATAGGTACCTACAAATGATACTTTTTCTCCGATACTGTACGATGGTGACAGCAACCAATTCAATTTTCACAAATAGAACCCTACTATTTATTACTGGAAGGGAGAGGGAAGGTAGTATTTGGGTCATCCTGTAATCTCTACAATTTTGCAGAATGTAAGCACTTAAGATTTATTCAGCAGTAATCCTGATCATGGATCATGGTAAGCAACACAGCAAAGCCATAGAGAGCTGTTGAAAATCGGCACCAAATTCCAACCCGGACGGAGCGAAAGAGAATCTATCTAGTAATCCCTAGTCCATCCACCGTATAATCATGGTCATTATATAATCTGAGAAGTGATTCAATATTCCATCCTATTGCATATCAATCCTATGTATCTCTTTCAATCTTCCAAACATGAAAAGAAAGAACCCCTTCATTCGATCTCATCTTGAATCCAGCGTGCCTACTCGTCCGATCTACCTGCGACGCTGTTGCTCTTCCACATATGCGGACGTCACTACATACATATTCAGATCACATACACCGAGCTGGACATCGCATCGCATCACATCACATATAGGATTCGGATATCCCCTACAGGATCAATATCGAAATCTTCGGCTCAACCACCAATCCAAGACCGAGTACACACGGATACATTTATACGTATTCATACATATTACATATCTATCTCAGAAAAAGCATTCTATCAAGATCAATATTTGGGTATCTGTCATATCAAGCAGGCGTTCCCACAGTAGCCAATCGAACCGTCTCATAAGGTTACCGACAAACACTGCAAATCAAATCAATATCAGGCTATTCCACATGGAGAAACAATAACGTTAAACCTCAAAGCTTCGCCCAATCCCCAGGACGAATTCGAATAGCCACATACACACACACTACTTACAAATACTCACATCCAGCACCCTCGTAACGTAACTAACTACCATCAAACCTCTCTACCCCAGAACCCTACCGCTTCCCTCGCCCCCAAAATTAAAAAGATTAAAAAAATGAATCAATCTACGCTCCGTCCCAGTCGCGGTCGCAGCACCTCATCCCTTCATGACATCCATGACTTATTCTGCTCTAGTTTCATTTTCCACAGCCCATCCATCCATCCATCCATCCATCCATCCATCCATCCATCCATCATCCATCATCCATACCTAAGTAACCTCACTAACCTCACTAACCTCACTAACCCCACTGACCTAGCTCCGGAGGTACCCATTCCCATGCAAAACCAATTCACGCTAAATTAACTCCATCGCCCCCCAAGCTCGAAAACTCTCTTTTATTATTTGGTATTTGCGCGCAGCACAGCACAGCACAGGGGAGCTAGCCTTACACTAGTCCCCCTTAACGACTTCGCAGCTCAGCAATCCATTATTGAGCCAAAATCATTATTATACACATTTTCATTTCTCCATTTTATTTCATTTCATTTCCTTTCATTTCATTTCATTTCATTTCACATTATTTGTTTACATTTATTTGCATTTGCATTCATCAAATATCCATCCGTCTATTTTCGAAAATCCTCGATAGGATTTATTCATTTGATTAACTCCAAAGGTTCTTTATTTACCATATCCTGGCCATACCCTATTTATTCTACTTGTTCCATATACTTCATTTGCTCCATCTGCCACGAGGTCGCCCAAAGCCTAGAAGCTCAGAAAACCCAAAACCCAAAACCCAAATCACATTAAAAGCCCTGCTCTCACCCCTCCAGCTCCGACCAAAAATATTTAAAAAGACCCAGCCAGACGCATCTGCACCCAGCATCCAGCATCCACTACACCCAGCATCCACCATCCACCATCCACCATCTACAGACAACCCACTTAACCCTACACCCAGACACCCAGACACCCAGACACCCAGACACCCAGACACCCAGACACCCAGACACCCAGACACAACTACGCTACCTCCACAAGCACAGACCATCTCTCCCAGACCCGACAACTTACATAAATCAAGCAGACGCCTCCCCGGCCGCCATCCAGGTGATCGACACTCCACATTCTCCATTCCAGTCACTATCCTCTATCAATCCCATCCGTACGAACCTGCAAGATCCATTCATTGAACTCTTGATCCATCAAAATATCCCATCGTCTTTTTGGTCCATTTGTTCAATATCCAAGGGATTCTTAAAGATATTGACGAGAAGGATTGATTTCGAAATAATCATTTCTTCCTTGTTTACTTGATCATTTATTTACCTACCTTACACCTACCTACCTTACGATTTTATCTGATCTCTATCACAATCACAATCACAATCACAAGCAAAGAAAAGGTTCGACAGAAGGAAATATCCCCACTCCCCATTTTGGCTTCTATCGTTCCCTCGTTCCCTCACCTCGGTTGTGCATCTACCCGCATCTCCATCTCAATCCGAAGCATTTTCCACGCGGCAACCACACAGAATCTTTGAATTTTTTAAAAGCAGTAAAAAAAAAGAAAAGATTCCCATCATTTGATTTCTCCATTGGGCACTCTCTCAATAATCTCTCTAGATTATTATGGAGACCGCCAGCTTCACAGCTCGCCGGCCAGCTGCATCCAACCTCCCCAGCTTTCAGCTTCCCCCTCCAGAACCCCTTGGAATGCACCACCACAAATATCAACAAACCAACAACTACATTCACGGAACTACACACAGCTCTTCCCAACCTGTTCCCGCTGTCGCCAACAACATATTAACACCTCCGGCTGGAGTTTCGCATGACGGCTTAAGTCCTCTCGCATCCAGTGTCAACAGTGGTAGTTCTGGTAGTTCAGCCGCCGGTGTACCTCCTTATCAACCCTCGGCTTTTTGGTCAAATCCCCAGTCGGGAAACAATTTCACGTTTAGTTCTGCGCCGCCAATGACTTCCCCTTATGCTCAACAACAACAACAAGGTTACATCAATAGACCACTATATTCACCCTCCATGAGTAACTATCCAGGGTCACGAAATCCCAATTCTCCCACCTCATCAGAAGGCCTCCCACCACCTTCATATGAAAGTCTTCCTCCCTTCACTACCAATATCCCAATGTCCGGCTCAGGTGGACAACAACAAAATCTTCCCACACTCGCACCGCAGAATTCTCAGCAGCAACAAATGAATAACCAGAACCTTATGAACCTTCATCAATCTTCCTCTCAAGCACCTCAACAAGGTAGCGCACAAGCTCCTGAGAATTATGGCGGACGAGCACCCCAACTCAAGTTACTACCCCCAATCTTCTACCCCTCAACAATCGTCTTTCCCAGCCTATGCCCAACAATCACCTACACAGCAATCACCAAATACCTCCTCGGCTCCATCAAATCGCATCTCGCCCATCCAAACTCACCACTCACATTCTTCCATGGGTGCACCCCACCAGGGCTATTCTTCCCGTCCTTCCTTCCCACATTACAATCTTCCTACCTTAACCGCGCCCATCATGTCCAATGTCCACCAACCCGGTAGTCAAATGGCTCTTCTCGGTGGAATGGGCAATATGGCTTATCCTCAACAAATGCCAGGACCAATGTATGGCGGACATCATCCACAACAAATGACCCAAACCGATAAGCAATTCAAGTGCGATCAGTGTGCACAATCTTTCAGCCGCAACCATGATTTGAAACGCCATAAACGTATTCATCTAGCCGTGAAGCCATTTCCTTGTGGTCATTGCGAAAAAAGTTTCTCAAGAAAAGATGCATTAAAGGTTCGTATCCCACCTTATTACCGTATGTCTTGTGTCTTTAACTAACCTCAAACTCAGAGACATATACTCGTCAAAGGCTGTGGAACAAAACCTACACACGGCACCACGAATCCTAATGGAGATTCTCAATCTCCCGTTGATAAATCAGAGGTCTTAAGTGATTCTACCAATGATGATAGTCCCGAGATGGTAAAGAAAGAATTGTCATAGCGGCAGTCCACCTACATCTGTTGACGAATTTCTTTTCTTTTCTTTTCATTCGTTGAAGATCAAAGTTCAAAGGGATAGCAAGCACAAAATACAAATACAAAATGATCTATGAACTTGGATAGGCTGGGGATTTTCATTCGGGACCTTGACTAAAGGATACGGGCGTACGGAATATGTCTATCTGGATGTGTTGGAATGGGATTTGGGTGGGATAATGGCTTACACTGTATGGATGGGTGGACATCTTCTTGTGGATGAGACAGCACAAAACTCAAGAAAGATGAGATGGGGTCTGTGGCGTTGGTATGTGGTCAATTCGACAGATATTTCTGTCTCTTTTCTTTTTATTTAAAGGAAAAAAAGAAATCAAAACTTTCAATACGGGAAGGATGTGGAATATAGTATCGTACCGGAGCGGGATTATTTTGGAGTTGAGGGGTTGGTTTGTATATCGATCGATTTGTCTTTAAAGACATTTCGATTTGGCCCGGGCTGGAAATGAATGGGTATGGTATCCGTCTCGGATGGATAGGGATGGATATATCTTGAATGTGATTGGGAACTGGGAATTGGCTGGAGCTTTGGCGTGGGAATAACGGATCTGATTCGGTGAATACTTATTGTTTGGAAATGTATTCATTTGCTTGAATGTTTATTTTCTGTACGTCTTTTTGAGTATGTATGGATGGATGGATGGAGTGGTGGAGTAGTGGATGGATGAAGTGAAATAACTACATTTTTTTTATTTTTGTCTCCGCTTTTCGAGTCTTTTTACCTCACATCGCAATGTTTGATTGTATGTTGGAAAGGGGCGATTGATTACTTGCTTACTTGATTCCCGGAGCTTGTGCGTATCGCATCTTGCTTGCTTGCTTGGGTGCCTGTTTGGGTGCGCATATCTATCTATCTATCTATCTATCTATCTATCTATCTATCTATCTGGAGCTTTGAATTCATTTCAATTTATCTGATCTCATCAATTCAATCCAATCCTTTTCCCTGTATGAGCGGAGTGGAATGGTGTGATATAATATGATATCCAGGAATCCCACAGTACCACTGACAGAAACGTGCAGTGCAGTGCAATGCAACGCATTACAATAGTAGTAAACCATAAACTGCAAAGGGTATGTATGGTACGCGATCGATACGCCTCATTAGATCGGGGATATAATGTTAAGAAGGTAACCATAGTATAGTATACTCGTAGTATAGGATAGTAGAATGAGTGAATTATAAATGGAATCTAAAAGATATTCCTTTGATCATCTTTTTAGGCACTGGTACCGATACTGGTACTGGTACTGGTACTGGTACTAGTACAAGTACAAGTACAAGTGTAGGTAGGTATGCAGGTAGATATTGCGGGGAAGGGGATTAATTTCACCAGGTCCTCGGGATATATTTAACCTTAGTATAGTAGTAGTTGAAGGGTTTAGTAGATTCTGTCCTGATGATCTCTTTGGGTAGTAGCTCCTGGTACCTGTCTGGCACAGGTTTGCAGGTTTGTAGGTAGTGAGATACGGAAAAGATGGAGAAATATTCATGGAGGAGTAAATGTGACTTTGGATAATTATGTTATGAGTAACCAACCACTCGTTTTTTGTGGTTTTTATGGCGGGCATGGTGGTTTTCAATGGCGCTATCAATGTATGGCGCGGTGGTAATATATTCGATACTTAGATGGTGAGATGGTGAGATGCTTGGGCTTGGAACTCGCTCGGTACTCTGTTGATATCATGCTGATGCAAAGGATCGTTCTATCTAGTAGATATACAAATTCGGATCCCAGGCTTCTGGTTGTGCGTTGTGCTGTGAAATTCAGCTAATTTATCTAGCGATTGATATAATTCCTTTTCTATTTTGGATTTGGGGCAAGCAAGTAAGTAAGTAAGTGAGTATCAAAAGTATCATGGCATTCGAGTTTTTCGATAAGTTTATAAACATACTGTTACGACTTTTTCGTTGGGCTCTTTTATATCTATCTATTTAATAATTACAAGTGTAAAATACATATATATCAAGAGATGACAAAACTTCATCTTGTATTCAATGCATGCGGTGATGCGACAAGTGTAGCAAACGCACACATAATCAGTAGTATACTGTATGAGAGAAAAGAAAACGAGGGCATTTGGATATACAATTGAAATCAAAGAGTGTCAATTTTAATATAGTTTAACTTAATATATTATAATAAGTAAATTCTATAGCTTTTATAAAAACCTAACACGTCATGAGCAGTAACGAACGAGTCACAATTATAGAGCTATTATATCAAAATAAAACCAAAGAATTTCTTATTTCCTAAGTCCTAAGTACATAAGCGGAAAGAACCCATTTTACCCTATTTCAAAGTAAAGAATCAACAACTCTGAACGCTTTCACTGCATCTCTTAATTGACTCTGGCCGCCTTGAAACCTCCATCTATCATTATTTCTACCCCATTTTCGCTCGCTATGATGAATAATAAGTTACTTTTTACAACTCCATCAAAGCAAAGCAACTCGAAAATCCACCGCTCCATGAAAATGCCAAAGAAACTCACTATACTGAACATAGTATATCTACAAAAAAGAAGCAGGTATCATCCAAATACTGCTGTATGCTAAACCTGGATTTCGAGAATGTCCAAACTCAAGCATGCGGAGAGAAATATATCCCATACGCAAAATGTCCAAAGTGGGGTATTAACGATATCGAAAATATCGAAAATTGGTAGATTCCAGGTGGGTGGTTGGAGACTAAGAGATAACAGCGGTTTCTGTTATCATGGAGTTGACAGTCCTCACCATCATTCTCTTCTTTTCTTCATCCATGACGAGAACTCCACGAACTTGTAGGACAGAATCTAGTGTTTCCACAACTTTATGAAAGCTGCTCGCTGCACCTCTTTCTTGTGTAATTCGTGCTACAGCGAGATTGGTCTTTTTGCCACGATCCAAATGCTCGAAAACAGTCAAGATCTCGGCGGCGAATGAGACCTCTTTCAAATTCAAGACTATACGATGTGAGTGAATATTCCATATGATTCAGGAGTAGGAGGAACTTACAGTTGTCTGCACCAACTTTGCCAAAGACTATGTTCCTTTGTTTATCGACCTGAACATCTTTAATGCCATATCTTTTCCAGTCTTTGAGTACCTTGGCAATCTCTAATCTTGCGGCACGTTTCGAAACGGAGAAACAAATGAATTTCGAAGCGGGTTTCACATGGAATAATTTGGCTAGCCAGTTCTGTTGAGGCTCGATCTGGCGTGCTCTCATGTTCTGTTGTGTACGGTTCGGGCGATGTTGTCGAGGATCTGCAATAGATTCTTGAATACTCATATCCTCGTCGAACATATCGTTTGCTATGAGCCTGTCAGTACTATCAATGCCAAGCGATAAAACTTATACTTACTAGCAACAGTCATGCCGGTTTTTGGTTGTTTTTTCTTGAAGAGCCTACCAAGATTGAATCCCTTTTTCTTTGGGGGTGGCATTGGTGGAAGCTCCTCTGGATCTGACCTCCGGCCACCACTCTTGCTTGATGATTGGGATAGCATGGTGTCATTTCCGACAATTGAGGAACTTCTAGACTCGCCCTCATCACTAGCTTTGGAATTACGCCTAAACCAGCCTGAACGCTTCTTTACTATGGTGCCTGCATTACTGTCCTGAGCAAATGAATCGTCCATGTTAGAGTCCTCCTCAATACGAGATAATTCTGGACCAACATCCACCTTCGAGCCAGCAGAATATTGTTGTCGCAATCCCAGACCAGATGATTGGTTCCTGATAGAGTTGTCGAGAGGCTCTGGTCCTGATTGTCCCATTTTGGTCTTTGTTTGACCACCTTGCGAGCTTTTCTTTCGGATTGTGAGTGGCGCTGGAGCTTTAACAGGACTAAAAGACGCAGCAGAGGCATTGACTACCCGTATTGTTTCTCTCTCATTAAAGTAGTTTGAACTCTTCTTCAATGTACGAGGTTCAGGAGCTGATGCAATACGATCAGATTCGACCTTTCGGGGAGATAGATCTTCTGCATATGCCTCATTAATCGCGGGTAATGGTCGCGGAGGATTCCTCTGTTTCGTATCCGCGGGTGCAGACACTATTCGACGATCTTGGCGTGTTTGCAAAGGGGATTGAGATGGAGGTAATATTAGACGATCAATATGTGATACCATGCGATCTATGTATCCAGGTGAATCTTCTCCAGAAGTCAGGCGAAGTGTAGCTTGCTTGCGCGCTTCCAGGAGTTCCTTCCTGACAGAATCTGATCGAGCAGGTGGTGGGGGTAGCGGCCGTAAGTCTAGAGAATCGTGCTTAGCCTTTCGACCTGTCTCTGACACATTGATTATAGGCGATGAAGTACGAGTAGCCACGCTTGGGGTCACAGGAAATCGTGACTTATTCTGGGAGCCCGTCGAAGGGACGACCGTAGATCTATTGAATGCTTCATCGCAGTCTTTGGCCAAGCTGCTGCTCAGTTGACGGACATCTTCTTTCCATAATATACTGCCCCGTCCTGATTTTTGTATGGTGGTAGTAGTAATCTTTGTACTAGTTGATTGCGGCTTTCTCGACCTGATGTAACGTGTTGAGGTAGAATGCTCAAAATCAGGACGCGGAGGGGCTCCATTGTCAGCTCCTACCGCCCTTCTTCCCGTGGAACCCAACGAACTATCCCCAGATATGATGTTTTGGCTACTCAATGATCGTCTCCTGATGTGTGAGAAATCCACACCACGTTTGTGTCCCATCGTAGCTCGGAAATGGGCACTTCCTCGACTTCGTGTAGAGCTAGCAAGTGAACTCCGGGACGCATATATCCGAGATACGGGCTTTTGTAGTCTACCCCGATCGCTGACGGACCTGGAAGTTGTCATTCGAGAGGTTGGTCTGTACCGGCTATGTTCGTCATTCTGAGGGGCATGAACGGTTACCTTTATTTGATCATCAGATCTGCATGAATCAAGGTGCTGTGGCCGAGAAGCATTGAAAGGATCGTAAGTGTTCTCGGATCTATTACTAACTACAGTAAACCTGGAAGGCTGTTGGCGGCGATGACCCTTTCCTGTCTGTGGTGGGAAGTGACAAGTAGAATATGTTTTTGTCAATGTGGGTGGTCTAATGTGATGATAATCACTGTTGGAATAATTCAGCTCGGGTTCATAGTTTTCAAGCTGGGCATCTCTGTATCTTAACAGTAAGGTGTAGAAGAGCTTTTGCTCGTTCGGTCTATGTCTTTATTAGCGTACGCATCATAAAAACCAAAGTAGCTGAGGCAACCCACTTCTGACTCAAAAGTGCTTCAATAAGCTGATCTTCGGAGTATGCGTGCCACATAGACCACAGTTGCCTTAACAGATCCTTATCAACATCGCTGCGGCGTAGCACTGGCTGTCCGCAATCATTCAGGTTAAGAGATGGGAGGCTTTCACCGCCACCAAGGTTGTCCAAATAATCGTACTTCCTAACCACAGGATGCTTCCAGATCTGTCTGAGCTCAATTCTCTCCTTTGGATTTACTTGCAATATTCTCCAAATTAGATTTGCGGCCTCTTTGGTGAACTCTGGGGCCATTTCATAGGTTCCTTTTCGAATTTTGCTGAGTAATGGATTAAGACGATCTCTATCATTGCCAACACCCTCAACGTCGAATGGGAGTCGTCCACATAAGCTAGCATAGAGGATTACACCCAGGCTCCATATATCAACCTTGTCCCCACGGTATTTTTGTCCGCCAACTAATTCCGGTGCAGCATAATGTGGACTTCCACAAGAAGTTCTTAATTTGTGATCTGGGCCTTGATGTAGCGCAGCCATTCCAAAGTCCGCGATTTTGATGTCTCCAGTCGATGTAACCAAGATGTTTTCGGGCTTCAAGTCTCGATGGCAGATATTGTATGAGTGGCAATATCCCAGAGCACTCAAAAGTTGTCGGAAATACTTCATTGCAACCTCTTCGGACAGTCTTCCATTGTTCGCGATTTGAGCGAAAAGCTCGCCATTGTCAACATACTCAAGAACTAGATATCTGCTCATTGTTAGAGACTAAATTAGCTCAAATTGGGAACGGAGCTTACATTTCGGTACGATTCTCCCAAATGTCATAAATCTTCATGATATTCGGGTGCTGAATAAGCTTCATGATTGCTACCTCGCGCTCAATTCCTACAGGCATCCTCCGCACTCCATCGCCTTCATCACGTAGCTGTTCCGAATGTTCCAGGTTTGCAAGACTTCCCGCCTGAGATAATTGGGCGTTCTTCTTTTGGACGATCTTGATAGCTGCCATTTGATGTGTATTTTTGTTCTTTGCAAGACGTACCCGGGCCGTTGCACCCTCCCCTAAGGTTTTACCCAGCTTCCAAGGACCAATAAACTTCTTGATGTTCTTACCATCCGAAGTCGCGGAGGATGCGGTCGAGATTTGGGAACTTCGTTTGGAATCCGTCGCAGCCTCTTTCGATATAGCAGAGAGCCTAGGATTGACGACATTGGACACAGGAGAGCCCATCCGAGGATCGTCACGGTATGGATATTGTTCGCTTGGAGAAGGAGAAGCCTGGTTATAAACTTGTAGTAAACCATCTTGTCGTAAACTATCATGATTTGTTGGTGTAGATTTTGATTGTAACTTTTGACTACTCGATTGATTGTTGTTGACCCGCCGGGTTGCTTCTCCAAGAGGAGGTCGTCGGGTCGTTGGGCGCGCGTGTTGTGCACTCATTCTTATGAAAAGCAGCTGTATTTAACCCAAGTCTTTTGAAATAAACTAGATCCCAATTCTTATGTGGATCGATCAATCCTTTTGATGTACCAAAAGGTATAAGGTCGTGGAATTCAAGTACGATACTTGACTGTGCTGAACTTAGAAGGACATAGTAATGTAAAGAAACCTGTGTCGCAGGTAGCGAGTGTGCCAAAAATGAAGCGTTCGAAAGCCCTGGAAATTCTCAGTTAGCCATTCATAGTGGTTAGATCAAGATGCCATATCTTGACTGTGAGAAATAAACCCACCAACGTGAAAAAATTTGAGCTAGTAGAGAGGGTATGTTTGTTTTTGGCAGCTTATCGTGGAAAAGTCAAATTGATGCGTATCTGTGGGCAAAGAAAGAGCGAATTGGAAAAAAACCACGAATTAATATTTTGTTAAAGAGAGAGTAAAAGAGAAAGCCATTAAAGAAGTTCAGGCGAAAAATGGCGCTCGAGAGATATTGGGATTATAAAATTGCAGTTACTGTGGTGAAGCTTTGCTTGTGTTGATGTTTTGTTGATATACAAGATTCCCCCGCAAATGAAAGCATGCAGGACCAATTTAGAAAGGAATGTAAAAATCACAACTTGATCTTTAAAAAGAAAAATCTCTATTGGTTCGGTTATGTCCGGATTATGGTAGAGTACCTAGTGCTTCCGAGATTCTTTGAGTTGCCATGCCATTTACTTCCATCATTTTCTGAAATATCTATGATCTGAGACAGAGCAAAGAATGCATCCCGCAATCTGGACCGCCACGGCTCATCATATATAGTTCATAACTCGCTCATGAACATGGCATAAAGTGTAGCCTCCCAGATTAAAAAGAAACCGTTAGGCTTCGAGGCAACTTCACGTGGTATAAATACTATCCATCTTGTGTGCTTTATGATCGATATTGCTTCTAGTTATAGTGAGCAAGCATCCTAGTCCAGATTCTCTATACTATGAACTGTGAAAAGACTTTACTGATCACTTGAAACTTGGCACACGCTTGTCTTGCAATCTTTGCAATCTCTCCCTTTCCTTCTCTAGGTATATATTTATAGGGAAATTAAAGAGAGACTTCTTCTAGTATACCTCCTCCTGTGTTCCCAGTTACTTCACTGAGGCCTGAAGATCATAACTCGGTATTAAAACCATTTATTCCAGCCAGTTGGCTATGGATAGCCAGCTTGTATATGATTTACTACCTAGGCCAATAGATAGAGAGAGAAACCAAGGCCATCAAGCCTACCTCCTCTTGCGTACTGCACAATTACTTACGCCGAGGCTAGAGGATTATAATTTGTAGCACTACATGTTCGGTGCAGTTGGAGAGATAGCTTTGTGGCATGTGGTTCTCATCCAATATGCCCATACATCAAATCCAGTGTGGCTTTTAAAAGAGAAGCAGCGCCAAAGTGGAATGAGAAATGTAAGTGAATTAAAGTGAAGTTGGGAAAATGCGAAATCAGCTGACCTGATCACTAATCGATGGTGGGGGTGCTTGAATTATAAGGTTAGTCATGGTTAAACGCGGTTCCTAAAGTTTAACGCGTCTTGCGCAAACCCATTTTCTTTGATTGTATTAGTGCAACATCGACTCTTGGAAAAATGGTATTAGATTCAAGAATGACGGAGTCATTGTCTTATTAATTCATTCAACTTCAAAATCAAAATAATTGTTTCACCCTTCAGTTATCTACGTGACAGCAAAACAATGGCATCTCGAAGGCGTCGGTCAAGGGCCGAAGTGGATGATGACGATAGTTCGGAAAATCCTACACCAGCGCAGTCTGCGAAAAGATCTCGCACAATACATTACGAATCCGAGGAAGGAACCTCTAGACCCGATACTTCGCCATCCTCTAGAGACGAAGATGACAGACGAAAGGTCGGAAGCATTTCTGACTCTCCCACAATCACATCGGGACGCGGCAAATTCGCTCCAGGAGCTATAGTTCGGGTTAAGCTCAACAATTTTGTTACTTACGAGAGTGCTGAGTTTTTTCCAGGTCCAAATTTGAATATGGTGATTGGTCCAAATGGTACGGGCAAGAGTTCCTTGGTTTGTGCCCTCTGCTTGGGTTTGGGTTCTTCACCAAAAAACCTCGGCCGGGCAGATAAAGTCGGTGAATTTGTCAAACATGGTTCAAAGGATGCTTTCATCGAAATCGAGCTCCAAAAAAGAAGCAACGAGCGTGAGAATCATATCATCAAAACTCGAATCCTTAAAGATGGGAATAATTGTGAATTTTGGATAAGCAACAAAAGAGCAAGCCATAAAAATGTTCTAGCTTTGGTCAACGGGTTCAGCATTCAGATCGATAATCTTTGTCAGTTCTTACCACAGGACAAGGTGTCCGAGTTTGCAGCATTGACACCTGTCGAACTCCTCCATCATACACAAAGGGCAGTTGCTGCACAAGAGATGTTGGACTGGCATGATGAACTCAAGAATCTGAGAAAAGAGGAGAAATCGAGGCAAATGCAGCTCGACCTAGATAAGGAACAATTGGCCAATCTAGAAAAACGACAGGCAGGGCTGCGTCCGGAAATGGAACGTCTCGAAGAGCGAATTCAGATCGAGAAGAACTTAGAGAAGCTGAAGAATAGTATTCCCTTTGTGGAGTACAGACAGGCACGTCTTCGACATAAGGAATTTAGGGATGAGAAGATAGCAGCAACAAAACGATTTCGTACTTTGGAGGGCCAGGTCGAACCGACTTTGCGGCTAGTTAACAAGAAGGATTCGCTGGAGAAGAATTTAGCCAAGGTCGTTTCCAACCGAAAGAAGAACCTTCAACTTGCGGAAGCAGCTGCAGATGAGCTTTTGAAGAAAGTCGAGGAATGGGATGACAAAATAGGTGATTGCGATCGGAGAGTAAAAGTTGTTCAGGATGCAGAGGATAAACGCAAGAAAGATTTAGCAAAGGTTAGAAGGGCCATAATTGACCTCGAAGCCCGACTTCGAGAACCTGAAATAGAGTTCAATGCTGCTGAGTACAATCAGCGCATTGTGAGTATCCGACCCATTGATTCCTGCGTAGCAATTACTGATTTTCCCCTTAGAGAGCAGTTGAGCAGGATATCAAGGCCATCCAAGCCAGGATTCAAGAGCTTCAAGAAAGCCGAGAAGTACTCAGAGCCAAAGGTCGAGACCTGCGAGCCGAACAAGACAGAGCGAAGCAGGATCTCGCTGACTTCGACAGTCAAGCTGGAAGACAAATTAACAAGATTGCCCAGCATTCCAGAGATACTGCTATTGCTTGGAAGTGGGTTCAGGACAACCCGAACAAGTTTGAGAAGGAGGTATACGGGCCCCCCTTGATTACATGTTCTGTGAAGGACCCAAGGTATACCGATGCTGTTGAATCATTGTTTCGTCAGAGCAATATGCTCACTATCACCGCACAAACTCAAGCTGATTACAAGCTATTAAATGATCAATTTCACTCTGCAGAAATGAGGTTGGCCGAAGTCAGGACCCAGATGAGCACCCAGACCCTGGCTGAGACTATTGGACGGCCGTCAGCTACTATTGCCGAACTGAACAGTATAGGTCTTGATGGTTGGGCTATTGATTTCATTGATGCCCCAGAGCCAGTTCTTGCAATGTTGTGCAATGATATTAGAGCTCATAGGACGGCCGTCACCCTCCAAGATGTCACTGAGGAACAGCATGAAAGGATTATCCGTGCTGGGATCACATCTTTCGTGACGAAAACCACCACCTACAAGATCACGACGCGAAGAGAATACAACGCATCATCAACCCAAACTTCCGGAATCAATCGAGCCAGGTTTTTCATTGATGGTGTTGTAGACACTTCGGGGCGGCGTATGATCGAAGAAAACCTCCAAGAACTCGGCCGAAAATTCGAGGCCCTGAAGAAGGAGAACGAGGACATAAGTGATAAGATCGAGCAGTATTCGATTACTATGGCCCCGAAAAAAGATGAAAAGGTATGCGAGCAACGATTTTGATGTCAGGGGACATTACTAACGAGACTCCGGAAACAGGACGCAATTATAGCCGAGAAACAACAAAAGCAAAAGGCTTATGGTGAACAAAGAGCTCTTCCTGGACTGCTTGGTGAGTGGTAGATTTACGAATATACTTGAGCATGTATTAACATAGTGACAGCTCGAGAGAAGGAGTCTTTGGAGAGATTGGAATCATCTAGCTCTGAATCTAGGGCCGAGATTCAATTAATTCTAAAAGAGCAAGACGTTGCTGGCCTCAAGAAAGGGGGGGATGTGATGAAACATATCGAGCAGATCGATCAGATTATGGCTTGCTCCGAAGGACTTGACGAAGCCGAAGCTCGACGTATTGAAGCGGATTCGGATACCCACGCTTTACGAGAGCGCAATCGTGATATCGTCGCAAACCTTGACGCTGAACGTACACGTTTACAGGAAATCGAAGCACAATCAAAGCTGGCAACTGAAACGGCACGGATTGCGCTCGATGCTTGCAAACAGCTCAGAAGGGAGGCTGAGGAGAGAAATGACATTGAGTCTTTAGAATACTTCAGCAATATCTCCGAGGATAGAACCGTGGAAAGTCTACAGCAGGAAATAAACAGCGAGGAACATAAACTAAACTATATTCAAGCTAATAATCCGAATGCCATTCGGGAGTACGAAAAACGCCAGGTTGACATCAGCCGATTAAACACCAGGATCACTGGTACGGAGAGTGAACTCGGGGACGTTGCGCAGAAGGTTACTCAGATCATGAGGAAATGGGAGCCAAAACTTGATGCACTTATTGAGCAAATTAGTCAGGCATTCTCGCATAATTTTGAGCAAATTGGTTGTGCTGGTGAAGTTGGTGTGTATAAAGAAGACGATTTCGAAAAATGGGCGATTGAGATTAAGGTCAAGTTCAGGTATAGTTCCATTGCCTTGATTCTCACAGCAAGTCCATTCAACTAACATCATACCAGGGAAAATGAGACCCTTCAGCTTCTTGACAAGCATCGCCAATCGGGAGGTGAACGTTCCGTCTCCACGATTTTCTACCTCATGTCTTTACAATCGCTTGCTCGCTCCCCTTTTCGCGTTGTTGATGAGATCAATCAAGGAATGGATCCTCGTAATGAACGAATGGTGCACGGACGTATGGTCGAGATCGCATGTCAGGAACACGATAGCCAATATTTCCTCATCACGCCAAAACTACTTCATGATTTGAAATATCATCCAAGAATGAAGGTTCTGGTTATTGTGAGTGGTGAACATATGCCAGATGATCATACGAATTTCAGTGTAAAAGGTACGCTGGAGACCAGGAGACGTATGAGGGGTATTGCCGCTGCGTAGGTATTCACATATAGCATTGGAGTTATGGATAGGGGCTGTTGGTAGGGCCGGTGTTATGGTGTGCTGGTGTACCGAGAGGATCTTTGCTACATCCTATTTATTGTGCTTTATGATGTTATGATACCCGGGGGACAAGGAAGGTATTATGTCTATGGATGGATCATTCTCGCACGGATTTTGGTTGATGACGAAAGCATCCAAGTTTACATCTACCGCAATGTAAATTCTCATTTCACCTGAGCCCATATCGTTCAATTATGTAATCTAGTTTAGTCCTCGTAATGTATTCAAAGCACCAATTAGGATCTTTCATCGACTATAAATTTCCAATCACGTATATCATCTCCAAACGCAAGATACTGCCATAACTGGCCCCTCCCTAAGACAACGTGCGCTTATTCTAGTCTTACCTCAAGTTTCGCATCAAGGTCTATTCGTCGAAATATTTTCTTAACACACTTTTTCTCTCGATTCGAAGTTCACATCTGCGTTTACACTTTACGCATCTTATTTATGCTTATCTATTCTGAGCATTTAGAGAGATTGGAAACGTGCATGGGGCTCTTGAAATCGTCTCGACTATTGAATTTGCCCAGGAACCGACACTAGCACTGAAGATAGCATACCATACTCCGTATTCAGCTGTTCACAATCTTGCACGAGTTCATGCGATAATATGAATAATTGCCGGTTTTTTTTCGGATACTTTTAATATTAATGGAATGATTTAATACTAATTCGAAACGAGGCTGTATATCCTGTAAAGGATGAATTCGAAGTCTAAATAAGTGTAATCAAGTGTCATCTCTGGAAGATTGAGGAATGATTTCCATAACCCATCGATTTCCCAACAATCATTCCATTTCTTCGACTGCATCGCTGTCCTCCGCGTAGGAATCTATATTCTTTCTTTTTTTGGATTCTACGCTGATCCTGCGTTCCAAATATGAAAACACCATCCCCTTACCAATGATCCGATCATAATGCCTACGAAGCTTCTCTAGATCTTCAAGCGACTTATGATCCCCTAGTACTAAACGTAGAATATCATTCAGACCGTTCTCGCTGTACCTTTTTTTCCATTGAAACCTGCTTGCGGAAGTAGGACCACATGGTAGACAATTCGTCATACCCTGGTCGAAAACCCGGTCGATCCATCTTCGAAGATCTAGCAGGTCCCGCGCTGACATGCTTATTACGTCCTCGGCTAAACGTTCATTCAATCTTTTTAATGAGGGAACCGTGTCTATCCATGGGATTCTTCCACTGGTTTTGTCTTTCCGAAATGACTTTTCTAGTTTGCTGTGGTATTCTTCCCGTAAAGTTTCTAGAGCATGCGAACTATACTCAGCAATTTCGTCCGTAAAGTCGCCCTCGATCCCATCTCCGTCATTAGTATTATCATTCGTGGCTTTTGCTTCTTTGGGCGTTGCTGTGAGTGCTGCGAGTTTCCTCTCGAATACTCCCGTTATGAAGCAGAGTCGACGAATTTCAGTCTTTAATTTAGACCTCTCGAAAATTAAGGTATTATCTGTTCCGGGTTCAGGTTCGGGCTCTGCAGCACTAAATTCTGCATAATCCTACCATTTGCGTCAGAAAAATAGATTCATTTAGTAGCGGCTTTCGACTTGACATACCTCTTCCTCATCTGAGGGTATTTCGGTAGCAATCGTAATGTCTGCATCAGGGAGCTTGATTTCTTCATCCTAGGTTTTGTGTAAGGTTAAGATGTCTTTGATTAAATGCTACTTGGCTTACCTCCAAGCCTGGAACGATATCGAAGTCTTCAGATGGAGTGACCTTCATGATTGCAAAGAGCTTTGGTATAAAGAAAAATCCTGGCATTAGAATCGCGGGTGTCGTCCGAAGTTGAAGGACCAAATCATGAAAATATTGGCTGATACTTATGTAACAACGACGCAAGTTTGATACTGGGGAAGATGCGACTCTGAAGATTTCTGATAGAAAATGCTGGATATTATGGTACACACGCGTAATTCGCTTTTAGTCTTAGAATGAAATAATATGATGCTACGTTGTGAAGAAAGAGAGCTTAATATTGATGAAAATATATATACACAGACATTTGGTTGTCATTTCCTCTGCAAGTCTCTTGATAAATAGATCTAGCTTGGTCAACAGGAAAGCACCACCTTGAGTTTGAAAAGGTAATATATGGTTTACTGAGATATTAGGAGAGATCTCTATGATCGGATGGAAGGAACCTTGGGCACCACTTGTCATATCTTCTATAAGCGTACACATGTGATCTCAATGATAGATTGAGATTTTGGTATAAACTCGCATGCGCCCAAGTGGGTAGTCGTTTCGTTTATTTCTGTAGACTTGCCATTAGGTACAAGTGAAGTGGGTAGTTGACGATGCGAAACACAGATGAATGTCAAACAACGCAAATCGGTAGGAGTTTCCATCACGCTCTACAATATCTCAATTCTCTAACCCTATGCAAATGGGAATTATAAGTGTGTGAAAAGCGCATGCGTCTTGCACCTTCTTGTTTTGACTCCTTTGGGGTTTTGCGTTTCGAGAATTTTCTTCTTGGGCGCGAGATATCGATTAAGAGCGCTTCTCTTCATATATATGCCATCGCGCCTTCTTCCTCAGTTTGATATCCCATTTCTTCGTCTCACTATCGAACTGATATCGAAGGTTCGAAGTAGAGAAGTCTCGGTGCAATTTGCTTCTTTCCCAGGACTAAATCACTAATCTCGTTGAACATGTACCTAGTATGTATCGCTACGTCCACGGAGTTGCAATTATAACTTGACGACGTACAACTACCACCATCAAACAATTACAATTATTTCTTAGAAATAAACTCCGCAGCACATCAAACGCAAAACTAAACATCTTCAGTCGAAATCTCAAAATATCGTGCCATAATTTACCAAACCACAACAAATCCATCAGAGATAATTCTCCAAAGTGCTTATTCCCATTCAATATAAAGTTTGCAAAAAGTATATTGATGAGGTAGGGGCATGTCTGGTCAAAAAGTGATTGAATTTTCAGATATGCAACAATTAAAAAAGTTTGTGAGGTGGGTTGGGCACATGACTTTAGGTATTCACTTCTTTTCCTTGTCGTTGGAAACTGGAGGAGATGTATTTTGAGGCGAGGATGGTTGGGGAAAATTGCTGTGAGAAGTTGAGGTAATTTGGAGGAATAAAAATGATGAGATGTTTAACCTTTTACTTAGCAGGTATAGCTCTGGATGAGATCGAACAAAGGAAATGCATTAAGTGGTCGGGCCAGAAATGTAAAGAATAGAGCTAACTCTAATTTCACACTCGCGCAAACGGAAAGAACATTAAATTAGCAGAATTTTCCTCGTTGAGATTTATAATACACGTGCTAATATTAATTCGTTCCTTCCCTCATGAAATTAAGCTTGACATAGATCGTAACATCTATTGAACACCAACCAAATCCGTTGTCAACATACATCTCAAACACAATGTGTCATTCCCAAAGACGTTAGCATACAATGAACGCACTCAACGAAAGAACACAGACCTTCGACATCTTTCCCGACCTACCCCTTGAAATACGACTTAAAATTTGGCGTCACACTCCTCATCTATTCCCGCGAATCATCGAAGTCAGACCCTACCTAAGTCCGACTAAAGCGTGGGATCCCCTTACCACCAAGCATCATGTCAGGGCGACGACACCTCTCATCCTCCTGCAAATCAATCGTGAAGCTCGAAGAGAGTTACTCCCATTCTATACTCGGCTTAGCTCAGACGTGAGGCTTAATCTTATTCTCGATGCCGATTCAGCCTCGGTCGGCCTGCATGAGAAACCACCATGGGTCAATTTCGCGGTGGATACTTTATACTTCAACACAATTTGGAGTACTGGCGAAGAAGTACAGTACTTCTCTTTTGTGCAGCGATTATTCCAAGACTTTCATAGAGACAAACAATTGGTACGAAGAATTGCGGTGGGGATCTTTTCAGAGCTAGCCAAAGCTTTTCATGATATTGTTCTACGGAATATTTATAACCCTGATGGGACCGACGCTATCTATATGTTCCCGAAACCAACTCTCCTGGAGTTCAAAGACTTGGAACAACTGGTCCTCATCAACGAGTCCAATCACTTGAGGGCTGAGAGGAGATTGATTGCGTTAGAAGATGACGAGAGCTACGATGACCGATACACGATCGTACCGGAATTGAAAAAGATCGAAGACGAGCGTATGTTAGGGTGGAAAGTACCCAAGATAAGGATCTGTTCAACGGTTGCAGCACCGGTCGACAACCAAGAAATGGAGTCGCAGAGCTCCTACTTGAGGAGGGTATATGGAGAGGATTTTGTTGACAGGTTCATGGCCCCGCATTGAAATGGAGAGTTTGACTTGTAATTTTACAATGAATGCAGTGAATAGCATTGTTACTGCAACAGAGCAGAATCTTATTAAATTCAAATCGCTCAAAACACGAACTATTCAACCTATTTGAATTGACCAATTCACTCTCATAGATGACCATTTCCAGATGTTCATAACTTTTCAAATATCGAGAACTTGATATCTAATCTTCTATTGCAGATGGTGAACGCTGTTTTTAGATGTAATAATCGAATTTACCCGTCCAAACGTACTCAGTTCGATTTTACACTTGTAAGATTAACTTGAGCCCTTGACCACTTGAGCATTCCGCAACGGTATGATAAATCGCGTGCCCCAACGGGGAACAGGCCTTTCAAATTTAAACATGAGAGTTTCTTTTTTTGATTGTCTACAATGAATGGCATTTTGAAAAATGCTAAGAAACTTTGGGCCTAAGAGATTCATTTCGAATATGAGCTTGGGATTATGATTTATGCGTCGTAGGTATCTCCTACTTTTTGATGTTGTTGTCTGAATCTGATGGTGTGGGATAATTAATTCACCAAAATCGCCACATCTCGGCTTACGTAATATTCTACCTGATCCTGGTCGGTTCCATGGTGCACGCAATATATAGTGAAGTAACATTAAACTTCTTCAACAACTTGCCTTAATGGTAAAATGACCAGATCGAGTTCACTCGATCATCACTCTCGGTCGTCTAGTTGGTTTATGACGTCAGACTGTAATTGTTCATTGTAATCTGGATGTCGCGTGTTCGACTCACGCCTGAGAGAATCATATTTTTGCTTTTTTGGGAGGTTTTTGAGACTTCATCACATTCTTTTCAGCCTTTTCGCTGCGCAGCTTTTTTTGGATGGAGGTAGAGTGGAGGTGTGGATGGATGGTGGATGATGAGTGGAGATATAAGGGCTAACCGAGGGATTGATGCACGAGCATTGATGAATCAACCCTACTCGAAGACCAAATAAACCAAAAACCCACGATTACCACTCCCAAATCCCATTGGATTTTACATACATCCCTCCAGATATTCCAATCTCTCCATTATGAAACACTCTGCAAAACACCGGTATCTGAGGAAATGTCTCGTCTCCCAGATCCAACACCAACACACCACGATAGCCAATCTCAAGACCTATCAACATTATGCATCTCTTTGGTAAAACGACAACCCTTTCCAATTTTTGCACACGCTTTTTCAGGACACTGATGGCCCAGCAAACATTTTTCATCTTGGCACTCCAACTTGGATGGACATGGTTTGTACCGTGAGATGAACCGGCGAGCATCAATCCCTTTCTTGTCAAGTCTTGTCCCATGCAGAAAGCTGCATTGATCATATGAACATTCTCCCAGAAAATGGAACATGTTGCAATGTTTTTTGCTTCTCATCATATTCAAGAGCGGTTGGGGCGGGGTAATGATGGATTCGAGACGTTGCCCCTTACTGTTTCGCGGTACTGGATAGCGCCGATGTATGGGAGTAGCTACCAAATGATCACTAGCTCCATCAATACTGAGCGCATCTGAATCGGCATGGCTCACCACTGTTGTAGCATAGCTGGGGATATTTGGGGTGGCGCTTCGAGGAGGCGTCGTCGAGAATGACACTCGCCGGGTTGATAGCCTTTTTTTTTTCTGAACACACCAGGCAGGCGAGCAACAGAGAACTTCTCTTTCAGGATTGCTAATTCCTTAGCAAATGGTGGTCCTTCAAGCAAAACGATTTGACTACTCTTCGCACCACACCCACGTAAGGCTGGAGAAGCCGCGCATACCCATTATCCGCAGACCCACCGAATATGACTGCTCGACACTGAACATCGGCCATATCGTGATTGAAACATTCTACAACGTATATCAGTGGATGTCTTCCAGTTACGAAGAATTTGCACATTCCGTGAATTTTTAGAAATTACCTTTCAGTTTCGAATCCGCACATTCTTTCCCGTCGCCCACATCGACGTAATCGCACGTGGGATATCCCATATTAAAACCACGAACAAACATATCAAGGCCATCTACACTATCCAAAATTTTGTGTGAATGTATGCCGATGCCAAGCCTTTCTCATTTGCATAGATCCGAATGCGAATTGAAGTCTGGATTGGTAACACAAGCTCCTTCGAAACGTACTCGCCCACTTTGGTCTTTAAGCGCTGGACTGCTTCCAGCCCTCCTTGCTGAAATGATTTGACGAGATCATCGCAAAACTCACCTTACTTAGCTAGGAACAGAACTGACGACGTATTTATAACTCAAAAGAAATGAATTCCTACATACCGGCATGCAATCACCATCAATCAAAACCGACACAAAACTATTGGAATCCTTCAGATGCAGTCAATAAACATGTTCAATAAAGCAGTTTTTCTTGGCAACCATACTATTCTTTCCTCGATTCTCCCAAGATTCGCCTGCACATCAAGGAGCTTCGACTGGTACAATTTCGCAGTATCCTGTTCACACTCAAGATGTAACTTCGTCTCCGTAAGACTACTTTCCAGCTCCTTGATACGGATAAACAATTTCTATCAATAGTAATCATCTGTTAGCGATGTCAGCGGGGTATGAAAACAATTTATTACCCTCAACAAGTTGATCCTTCCTCTCTTCAACCTCTTTTAACTTATGGAACTGCTCCTAAAATACTTCAAGAGAAACCATGGCTACCATTAACAGCACAACACATCAACAAATAACTATCATGCCTTCATGAATACTTCCTTACGAACAATCAAGGTTTAAAAAGGTTGGAGATGAATTGCAGAAATACAATCTGGGTGACTTGGCTTTACATGTCATGTGAGGGATATGCAATACTACCTTAAATTTGGATGGATGTTGGTTCACCCAAGAAGCCCTGCACAGAGCCTCGCTTCATTCCAACTTGTATGTTTTATGCACATCCCCAACCAATAGATTACTTCTTTGTAGGCTCCTCGTGAACAGGCTCCTCGCGAACAGGCTCCTCTTGGACTGGTTCCTCTTCAACTGGTTCTTCTTGAACCGGCTCCTCTTCAACTGACTCCTCCTTAGGCTACGCAAAAATAATCCGCAGGTTGCAGATATCCATGGGTTATCCGACCCACAGGTTACCCGTTAGATCTATAACCCACCCTGTAGAGCCCCATTGCGATTTTAAGATAATCCGTTCTGCAAATGGATATCCGTGGATAATCCATAAGTACCTATATATAGAATCAGGTGATTAAAAAATGTGGGAATAACTTCAAAATTAAACGAATATCCATTTTGATAAATAATTTGCGGATAGTTTGTAGATAATCCGTAAATAATCTGCAAATAATTCATTTATCCACAGATCGATGGATTATCTGCAAATTGATGAATACTTGCAAATAATCCACAGGTTACCTATCCAGATTTTCCAATAACCCGCCCTGCAAATGGGTTATCCGCGGATTACCCATCAAAGCAATAATCTGCCCTGTGGAGCCCGGTTGCGCAGCCTACTCCTCCTTAACAGGGTCCTCTTTGACTGACTCCTCTTCTCCAACGGGATCCTCTTCAGCTGCCTCTTCCTCAACTGTCTTCTCCTCACCTGATTTCTCCTCCTCAGCTGGCTTCGCTTCAATTAGCTCCACTAGCTTTCCCTCGGCTGGCTTCTCCTCGACTGCCTTCTCTTCTTTTGTCTCCTCCACAACTTCCTTTGCCCCTTCCACGTTAATATTTTCATTCTCTTCAGGGTAGGTGATTCCACAATGATCTCCGCAGGCGCGAACAATTTCCTCTCCCATCATCGCATGAGGGTTCTTGCCAAATAATTCTCCTCCAGGTTTAAACTTCTCACTTGCAGGGCATTTATTACAAAACTCCTTGATAGGCTTACATCTGTCCTCGAGCATATATTCAGGGATGCGAAGTCTGCGGAAACGTTTACCGAGCTTACCCTGCACACAAGCTTCGTGAGAGGGAAAAATCTAGTGATGAGTCAGCAGGTAAGTAAATGTGTGGCCTTCTGCCCATGATCAAGACAAATCGAAGTAGAATGGAACATACGAAAATACTTTTGGGGTCACCAGGGGGTCCCACGTAGACGGTTCGTTCGTCGCTGTTTAATTTGCCTTTACCGCCGCATTCATCACAGCGAGGTTTCTGGGAATTGTTAGCGGTATTCAGTTGATATACACAGAATGTTAACTTACAACTGGAATACCTTGTACTAAAGTTAAGGCCATAATGGCAGCGATAACAGCTTTTGAGAAATACATGGTGAAATGTTTTCTGTTGATGATTTTTGGGGGATGAAGAAAATTTCAAAGGAAGGAGATAATCAAAGTCTTGTATAAGATTCCACAAGAAACTTTTTCAGTTCTTCAAAGCTACAGATGGCGCGATCGAGTCCGTTGAAAAGAAACTTTCTCTTTTTTCGAACTATTAGATGTAATCTAGCTAATTTGGTCAAGGTCCATCTGTCTCTGGTCTGTAAGAGGAATCCTAAAGAGGTGTTAACACTTGTTCATATCTTTAGTGGAAGGCCGGCTCAATGACTGACTATTTCGAGATCGGGATTGGAGAAGTGGGAGGATAGATGACCAACTTTGTGAACTATTAGAGACTAATGGAGCCGGTTGCTTTGGTGCGTCAGGTTGTATACATGCTCCATTGAAGCTATGGTGTAAGTGTTTCGTAAGAAATACTTCCAAATCTCGAAAGGATATAGTGACGAATTCAACTCTAGCTGCTCTTCCGATCGGATACTTGTGGTCAGGAAGGCCAATTCATATTGGATCCTGAAGAAAACTGCGTTTTCATGTGACAAAATATGTGAGTATTCGAGATCGATATAATCATTCTCGGCTTCGAAAAAAGCACATAATGGATTATCTATCGTTAGAAATACAAGTTTAAATGAATCGTGTTCAAAATTTTAAATATTCTAGCCAATGGGTCGATGAACTAGTTCTCTAGTTTCACTAATCCTCTCTTTCCATACGCCATCCTTTAGTAAGAATTTACGAGACTAATAGAAATTCTCCTACCGATCATCGATATAGAATCATACAATGTTATTCAAGTTAGCAAAGAAATATTCCCAGTCTCTGACCATTCCTTTCGCAAACCAACCGAGCAGATACATACCTCCCCAATATCATCATCAAACGAATAGTCGTCTCTTCCCCATCCACCGCACGTCAAATCTCAGAGCCTCATCTCCACACTAGCATTAAATCTTGATTCCTATCCGCCACCCACCGGTCCATCGCTAGCTCCCTATCCTCAACAAATCCCACAAATCCCCTTTTCCCATTGGATAATTTCACAATCTACCATCATGGCATCATACCTCGTGATTTAGTACTGAAAATTTTAAGGTTTTTTGTTGCGTGTCTGATGTTTGTGTGCAATTTTTATGTACATGTAAGACTTATACTCGAGTATATGTGGGAAGTTGGACTGCTTTCTTGCTTTTTATGAATTTGATTGATTTTGAATCTATACTGTATCTATGCTTTACCTTGATTATTTATATCCCATGATTTATTAGTACGAAAATTTGATTTGATTGCTTGATATATGCCTGGTGGTGTTGTGTATTATGTAGGTGTATATTTGTATTTACAAAGTTATTCCCAGATATTTTGCTGGGACTTACTACTTGGACTTTACTTCTGGGAGTTAAGTTATGAATATGTTATTATAAAGTCTCTCTCTACATCTATTAGACTGAATCTCTATCTCGAATCTTAGTTAATAATCCCTGACAACCAACTACCTATCTAACCATGATATCTCATGAGGAGCCCCAGACTCCCAGATGATCAAGTACGCTAGTGCAGTATTTGGAAAGCAAAAGTTCATCTATTTATCTGTAACTGCTTCATTTCATTTCCTCTTCCATACCATCAAACAATGTGTTACGATGATCTTCTCGTAAGATTACTTCGTCCGTACGGCTATTCTGTGATTTGTTGGAATTTGATGGACTTTGGGAAGGTTTATTATAAAACTTTTGAATTATATATATAGTCAATCTAATTATTAAAAAGCCCACTTTTCCATCCTGTATTTTGGGTTGATATTGTTTATTAGATGGTTGTGGTGTATTGAAGCTTTGAATCATTCAAGATATCACTCAGATATCTGGTCGAGCGGGAAAATAGACGAAATAATTATATCGTGATAAAAGTACACGAAGAACGAGGTTCTCTAATCCAAAAATCTAAATAAATCGAACCGTAGTCTAAGTCTGAATTATTGGGGATATATAGTATCATCAATCAATTGTTTAGCCAAGTTTACCCAAACTTTAGATTATCCCCGAGATGAATACATATCTCTGGAATCTCTTCCTTCTTTACATTATCTCTTCCAGTTTCTTCCCATGTAACTTAATTTCATATCTCAAACTTGTCCCCTTGGGAGTTCTTTCCTAGTAACAACTAATTCTTATAGTAGTTTTAGAAAGGGGATTGGAACTTTGATCTTTGACCTAGAAGAAAGAAAACAAAGAGATAGATATTCTGTGAAATCATTTATGATAGCTTCGATTTACCAATTTTACTCCATATAATGACTTTGGCTACCTCACTATTCTATACAAAAGACACCATTTTATACAATAAACACTACCATCAATGCCCACCATGCTGCACAAAATGTAAATACCAACCAAGTACTTGAAATCGATTAAACAGATTTCTGGTTAGGACATGTTGGGCATTAATTTAGCGTCCAGAGATGCGATTCCTAATTTGGAAGTTCTTCAAGTAGAAGTAGAAATGCATTGCATATGTTTGTGAGACAAGATCGATGTTTTAGTAGATGTGTGAAGAAGAGTAAGAGAATAAAGTAGGTAATCCATATCTGGAGTAAGTGAAATCACAAATCATAACCTTACAATACAAAGATACGTGATAAATGAAAATTGTCTTCTCTATTTCCTCCTCTCTTCCTCATCTTCCCATTCTCCATTGGCCTTCCATCACTCTCCAAGTCTATGAGAGGATAACTACCATACAAACCAAAACCAGTACACGAATATAAATTTCCTCCATCCTAACACCAAGATCATCATCTCAGGCCTTAAAAAGTCTCAGCACTTAGGATTCAGCTGCAGGACGCACCACTCAATCCATAGCGAACGTAGCATATGCTCTCAACTACCTCACTTAAGCTTCCCCCTTCCCAAGGAAACAAATATTCGCATCACGATCTAACTCTCCATATCACACTGTACACATCATTTGATAATCAAGTATGACATACATACAAGATCTACATCATCTCCACAACGCCACGGATATCCATCACCTAAAGGAGTCCGGAGTATGTATGTATGCTGTGCATGAATTTGTCTTCTCACTGATAGGTATATGAAATCAAGGCGAGAATGAAGTACACGTAAAAAAGTATGTGACAAATCCAATCACTTGACTAAATTTTACACCGCGAAGTAAAGGAGATGAATCGAGTGGATGGAATATGTAATATGGATTGAAATGAATCTTCCTACCTACCGATCAATCGCTCGGGTCATAAGAATCATAGCTGACGGATGACTATCAGCCCGTCTCTCCAACCGCCACCTTCATCAGCAATTACATTACCAAATAGCCATCGAAATATCCATCTAGCGCCCTTAAAGCCGATGCGATCCAATTCTGTCTTACCCAATCCCATCCTACCGCTCCTATCCTATCCCATACCCACGAATCCTCGCCCAACATTTCATCACCTAATCACAGCCTATAATCCGGACCATCATTCCATTTAAAGCATCTAGGCACGAAAGCGGCGCCGAGCCTACCGTCGCATAAATCTCCTAACAGCTACCTACCAAAACAACCAACCACCAACAATAGATAATATAATCAGCCTACTCTCACTCAGCGCGTCTGCTCACTATGACTCAACTCCATAACACGACACGCTCACATGTTTTGGGCGATCCTCCGGGCGCGAAAACATGTGATATTTAATACCTACCTACCTACCTAGTATAGATGAGACATTTGAAATGGAATGAATAAGGATAAACAGACTGGCAGGGGGGTATCCAATGAGGAATCAAGTATATACGTAGGCAAATAATTAGATCGGGCGGGTCTGATCGAGATTAGGGTCATGTGCGGTATAGGATTCGAGGACTTGGTAGTCATGTATGTATCATAATGTATGTGTGAGCTGGAACGGTAAACGGTCTCTAGGAATCTTGCAGAATAGACGGTGAAGTGAAGGAAGGAATAGAAGGAATGAGGATACTGTATGCATAGGTCAATCGGTGTGAAGAAGTGTATAGGCATATCATAGCCTTGTCTTGCCCTGATTTGCCTTACCGACCGAGCTCTGCAGGTCCAAGGCTTCTTCAAAGTTCAAGCTTCATACTTCATACTTCATACTCCAAGGCTATCTATCAGATCCGCTATTATCCAAAAAAGCAAAACGAAACAAAACGAAACTAAAAATCGCAAATGCACGACTTCATCAGTCTAACCAAATGCATGTACTCATCTATCCAACGCACGCATCCAGCGGCCACAGCTCACCGCGTGCGAACTGCGAGCCGCGTGCTCAGCACATGTTATTACTGTATTCGAATTCCCAACATGTATGTACAGCTTCTAGAAAGCGACGCATGTTCGCTTGTCATTGAACTCATCTCATTTCGTTACATCCACATCGATATCCACATCCACATCATCCATACTGACACGGCTGGCTCAGGTGAGTGGGATGGTGAGACGGTCACCTTGCTAGTTTGATATGCAGCTAGTGAATTACCTAGACTCATTTGGTAGAGTCAAACCAAGTGAAGTCAAGTCAAGTCAAGTCAAGCAAAGTCATGAATATGAATATGAATAAAGCGATCGACTGGTTTCAATTAAGGACTAGGTATATACTGTAACATCATAACTACTGGCGAGACTGGACTAGGCTGGAGCTGGGCTACCGCCTGCATTCAGCAGCTGAGTTGTGTACTTCTGTAGGCAGCAGGCAACCATTACGGGAAAAGGAAGCGAGTTTAGGAAAACATTCCATGCTTCGAGAAGGATTGAATCAATCCTGTCTCTGTAGTTTATTGAATAAACTCTTGACGAAATGAAATTATCACGAATGAAAATTAAATAAATTAAATAAAAAAAACTATTAAAGAGTATTTCTTTATAACATCTATTATATAATAATATTTTAGTTATATTATATAATATAACTCATATCATATCATCGAAGGAGATTGTCCTCAAGTCCGGAATTCCGTGTAACAGTACCTAGGTATCTAAAATGACATTTCTATCAGGGAAAAACCATATGACTTCCCAATAATCCAATCATCATCTCCTCAAGACTAAGAAATCCTTCCTAGTCCTTCTAGAAAATTTCCTGTTTAGTCTCTAGTCTCTAGTCGCTTTGTGTACCCATACAGTTAAGGCATTGACACATCTACCTAGTCATCCATCCATCTGGTGATTCATTCCATCCTAATATCTATCTAGTACGGTTATGTACAGTTAGAACCCCTCCTCCTTCATCCATACGGCAAACCCGACAGTGAAGAAGAACAGAAAGCTGACAAAGCAAAAAAAGCTGAAGAATATTTTCAGCATATACATTACATTTAAATGAATGAATGGGTTGGTTGCCAAGTTCGCATATTCTATCTCTCCGTATTTTGTTCATACATATATACATGACATACACACCAAGGTACAACAACAAAAGATACATACTCAAGAAATGAGACGAGACGAGCCATTCCCCCAACGATAAAAGATCGGAAAGTCTGCTGATGTGAAAATAAAAATACATATATAAATAAGGTTACTCTGTGTATATAAATATAAATATAAATATGAAAATTATAAATACATCAATTGAATATTATGGAGTATATGGATACTTGATACCTAATATCTATCTACCTATGTATAGGTCCTCTGGATAGGATTTTTTTGGATTTGATATGATATGATATGATTGGATCTGATATGATTGGATTTGATTAGGTATGACTAGGGATGATATACTCTGTATTAATGTAGGATAGGTATTATGTGCAGAGACAGAGTACTCCGTAGATAGATTAGAAAGATAGATGATTCAGGTAGGGATGGTATTATATCATACTCGTTGTATATCGTAACTTACACTGTATAACCTTAGTTAATCAATCAATATCAATCAATCAGATAGATAAACAGATACTTGTCTCTCATAAAACTACTGTATCTCACAAACCCATTTCACCGTAGAAAGCAAATCCCCAATACCTCCCCTCCCTCCACTTACGGAGTACGTACAGAGTACAGGATCATATTAACAAGGAAAGCCCAGCAAGACTATCATGAAAAGAGATGGCTTTCTTGACCGACATGACACTCACTCACTGATTGACTCACTCAGCTGTCCGTCTGGGCATGGAGGCGTGATCTATGACTGATGGATGAATAGCTGATACTACCTAGGTACAGAAAATCAGAAAATCAGAAAATCAGAAAATCAGAAAATCGCACCCCCAATAGCGGAAGAGGGTCCCGTTCCTAGGTATGATAATCGCGTACCATACATAGCATACCATGCCATAGCATACCATACTCCGTACATACATACATAACCCATAACCTTACAGTACATACCTCCGTACCTAGCCAACAACACAACGAACGCGGGGGACACAACCCAAAGAGGAAAAAAATCCTCATCATCAGATTTATTTCACAACTACTTTTATATTATAACCCATGTGTACATAACACCAACCCCATCTGCTCATCCATCGTCCACTCTCATTAGGTACGATGTTTTACATTTTGATGATGTGTTTAACTTTGTCCTTGTCACCTGATGACTTATGCTAAGATTTGTTGTTAGGACTTGTTGTTACGGTCAAGCCCAAGGGATCTCGGATTTCGATTCTCGCGCTTCGTTGTCTCGTCACAACTGGATTGATTTGGGAAATTATTGAAGCTCTCGTGATTGATTGATGTGTTCTAGCTGGCTAGGTAGTAAAAAAAGGTATCCTCGCATGGTTTGGTATGGTATGACCATGACTGGACCGACGAGAACAAGCGCATTGTGAAAAGATTGATCCAAAGGAAGAAAGAGACTTGATTTCGTGCTGGGTGACTGACTGACTTGAAAGCTCGGACATTTTTCTTTTCTGTCTGTCTGACGCTTGCGTTTTGCAGCCTGGGCTGGGGTGGATGAGATTGACTCATCGATGGTGATTTTCGGACACACGAAATTGACGATACCCAAAGGACACCTTTTTACAGTTGTCGGTGTTAAGGAAAATGAGAAGTGGGATTACTATCTTTTTTTTTGGATCCGGATTTTGGATTTGATGATATCGAACTTTCTCGAAGATACTTTCGGTACATACTACACACTGAACGCTCGAGCGGAAGAGAAGTATCTCAAATCTTCCACTCTCGATTCCCATGAGGGGAAAGCGGATACTCACTTCCCTTTACATTTGGTATACTGCAGGCCGTAATCACGACGCCGGAAACGAGCATGAAAAAAACGCCATCAAAGCAAGCTGCAGCATAATGCTGATACTTATCGTCACCCAACCAATCAATCTGTAGCATTTTGAAGAAGCGGGGGACGTTTTCGATAAGGTTATTGGCTGTGTGCTTCATGGATATTATTACTGTTTGTACGGAGTATGAAAATGTTCTCCTATTTGCTATCAACTCCTCTATCGAGAGGCGTTTGCTCTTCAAGATCACTCGGCCGGTGACAGAGCTATAAACTCGATCTCATCGAGAGTAATGCTTACGCTGATGAATCTTTGGGACTTTGATGTGAAGATATGACTGGTTTTGGGAGGCTGAATAAAACACCCTGTAGATATTTTATTCCTCTCCTTGCCTCCAGATATAGAGAGGGCTGATGGATTTGGCTGAGTGATGTTTGGATGGTGTTACAATAAAGGTCATGAAACTGGTGATGATACGGGAAGCATGGAAGCATACGGCTAGTGAGAGGTTGAATTCGTATATGGCAGCTTTTCTCTCGCCTCTTAATTTATTTTGCCTCGTCTTGGTGTTGCATCTATGATTTGAATCCCCGCTTGGCAGAAAGGCGGGTGAGACTTTGAGTGAGGGGTGATGGTAAGAAGGCAAACAATCGATGAGTAATTTCTCTTAGGCCCGATACTAAATGTGAATCTGTACCTGGATACCTCGGACAAAAGTTACGGAGTCGTATTCTTGCCATAACCGCCGTTTACCGACAGTTGAACAAATGATGGAATACGAATGTTGAACGTAATAGTGGTGGCAATAAGCTGAAGCTAGATTCAACTTCATCGTCCATCGTTCATCGGCCTTAGGTCGATTTGGATGGATCCATACTCTAGAACTCCTTTTCACATTTGTCATTGGCAAAACGGATGTACCGAATGAGGTGCGCAATGGAGAAGAGGCTGAGGAAGTCATTCGCGTTTCTCGGACTCGCATTATCAAAGCCATTCCCGCACAGCACAATCCATGGCCTATGCATCCGATAGTCCTGTAATGATTAGAAATCTCAGGTCAACTCAATTACATGAAAGAGGGGAGGAGGTTTGAAATAGAACAGAAAGAAAGTTATTCGTATGCCCAATGCGTTTCACGAGATTTGCACCCCACATTCATCTAGATCTCAAATGCCGATACACTCTTGTTTTTTGAGCTGCCTCGGAAATCCGTCGTTGGAAGAAAGTCCTTGGATGAATCGCAAGGCTATGCTCAAATATTCATCACCGCTTCATTGCGACAGCAAAGACAAGCTGGGCTGAGTGATATCTCCTCCCTCTCCTGTGCAAGGCTCAATCAATGTAGCCGATGAATTGAGAAATGTTGTTGTAACGGATCATCAAGGAGAACCCGAAAATTTGAATGGCAATACAACCAAATCAGCCAGGCACTCCTGCCATCTCTCCGTCTGTTGAGGTTGAGAATCATACCATATCTATGGATCAAGTAACACAGAAGATATATAAATCTAGGGAAACACTGCATATTCTGCACGACATAGGCGTTCTTTTCAAGAGATAATGAGGCATGAAGCATAAATCATATGGAAGGCTCGGAATTGCATGTTCTGTTCTTGGAATACTGATAATTCTCTCCGCATCATTTTTTGAGTGGCGGAGGAAGAAAGATAATGCGATGCAGCGATGCAACGAAATGAATATTCTCCTCATATCAAATCGAAGCATTTCAACGTTTTAATTTGTTTTTCCTTTGTTAAACCGTCAACTGACACTTTTCTGATGAGCTTCCCGTAGTAATAACAATGACCACATTTTTCTCTTTCTCTTTCTTGCCTTCTCTGTTCGGATTTCTCCTTCTGTTCTTGTATTTCTCGGTTGGCTTGGGAGTTAGTTGGCTTGAATGGCTTGGAATTTGGCGATGAATGATTCAATATGATTTGTAGGAATTGGTAAGAAAAGACTCATCGATGCACATTGCTTGCTATTTACATCTCTCTAACCGCACCGCACGCATATTTTTTGGTCGGGATTAGAAGATTATCCTTGTCCTTGAAAAGCGACGCCAAATGTTTTTCCCATTCTCTCCTCCGTTCCCCCAGTCACATCCTTCCGTCTGTTGGCGATGGATTGAAAATACTTTGGTTCCTTTGCTTCACCGTAATCATTTCTCTGTGCAATGAAAAGATTGTGACCATTCAGAAGGAGTAGATTTGAAGCGCATCTCATTAGCTAAACATAACACAACCATGCCGAACGATAGGAATTGTAACAAAACAGAGCCCATGCCCGCCTGGTATTGAAAGGCTTCTTCTATCTTCATCGTCAAAATGTATGATTCCAGAAAGATTTAACTCAGCGGCTCCTTGAAGTCTGCAAATAATTCTCAAAAACATTATACACAAACTCAACCCAATCTCAACTCAATCATCAATTTATTCGGATCTGTTATTCTCTTGTTTTAAAAAAAAAGTAAAGCGAAAAAAGGAAAAAAGTTATTTGTTTATCTTTCCAGGAATTATTATTATTATTCATTCTTCATCTCTATCTATTCTACGGAGCATCTCGAAAGTTAACATTGGGCCCTTGGGAGTTCTTCATCTGACTTCTTATTATTCTCATTATTGATACCATCTTCTTGCTCCACGGTTTCACGGCTCAACTCGAATTCGTATCATATCATTCATATCATACGGTTCTCCTACGCTCATCAATATTCTTACCCGCCCAACCCCAAGACAGCCTGCCTGCATTGCGACCAAAAGAAGCCGTGGTTGACTGACCATCATTTTCGCCTGGCCGCCTCCTAAAACTGCGTACCACATCACTTCAGTCCGAGCATTATTCGACTCATAATCTCATACAAATCAAATCCAGTCAAATCAATCTAAATCCAACTCAACAGGCGTCAATCCAAATTTCCCCACGACTTACGAACTCTTTTGTACCATTTTCATCATTTCTACCTAAAATCCAGTCCTTCCACCTTGGACTTTCTACCCTTCTCCCTATCTACCTTACAATCAATCAATTCTTCCTTTGCCACCTGATCTTTTTTATTTATTTATTTATTTATTTATTTACTCATTTACTCATTTACTCATTTACTCATTTATTCACTTGTTCACTTATTTACTTCCTAAAAGGGAATCGAGGCAAAAACTTACTCATACGACTTCTCGATTGATTTATTCATCGTGGTTTTTATTCGTCACAAATACTTTTTTAACATCAAAAATCAACCTTATTTTCCTTTACTTTATTTACATTTACCTCTTTATCAAACCAAAACAAACAGACAACCAAGGTAGCCTGATTTGATTCTTTCTGGGGCGAACTTTCTTGCCTCGTACAGTGTTGGTTAGAGCTTCAGAGATTCATCACTGCTCAGTACATGACCGCAAGCACACTATTTTACCCAAGACAAAAAACCCCTACACGCCCGCACGCTACGACACCGGCCTTAGTGGATCGGAAGTTCAGTCTCGCCACTTAACAACCAGTCATATACCCCATCAATTTTAATCCCAAAAAGGTACCATCACCCATACATACCTAAGACTCTTAAGACTCACAGCCTCACCTCACCTCACCACCTCACCTTTTTCCCATGTACCCAAATAAGAGTCAAATGTTAACTTCATCTTAAAAGAAAGGCTTTATCTGTCTATCTGTCTATCTGTCTATCTCCTATCTTCGATCTTCGATCTTCTCTCTTACTTAAATATCCATCGTGACTTTTGAGTCGTAAAGGATCGAATAAGAGAAAAAGAGGAAAGAGGAAAGAACAGACGCATACTTCGAGCGTAAACTTTCTATTAGTGTCTCGGTCACCTTCGCAATCTTCGCCTCTCCAGATCAAATCAACTTATTATTACAAACACATTACTCACTCCACTCAATTCCTTTGTTCAATGACAACCATCGGTTTATAACCCTCGACTTTCCTTTAATACAATCACGAATACAAACATACGCCAACAACAGCACAACGATATTTCGAATGCTTCACTTCACCATTTTATAAAAGCATAGTTCCACATCAACTACGCTTCCTGCCCTTTTATCCAAAGTAGCGGCCTTCGATGGGACGCTGGTTTACTCAATAAACTAGCCCACCATTTATCATAACAGTTACCATTTCACTCGTCGGAAAGGTCAACATGCTCTTAGCTCCCACAACTTTTTCCCCAGTCGCCAGTCTTACATTGTCCAAATCTACCGGTTTTATCGTTCCTGAAGAAATCATCACCATCTCTTCTTCAATCTAGCCTTGCCCTCCTCCTACCTCGATCATCTAGCTCTGCAATAACGATAGTGTTCTTGCGCGAGCCTGTATCTAGTCAGAAGGTTTCCTAGGGACAGTCTATAACGGTATAATCTTGATTTTGGCTTTGTACAGACGGCGACTGGAGTTTTATTCCCAATAGAACTTTTTTTCTTTCCGATTTACAAAATACACCGAAGATGAATTGCGGCGAAGATGATTCGTCGCCTTACACCCCATTCCATAATGGTCCTTACAGTTCTTCTATAGCCTCGTCGGCTTCTTCTTCTACTTCTTCAGTGTGGTCGGATGCAGCCTCGCAGTCATCCGACAGCTCTTCTATTACAAGCGCATCCTCCGATTCCGAACCACCTTATTTCTGCGCAAATCAACTACCTCCTCCTATTACAGCAATCAACATCTGCGAAAAACATCCTACTATAAAATTTTGGCCACAACAAAGGTTACCGGCGGAAATCGCCCCGGAAGCAAGGCAAAACCCAAGGAGGACCAGTGTCGGATCCACCACCCGCACAGGACGTCCACCAACTTTGATACGTCAAGCTGATCGAAAGGTCAATTTCGTCGACAGCCTCGTCGGTAAGCTTATTATGAATTCCTGATTATCCCCAAGTTTATGCGCTCAACCATTACCTCCAGATTCGTCGGCTTTGATTGTCGAAGCGATATGGCCCCTTTCAACTGTCGCTTGTAGAAGCGAAATGGGTAAAGGTGTTCTTCCTTTGCGTATCTTCATCCAGGAAACTCTGAGACGATCAAGGACTAGTTACTCGACTCTTCAAGTCGCTTTGTACTACCTGATTTTGATCAAACCTTTTGTACCGAAGACCGATTTCACCATGGAGCAACCGGATGATACGCAATCCTTCAGAGCTTTACAGTGTGGTCGAAGAATGTTTTTGTCTGCGCTTATTCTCGCTTCCAAATATTTGCAAGATAGAAACTACTCGTCACGCGCTTGGAGTAAGATTTCTGGATTACCAACTTTAGAAATTAACCAAAACGAAATAGCCTTTCTCCTCGCCGTGAATTGGGAGTTACACATCACAGAAAAAGTCTTTCAGCGTTGGACTGACATTGTTCTCAACTACACACCATCGTCGCAACCTCCATCCTCGGGCGCTTCTTTAAGTATTGCAGAACAGTCGGTCGAATGGAAAAGAATTGTTCTACAGCTCAACCCAGAGTTGGACAACATTAAGGAAATTACAGGACCTTCTCAGAAAGAAGTTTGTGGTCTTCCGCTAAGACCTTTCACGCCATTGTCTGCCTATCATTTCCCTGGTTCTAATGAATCTACTTCGACCCCGAAACAATATTCTCCTAATATCATGGAGCCATCACCTTCGGTTGCTTGTCCCACCAGTAGACCTGCACCGGCTCTCGGTCTTCTCCCAACACCACGATTGACTCCCCAGAGCTCTGGATACAACACTCCTGCTGTGAGTGCTGCGTCTTATATGCTCGGCAAATCCTCGATGAGTCTCGCCATGACACAGACAAGCTTTTGTGGTCCCCAAGCAACTGAAAAGTGGGCAACTCAATTGACCTCATCTCCACAAGGATATTCTTGTAATCGTCGATCATCTTTGGCCAATTCCGTCTCGTCAATGTCCTCACCAGAGTCAATGGTTTCAGATACTTCATCAAGATCATCTCGTTCATCTTCAATCTCATCTGCATCGTCATTGACGAGTGCGCCGGTCTCAGCAAAGCTGGATGTCCTTGCGCGTTGTCGATATGCGAAGCTGTGTAGTAAGAAGCAGAATAGAAATGTTATTGTGACAGTATCGGAAATTTGTGGAAAATACGATGAAGTTGTGGCCGATGCGGCGGAGAAAGCTGCAGAAGCGGCACGTGCTTTACAACAATTGCACAGTCAACCAAGATCCACAGATTCGCCTAACAGAGCTGGTGCTAAAAGAAGTAGGACTCATTCACTTGATGTTTCTCTTCATGAAAATGTACGAGAATTATTGGCTGGGAGCGTGGTCCGCGACTCGGAATGTCTGGCTGGTTTTGTCAAGTCAGATGGACAGATTGGTGCGCAAATAATGCCAATAGGTTCATCTGGGAGGAAGAGACTTTGCTGTGCAACAGAAGCTGCTCGAGGACTTGCTCAATCAAATGTTTACCCAGTTTTTAACCGCCCGGGGATGTGGGATGGAATACTAAATTAATACACCTTACCGACTTATACATACACTACAAACACACTTGTCATAACAGATTTTCTTTTTCGTCTTGTCTTTTTTAGCTGGTTTGCAAAAGAGACGGTGCAATTATCACATCTTCAACCCTTTACACATCATCACATACCATGGGAGTTGGATTTTAGATGGCGGGGTTGCATTACCGTTGATCATTTTATTGCAAAGCTGGAATTCACATCAATGGTACCTAGCTAATTTTCATGGAGATGGGGAATAAGGGGAAGGAAATTGGGGGCATATATCGACAGGTTTTTGGGGATGCTTGTACGATGGTTGGCGAATGCTGGCTTTGTTTTATTGGGGATGGAAGAATAAAGGGTGGAATATATGCTACGCGAGGGGAATTTTATATCAAACATTGTGAAATGCAGGTAAGGGGAAGTGGGATGGCGTGGATATGGAATCGGCGGAGTTTTTTTCTTTTTTACCTTAACTTTTTATTGAGTCATTACAAATATGGTATGGATGGATTTGAGCTTGAATGAGTAGGGTGTGTTGATGTGGTGATGATGTGTGGTGAAAGTTGAAATGGTGGACGTGAACTGGATGTGGACGTGGATGTGGATGAAGGTGACGAAGATTTGTCAGGTCATAGGCAAATGTTCATACTTATCGTATTAAATAATTGAATATGCTTGATCATTGGATCTTGACGTATTTATTTATCTACTTTATCTATCTACCTACTTATCTCTGGAGTGAGTGTGTATGAGTATGAGTGTGTGTGAAGTTTAAGTTGAAGTTGTGTGGAGTTGACATGTGATGAGATGATGAGATGTGGTTATTATTATTATTGATTATTAATCATTAATTATATATTTATAGTAAGTCATGTATCATATCCTATTTCATCTCTTTTCATCTCGGATTATTTCAGATTACTTCTTTTCTGTTTAGGAATAGGAAAAGGAATAGGAAAAGGAATAGCTTGTTAGGGAGGGATGGATGGGCGGGGGGTTAAATGTGGAAGAGGAGGGAAGGGGGAGGGAAGTGGGAGGGCAGAGGGACGGGGAGGTAAGTGTTATGGTGGTAGTTTTAGAGAAGGTAGGAATTGGTGGGAGATTGTGGTGAGTAGGGGTAGGAGTTTTTGTTTGGGTTGGTATTTTGTTATGCTTTTTATTTTGTTGGAGTGGGATGGACGACTTTTGATATTCGGATTCTTGGACTTTGATTATATATTATTCTGATATATTGATTTGTGGAAAATTGTAGGTAAGAAGGTAGGTAGGAAGGTAGGTATGAAGTTAAGTTAATAAATCAAAGAGTTGGATCTATAACCAAATCTACTTGTTGAGTAAGTACTCGAGGATATTATACTTATATGTATACTTATATATAATTCACCTATTCACTCACCCGTCCATCTATTCATTCATCGTTTGTTTATTCATCTCTAGGTTTTGGAATTCTAGAAGTCTAAGAATTTATCATGTCTATTATGTATTTGATGATGATGATGATGATAATAATGATATAGAAATATCAAAATATCTATTCAGGATTCCTGATGTATGATGTACTGTTATACGGAAAATCTTAGGTTGATGTTTGATATTGATATCGAATATGTCTTCTTTGGATGATGAAAAAAGAAAAGTAAGCAAGGTAAGGTAAGGTAAGGTAGGTTTTTAATTTTCTATATCAGGGGCATTTTTTGGGTGGGTTTGGTGGGTTGATCAGGGAGGGGGATGTGGATAGGGAGGGGGATGTGGATGGGAAGGGAAGGGAAGGGCAAAAAGGGAAGAGAAGAGAAGGGAATAAAAGAAGGGAAAAATGAAGAAATAAATATAGAAGCCAGAAGCCAGAATGAAGAGATCTCTTCCATATTACATTGAAGGTTTTCACGAAATGTGGTGAATACAGAGGGCGGAAAAGTGGTACACTTTTAAAATCTCGACCTCTCCCATCTAGATTTTAATAAGGAATCCACAGACTCAAAGGTGGGATACATGCTGTGGAAAGGCTACTTGAATCAGTAGTATTTGCATTCAAAATAGACATCATTGCATCTTTCCTCTTTTGAGCTTGAGCCAGTATTGCAATTCTAGTTACAACCAACTACGAGTATGAATTTATGCTCAACCTTTTCTCCAGACTTTTACTGCTGTTACCTCGTTACAATTTTCGTCTGCCTTGTTTTCTTTAATTCTTGTTCTAGACCATGTATATATATAGAGAGAGAGTGAACTATTATATGGTCATGATTAGCTAGGATAACATCGCCTGCGTCATATTTGCATTAAACACGTTGAGATTATAATTTATGCATTTAATGAACTTAATTATTACATTTAAGCGCTGCGCCAGACGACTTCAACATAGTCTTCGATGTCCCGAAATCGATCCTTAACTTCGGAGTCATATCTGAGAACACCATTATTAGGGCAGTCTTGGGATCATATTCAAGCTAACCTCAAAACGACTACAAGACCGGAGCGTCCGGTGTATTTATTTTATAAGTGTTGAAACCTGTTGTGTGTTGGGAGAATATATCAATTGCTTGATAGATATCTCATTATGCAGTTTTTCGGGGTATTATTTCTGCCGCTCGCTCTGTCATCTCCATCTCTTCGTTGAAAGTACAAATTTCTTGGGAGTCAGCAACCGGGAAGTCTTATATTGGATACCATACAGCAACAGAGCATCTATATAAAACGCGCAGAGTCCAGGAACTGGGTATATTGCCAAAATCATGATACTTGACTTCGGCAGGGAAGTCCTCCATCTGTTTTACTTCCATGCTTTGATTTTGGATTGGTTAAACTCTTTGAGAAAGAGTACTAGGCATTTGGATTGCTGTTGGTTCGTCGAGATTTTTTGGCTTAGCCATTGTCCGTCTCGAATGATCTGGAAGTGGTGTCTCCAAGGACTGATAGCTGTTACAGTAGTGGTCATTTGATACTCTGCACGTCATTTCTGCATTCAGGGCCAAATTCTTCGGTTTATAACTGCAATCCGAGCAGATGATAGCTGGTATAAATACTAATAAAAGCATAATTAGAAGGCAATTACCTAGCTCATGGAATATTTAACGTGGATACTCGAAGACTTAGAATAGTTCAAACACCAAACGCTTTCACATCGAGCCTATTAACCCCGATAATTGGACACATTGAGTTTAGCCGTTTATTTTGATCGGTGACTCAATACTGAAAATCCAGGGAACTATGATGTTATAAATGGCACAGAAAAACCAAGACAGGAAGAACCACGAACCATGAACCACGAGGTTAGTCAGGATATAGATAGTCCACCAATGAATAGGCAAGGGGGCATTTAGAAAGTACACAATCTGGCACACAAGGTTCTCCTTACTGTGAGTTTCGTGCCCACTAACAGACGCTGAGATGTCGACCAAAGAGTATAGATCTTTCTGGATCGCAAGATACGCAATATCCCAATGATCGCCTAAAATGAAAGCTCGCCTGAACTTGAATAGTACCATCGTAACGAGCTTGAAACATAGAGAACAGTAGTGCTACAGGATGCGTACAAAGTTAAATATGACGTCTCAAATTGTTGCCCATGGATCTGATTCCAACTTAGATTCCAAAAGACAAATATGGGGTTGGCTGCCAGTATTTAATATGATCATAGAGAGTACTACAGTAGTTACAGGTAAAGAATCTATCATAGGAGTGAAATAAAGAAGTTCTGGCATAACTCAGTCCTATCTATCATAACTTTATCGGATAATCATACTGCAAATAGACGTCCATGTATCTTTAACTGCTGGAATTAGGTGTACAATAATTACAACAATACTCAAGATAGTAGAGAGAAATGAGGATGACAGAGAGGTACATGTAAAGATCGTCTCTTTCAGGCGAGACATATGATGTAGATGTGATATAATAGAGGGAGTAGCGGCGAATGGTTGGGTATTGAACCTCCCTGGTGATAAAAAAGCCATTTTAATCTAAGCGAGTACTTTTCGATTTAGATATTTCTTTCTTATTCCATTAGATAAATCTACAGTAAAAGGACTTGATATGCCAAGGTAGGTATTAACCATGATTTCTAATAAGGATAAGATAAGAGTTGGTAGCTCTGATACCCTCGGACTGCATGTCAACATTGTGCTTGTTCCAGCTCTTTCATCTACTGTATAAGAAAGAAGCTTCAATACACATCAAGATCACTCTTGGGTTGGCCATATACGACTCTGGGTTTGGTATTAATGTTGAGCTATTACGAATTTGGAGCCATAAGAAGCTGCTAGCATTGAAAAGGAGCTCTCCCTTGAAACCAATGACTTAACGTCGCTGGACCGCCAACGCCATTTCATTGAATACTACGAATAATCTTGGCATCGGGATCTAATTGCCACGGTAAGTCTTTTTCGACCTCATGTTGCATACACTTGTATACCACTTTCCAACTTATCTAAGTCCGTGGGATTTGAACGCGATATTTATAATTGAAGATCCATTTTCAAGGTAGTGCGAAGATTCAATTTTTCGTTCAATCTCGCCGGGGTATCATCATCTATCACTTATCCCACATATATACTTTCCACACTTGTCAATGCAACCTAAGTATAATCCTCATCCTCCACTTCCTCCATCTCTACATTCACTTGTCCACTATCCCCAGCATCTTCTTTTTGTCCACCACTACCAGCAATATAACCTTCTTTCTCTAACCTTTCCATCTCTTCCGGTTCCATCAATCCACCTTCTCCTTTCCCTTTTTGCATCTTTGCCCTCACAGCTGCCGGCACAAAAGCCACAGCCTCCTTCCTTAAATCTCGTATTTGTGGTTTCGCTTCATATACCGTCTTAACTTCCTGCTGCACCTTCTTACCACTTCCAGAATCCTGGTCACCGAACTCTCCACGATCTTTTCCTCCTAATGGCGTAGAATTTGCATTTGTGCCTCCACTCCTCTCGTCATTTTGATTTTGATTTTGATTTTGTGCCTGATAACGTGCTCGTCGCGCCGCATACCATTTATCCAGCACTTCTTTTGGGAAAGGAGGTGGCGTATCTCTCGGCATCGGTATCCTCTTAACCTCCTCATCCACATCCGAGTCACTACTCTCCTCCTCCATTCCCCCATCCCTCCTCCTTTTCCCCAAAACACCGCCACCACCTCTTCCACCAAAACCACCTCTTCCTCCCCTATCCCCACCAAATCCACCCCTCGAATGTGAAAATTGGGGCGCTGCATCACCCAAAGCTTCGCGCGCTTTATTTACAGCTTTTATTTCCTTCTCTAATCCGTCTATCAATGACCGTTCATGACTTGTGAGTTTTCCACCAGAACTTTCTATCTTTTTGAAATCATCGAGTTGGGATTGTAGACGTTGTGGATTCTTTTTGGCGAGTCGTTCATTTTTTTGAGCTTGTAGAGAGGCCTTGCCTGGTGATATATTAATATTTTGTCACAAGCTAACATCTGCATTGAATGATTGCATACATACCTTTTTTGATAGCCTTCGCCTTTTCAGCTTTGCGCTGGGCTTGTGCGGGATTCACGGACTTTTCTTTGGGCATTATGGATATGAAGATATGATTTTTAGAAGAGCCAGGATGAATTGTAAGAACTTATGAGAGTGTGATTCGAGGATTGCGCTGAGGAATGTGGTTTTCAAGGTGTCGGAGATGTCGATGTCGCGTAACTATATTCTGCCAAAAGGCGGTAAGCACTCACAAACGTCAACTTCTTGTTGCTGATATTCTTAAAAGTTATTCATAGACAACCATTTTCCTTAGCACAAGATGGAGTAAAAGCTTTGAGGTTGGACGCGTGGGTTAGAGGCCAAGAATTTTGGGTTTTCATTCACGTCTTACTATTGGGTTCATCAACTTCATTTATTCATCGGATTGGTCACTATGACGTATTCTCATCATCGGTCCATATTCATCCCAATATCCGCAAGGGAAAAGGAAGATGGCATAGCATGTCAGATAGCTTAACTTTTGATTTAGAATTCCTCAACTTTGTTTATGGAACCCATTATCTTGGTATATGGAACTATCTAAGCCTAGATTTTATGTCTTCATCTAAAACGAGAAAAGTCCTCTGGACATTTCTGTGAAGATGCTCGTGCAACTAGCCTTTAGTAACCTCCTTGATCCGGCCAGTATCGCAGCCCACTCTCAAAACCAAACATAAGTTGAGTTCATGCACTACCATAATCCTGAGACAAACAGATTCCGGAACCAATTGGTCACTCGTCAGGTCAACATCATAATATTCCAACGATTCGCTTAACTTTGACATGTGTGCTAGTGTCTTCTAGAGACCCCGATTTGACATACCTGATGAATCCCAGGATGGAAAGTTCCTTTGGCACTGCGAGTATAGACAAATCTCTCATCTCGTGGTTGATTGCTAGAAAATGTAGAGTCTTAACCAAAATACGGATGCGTTTGATTCGGCGACATTCTTCGGAACGCATGCAATTGCTCGCGTAGTTATTTCGAAAAGATCCCAAATCAAAGATTAGAGTGTCAGGATCATAGGACTTGATACTCATACGAGTTCCAAAACTTAGTTCATGTCTTCGAAGAGCTTCGGCTCGAACTTTACGCGAGACGAGGGGTAGAGAGGGGATATACCTGAGATGGAAGAGTTTTACGTATCGCTGCATTGCACTTCTATGATTCGGGGAAATATGGAATGGTTCCACACCATAAAGTGAAGCTCAATGGCGAATTTTGTCAAGGAGGTAAATATGTGGTGGTGGTGGCGATATGGTGATAGTAGGTTTCCGGGTTCTTGGCACTTGAATTCGTAAAAATGTAAGGGCTAGATTATTGGGGATTAGGTATTATCAACGGAATAAGATCTGTCGACCTGAGAAATAATCTATACTGCGGATTGACTGGCAAAGATCAAAAGCTGAAAACGGTATGAGAAGGTCTACTCCCATATGTTTGAGTTTGCGAGAGTAGAGAGAGAGAGTTCGCCATCGACGTTAGATGAGACACACAACTTGACTTGCCTTGATTTAAAGGATCTTTGTAGGTTGAACAGCTTCTATAATATATAAGCTACCTCGTTTGATGCAGAAAAAACAAGGTTCGTCCCTCACTGACTTCATACTCGTGTCTAATAGATAGTGACTGCCGCTGAGCGACTACATGAATAATGAACATGAGACTGGTACAAAGACACATCTAAAAAGGAAAACTGTATATTCATATGTGTGTAACAAGCACAAATATCAGTAGTTCTTTATTGCAAGGAGAGTAAATACTTCTAGAAGCTGCCGAAGATCATCCGAAAATTAAGATAGCGATTGGATTATTAAGCGAGCGGTGCAGGCTGGCATCACTTTACAAGTAATTTTCAGGTCTAAACAACCGCTAACCAATCACTTCACAATGGAATATGAAAACAAAATATCAGTCTTCTCATTGGAGTGATGGAGTGCATAAGTATGCAATGCAATCTTCACAAGTGTGCGTGAGGCACAGCCACACGTGGCAAGGCAAACAGGGCTTTATCCAAACTATAAAGAATAACAAACACTAGCCATAGTGAGCGAAGTGATTCTTCGAATTTCTGGAGCTTTTACTTTGAAGCAGTTAAACTCGACGTTCGTACTCGACGCTTTTAACGTGCTCGACTTTCTCCCACACTACAAACGACTCTGATCAACATGAATCCCTCTCCCATGGATCCGCACGTGAAGGAGCTTATCGCCAAACTTCGCAAACATGGTCTTGATCGAGAGGAATCACTCCCGCATCTCATTATATCCGGCAATCTCTCTAGTGGTGATGTCTTATCAGGAGAAGATTGGAAGCTACGTACTCCAATTTCCACAGAGATCACTTTGCGACATAGCGAAGCCACCTCTTTCACAGTCAGATTGATCCCTGATTTTTCACGGCCCGCTCCACAAAAATCCAGCATCAAGGCATTTCAGAGATCTCTCGCTCATATTGGTGAACTTCAAAATGCTGTGTATCTGGCCAATAAAGAAATTTACATGACTCTTGACTCGAAGGGTCTGCCAGATAAAACACCTTGGAAAGATGTATTGAGAATTGAGATCGAAGGTCCGACGCAACCACATCTCACCTTACTCGATCTTCCCAGCCTCCTTAAAAATATCTCCGAAGTGGAAATAGGTTATGAAGAACATAATGCCACCGCGAATCCGGAAACAGCTTCTTTCACAACTGGCTCTAATACGCCCACTCACACAGTCATGACCGAAGATTTCTTTTCCCGCACTCGTTCCCTCGATACAGTTCCACACGCTGGCAAGACATTCATAATACGAGATCGCAAACGTGGTGGAGTAATCACGCTCAAGGAGGGGTGTTTCCAAGTATGTCCCACTATTCCCCGAGCGGGTGGATGTCATTGGACATGCGTAGAGCGCGACGGGTGGTTTGGCTTTCGCAACTGTGTCTCGGGACAATTTTTTGGTCATGACAATAAAGGCAAATTCCATTGCAAGGTTTCTCACCATCGAGCCCACGAATGGTTTTGCACGAGAGCTCACCCTTCTGGTGGACATCTCTTGTTGATGTTGCATGGGGAAAAATTTCGACAGATGAAAATTGAGAAGGATGATACGGAGTTGGTGGAGACGGATGGAGAGGGAACTGCGTGGGATTTCATAGAAGTCTAGATATTGCCATGATGTCGGTTCTTGCTAGCGGCATCAATTTTAGTAAATGTTCGACCTTTGATGTTTTTTCTTTCTTTTCAAGTTTGTTGTTCGGCTGAACTCCCCGCTCTGATGTGGTCTTGTATCCGACTAGGATATTATCACTATCACGTCTCATGGAGGGAAGAGGATGCCTCTCAATTTTTACAATGGGTATTAACGATGTCACGAACTGATATATGGAAATGAAATAAATTCAACATTCGGATGAAAGTTAAAGCCCGCGGGTGTGAATAAACCAGTTCATTTCGTTCAACTAGGAATACCAGTAGCAGATTACTGACATTGAACTTATGCTGTTTCATTATCAAGCGTATAATTTACTCAGCGTATCCAATAGTCCAAGTTAGGACCGCGGGTTCAAGATTCATTGATCGGCAGCCAGCAATGTTTGAAAGGCTGTAAATCTCGGAGAATGATTTGGCCATATCAAAGAATGCATTATTCCAAGTTTGATTAATACTGCATATCAACTTATCATACACCATCATATTTAATCTTTCACCACCTCGAAAACCCAAACCTCCTGCTCCGGATTCACCCCTCTGAACACCCTTCTCCCCACCGACCAGGTCTTCCCAGTTGTGTAGAGCTCTTGGGCCCTACGGCTCTCGACCATTATTCTCTCAACGTGAGACTGAAGAGACAGGCCCCACGCTTCCTTCGATAAAATCCTGAACCGCACCACAGTCTTCTCTGCTGTGCTCCTTGCCGCCAATTGAATGACGATATCAACCATCAAAAATGAGTTGATCCAATTGCGGTAGGGTAAGGTATCGATGAACAAGGTCCTCAACACGAAATTGATTTCGACAAAATTATTCGCGAGCATGCTCACATGTGCTTGAAGCGGGCTGCGTAATCCTGAGCGCGACACCCTTTCCCGTGAAAATATTAATATGGTTCAGCTATGCATACCTTTCGGATTGTATTACTCACGAAGTCTCAGTGCTGCTAATATATAGATATTGGATATCCCTCAAACCATGCGAATTATTAGTTCTTAGAAACCTTTGAGTCGTCCCAATCGTAAGGAAGGAATTTAATCTTCTGCACCTTGCTTGCACGAGTCTAAAAAATTGTGTGCCATGTAAAGCGAGCAAAAGAGGTGGCAGATCTCCGAAGATTGTTATTATAAGAGGGACGAAACTCAATATTTTGAATTGTAATTCTGTTGGAAAATCAGGGTTGAAGAGGAAATTGTTAACAGTAATTTTGATTTTTGGGACTGATACTATGGACATAGTGATGGTATTGAATACTCAAAAACTGTGATAAATGTTGAATGTTGACAGAATGGAAAGTTGGCATACAAAACTGTTTGTATTTCAATTCCAAACAGAGCCGTCAAACATTATACGATTTGAGAAGGAAGGAGATATCAACTTACACGGATTAGTCTCTAACCTTATTCCTCAAGTATAGATGATACTAGAAAATCAAGAAAGGAAGGAATCATCACCATACTGCTTAGTATCTGCAGAACAAACTATTTGCTCATCTACTCCTATCTCAACATCTCCTTCCTCAAACATCTCTAACATTCAACAGTCCAGAGTATTCCATCAATCTAGACTGCCATTCGATTAAAAACTTCCGTGTCCCAAGACCACAGGTTTTATCATCAGACTAATCCGGAATCCTCTGCTTCAGATACCTAGGAAGTCATTATCAACCATACACCAGCATCATAACCACCACCAACAATTGATTAACTAGTGTTCGTATAGACCGCCATATCAAGAGAGAATAACAAAATCTCTAAACTCACATACTCTGCACAATATAATAAACACCAGGGAGCTCTCCACTAAAGAGGCAAAATAAAACTATAATATATATATCGACTCTGATACCGAGTCAACTAAAGCTAAAATCTTATGAGAGCTCGAGGGAGGATATTGGTGTTACGTCAACTTTCCACCTAACCAACCACCTTACCCATCAGCTATGTCTAAAAAATCGCTATTCACTCAAGTATCTATCTAGTTCCACGTCTTTTCTTCCTTTGCCAGAAAGTAAAACCTATAATGAAAACTAGGCAAAATAGTCATTTGAATATTTACTTCTCAGCTATACTAAACTCACAACATCCAAGATCATACTTCTCTCCCAAAAATCTCACATATCATCACCACATCCTCATCCTAAATCTCAAAACCCCAAAACCCCAAACAATACTACATATATATAATCTAATTATCTAATAAAATAATTTTCTACTTCGTAAAGTAAAAATCAAATAGTAAATAATCTTTTTATATCATTGTATATGATTTTAAATTCAATTTTGGGGGCTTTCTCTTTCTTCCTTGTCTCATGGATCGGAGGATATAGATATATCTTATTCGTAAGGGATTGTAGTCTCGTAATTAGGGGAGGGGAAGAACTAAGGGTATGAGATTTTGTTAACAAATCGATTGATGATTGAATGGACGGGATACCATCTTTCCCACACTATAAGAATGAAGTATTTAATCTTCATCAAAAGCTCACAAACCAGATAGAATATTGATACTCAATACTCAATACATAAACTTCGTAGCCAAAAGCATAAGTATAAGTAGGTATAAATATACTCTAACTCCTCGCTTCTAGAATACAACAACTCTGCCCATAACACACAACACAGCACATCAGCACATCAATCAAAGCACATCCCACCTCGCCAATCTCCCTACCGTCTCCCCCGCATTCCTCACAATACACAACATACCCACCCTCAAGCCATTACTCCTGACGCTCTCAAGAATCTGCTTCGCAGAAACAGCTCCTATAGCAACACCTTTTCCCTCTGCTAGATTATACTCCCCTGTAGTAACGAAACCGATAAGATCCTCCTCATTAGGAACCATAGGATGATTATCCGAATCATTTTTCTCCTTTGGATATTGTAATGGCGGGTTTTGTAGTAGGGATTTTGCGAGTAGTTGGACGCGTTGTGGAAGGGCTGTGTTTAATGATATTTTACTAATGTTTCGAAGATCTTTGGCTTTGGGATTCGGTGGTGGTTTCTTGGTTATGGGTGCAGGGACGAGGGAAAGCCATTCTTGGCGGAGGGTGAGGGGGTCGGTAGAAGTGGAGTTTATGGAATCCTCGCTGGTAGTTGGCTCGGCTGGAAGACGGTAGATACGAGCGGTGGGAGTGGCAACACCGCGGGTCAAAAGTGTGAGGCGGATAGTGGTAAGGTCTGTTGGTGCTGGAAGATCCGCTTTGGGGGATGAAAGCAGAGAAGAAAGTTTCTTGCTGGAGAGTTGACTGAAAGGATTCTCTACGGCTTCATCGTTGGGCTCACAGGTAGCTTCTGGCTCACCACCCGTACTCGATTTGCCCTGTTCAGGATCGGGTAATGTAGACAGCCCAACCACTTTCTCAAAGTCACATGCCCAGCCCAATCCAAGCTCTCCTTTCCTTCCACCTCCGAGATCAAGAGATTTCCATTCGACTCTCTTCCCCTTTGGTCGCTTATCCCATTCTCGTTTCCTCTTCTCTCTTTGCTCGATTTCCCAAGCGTAGCCAGCATTGGTTCCAGGATAATCAGCTGGGAACCATGGAACTCCATGCTCAAAGTGTGATTGCCTCAACTCTTGGAGACCTCCAAAACGAGGGTTGGCGCCAGAAGAAAGAGGAAAATGCATCAAGCCATACCAAATTGGCAATATACACTTCCATGGAGCGAGAAGAGTCCAGCTACCCTGTGCTGTTGAGGATTGTGACATTCTTGATGTGAGAAGAATGATCGGTATAGAAGGATCACGTTCTGAAACGGAAGGAAAAGCGCCCGGCGGTGCTAAAGTTTTGCGACGATTCAAGGCTTTCTGCGAAGGAAGACGAGTAGCTTTGTATCGTATGTCTCGATCAAAGAGAGGTGATGAAGCGGGTGACTCATCTGCCGGCCAAGTAGATAACATTTCCGCTAGATCAAAATTAGCTTCCTCGTCGGCAGGATCTTGAAGTACGATTTTGCGAGGTGGATAGCGAAGTCTAGGATCCATTATTGAGAATGATAATATAGAATTTGTAGGTAAAGAGGCAGGGTTGGTAACACCAGCTAATGAAGTAAATGCTTGTGCATGTGGTTCTTGATCATCTTCAGATTGGTTATATGGATGAAGTATACCAATTAAAGCTTCTGTTGAACCAGGACCGGTTATTTGGATACTTCCGATCTCAAAACGTAGGTCTTCAAGCTGAACGGCAGGATGTTGCAATTTTGATAGGCGCAGAAGCTCAGTCCACGTCTCAAGGAATGCAGAAGGATTTATTCTGATCAAGACTTGTCTAATTGACTTCTTCGATACATTGGTAGCATTGCTATCTGTGACATCTTCAGGAATATCCCAAAATGCGACGGCAGGGCCAATCTGTAGTTTTTGTTCTTTCACTTCTCTGCTAAGCCATCCATTCCAGCTTCTTCTTCCCGCTCTCCATTTTGAACCCTTTGCTGCATTTATATCAATCTCCGGTATTCCTATGGCTAAAAGAACCTTTCCAAGAGATACAATTGAACCCTTAAGACCAATAGTACTTGTATAACTCATATCCCAAGCTACAGCCCCTCTACTTCCCTCTGCTCTATGTGTCGGCCTGTATGATTTTTCTGTGCAAGTGAGGGGTATAGCCATTCTCCAAAGTGGTTCCTTGGGTTCTGTCATCTTCGCTCGCTTTGCATGCCATAAATGAGTAGGTAACCATGTTTTGTGAATTTGTCGCTTTCGAAACTTTGATGAGGGTTTTGGAGGATTATTGAATGCATTTTTCCGTATCTTCGGTCTTGCGGTTCTAGTTGTGATTCCTGCAGCATTAGTTGCACCTTTCGCAATTCTTTTCTTGTCTGCCAAAATTCCTAACTTCTTAGCCGTTTCTGCACGAATGCGACCCCTTGAACTTCCCGGTTTTCTCTTGTTTGCATTGACAGTTGGTGTATTATCTTCTTTCATCTCCCTTGCACCTCTCTTTTGTAATCGTTTTGGTACCCTCTTCACATTATGACTTGCTGTTCTTCTCCTCATGTCCCGCGGTACTTGTTGAAATGCTCTGGTGGATAAGGCACCCTTTGATCTTTGCATGCCATCTTCCAATGCCTTTATCTCATACTCCCGGGCATTCAAAAATGATTGTAAGTCCAGGTCTCCATTTTTGAGAGCAGCGTCTGCCGTTTGAGTCATTATTGATCGCGCATCCAATGTCTTATTGCGCTTCATAGCTCGACCTCTTCCTGAATCATTCCTGCCGTTGGATGATGTATGTGGAGGCTCTTTGCGCTTATTCGGAGCAGCAGCTCTTGTAGCCATCGCGGGCGCCATCTTGACTTGGATAGCAATGGGCTGTGATATGATTGATATATTGGTGGAGGTCTTGAATCAAAAAAGTGATATAATTCTGCCACATGTTTTGATATACCGCCTTCTTTTTGTGGTGACGATGAAGATTCCTCATACGAAACACGACACCACGCGACACCAATATCACTCACTGGATGATGAGAATAAAAGACGTTGAATTCCATTTTCTAATAAACATACCTACATAACAAACTCTTCTAGAAGAGCATAATCAATATTATAATGTTGTCTTGAAAGACAATTTTGATCAAACTTCTTTACCTTTTCACAATTCCTTCATGAAGTAGGTCTAATTCGCCAATTAGAGCGGTAGCAGGTTTTTTCCTTTGCTTTCATATCACTCTTCTCCTTCTTATTCTTTCAAAACTTACACCTTCTTTTCCCTTTCTTTTTTTGGCTGGGTCTTCATGCGTTGACTGAATTGATATCAAAAAACATTTAACAGAATCATTCCTCTGAATTAATAAGAGTTTCTTCCTTCCACTTACGATCAGATCATTGTTACAACTACGAACCGATATTTCCAGAAACGAGTACTCAATCAAGTAAATTAAACTTCTTATTTACATCGGCTACGCTTTTTACCATGAACATTCCATTGTCCGAACACGTCACGGCTTCAAGTCTCGGATCTCTCAAATTTCCACCTTCACCTCCTCATAGACACGAACTTTCTTCCTTGACAAAGGTCTATGATCCTTGTCAATATCTTAAAGAAGGAACACGAGTTTCTCAAGCCGAGATTACATCTTTCTATTCTCCCGCAAATTCCCTATATGAGCCAGATGGAACATCGACAAACGCTTCAACTCCTCCAATGCCCGGAATACAACAAGTCAATGGCTCGTCGTCTTCCTTTCAACGCTCATCAGCTTCCCAACCATCACATCCATCTCGACAAACGATAGCTCCTTCTTGTCCTCAGTGCAAAGGACACAAGTATGGCTTCAAATCATATTTTCACAACACCAACATTTTTTCCGAGCCACCGCACGATCTTCTCATGTTTGTGGAGCAAACTTATCTCTTGAGAAATCGGCTCAAGAGCTTGATGATTAACTATGTCACCAGGACGGTTGACAATGATCGGCTTGAAGTGATCAGTAATGAGATTATGGAATGGAAGGGTCGCGTAGAGTGTCTAGCAAGAGAGATCTTGGTATCTTCAATGGGGTTTGAACTGAATACGGAAGGCCTTGAAGCGGTGAAAGATTGGGCGGCGGAACTGGTTCGAAGATTGAATAATCACGTGCGTGGAATTGTGAGGATGGAACTTTCAAATGAAGATCAGAAGGGACTGCTTATTGACTTCAAGAAACTATGGGAGGTGGTCTGGACAAGTTATTTGCTGGATCGAAATAATCGGAGGATGTCGGGAAGATCATTGCGGTCAAGAGATACCGATTTACCATCCTCGGAACCCTAAGCAAGCAGTTTCTGAGATTTAATTTCTGTCAACAGTGGATGGACTTGATAGAATTAAGTAGCCCACATGATTGCGGACGTTATTTTGCTTTATCAGAATCTTCTAGACGTAAATGGTATCTTCTAGATGTAAATGGTATCTTCTACTTGTATACTTGTTTCATGCTTTTTCGGCTCACTTGATGAAGAAGAATAAAAGTGAATGCTGGGGAGATATAAGATGGAAATGAAGATGATGGACCCATTCATCTGTTCTCTGCTTTCTTTCGCTTGTTAACGAATATTTCTAATAAAATAACTACCTAGCTTACCTAGGTTGAGTATATACCTGATGTGAAATCAAGATCATTGGTATCTTTCTCGCTTCGTCGCTCTGTTCTGCTTGCTTCCGTTTGCTTTACTTCCGTTTGTCTTGTAATCTCCCACAATCCGGTTTTGTGTACATTTGAGTACGCTATCTATTCAACTTCACGAAGCACTTCTACACATAGCTTCTAATATAGACAAATAGTTCTTGTTGCTTCCCCTCCCGCATGTTTCGTTGGCTGCTTTTCTAAGGTTCGGTATCATCGACAAGTCTCAATAGGTATTGAAGTGAAGCAAAGTAATTTTCTACCCTGAAAATCTTATTGGCAATTTCACATTTCTTTCCTTATACTTCTCCCTCACACAATATCTCCATAGAGCTCACAGGTATATCTAGGCGAGGCGTCTCATCATCTAATATACATAATTCCTCCTCTCCCAACCAAAAGACACAACCAAACTCCCGCATCATCCCCCTTTCATCTCCTCTCCCACCCAAATCCTAATACTGAGTCTAGAGGAAAACAAACCTTGTAAATTTTCAATGAACCACTTAGCAACAGCACAAGTACCACGCCCTTCCGCATAAATTTAGCTCTAACACTCCAAAATCAAATTTATCATGTTTCCAATCGTTAGGACTTGGAGGAAACTTAGTATGTAAGTGAGTAAGTGTAACCTAACCCACGTTAAAGGCAGCAGCTCAAGAAGTCAAAGTACCAAAGTACCAACGTATCAGAAATTTCTTCATGAATACTCTTTCCTCAAAATCCTGCACAGAGACGGAGACTCTTTCAACTTTGTAGGATCCTGATGAATCCTACTTTATCTCTCTCTATCTACCTTCTCATGCTTCTTCTTCGATAATAATAATTCTCGTATTTTAGGCCCTTTCATATTCAACTCCATCTTGTAATTTATCAAAGTATTAACCATACTCTGTTTTTAGCGAGCACGTTTCATCATTTATATCCCAATCCACATCCAAACCCACATCCAAATCCTACTCAAAATTTCCTTATATTAGTATTTTTCCAAAAATTTCTTGATAAAATCTCTTTTATTCAAGTTTCTAAATATATAACCTCACTCCAAACGACCTCATCAACCCTCATACTCTCATCAACCCTCACACCCACTACAAAAGCTCATCCAGATCCAGAACAAACTACCGTATCCCAACCTCATTCTCCATCATAGTATATATAATATAATATAGCATAACATAGCATAACATAGCATAACATAGCATAACATAGCATAACATGAAATAATAACCATATCCTCACTTCACTTTGAAACCTTACTCCCTAAGTCCCAGGATTTCACTGTTGATATATAAAATCTTATTTATATATTCCCCTCTTTATATTCTATATGCTTTATCCTTTCTTATATCATATCCTCTTCTATTCTTAACCCTCCTCAGATTTTGTCTAAATATTAGTATAAGCTTCCCATCAGTTATGGTTAAATCATCATACTATACACCATACCACATCTTGCACACACCTATCCTCTCCCCTTTTTTCCTTTATTTTTCTTTCCCCTCCTCCCTCCTTTCTCCTTCTCCTTCTCACCCTCCCTCCCATCCTCTATTCAGTATCTCCTCTTTTGAAATATTTACCTATATATCTATATACCAACTTATATATCTTATTTTATCTCACTCCATTCTATTAAATAAAATGACAATAAAAAACAAATAAATAAAGAAAGACTTTATATTAAAATAAATAAATATTTATATTTATATTTATATTTATATTTATATTTATATTTATATTTATATTTATATTTATATTTATATTTATATTTATATTTATATTTATATTTATATTTATATTTATATTTATATTTTTTAAAAACCAATACAAGGAAAAATCCCGATGAAAATATCACTTTTTAAATTATCAAATCCTACACAAAAAAGACAAAGCCTAAACACAACACATAATACATAATACAAATCAAGAAACACACTTAAAAAATTCCAAATTATCTCTCGTATTTATTTCCCAGAAATGATTGACTGACTACTAACTAGCTCTGCTCTTCCGGACTTCCCATCTTATCTTTCCTCACCCTTCCATCCCCATTTATCTAGATAGTAACGTGTTCCATCCCAAAGCTAGCCTTGCATTCCATCGGTTCTTCCAACTCTCCTTATGAAAATTCGCCTTAAGCCATCCTCCATATCCATCCATCCATCTATACAACACCGCCCATCCCTTCCTATACCCATCCCATCCATCTAGCAATCAACCAACAAAATAAATATCTCATAACCATCATCTCCACTTCCCCTCTCCATCTTCAGTTGCCGTGGGATGAGAACCTTTCCAGCTTCCTCATCCATTCCACCATTTTTAGATTTTGACTGATACACATTGCCGAACACAACCCTTCCTCCGCCAAAGCCAGCCAGTAAGTGAAGTAGTAAAATAAGGAAAAAAAAACCTTTATCTGTCATATACTAAAGAAGATCCCCATCCATTGCTCCCACCAACAAATCCACTTATCAAGAAGGACAGACGAGGTAATATACTGTTCAGTCACTCACTCGTATGAGCTATCCCATGCAATTGTGGGAAAATTGAGAATAGAAATTATATGCAGACATCAAGACGCCACCCCAAATGCAATATTACCAGAAAAGAAAAACAAAAACTTGTGCGCGATGAGTGTCGCCATGCACATGCATATGTACTCGTCCCTCCTCAACCGGAAAAAGTAGAAACAACAATGCTTCCTCATTCAAATCTCACTAAAATCTAATTGTGTATTTCATCATTATTTCCCCCGCGAAAAGCAGCCGCTTGCGATTTTTGTGACGTCTGAAAGTAGTCGAAGCCATTAAAGTGAAGTTCGAAAAAAGGTATAAGGTGTATATGCAGATGAAGGAGGTAAAGGCCATCGATCAGAAGAATTCGTCCCTGATTCAAATAAACTGAGCCCATGTCACTTTCATCTAAAGAAGAAAGTGACAAATATCGAGCAAATTTTAGCTGTATCTTTGAATTTACCTCACCTCCATGGGCGGACGTGGCCCGAGGCTACTTTGACTGCTGTTTGCAGATGGTTCGGAGTCGAGGATGGCGCTCGCGCCGCTGTCACCACTACCTGCGCTAGCGCTAGCACTTCCGGTCAGACTTCGTACGTTCATAGGGCCTTTTGGTGGATGGAGGGCGCTCACCCCAGCATATTGCTCAACCTGTTGCGGCGCAACCATATTTCCCTGACCCGGTGGGTGCCGAGGTGCAGGCTGCCTCATCGCCCCTGGAGGTGATGGTCTGCCATTCATAGGTCCTCCCATATGCCCGTTCGGCGGCGAAGGTCTACCATTTGCTCTCTGTGCTTGCGGACTATATGGATTTCCCGGTGATTGACTTGCTCGCCTTGCCGTTGGATATGGACCACCTTGCCCATGGATAGGTGGACCAGATGATCCATACTGTAACTCGTCCAGTCGAGCAGCTGTCAAAGAACTTGCTCTGGAATCCATGCCCATTGCTCGTCGATCTACAGTACCATATCGATCGGATGAATATGCCATCAAGGGATCATCCATTATGTTGTCGTGTAAGCCAGGCACTTGGCTTATTATTCTCGCGCTGGAACGATTTCGAGGAAGGTTACCACGCAAAAATCCACCGCCTCGACGGGGAGGAGGAACATTATCGTATTCGGGATTAGCACGGATTTGTTGTTTACTCGGCCCAGGTTTCGCGCGATTTCGTCGTGATGTAACGCTCATCATGTCAAAATTGTCAGGATCAATGAGAGGGACCGGAGGGGCGTCTGCAGGGTCAACGTAGTAATCATCATCATCGTCGTCGTCGAATCCCCCATTTCGCACCGAAGGTGTGGATGGGCCTCGACGGGATCTAGGTGGGGCTCCACCTCCACCTCCACCCTGACGCATGCGCATCTCCTGCTCCCGAAGAGCAAGTTCCCGTTGTCTAAGCATTAATTCGCGCTCTCTTAGAGCAATTTCACCACCGCCAGCTTCAGTAGGATAAGGTGATTCTCCACCTTCGGGAATATCATCGTACAAGACCAAGTGACTAAACTCTTCGAGATCATTACCTTCTAGAGAACCTCGCCTCGACTGATTTCGCGATTGGGGAATTCCATTTGGAGGTCGGCCGAAACCGTTTGGCGGTCCACCTTGTCCGCGTCGCATACCCGGTGGAGGGCCCATAGATGGTGCACGTCCTCTACCTCTACCAGCGCTTCCCGGTGGACCTCCATTCATCATAGGTCTAGGAGGGGGTGCAGATGACATTCTCATGGGTGGAGCTAGAGGAGAAGGCTGGGGGGCGAGGCCGGTCTCTTTCCTTTGTTGGTTGACAATGTTGAGATTGTGGAGGATTGGGTAGAGAGTCTCTATGCGAGGGACCTTGACTCCAACAAGCTGAGCAAGTTTTATGGGGGATCCAAGATAAGTCTCAACCTCCATGGGTCGCTTAGCAGCATAGTCTTGATACATAATACTGTTAGCCTCGGAAGATTTTGTCATATCCTCCATAATCTTTTCTTTGAAGTTTGGGGGAAATGAACAATCTTGTGCTTGGGCAAGATTGACCAATTCGTCAAATAACTCCGAAATCATTGACCTCACGCCAACTTTCTCGAGTAACGCAGCGTGGGATGGCGTCTCGAATATTACGCTCAGTGGATGAAAAGCTATAGGTCTACGAATCAATATTAGCAAGGAATTCGGCTTGGAAGGAATTCCATGAAAATTTACCCAATCATCCTCTCATACTGTTGTTGCATTATGTTCGAAGAAACATGACAGTCTACTTGTCCACCACTCAAAGTCATCGCTAGCGCCTCAGCCATATCTCCTTGTATAGTGCTAGGCATCGAAGGGTTCTTCGTCGCTGGTCCAACCCATATCTCGGTGGAACCTTTATGCTCAAATTCGCTCGCTCCCAATTGCACTATCTCAGCTCCGGATACAAGTGATAATACAACATTACTTGGAAACCTCGCTTCGAGATGAGCCTCGACACCCAGCGTATGTGTCGTATTGACTAATATGCATGTATGTTGTGGTGTGACGACCGATTCAATGACCGCGGCGAGATCGTATACATCTGGTAGGGCTTTTACGCAAAGCAAAACGTAGTCGAAAGGACCATCTTTATTACTGGCGGCTTCTTCGGGAGTGCGGACAACTAGATGTGACGAATCAGTATTCGCTTGTTTTTTTGGAGTGGGTAATGAATAGCATACCATGCCGTGGTTTGAATCGTTCGTTGCCAAAAGAAGTAGATCTGGGGAATGGTCAGTTGATTGCTCTGGATGGATTTGATGCGGTGGCATACTTGAATGATATCCCGTATTGATAGACGGCGTCAAACCCAGATTTCCACACCAAAGTCACATCGCAAGCGTTGGTGGCTTGAAGCCTCCAGGACAAGAAAGCCGAAACAGCATTCCCACCGACTGTACACACACTGATTAGTTCATTGCCTCCCATTTTGACGGCGACGATGTAGAAAATGCACGAAATCGCACACGCTGAACCACGACAGCAAGAAAAATGAAGATATTGACGGGAGATGGGCGTTCAACTAGCGCGATATAAAAGTGGAGTAGGAAATAAAGGACATTTGCATTAGACAAACCTGATAGAATTCTTAGACGGGGAGGAGTTGGAGCCATCTTTGGCCAAGGGTGGTCTAGTATTGAACGGAGTTTGAGATTAAGCAGCTCACTCTGCCGACCCCTGGTTCGTTTTGATATACCGAGTCACTTCTAAACCCAAAACTAATGGTGAAATTGTATATTGCTTTCCCAGCAGTGTTGTTATTTCCCCTGTCTCGGTGCCAAATTGAGGCGGGCGGCGTAGGTGGGGATTTGAGGTTTATTTTCGAGAAACCTAGTTTTGTTGCTTAAAACGAGCGTAAAGGCCTGAAGAGACCGAATTCTTCAACTGAGTCTTTTCTTTTCTTCGATAGACCTGGATTGGGTGAAATTAGGACCGTGAATAAATGGATCTGCTAAAACAGTAGAGGGGGGAAAAGAGTGTAGATTATTTATTAGGGTGGATTTGAATTTTGAATTGGAGTTGGTATTGGTATTGGTATTGGTATTGGGGATTGCTTGCTGATGGGGTTCGGAGGTTACGAACTTTTGCGAGGATTAAAAAAGGCGTACTCCGTAGTAGCAGAGAAAGCAGGCGTAGTAGGCGTAGCAGACGTTGGCGTGGTTTGTGGTCTAATCTGCGAAGAGTAATGGATTAAAGGTCTAATTCGTGTACTTCATATGCTACACATATAAAAAAACGTGTCGGATTGGTCAACAGTTTACGGAACGGACTAGATATTGGTGGATTGGTTGGTGAATTGGTGGATTGGTGGATCCAGCGTGTTCCTTGAACTGAATAATCCCTGAAATACGTGGGTCGTGCGTGGAGCATCAGAAATCGTGAGAGAGAAAAGCCAGAGAGGGGTTGTGTGTGTATGTGTGGAAGAGGAGAGGAGAGGAGAGGAGAGGGCTGTTGTGTTAACAAGAATGGATGAAGGAAGGAGAGAAAGAAAGACAAAATCAAGAGTAATCAAATTTAATTGAAGTGAAGGTTTTCCGATGCTGTTTTTGATCGCGCTGACAGAAGAAGATGATGACGAACCGAACTTGGGAACGAATGCGGTCGAGTTGGTTGTGGTTTGTGTGTATTTTTCTCCGCTTATTTTTCCTTTCTTGCCGGCCTGGCTGTTCCCTTTCTCTACGATTTCTCTCCCTTGATAAAAAAAAAGGATGAATCTGCTGGTGCCAAGATGTGGTTGTTGACTTTGGTGAAAGATAGAGAGAGAGGCGGTTTATTTTCTCAACGCCATGTAAGTATGGTTCCCCCTAACCGTCGATGAGGGTAGATAGTAGAGTAGGTAGGTACTAGGTACCGGTACCTACTGTACTTAGCTACCTACCAACAACCCCGTACTATAATAGTAATTTATCAATTTAAGGTTGGTCACCGCAGTTACGTGCTCACTGCTGAGAAAGCTAGAAAAGCAAACTCTACGGTAGAAGCTATAATTATGATTATTATTGCAGCTATACGTATAGAAAGTATATAGGATAGGGCCCCGTGATACCTAGCGAAACAGACGAACTGTAATTCCCAGCAAAAAATACAATTTTGATATAAAAACTCTAATACAAGCAAGACACATGTATTTGGATTCCCTCCCCCCTGTCAACAAAATTAAGGAAAATGGCATAAATAGGTATCTAAACATTTCGTATTGTTAAAATTACAATATCGAGGCCGTGAATGTCTTGGGGGAGGCAGAAAGCGATGGGACGGTGATGGTAGCATTTACACGACATACCTAGGTACATATATTTATATACACTCTTCGAGAAGTCCGAGTTCTTCACCTCTACGATACAATGAATGCCACCTAAGAGTTGATACAACAGACGCCTTGCGCCACTGCTCTTTTTCCCGCAAAAGCTAGTAAAGCTATTGTGGGAAGTAACGACTTTGGCGGATGAGGATGGATTCAAGTCAGTCTACCCAAGATACCTTTCGCCAAGAATTGGCATTGTAGATAGCGATAACGATTCAATTGGAATAATACCATCCATGGATTTGGAATTGGTGTTGAACAACAGTGGCATCTTCATTTTCCAGATCCATACATAATCATGAAGATGTAGATTAGAAGGTAACCTTCTCGAGTCCGTTTAGTACTAAGATTCCCCTAAATGTCAACTACGGAAGCCGAGTCTGAAAGAAACAACCAGAATTAAGAAGGCTAAGTACTCCCGTAGATAAGCATCTACCTACCAGTCTCCACGAATATGACGGTACTTCAAGCCGGGAGCTTCATCATAATTACATTTCGGTTCCTCTCAAACTTTTACCCGTGAGCTGAGCGATCATGTTATCTGATGGAAATGAGTTTCAGTCAAAGTGTGAATGGAATGATTCCAGAACTTCATATCAAAACTTTAAAAATCCCTAAAGTTGACCCTGGTCAGAGAGGTCTCGTTGTTTTGTAAGCGCTTGTTATCGATTGCAGCAACCCCCTTTATTCGAAACATACGCTGTGCTAGAGTTCTGACTGTTTTCACTCCTTTACATCCAGTTCGTTTGGGAAGGCTCGATATCAGAAAGAGATACTTCATAGGTCCAGAAGTAATCATCAATCTTCTGGGTGAGATGATAATCGACAAATCTGGAGTGACTGCAGGGTCAAAAGGGAGAGAGGCTTCCACCACCGAAAGGCTGTGCAGATACAAGATTACGATTGCAGGGTTAATCTACCACACCGAATAGCCTAAAAATCCTCAAAGCTTCGGGCTCCCACCCATCGATTAAACCGAGTTTAAGATAGGCTACCTGTTTCTCAAATATCAAGGCCCAACGGAACTCCCACGATAATCACAATTGATGTCACGACAATAATCTCTCTCGGATCCCAGCAGTCCGTGGCCCGCGGCTCGCACACGTTCCTTGTCAAAACCTTTCCTTTGATGGCCGTCAAATCGATAGCGTCCGCGATGCGTTGGTTTCCTCAGCACTTACTGGCACTGTGCCTTAACTGCTCGACCTACAAACCTCACGAACTTCACATCCGTTGATATTAATGACCGGTCGTACCAAAGTTCGTCCTTTCGAATTTCACGCTCTGATTCCCATCCTTCGGATAGATATTTCTACCTAGCGATAATCACTATGTCTGTCTTGGATTATTGGCAAGGCTCAGTCGACAGCAATTAATCAAAAAGTTCGAATCTTTGGGTCTAATGTATATTTGAGGACAAGGGGGTATTGATGATGAGATGATTGTCTGTGCGAGCTTGCGAGGGGAGACATGCTAACATGGAATACAAGGACTATCAAAATCCCGGTCGACCTGAAATACAGCATGCAGGTATCTCAGAGCACAACAGGGATCTATAGAAAGCCGGTATTCTCGTTGATAATAATGTCCACACTGGTTTAACAGGCGTCCCTTCTATCATAGAAGGGCGGAAGCTCCGGATACTTGGTCAAATCTCTGCAATTTAAAGTTCCATCTTGATACATATCCAATGGTACCATAACGATGAGACAGATATGTATACAAGTCGGTTGTAGAACCAACATCTTGTCTTAGAAGAATCAATCGAATGGTCCTCACATGCTCCACGACAACAGTTTTCCAGAACAAGAATTAATTGCGGAGCACGATACTCCATTTAATGCAACCAGCTAAAAAATCGATCGATTTATGAAATGGAAGGCTCCATATTTTTCATGGTTCGGGAAAAGGAGAAGGAGATCAGAAGCATTCGCATCTCTAGAACCTTTTTCTCCATATATTTGACGCATTCTAAAGCTACGTTGAATTGACTGAGCCACTATGAATAAACTTCTGAGATAAAAAGTGGAATTCACATCGTAGGCAGACCAAGGAAGACCATCCTGCTCTCATTTTTCTATGGGTGCGCATGTATCATTGTGGATAAAACATGTCGATCTGACCGACCACTGGCTGACCTAGGGCTGCGGATGCATATTGCATATTGCATATTGCATTTTCGAATTTCTATTTTGAGTCAACCCAATGAATTAGACAGATCTACAGTGTGCCATTGATGCTGTCGTATGCAACTTTAAGGCTCGCAAGTCAATATAGGAAGTTGAAATAGGCAACAAGAAATAAACACCACATTTACTAATGGAGCTTTTTCCTATTGGTCTCATGCTCGGAATTCCCTCTCAATTGGGTCCCAATTCAAAGAGATGTGTGCCCTTTTTTCACCTTGCAGATCACCACAATCTTCCAAGCCGAACAGTCTTGGATGCCTCAAGTTCTTGTTATACCCAACCATTCAAATACTCCAATACGACTTAACGACATAACGACCGACATTTCAAGGTTCATACGAGGCAGGACTTCAAAAAAGCCATCACTGTTGTGTCCGAGCAACCGCGATTACTATTTCCTCTTTACTAATCAGTCTAATCACGGCTCAGGTGCAACCGAAGGTTATGATGGAAGAAAATAAAAATCCAATTTATCTGCCAAGGCGAGTTCGCCAAGATGATTGTTTAAGAGCAGGGAGAAATTCAAACCCAAGGATACCCATTGGAGATCAAGAAAATATCTTCCGAAATTACTGTCACTCTGACGACTTGGGCTCGGATGTTTTTAATAAGATCCTACATCCGTAGATTCCGTGTGGTAAGAAATTTAAAGAAATAATTAAGGTACCGTCATATGTTGTTCTTTGGCTTACTTGCAAAATTACCATGCAGCTCGCAATCTCATGCTTATCTTATCTTCATGCTGATATCATCTACTCAACGAAATACTATTTTTACTGCAGTGCAGTGCAGTATACACAGGGGGGAAATATAGAAACAAGGTTTCTCACTCTCTCAGTAGCAATCTCAATGTTAAAGCAAACTCGTACACAACTTGCAAGGCAAGTAAGTATACTATATCGCAAACACCTTTGTTGCCATGAAGTGGCAGTAGCAATGAATGTATTAGTACAACTTCACGTGCATGCATTCACATTCACCGTATATATGTAGTATCTCTTCGTTCCAGCGTTCCAACTACGCGCCACTTCTCAGCCTACGTATGGCACAATAGTAGTATTTCGTTGTTTACGAAAACAAGTGCCAAGGCTAGTACGGATTATAAAATCTTTTAACACAGGCATCTCCATATTTTGAAACCCCTGCTCACGAGTTGATTCAATCTCCGGCCGGGTTATCATGTTATAAGAAAAACATTTGCCACTGCCGTCAAAACGTTAGAAGGTGAGGGCAGCCTGGATGTCATTGTTTGACGGGATGGATCAATGTAACCTTAGGTGGTATGCACGTTGTAGGCAGGAAAGCCACCTCCTCTTTTGTTCGCCTGTGGCGCGGATGGGGAAATGATTTTATTGGTCGTATGATGCAAGAACAGGATGGTGTTAGAAATAGATGATCCTACGCGTATTTCCATTCCATTTTCAAGATCGTAGAGTAGAGTTTTTTATACTATAGTGGTTTGCTCATTGTTCGCACTTCGCGATATTGAAATTTGACCTGCTTTGTATTGGTTTGGTCACGACCGTATGTATTTATTTTACTAAATCATTTAACTTCATTCTTCTTGCTGTATTATCTCATACCCCTCTTCCTTTTTATAGATACGCAATATTAGCATACACTTATTTTATTCAAGTCACTCTTAAAATAGCGTTTAAAAACCGAAAGTAGGAGGAGTTTATTAGTGTAAGTGACATAGTAAAACGGAAAAGGTGAAAGAGATTGGAGAACAAAGTAGAGAGGGTGTGAATGAAAGAGAATGAATGAAAAAAGCACAAGAAACGATCCCTACGATGAAGAATTGGGTCAGCAGAGTGAGGAGGAGGGGGATAAGTAGAGCAGAGAATGGAAATAACTTCAAACTCCCAGAAATCTTTTCTACTGATTTGTGAATAGTATGCTACAGTATAGTAACTACACACAATAACCATCCCTAAATCACAACAAAAACCAAGGCCTCTTTTGTTACGTGATAGATTGATTGATCGATCGTATTAACCCATTGTTACCCAATCGTATGTACTGATTATCTTTAAACGCAAAATAAATCATAATTTTCAATGGTTGATAATTACCTATGTAGTATATATAGAGACAAAGTGCTCTGCATATTTATTGCTTTTATTACTTTTAATCTAATCGGTTAATTATTGGAAATAACCTGGTATATACTATGTATATATATATATATCAGGTTATTTCCAAAGGGACAGCGGGATTGCTCAAATGTAAGATCTTATAATGTGCATCTTGGGATGGGAGAGGATAATTTATTTTTTTTGGTTTTGGATTGTATGGATTGGATTGGATTGGATTGGATTGGATCGGATGCTCGTTGCAGCTTTACTGCTGGGTTGGATTTTTGGTAAGCTTGGTGTGAATTGTTGGTGCTGGAATGGGTTTTTGGGTGGGAGAAAGATATAGTGGTTAGACTGCGAGTTTCGAAGAAATCTAAATCTCAACTCGTTCCAGTGAAGCTCGCGACGAGAATCCGAGCGGAGAAATATTGAACTTTTCCAGACATCTTCAATACTGCTTTCCTTATCTGGTTTATATACTACTATGTTGCACACGCAAATCGCATGGAACTACGATCAATTAGCACACCAGGCTTAAGTGAGCCGTGGCTTTGGTTCCTTGAGAAATTTTCTTGTAAGGATACTGTCATACTCACTTATTTTGCTAGAGGTGATTTAGAGTAGGATTTTGGAAACTTGGAAGTTAGGTATACTGTAATTTCTGACTACCTTTTCGCTTGTTCTGTTGCGGTGTCGAGGATATTCTTCAAAGGAGAGTAAATCAGTTTGGTTGGGAAATAAATGTGAAGACTGGTTTAGTGTGAGTTGCTTGGTAGAGCTAGCTGGTTATGTTTCTTTTTCTTTTTACTTGCATCTGTATCTATGTCTGGCTATTTTCGATCCAGGACAACACAGAACTGCGTATGTGACTTCACATTATCTAGATGTGTATTGAAGGTCTCCGTGTAATGACGTATCTAGGTAATTACATCTTGGCGGTGGTGGAGTATCTATCTAAGCAGAATATAAATTGAAAAGATGTGGTGCGAAAGTGATAACAGAATTGCGTTTTTGTTAGATACTCACTCTCATTCGAGTATATAATATTCTTATAGAGTTTGTCTCTTGGGTTGGAAAATTCGTGTTTTGTTTTGGACTCAGATTCGGAGTAATGTTTTTTTTTAAAAAAAAACCCCAAATAAATTCTAGGTATGTAAGTCTTAGGTGGAGCTTGGGATCTTTTATCTTGCAGTGGATGGGTAAATCTGGTTATTATACAACACCAAGGTATCTGGATATATGAGCTCGGTAATTTGTTATGGTAGCTAAGGAATTTGTATTTAAATGGAGAGCGGCGTTTCATCTTCGTTGGCTTCGGGCATCGCGATATCGTCTGGATGGATATGGGCTATAAAGCTTTATTATGTCAGATAATGCCGTTCGTTTCTCTTTCCTCCGAATGTAGAAATGTTGCGGCTCTAGCCTCTAGTTGTCAGCGATATATTGTGTTATTGCTTTGTTTGATGAATGTGAGCGAGAATATGGTTTTAGGGAGAGTTTGGATCATTTGAATGATGAGAGTGAGAATGGTAGGGAGTGTGTACCGCTTGGGCTTGGAGTGATGTCTATTAAGTAGTGTCTATTGAGTAGTGTCTATAGAATTAGCAGAGTATCAAAGATATATAGCCAAGATAGTGTGATACGGAATCCTTCCGAGGATGAGAGTTTTACTGAATCCCAAGAATAAATCTATAAAAAGTGGTGTGTGTAGTTCAAGTACTAGACTACTACACAATTGAGGTAACAAATTATGTATCACCTAGGTATTGGAGGTATAGGATTTCCTCATGTTTTGCTCACGTCAAAGTCCATATTAGCGCCATTGTAAGTCTTATGTTAACTAGCGTATCATATTTAAGCTGATCTCAAAACTCGCAACTTCTGAATAGATTTCGCGCAATAAACCCTCAGTGCCCATTCGAAGCCTGTTCGCTCGTCTCTAACCGTATCTCATTGCCTCTTAGTCCAAAACTTCACATCATTTGAAGACGCTTCTCGCATGCTCGCTGAGAGAGTTGCTTTCGACGGATCGATGAGTATTACGGCGTCTTGAAAATGTTTTCTGGTATAAGTTGTTGGAGAACTTTCGCTTCGTTTATTCATGACACGAAATAGATGATAGACAGACTTGTATTGCGGCCGGAAAATTACAATGATTATCTGCTACATAACCCGTGCGATATATGCAATATTAGTGTGCATTGGATGAGTTGTAAGATTACGTACTTAGCCCCAAATGTCCAGATGTTCTGAGCTTCTACAAACTCATAATGTGCTTTCGAAGTGATAAAAACGATAACCCTATCTGATTCATTAACTGGTCCAAAGTCCGTCCTCTAGTCTTACATCGCATCTAGATAGACTCACACATTAGGCATTCTTGGAATTCCTCGCATGTTCACCTTGCTTTTGTAGATAAATAGATGTGCAATTGCTAGTTATGCTCCGAATATCTGGTTCTGCTTTAGAAATATATGCCCAAGATTTCCGAATTAGAGTACTTATCTGCCTCAATGGGAAGGTTGAAAAGATTCCTTCTAGAGCACCTCAACTTCAACTTTATTTAGTCTGAATGGGCGGGTTTCTCGGGACTGTTACACACGAAATTTGGCACTGCCTCGTTCGCCAAATACATTAATTGCAGCAGCTGGAAAATAGACTTATTGCACCCATCAATCCGGAAAGATTATTCCCCTTGGAACTGCACGGAGATATGAACCTGCAAGGCCTACACGGTTGTTAGTTCATCCTGATTGAAACTAATTACATCTGTGCGGCTCTACTCCCTGTCACGCATCTGTAATGTGTTCCATAGCTACCAATGGAGAAAACGGTTCCTACTTGCAGTATCCTCGTCACATTCTTCAATACAAAAACCTTAAAAAAGTGATTGAAGGAAAGATGGTGCAAGACTCCCCATTAGGTTTGAGATAGATTTCGCACTTTTTAATAAGTTCTTCAAGCCTACGCAAATCAATAGACGCCACAGTAGCTACTGTAGGAATTCAGACCTGCGCTTTGAAGAAAATCGACAACGGACTGTATCACTGCCACAGCGAAGAGCCGCATCAATTTGAAACTGCGTTGACAGAGAAAGCTCCAATGTAAGCGATTGATGTTTGGTCTCACCTGTGAAGAAATATGTGCAACTGCCGCGTAGCATGCCATCACGCCAAAGCCAATACCATTCAAGACAATCAATGGATTGCATATCCACTATGGGCTTGAAAAGTAGTAATGATAACTCCTTGGTGGGTATTCTGAAAAACTACGTGTGATAGCCATTTTTGGAGTGGTGAATTACGACGGGTTCAAACGGGTCAAAGAAGATGGAGGTGGATAGATCATGGCCTGGGGTGCAGCGCATCGTGATACGCCAGTATGAAAGACGAACAGCTTTCCCTGGGAGCTCCTATTCACAGATGCACTGCTAATTTCTAACTTTTCCTGCGGTTCTTTTGAAGTCTGGTACAGCCGGGGTGCATGGAAAAAAGCCCTAATTTAACGATGTCCAGAGTTCCCCGAAGGACATGCCGGACACGGCACTGATTAAAGAGTACAAAGTGACTGATAGGCTGCGTATCGGGGCCCCGGGGATTATTGCCCTTGGAGGGTAACCCGCGGATGACCCATTTGCAGGGCGGGTAATTGAAGAATCTGAATGGGTAAACCGTAAATAATTTGCGAATTATCTGCAAATGATATTTGTTTAAATTTTCGAAGCTATTCCTACATTTTTTATATTAGTTTTTATAGCAATCTTTATAAATTATACCTAATTATGAATTAGCAGATTATTTGCAGATAATCCGCAAATAACCTATACAATGCAGATTATTTTAAAATCTCAATGGGTAATCCGCGAAACGGATTGTAGATTTATTGGGTAGTCCGCAGGGCGGATTATTTGCGGATATCCGCAACCCGCGGGTTATTTTTGCACAGCCTAGTGACTGAGCGTTTGCCAGGTAGCCTCAAGAAGCAATTTGAAGTCTTTGACTGACGAGCAACGGAATCTAAAATCTCTGAACTTCCTGTAGGCATCATTTAAATCTGGCTTAGAGATACATCGGTTCACAGAATTTCAGCAATAGCCCTTGGCAACAGAACCTTGCCGATACGTAACTTATTCACGTTTAATATTATATATATATAATATCGATATCACTGATAAAAATACATTAACCTCATCATATCTGATACGAACATGCTCAATCTCTACAGTATTACCTGTCAAGACAGAAATTAGAGAAGAACCTTTATATGAATCTACATTCTGTCTAATTTGCTCGCGAGTATATCCATATCTATCCTTTGCAATCTACTCGTTTCCACGGCTAGTCTGATTGTGATGGTGGTATTCTGTAAGATACTGGATAGTCGTTCCCCTCCAAATATATAAACCAGCTCGCGAATGGGCAGACACATCATCCAGCTATCAGTTCATTTAATCACAAGATAATCTTACCGCAATCTTCCAGGCTAATCTCGATATTGATGTTTGATAATGATGCCAAGACGAAAATTAATATTTCTACCTAGCACCTGTCAGATGTAAGTTGCGAGTACACAGATCCAGTCATAGATTGCATGTAAAGTCTCTAGTTATACCATGATATCACCCGGAATCCACAATTTTGACAAAAAATAAATCGATATAATCTTACTAAGGATGTAGAGAGGCCATTGCAAGGGAAGAAAGAGGTTGTATGGGCAGGCGAAAGAGAGATACTTGGGACGCTGAAGTGTTTGATAATCGGTCGGCTTGGGTTTGAGGAAATTGTAGTGAGGACTTGAGGAAAAAGGTTTAGGATGGCGACGTTTCAAGTGCTGATAGGAAGATTGGTTAACGAATGAATGCATACATTCAAAAAGGTTCATAGATTCATTCTGGTAAAGATAGTTTATCCAGCTCGTGTAATCATGGGAGTTTAAACGATCAAGCCCTAGATGCATGAGATGATGAATAAATGATGCATCACAACGTTCGTATCAAGGCTATTTATTTCATACCAGGCTCTCAGAGTATATAAAACGGAAAGCATAAACACACATCAAAGGAAACTTTTCTATTGCACCTAATTTTTGCGCTAACTTGCTTTCTTTCCCATTGCGTTGCTTTAGCCACAACCCATCATATCATTGCCCACTCTAGCTATGAACTTCCAGGCACAATTTATCTCATAATTTCCATGAATAGAGTTCAATTCCTCCAAATAAACAAGTGGCGAAAAAGGAATTTCGTAAAAAAAGATCATGATTTTTCTCGTATTGCAATGACTTCTTAAAATAACACGACCCAAACAAACAATCGGTGCTGCTAGCCGAAATATGAAAAAAGTGGAGAGAATATCTTTTGGCCGGTGTTAAGGTATCGAGGACCTAATCAGTCTTGGTGTACGCGGCGGAATCGACACCTCCCTCGGGGTACTCTCTGTTATAATTTGTCAGCATTGGAAATGTAAAGTATGATGAGGCCTGAGTAGCGAGATGGGGAGGCGCAGGGGGTTAACTTACGGAAGTGCAACCTCGAATCTTTTCTCAACAGCCTTCAGAACCTCTTGGTCTGCCTCATTGCTGACGAATGAGATGGCTAGACCTTTGGTTCCGAAACGACCAGCACGACCAACACGATGAAGGTATGAATCTGCATCAGGTGGAAGATCGTAGTTGATGGCCAAGTTAATCTTGTTGACATCAATACCACGACCAAACACATCGGTAGCAACACAGATACGCTTGTTGAAATCCTTGAAGTCATTGAAACGCTTGATACTACTCATGTGTTAGCAATGCACAATTCTTCATGATATTATAAGACATACCGTTCCTCTTGGCTGACACCAGAGTGGATAGCAACAGATGGGAAGTTACATTCGCGCAAGAGCTTGTCAAGCTCAGTGGCTCTGACTGTGCTCTTGACGAAAATGATAACCTGGTTGAAGGAAAGCTCATCTAGCAATTCATTAAGACGTCTATTCTTCTCTCTTTCTTCTAACTTGATGTAATATTGTTGAAGACCATAAAGGGTAAGCTTTGTCTCATTATCAATGTAGATCTCGAGAGGGTTCTGCATGAACTTCTTGCAGATAGGTCGAACCTCTTGCGAAAGAGTGGCACTAAACATCATGACTTGTTTTTGTGGTGGTGTGGCTCTGAAGATTTCCTGAACATCGCGACGCATATCTATAACGATATCAACATTATGCACCTGGAGACTTTGTAATCAGACTTACCAATTTGATCCAGCATCTTGTCACACTCATCAAGAACGAAAACCTTGACGCTGTTGAGGCGCAAGTATTTGTCTCGAACGAGAGCGTTCAATCGACCTGGAGTACCGACGATGATGTGCGGATGTGTTTCTGGATTCTTCAATACCTCAACATCCTTGCTAATAGGAACACCCCATAAAAACACCAATCTTGACATCGGGCATGAAATGACAGAAGCGTTGGTATTCGTTTCGAATTTGGTAGGCCAATTCACGAGTGTGGCACATCACGAGTACGGATGTCTCACCGGCGACTACCTCGACTTGTTGTAGAGTTGTGAGGACGAAAACGGCGGTTTTACCGAGACCAGATTTGGCCTGGCAGAGGACGTCTGTTCCAAGAATCGCTTGGGGAATACAGACTTGCTGAACTGTAGTGATCGGACCGAAGTTAGATTAAGTGACCAAATTTATAATCAGGTGCAAGAGATTGCAAGTCCGTCCATCTACGCAAATACATCCACAACGCAACACCGAGATTTCACAGATCGAAGTATAGGCCCGATATTTGCCTTTAAAGGCGCAGATCGTCAACCTTACACAAACACAATAAGGAAGGCGTCGATTCCGAGTCGATCCTGGAAGTCTCTCGGCATGCACTTTAAACGTATCTCCTACAATCTTGCCAGCAATAATATCGCCGCTTTCTCTCGAGATTCTCGCCTAACGCATTTGTTTGCCATCACTCCGAATCTTGTATCGGACGGGTAGAGACATTCCAGGATCGCTCGTGACTTGCTGAAGCTTTGACCAGAGAGTATTCATTCTTGCTTGCGAGATGGACGGACGCGCTGCGAGAAGGACAATGATGGAGCTTAGGGATGAAAGTTATGACTAACCCTCCGAAGGATGTTCGAATCCGCACCAGGAAATGGCTCGTAGAAGCTCCGGCTTCAATAAAAATTCGCGGAAACCAGTCGAATGGATACCAACATAACTGCCCTTCTTGGCCGCAGCTGCATTTCCAGACACCGTCAAATTTCCCGAGTCACCCTTGACACCTCCATTTGCGCCAGCAGCTGGTGCCGGTGCCTCTGTTGTTGCGAGCTCCTCATCGGAATAATCGATCAAATCTTCTTCGGCGGCAGACATTTTGATGATGTTTATTAGTTAGAAGCTCGGTTTGTTGTTGCTGTTGAAAGGTAAAGTTGAACGCGTAGCTCGATCTTGGTCGTCGTTATTCTTGCTGAAAATTGTTAGGAGTGATTGAAGAATAGAGAAGAAATAAATGAATTAGGAGTTAGATCGTGATGATCCAAGTCGTGGTGAGAAGAATTGAGATGGGTGGAGGTCGAGGTGTTGAAAGAAAGATGGATGAGTGCGCGACTAAATTGCTTTGTCGGCGCGCGGCTCCAATTTCCGCTAAAGATTATGTCACGTGAAAAGATAGCTCAGTTTCAATATTCACGCTAATTATTTTTCGTGAGCTTACCTAATGCAACATACTGCCGGTATAACTCGTAATCTACATTCAAGTGTTCCTTAATACACAAAAAATCGCTGTTGTATCTTTCTTGACCTATGAGCCTTTGTTTAAACTGTTCATAATTCAATTTTTCGCTTCCAAAACACAATGGCCAAGTCACAACCTACGAAAGGAGTATCTAAAATACCAAACAAAGCCTTGTATAGCAGAATATCATATCTCTACCAAGCGGCGACTTATCTGGCTCTGCAAGATGATGAAAGCCAAAAACGACCAGCCGTCGAAACCGCATTGAGCTCATCGGTCGAAGATGCCATGGAGGTTGAGCCGAAGTTCCAAGCAAATATCACTGGGGGATTATATCACCCTGTCTCTCGTCGATTAATTACAGATCTCCGCTCAGTATCTCTGAAAGGATTGATGCGGATGTCGCCTGATATGAAGCACTCTATCTGTAAGAATTGTCAAACATTGTTGATGGAAGGAACAACATGTACTGCTCAAATAGAGAATCAAAGTAAGGGTGGAAAGAAACCCTGGGCTGATGTGCTGGTTCGAAAGTGTAATACTTGTGGATTGGAGAAAAGATTCCCGCTGGAAACAGCCAGGCAGCCGAGGAGACCACGAAGATCCAACCCAGAAGCTCAAGCTAGCAAACCCCAGTCATGAATGCCCTAAATTTCAGTGGTTGAAGGTTTGCTCGCCGAAAGAATTCTTGCCTTGAATGCTTCATAGTTGCACCATTTTACATCCATTGCTAGACTAAAAACGCACCAGTTGGTCTTTAAGACTCGGCCATATTAGACGCTGGCGTTGTTCCTCAACTTTAATAGGGATATATCTCGACGCGACTGCAAAACAATTCGATAAAAGGGTCGTCCGCGAGGCCTTTTCTCTCCTTGCGCTTTAGAGTCATGGCTGGTGTCATCGTGACGATACAGTACGATGTCTGTATTCATCTTGGTCACTAAAGCATCAATATAGATGCTCATTTTGAGGCTAGAACTCTTACTGTCCCATTTGCTATGGATTTTTCGATAATGCCTACAGTAATCCGAGAAGTCATCTTGAATCACCAGCCACCAAATGTTTTGTAAGCAAATTATACGCTCCCCAATTCCATGAGTCAACTCTAATAATTATCAGATTCAGAATCGAGCAAAGTTAAACAACGTTTTGTGGGTGCTATTTGGCCTCGTCGATTAGAGAACGATTTGTAGCCTTTTCTGGGTCTATTTTGATTTTGATTTCGAGATCAAACTTGTACATCCTTTATTTACGAACGAAATTTCACACCGGCCAAAGAATCTATTACAGAATTCAGAAAGAAATTACTGTTCTGTGAAGGGCACCCTTTAGGACGAATTTGGGATTTGAAACCTAGAAGACCACGTATTCTTTGTGTCGTAACCCGCTTATAAACTCTTCCAGACTAGGATGTTAGAGCCAGGTCAATGCAGAGAGTGTTACCTGATACTATCTGTAATCATACACAAGTTTGGCCATTCTCATGTTGGTACGAGATATGATTAGACCTTGGTCGTTTGGCCGCTGGCATCCTTTGAAGCACAAATCATACATGCTGGGGGCTCTAATTGGAGGCACACATAATTTCCTCATCACTCTCCGTTTGTCAAAAAACTACATGTCGTGACCATCGGAGGAATCGAACCGATCACGAACCCATTATTTTATTATGAATCAACTGTTACGGCGAACCGCAGTGTAGCTTCTGCAACAAACCAATATCCGAGGACTATCCAATCAAATATCAAAGCAAATATTATTCATCGTTTTGTCTTACAAGTTATATGCCATACAATTGATCGTCTATATATTGCCATATGAGCTGTGGTTAGTTTTAGTTGGTCTCGTGAAGCCATCAGCTTCTCGCTTTGTATCGATTCTAGTGGTGTAAGAAGTCGGAAAGCGCGGATGAAGATGACCCTGCTTTATTAAAGCGATTTGATTCTCATTATGCTAATGATAAGACCGCTATTTGCACAGAATAGACTAGATGGTCAAGCTCGGAAGACCCTATATGTTACGGGTAGTGGCAGAGCCTAAGAAGTCAAGCAGGAGAAGGAAGAAAGACAGACAACGGGCATTATTGGCGTAGAAGTGCAAGAGGAAGACGGAGGAGACAAGGTTCACGGTTGAAGAGCCGAAAGCGCCCGAGGTTGCGGTTTCGAGCACGCCTTTTCCCAGCCAATCTAGCTGCAGCGACCATCGAGTGGTTACCAGGGTCGAGTCTTTAACACCCTCCCCGATACTTCCGATATAAGTAAGAGAAGGAGCAAAGGAAGGGAGCAACAGCAAGACGACGACTATTATGACTCGGCCGATCAACCAATTCTTTCCCGGAACACGTCCCGAAATGATACGAGGTATTCCAGAAGACCAGGGCCAATCTCAAATTTCAAAAGATTACTTCACGATCAAAATGCATCCACTAGGCTCTGCCAATACCTTTGATGCAAACTCTGAATATATAAGAGCAAATGCTATTCTGCAAAGATTAGTAACTATTCCAAACAAGACAGAAGTGTCGCAGAGGAAATTGGTAGATTTAAGAAATTTATGGCTTTGAGGCTCCGTGACGGATATACAGCAGATGCGAGCACCGTTTATTCTTCCCGTTTCAGACACTTGCATGCCTACAAGTATCAAAGCAAGTGAAGATGAAAGAAGAGAATTAGTACTCTAGCTTCAAAAGGATATCACATCTCTTTCATGACTTCAGCATTTTGCTAGATGACAGCTTGGCTTACAGGTCTTCCGCTCCCTCTGTTTGCTACTTTTATCTGGGGAAAAGCTATATGTGGTACTTCCTTTCCCATGTATTATGATATTACCGTATGGTGCCAATATCATGCAGCTGCGGAGCTTTCTCGGTGCAGTTGCTAGGGTAGTCAAGCGAGCAGGGCTGGGCGAGACGACCTTCAGGGGAACCCATGATATACATAGTTATCCCACCTATTCAGATATGCAACAAGATCGTCGAATTCTAAATGCCAGCTCACGAGGTATAATGATAAAGCGCGAGTGCATCGTGGTGGTTTTCACAATGTTTTAATGCGAAGAATATGAGGAAACGGTGAAAATTTGACTGTGGGCTTAGGACCCCTTATCCCTGGGCTGCTGGTGCTGGGGATCATAACTCCGTGGATTCATTCTAAAGGATGTTAAAGTATCAAGATATGGTGAATTTGATGATCCTGAAAATATGAGGTGAAGAGAAGGAGCAGGAACTTAGTACCTAATTTAGATCCAATAGCTTAGCGAAACCATCTAACCTCATAGCATCATCGACTAATTAAACAAACAATTAATTTACCTCCCAGGCAGCCATATAAACAAAAAGACCCAGCAATCTCACCTGCGACCTCTCTCTCCAACTATATTTTCACCTAAAGTTCTAGGCTAAAAGCAATCGTTCACAAATATCCCTAAAAAAGAATTTGACAGACGACAGACTCCTTAATATCATATCATAAGTCTTCAAGAAGCCAGTCTTGCCCTATTTATCCTTCACTAACTAGTCGAGTTAATTCTTTCAATTTACTCCTCAGAGTTATGCTGGATATTTATTCAAACAAACTTCTTATCATCCATTGATTAGTCAGTTCTGCTAGATATTGAAGATTTCATCAGTAGCGGATGGGATGGGACTTTTGAGATGGGGATGGTGTAGCCTCGCTCTGGTTTGGTTGTTAGAGAGGCGCAGAATGGTGTCTACATACTTTTACAAAGGTTCTAGATTAGTGATAGTGGCAAAAATAATTCTAATCGCAAAACTAGAGAATGTCTTTACACCGCGAGAGACGGGTCGGGGTTTCCTTCCAATTGTTAATTCTGACGTCGGACTGCGAAAGAATAATGATGTGTTTGTGGAGGAGGCATTTTTGTTATGATCGGGAAGTGACACTTGGAACAATAATTAATAAAAAGTTTGGAGAAAGGGGAGATATCCAGAATGGCATCGAAAATGTTGAAAACAAGGGAAGTGTCGACGTAGCAACTAATTTCATAAATTCATTTACGTCTTTCGACAGTTTGCGTCTTAGCTATCGAAATTCTCTATATGATGGGAATATTTTTCGCCCGGTAATCATACCACAACGGACTCGTCCTCTTCTGTTGCAAGCCCACCAAACTCTGCTGCAAATCCTCAATTGCGCTCGCGTACCTGATTAAAGTTGCCTCACTCCAAGCAGTTCCCATCAGTGCCAATCCAAACGGCATTCCATCAACTGGACTTACGCCCGCGGGCAAGGTAATCATTGGGTATCCCGCCTGTGCCGCGATTTGATAAGTTTGACCAACATCAGGCGGTACCAAGAGCGCAGTAAGTTGAGTTCCATTATTGTGCAGAGCGGCATCTATTCCATCTTCACGAGTTGTTCGATGACAGAAATTGAGGGCTTCCCAGTATGTTTCATTCATGATACCGCCTGTAGCGAGAGAAGCTAGGAACCCGTCTTGTCCTGATTTAAAGGCAGGATGGACACCGGGAAGACCACCTTCGGATCCAACATTGTCGATATTGTACTGCACGATATCTTCAACGGTGCGTATATCTGTGTTATCTAGCTCTGAAAGATATTTAACTATGTCGTTGTAGAAATCGACTGCGACGTAAGTGTATTCGGATTCGTTGGAATATCCGCGAGTAGTACCATAATCCCAGTCCCAGCCATCTTGAGAAATGATGGTTTGCCAGTATGGGAGTTCAGTACCATTTATGATCGTGGCTCCAGCGGCCTCTATCTCAGAAATGAGATTGAGCAATTGGGATTGTTGGTTCGAATCTGCAAATTTCCAAAAGCTAAGCCATGGAAGTCCAAAAACCGCACCTTGAAGAGCGGTTTTGTTGGTAAGGTATTGGGAGTAGCCACCAGCTGGGGCGTCTTGCACAAGAGTATAGTTGTCACGGGCATCTGGACCATATATTCCGTCAAGGCAATAGGTAGCGTCTCGGACAGTTTTAGCTATACATCCGACGGTGTCTTGATTATGGGATTCAGGAATGACTCTGAGGAAATGTTAGCATGACATACATGGTTGTCAAGAGACGTATGGAGTCCAACAGTCTGAGCTGCAGTCCCACCTGAGACTTTTCGATGCTCGAAAGTATGAATTTGATGTTTCAAACTAACTCAAAAGCGAGAAGACTCTCATTATTGGACTGCAGTCTGGACCATTGGATACTTTGAATATTCCAGATAACTTACCCGTCACGTGAAGTTAGGCCAACGGTCGGCTTGATACCGACGACACCATTTCTCTCGGCGGGATTGATAACGCTCCCATCAGTCTCAGTGCCTAGCGCAAAAGTGATGAGGTTAGCACCAACAGCCGATGCACTTCCTGAAGAGCTTCCTCCAGGCGTAGTCGTTAAATTATATGGTGATCGACACTGTCCACCCCTAGCTGAATAGCCTTCAGAATATGAGTTCGACCGCATGTCAGCCCATTCACTGAGAGTGCTATGTCCCATCAGAATAGCTCCAGATTCACGAAGCCGTTTCACGACGTGGGCATCACGAGGGACGATAGAACCAAGCAACATCCAAGAGCCGGCAGTGGTTTCTAATTTGTCCTTGGTCGCAATATTCTGGCATCTGTTAGTGAGGTCATGAGAGAATGAATCCTTTGACGCTCACGTCTTTCACTAGAAATGGTATGCCGTGTAATGGTCCACGGAGGTTACCTAGCTTGCGTTCATGGTCAAGCGCAGAAGCCATCTGGATAAACTCAGGATTTACTTGCATTACAGCCCTATCAAAATGTTTTTAACCAATGGGTCCAAGGTGCGACAAAGTGAAGCACATGTCACTCACCTGAGATATTCGTCTGTCTGGTAAATCCTCTCCAGATAACACATAACAATCTGCACCGAAGTCAATCTCCCCCTTGACAAAGCCGCTTGTAATTGGTCAATTGAAGCTTCTTCCAACTTGAAACCATTACATAGTGGCATAGGGAATTGGCCACTGTCCGCTAAACTGCCATTTTGAAGAATAGGAAAGTCGTATGGAGAAGGATCCTCCAATAGCTGGGTTTCTACAAAGTCTGTGACATTAAAATGAGGCTTTGAGTACTTCGGACTTGGGCTCCCAATTGCCGAAACAATCAACGTAGTCACTGTGACCAATAATTTGATGAGCACCATCGTGCTAATGGAACTTGGGAAGCAGAAATGGATGAAGAAAGGAAACAAACTCAGGGAATGAAGCACATTATATACTGACACTAGTCATATGGACTGATAAGGTATGGGTATGCTTTCCTCGAATGGGAGGTGCAGTTACACATGCACGCCTACCTGTCAGCGCTCATGATAATGCAAGCCAAGGGATTGATGGTAATCTTAAATCCATTCTGCCGGTGAAATCGATATCAAAGTCATCATATATTCTCCACTACATTACCGGTGGAGTGGTCAGTAAACTCAATCCCTCAACGGTAAAAGTGGGAAGAAGATAAGAAATCGTGGAAGAGTGGAAGATATTTGTCTAATAAGGTTTGGGTTTCTAAGCTTTGTTATTGATGGTTTTGCCAACCTCACGGAAAAACCTTCTACCGGATTTGTGCACCAGAGTAGTTCCCTCAAAATATGTTTATTGTTAATAGGTATCAATAAGTAGGTAGGTATGCTGGATTAAGACTGAGATTGAACATGGAAAATGCATTTTGGATGTAAAATCCGGAAATCTATGAATTGATTTTATAAATTTTTTCTTACTTAATGTTTTCCCTTCCTTGCTTAGTGATGCGTGAGAATAATATGCAGACAATTGCCAAGATGACCTTGTTGATTGGCTTGGATGGAAAGCCACAATAGTTTACTACATCTCATTGTTCTTACAACGACTTCGATATTTCAAAGCGAGACCTACCCAGTGGGCCACCCATCGAGAGCTAACCAGCTAACCATTTCTCGAAACAATCTCCATTAAACATCAATCCATATTATAAGCCAATATGAAGGCCGCTATCGCTATTCCTGTCACCCTGGCGATGGTGTATCGAGCTGGATCGCACAAGAGTTTAACTCCTGGAGGTATCGTTGCAGCCGTAATTACAGCAGCCGCACATGCTTTACATCCATGGAATCTACCTTTTGCCCTTTTGATAATCTTCTATCTCATTGGTACAAGAGTTACCAAGGTTTGTTCAACTTCCCGTACCGTCATTTGCTATTCTGACGGTTACAGGTTAAACACGATGCTAAGGCCAAACTGACAATGCAATCTACCGGCAGTGCTGGAGGGGAAGGTGCTCGTACTCATATGCAAGGTAGGATATTATTTCCTTATTTGAATGCCAGAACTAATTCCTTTAGTCCTCGCGAACTCTGTCGTCGCCTCCGTTCTTACACTCATGCACGCCTATCAACTATACAAACGAGAAAATGAGCCAGATTCGTCTAAGGTGGCATGTTACACTTGGGCTGGTGACCTTCTTGTGGTGGGGATAATAGCAAATTATGCAGCTGTGGCGGCGGACACCTTCAGTTCAGAGCTTGGGATTCTATCCTCAACCCAACCACGGCTCATTACATCCCCAAGTCTGCGAAAGGTCCCACCGGGTACGAATGGAGGTGTTACGGTTTGGGGTCTCGTGGCAGGCCTGCTAGGTTCTCTCATAATTGTTACCGTTTCAATGGCTCTGGTGCCATTCTGTAATCCTAAAGAATCTGCGGATAATGGATGGTCCTTTCTACGGCGACAACGTTTTACGTATGCTTTGACTATATGGGGAGCTCTAGGCAGTGTGCTTGATAGCTTTTTGGGTGGATGGTTTCAGATGAGCGTTGTGGACACAAGAACTGGACGTATTGTGGAAGGACAAGGTGGAAAGAGGGTACTGATTGATGCGGGGGATCCTACTGGTATGCACCACGAGAAGAGCGCTTCCTCGGATGCCTCCAAAAAGTCACTCAAATCAAGTCTTAAGCATGATCACCCTAGCCGAATTGTTGAGAACGGATATCTGAATATCCTTGATAATAACGAGGTCAATCTTCTCATGGCGTTAACCATGAGCTTAGGGGCTATGGGTATTGCAAGTTGGGTATGGAATATTCCATTTTCAAGCATCTATACCTTTTAAGGCGCAGTCTTGCACGATTTATGATTATAATCAGCTTTCAGTAGCATAGTAACATAGCTTCTTAACACATGATATTTACGTAAAGTTTTCACATTTCACGGCAACTTGTACAATCAGATATCTACAAGTGTGGTTGAAGTATAAAAATCTAAATTTCCTACATATATACCGTCACGTGTGTAAAATTAACACGATCCACATTTCCCACGACGGTTATTGTTTACAAGAAGAGAGAAGCAGAAGCAATCAAATCCGTACACGAGCCCACCAAGTCCTACCCTCCCCTTCCTGTTCCCGGCCAATTCGCCTCCAAATTGTCAATTCAGCAATCATGACCTGGTTATGCCGTCTCAATTCTTGAATCTGCGCATCTCTTTCATCAAGCTGAGCTGTAATGGTCAGTATATCGGCATGCATATTCTCGAGCTCCTGGACACGTGCTTCCCTGTTGGCGAGGCGAGCAGTGAGGAATTGAATATGCAAAACTGCATTTGCAGTCACATTGCCCATACGAGAGGGACGTTCTTCCTCTGCTGTGTCTCGTGGGGGGCGGCCATCTGATGTTTCAGAGCCAGGCCTGCTAGGTGGTAATGCTGGGAGCTTGTAGAACGGAACATCATCTGGTGGAGGGGCTGGTGGTCCTGGAGGGCTATCAGGCTCATATTCGATAGGTTCGAATGAAAATAGAGATTGTTGCTGAGTAGTCAATTTTTCATAATTGAAATCACCAAAGTCAATTGTGTCCCAAATCTTCTGTTGACCCTCCGATAATATACCGACGTATAATTCACGTTTGGGTATACCATGACGTCTACGGTCTGGAGCTCTTTTCGATTTCTGTTGGGCTTTCTTGGCTTTCTTCGCTGCCTTTTTAGCTTTCTTCGCCTCCTTACGAGCTTTATCCGATGGACGTCTCGGGGGGCGTTTTAAAGCATCAGACACAGGTCCGATTCGTATAGCTTCTTTATAACCATGCCTTTCCCTTGGGCAATCTGTCCCCTGCTCACATTCCTCGATCCATTGCTTCACCAAGTCTCTTTCTTCATCTATCCATTGTTCGGAGTCTTTGAGGGCTTCGAAACCAAGAAGAGCACCGGTCGTGTAGCCTAAATAGTATTCTGCGATACTAGCCCAAAACGCGACTTCTGCGATTAATCTTGGATCATCAACTAACGATGCCTCAATTGTAGCTTGATCTACTGCTGCTAACACACGATCCATGTCGCCAGGAACAGAACCGTGTAAGGCTCGCTGGAGAACCATGAAACTCATCAACATCTGAACATTGTCAAGACGGGATTGCGCCTTGCGTTTGCTAAACTTAGCAAAGTCTCCTGTGCCTGGACCCGTACCAGTACCCGGTCCAGCGGATTCCTCTCGTAGTTTCTTGTTTTCATCGATGAGTTGCTGAATTCTCTTAGCCTGCGCTTGTTGATTTTGACTATCAGTGGTTGTACCACCGGTTTTCGCACTTTCCAAAACCTGAGCTTCCAACGATCTCCAAGTACTTTGTGCAACCTCGTAAGCTGTCACTGACTCTGCCAATTTGCCTTCAAGAACCACAATAACTCCATTAAGTCTTTGTTGCTCGGTTGAAAGTTCTTTGATCACATCTACACTTTGTTGCATGTCTAACACCAACTGGTCGGATTCGGCTTTCCAAATCTCTTCCTGCTGTTTAAGTTCAGCAACTTCACGTCTTAAATTTGCTAATTCAGCGTCTTGTTGTCCGGGTTGAGCTCCTTCCCCAATTTGCTTCAGACGAAGAATCTCACTCTCAAGTTTCTCTAATTCTTGCTTTAGACGACTAATCTCATTCTCCTTTGCTCCATCATCTCCTCCGGCCTGTTGTTCTTTGGCTGTGAGTTGCTGCTTCAAACCTTCTATGGATTCCTTAGCTTCGGCAAGTTCCTCTTTGTACTTTTGTACCTGCCCCCTGAGTCTAGGTATTGCTAAACCTCTTTGAAGTCCCTGCAATTGACTTTTCAAAGCTGTAACTTCTTTCTTGTGTTCATGAATTTCTGTTTGACCTTGTTGGGCAGTAGCTAGAACAGTAGCTAGGCCCTCCTTCATAGCTTCGAGTTGCCCGTTGGTAGCTTCCAGTTCTTGTTTGCTTGTAGCCTCTCGATGTTCAAATTCTTCCAATTGTTTTTGGAAATCTTTTTTGAGTTCATTAATTTTTGTTGTCTTCACTGGTTGACCTTTTTCGGCAGCAGCTAGATCCTCTTCGGTAGCTTCTAGTTCTTGTTTGATTTTAGCCTCTTCAAGTTTAAATTCTTCCATTTGTTTTGAAATCTTTTTGAGTATCGCCTCAGCCTCATCTACTGCACACCGCTCGTAATAATCTTTATTTCTTGTGAATTCTTTCATCTCCGTTTTGGCTTTGGAAGCCAGCGCAAGTGCTTCGTCTTTTTGATGTGAAAGTGCTTCCAATCGTTTTTTCAAAATATCGTATTCATCCACTACCTTCGTGTGCTTTATAGTAAATTCTAATTCCTGCTTGATAGCTTCCTGTTTGCTAGCCTCTAGCTGCTGTTTTAGTTCGGCTGCTTGTGTTTCGAGTTCTTCCAGCTGTTTTCGTAAGAGAATATTGTCAGCGCCCATCCCATCTGGCCCCGCAGCAACTACAGCTTCCAGCTGTTCAACTGTCACAGTCAGAGAACTAATTAGCTCGTCTTTTGCGATCACCTGTTCCTCTTGACGAGTAACTTGGAGGGCTAGGTTTCTCCTCTCTAAAATTAGACCGTTCATTCTTAAGACTTGCGCTTGTTCTTCGACCTGCCATACCCTCAATTTTTCAACTGCCGCATCACCATCTGCGGCTCGAATCTCTAAATGTATCCTCTCATCAATGTTTTTGATTGCTGATACCTCCAGTTCTGCATTCTTGCTTTCCAACTGTCCCTGCACTTTCTCTAATTTGGATATTTGCTTTCTGAATTCCAAATTCTCACGCTCTAGGCGCTTAACTGCGTCTACGTAGTTTTCTCCTGTGTGATATACGGTAGCCTCTGTATGTTTTGTGAGGAGTGCTTCTTCCAACTTTTTAGTCAGCTCTTTGACTTTCTCGCCCTTTTGAAAAGCTTCCCTTTGGAGTTCTGTAATTTCTGCTTCCTTTTTTATCTCTGTCTCTCTTCTTCTTCTTGCTTCCTTATCCAATGATTCCTTTTCTTTTTGTCTCTCTGCCTCAATACGATTCAATTCTTTTTGTTTGGCATCCAATTGTTGAAGAATCGCCTTATCACCTTTTTCATGCAGTGCTTTTACCTCCTTGATAAGCTCCTCAACTTTCTTATCTTTTTGAAAAACTTGTTTTTGGAGTTCTGTAAATTCTGCCTCCTTTTTTATCTCCCCCTCTTTTCTGATTTCTGCTTCTGTATCGATTAATTCCTTTTCGTCTTGTGTCCTTGCCTTTACACGATCCAATTCTTCCTCTTTGGCCGTCAACTCTCGTTGTAGCAGATTTACCGCAATCTCTCTATCACGCAGTGCATCCGCGAGTATTCGAGCTTCCGCCTGTCTGATCTCTTCCTTCTTTTCTTTATCAGTTCGCTCTTTTCTCTCACGCTGCTCTTTTGTAGCGGCATCTACCTTAGCCATAGCTTCTTTATACTGTTCTTTGTATTTCGCTTCGCGCTTTTCTCCCTCAGTGCGTGCTATCTCCACCTGATTCACTTTATCTTGAAGTGCCAGTAATTGAGCTAAGGCTTCATCGCCATGCTGTCCCTTCTCCTTCAAATCATTCTCAAGCTTGGCGATCTTCTCTTTCAATTGTTCCACAGTCATTTCCTCCTCCGCTCCTTTCTCTGGCATGCCCATCTTTTTTATCTATCAATACGATCAGTGTTCGTCTGCAGATTCTGACATACTACTAAAATTGCGCTTACAGCAGATTTAAGAGACAGACTCACACTGGCAGTCATCAATACCTTGATCTTGTCGATTTGCTCCTTGGTATATTTTCCTGCCTCGAAATCATCTTTCATCATCTGTTCCGCCTTTTCCCATTGTGCGAAGAGTTCGGCCGTAGTTTCTTGTGCGGTTCTCTCAGCTAAGTTCAAACCAGGTTGAGTAACAGTGGGTGTACCTCGTATGGTCTCTGCGTTTTTCGGTGGTGTTTTTGTATCGGTATCTCCGGATTCGGATTCGTTGTCATCTCTTCCCGTTTCCTCTTCATCATCCCCTTCCTTCCCCTCCTCCTTCTCTTTTTCCTCTTTCGCTTTCTTCTCCCGCTCCTCTTCAGAGTTATACGGCCTCTCGAACCCTGGAGCCCATGGATCGTCGCCTTGATCCTACGGGGATTAATTAGCTAGTCCTCTAAAAACGGTAGCTATTTGTCTTGAGTGATACTTACGTCACCTGGTGGTGGAAGCGCCGCCATTGTGACTGAGATTCAGCAGCTACGTCTTTGAATTAGTAGAATTAACGCGACTAGGCTCTTCGCCGGCCAGTTTGTCTAAACCTGAAGAGAATTTTAAGATAGAAGCAAGTCTGCAGGTCAATATAGGAAGAATTCTTTGTGAGCGGCTGGCTGGGTTTATTGTTGTTGATGCATCCGGCACACGTAGCTCTTTCTTGCAGTGCCAATCACAAAGAGAACTCACTAACCCCTCGACATACCTTGGGTTTATTGAAAGAAAATGATTTGAAGCGCCTATGGGACTGTACATGAGCTTCAAATATACCCTGCTTCGGGCCTGGCTTGGAGTTCACGTTATGATGTCCATTTCTAGTTTTAATACCAAATTAAATCTAGATGATTCCACTACATTTAAAACTGCACACTGTTTTTCTTCGTGCCAAAAGATAACAATCAATAAAAAAAATGATACCATAACTCCGCCTCTGTCCAGCATCATGAAGCCTAAACCCCCAGCTTTTGACCCCTTTTATCCTCATCAATACGTAACTGAACCTCCCTCATCAATCCCTCCACTCTTCCACCCCACCCCCTAACATTCACACCCCTTACCAACGCAATCTTCGCCTCCCTCCACCTCTTCATCCCCATAAAACACAATCCTCGATACAAATGACATTTACTAATTTCATAGAAAAGGTTCTTATCCTCCGCAATAAATAAAGCTTCCTCCACGTGCTCTAGAGCTTGATCTAGTTCGGAAATTGCGAGAAGTGCACATGATTTGATGAGTTGGAGATTGATGTATTGTTTGAAAGCACGAATGCTTATGTCCGGGGCTACTTTTGGATATTGAGCGAGTGTGGAACTTGTTTGGTGAAGGGTACTGCTGTATTCGTGGGTTATTTCTGGAAGTTCTGGAGGCTCTGAAAGCTCTGGAATGGTGTACATTGTGGATTTGCTAGGAAATTCCGGTTCTGGGTTTCGGGGCTTCATCTGCCGTCTGGGAAGAGTTAGAGTCAGTATTGAATTACATTACTATACCAATTGTTAATTTATTTAGGTTAGGATCAGACTCCTTGAATAGATTCATTTTGTATGCTTGAAATAAACAGAAATGATAAATCATACCCATGAATCATTGAATCGTCCACCAAGTACTGTACATCATCACCCTTTCAACCTCTACCCAAGATCCTCTTTGTCTCTCCAAACCTCAACAAAGGGACCTGGCCGAAGAAAAAGCCTCGAGCTTGGCAATCACAAGCTGGACTTGTGTAAAATCGCCGGCTTCAAACTTCAAGTGTGGTAACTTTCACCCATCCAATATAACTTTTAACTGTGATGCGGATAAAAGATGTATGCACCAAGATACCCTCAACTTTGTTTGTATGTCGCTGGGAGTGTCTGATATGTGTAGTCATGACCAGCTAATCCTAGCTGAGACAATTCAGGGAACAAAGAAAATACGAAATGAAGTGCCAACGCCATCAAATTATCGGTGTAACTGGGATAAAGAAATGTGCGTGAATGAATCAATTTTTATTTGAGTTGAAAGAAGGCGATGAAAGGAGCTTGTGGAATGGTTGGAATGAAGTAGGGATGTGAATGGATATTGAAGTGTACGTGTCTGGGCTGGAATTTGGAAGAGTTGAGTTTTTCAAAGGTTTTCAAAAAATCGAAATGATAATGGTAGGAATTGATGATGATTGAACTGTATTGATATCTTGATGTCCTGATGTCTTGATTTAATTGGAACAAGGAATTTATATGTTCCAACTCAATTGAGATTATATTCTCCCAATGTATCTTGCCAATTTCAGCCACTTTTTGCCTTGTTAGAGGTCATCAGACATTTCTAAGCGGCTCTGTATTCAATAGATCTGCCAGTCTTTAGAATACGATTGATTATATAATTGCCTATATTTAGATACTGCACATGAAGAATTATAAATGAGTGTTTGGATAAGACTTATGGATTGATAGAAGTCTTAGGTGGCGCTAGTTCAGCTTTGCTCTTATGGTTATTGATCACACTAATCTACAACATTAATTAGCATAGTATCATCCACATTCACATTCACATTCACATCCACATCCACATCCACATCCAACTGAGACTGAAAGAGACAAGTGATTGGCTTTTTTTTTCAACCGTGGTTTATGAATTCATCATGGCTTGTTTCTGTCATAAATTTGCTAATGATGGATATTAAGGCCTAGCCACCAAGACACAAGGACACTTGATAATGTTGCTAGTCAGACAGACAGTGATGCGCAAGTTTTCAGATAATATGATGGCATGGTCTGGGTATCCACTGATGAAAAGGAAAATACCCACTTCTGAGTAATATATCAAATGGTTTCTTCCTCATGTAGACTGCCCCAGCTCGAATGAGCATATCTATGATTGTTTGACCCTCTCCTTGATAACTTCTCGGAATCTGATTGCTATCGATTGGTCGCTTGGATCAATATGCCTGATGTTTTATTATTCTGTCCAAGTGGAAGGCCGGAATTACAACAAACGTCCTTCGAACTTGCTTGTGCCTGTATTTTAGGCATTTCGTGTACCAGATATCGATATCCATCCCACCATGCTTCCCACAGTGAACTTCATCGTTATTAACCTGGCCACTTAGACTCAAGCCAGCACCCGTGTGCTCATGAAAGAAATGAATACACCACTCGTGGCATTATCATGAAGTGCAGATCTTCCAGCCAACCATATTCCCTGCATTCTGCTCAAGCCTTTAGCTGAGAAGGAGCCTAATGTTCTCAAAACGGCCGCTCAATGCGACTACGTGCAATGAAATTTATCAATATCAGTGATATTTGAAGCGTTTCGAATCAGCATGTTGAGCGAGGTGTTGTTTGAATTGACAGAACAAGAATTTATGCAGATAGACATCGGTACCAATATCGCCCATGCTGGATGAATAGCTATTCCACCAACTGTCCTAGCTGGATACTTCGCCAAACATGTTGCTTTCGTTCCTGGTTTTGCTTGTAACCCCGGTGGTTGTGGAAAGTCCTACAAAAGCCGAGGAGACTGCGATGCGCAGCGATCATATGAAGAAATAGGAAACATTTATTCGTGCCCATGCCAGCGACTAGATGCAACGGATATTTCTCTGGTCGCGATAAAACGAAGGATCATGCTCGACAGAGCCATAACTTGCAGTTTTGACTCTGCAGGATTTTGAGGAGCTGTAACTTCGATTGATGACTTTGTGTTTGGTTTTGCTAGATTAATGTCTCTGATGGATACTGTGACGTTGAAGTGTTTAGAGTAAGAGTGACTCACGCAGGTCGCAGAATCCTACTTCGTTCATTCCAATGTGGAGATATTAATCGCGGTTATTTATTTGGTTTCTTCGTTTTACTGTCTTCCCTTATAGAGTGTGTGCATCATTTGCAAGACCTTGGATATTCACGTGACCTAACTTGGTATAACCTTTACCATCGGAGGTTTCTGACGGTCTTCAGAGGCTACGACTTCTGGTTGACAACTAAGGAGAATACCTAAAAACCCTTAGAAGCATTGCTTTTCCCTCAGATCACGTGCGGGTATGGAAACAAACAGGAGAAGGAATTGCGAAATTCTTTTGGACCTTGAGCGTTTATGCGGGAGGGTCCTGGTGGTCCCCCACGTTCTGTTCGAGGCCCTGAAATTTTATTACTACCAGTATCTACCGCGTCAGCACGAGCACGAACCGAGCACGATGTACAAGTTTCATGTAACAAAAACATAACGTCGGCCAGTCTTTATCATCTTCGTTTTCCACGAAGTCTGGTAGCCAATCACAAAATCACGATACGTTTGGTGCTCTGAGGTTTTGGGATGACATGCATACCCAAGTGTTGACAGAGAACAAGGGTAGGTAGGGCGTCAAAGTAAGAGCAGTATGAACCAATACTAACGATTGGCGCAGGTGTCACAGACAATTCGATTGCTTCACCAAGAACCGGAGGAAACAATGGAGCTTTTGTAGGGCAGTAGATGGTTGATATTCGAGCGCCAGAGCGTCAAACCAAACATTTCAAAATATCCAGCCAATTGACAACACAACGATATAGCAAAGGCGCGTATCACCTCTCTTAACATGGATCTACCAGGCCAAGGGCTACGAAGCTCCACATTATCAATATATTCACAACAATTTTCATCTCCATGCAACGAAATCATCCAGGACTCCCGGCGTCATAATCTACTCTGTGTGTTCTGAAAGGGAGACTTTGAGACTTTAACCTTAGCCTTAATATCATTAATACCTAGGTATGTATGTACCGGTACCTGGGATGAAGATATCGAGTCATCTCGAATCTTTAGCCTGCGTCATTTCGCTTTGTTTCAATTCATCAGATCGGGCTTATTCATTGATTGCAATGTCCACTTTTAAGAACAGGCCCTCCCTCATATGGGGAAATGACTAAATGACTTCAGCATCTCAGAAATGTTAACGTTGTTTGGAGCCCCCAGTCATCAAGAAAGTAAAGTACTCTACTCTGTAGGGACTGGATGCATGTATGTAGTGTGGCTTTGCAAAAATGAACTCGTAGCGCTTTGTTCAAAAGATTGTCGTCGCCCACGATAATACCTTCTTCTTCCTTCTATTGCGAAAGGCATACTCTCTCTCATCATTCTTTCTGAGAGAAAGTCGATCTTTGTTTCTTTCTTCCTTTTCTTTTCACTTCCGTGTCGTTGTTACGTCTAGTCACTCATTAATTTTCCTCTTCATTTAATTCATTAATCATGATTCAGCGAGTCATTTCAATTGCCATTTTGGCGCTTCCATTCATCGGTGATGTTTCCGCGATAAACACATATACGTTAGTGGATGATTATTGGATGGAGTAAATTATACTGATAATAAAAAGTACCTCAGCAACGTCCTCCGCAGCATGTGTTTCGACTGGTGTCATCCTTTCTGGTCAGACCGCTTGCCCAGCATCTTCCATAGATGCGTCTTCTACAATCAGCAACATTTCTTCAACGTCTTCCGTCGCCGCCATCATCCCCACAACATACCCAGTAGAGGTATCTTCGGTCTCTGGGGCTTTTACCACAACTACACTTCCATATCCCCATTCCACATCAACCATCTATGGAATAAACACTCGAATTGACGAGCTTGGATTTGTTGTTACCGAAACTGTTATTCTTTCAACTACTGTATGCCCTGTCACTGCTACCGAAGGAGAAGCCACTCCATTGCCATCCAGCATAGGTACCGATTCGGTTACAGCTATTCAAAGTACTATTACAAGCACCATATCGGCCGCTAGTCCTATTATAAGCTCGACTTCTGCTGAAGGAGTTGCCGTCAGCAGTCCGCTTGCTGCCGCTTCTTCAACATTGAGTCTTGTTGCAAGTCTTTCGGCCATAACCCCAGTTGCAGGAAATACTAGCAGTACTGTGGTTATTCTTCAGACAGCTACCGTTCTACCAGAAGCCTACACAACACAAATATCTGAGACCGCATACCCTTGGAGCACTGTGACTACCGAAGGAACAAGCACTGTGATCGCTTTTGGCTCAAGCCCAAGTGTCTCTGCTAGTGTATTTTCTGCCGCATGCGTACCTTCTGGCGGTGTTCTTTTATCTGGCCAAACAGCTTGCCCCGGTACACCCGTTAGCTCGACTGATGCGCTATCTGGTGAAACCACCGGCACGGTTCCATCGGCTGCTATCCCTACTGTAGCAGTTTCCAGCGAGACTGAGGCTGCTGTACCAACTACTACAGCTATTTCTCCAGCCGTTTCTAGTGTCTCACTCTCCACTGAGACTGCCAGTACATCATCTGCTGCATGTGTAGCTTCTGGTGTCCTCTTATCCGGTGAAACAGCTTGTCCGGAAACCCCAATTAAAGCAGTAACCTCCAGTGCCCCTATTTCCGCTCAACCATCCACCACATCTGTAACAGATACCCCCGTGCAATCTACTCCAGCCGCCGAAGATATTAGCACTTCTTCACCCTCCAGCGCACTCGCACAACCCGTACAGACAACAACCAGCCCAACAATCCTCACTCCAAGCTACGCCACGACCTCCTTCCTCACAAAACCAACTTCCGCACCCATCTTCAACTCCACCTCTTTCCCAACCATCACCCCAAGTAGCGTATCATTAACTGGTACCGATATCCTTATCGACACTGCTACTATTGGTACTACCGAAACCTTCACATTCGCCTTGCCCAGCATCTATACCCCAACCGGAACAAGCGATTCCAGTGCCGTTACCGCTTATTCATTTTCGGATTCTGGAGTTTCGAAAGTTAGTGCAAGGGGAAGTTGGGGGCTGGCTTTGGGTGTTATGGCTTTAGTGTTGGTGGTTTAGATTTTTGAATCAGTAGTTCTTTGATCCCTGGGGATTTGGTGGGCTTGGGGTAATTTTGAAGGGGGTTTTATGTGTAATTTAGTGGAAAGAGGGAGTGTTGTATGGATTATACAGGCAATGGGAATAGATATCTTGTTCTATTAATTTTATTTTTTTGGATTTGAGATTTGATTTTTTGATACGGTCTTCATATCGTTTAGATGCCCGGAACTCACGCTTATGTATTTCAACGTATCAGATACTTACTAAGCTAGAGAGCAGGGACAGCAGTTCGTGACTCGGTTCTCATAGTTGACGAGCATTAATCACACAATTCTGCATCAAACAAATCAATATACTAAGAAAGCTTTTGCATGCATGCAACACCAACTAGTTTTTGAGATGTTTTGTACAAGAAACGAATTCTAGGCTAGGCAAGTTCCTACATACTATCTGATCCCCGTCATTCGCATTTCATCTATTCATTTTCGCCCTTTTCTTACGTCTCTCTTTGCAATGGTGATTCGTGAGAACTAATTACTGGATGGCAGCTTATCTCTGGTATGGTGATGGATGTTTGGTTTACCCGTTCGCGTTCGAGGTCTGGGATGGCTGAGCTGGCTGAGTTGCTTGGGATGCTTGGGATGCTTGGGATGCTTGGGATGCCTGGGATGCTTGAGCTGCTTGAGCTGCCTGGGCCACCTGGATCAATTAGGTTAAGGCTTTGGACTAGGCTTACGGATGCTTTGAAAAGAAATAAGCATACCGTAGAACATTGATTACAGGGATTTTGTGCGGTGTGCGAAGTTAGCGTTGCTCTATGACCGGGCTTTGGACGCCGGTGTAAAAAAACACGGAGCCGTGCCCGCCAGCACCGCTTCTTACGAGTTAACTGGTGATTGCAAGAATAAGTTATCCTTACGTCTGTACACATCCCTTCCGTGTAAAAAGCAATCAGAATCTTTTCCCAGCTACGCAAATCGGATATTGCGGTTCTGCTACTGATCCAGAGACTCTTTGCATTGATACCATGGTTTATGAGACTTATTTTCGATTCAATATATCTTCCATACTCTACAATGAATAATTCTTGGTCAAAGAAGTTAAAGATATATCTTCTGCAGAGATCAATGATGAGCATTGAGAAGATATCTTAAACGAACAAAGGAACTTCATGGCATTACTTAGTTTCATTCTTTGGAATAAGCTGGAGATCTATGCAGTAGATGATTTCATCACATCAAGCTCTCTTACAATTCAGACTAAAGCTCATGTAAAGTGAGGTCTTTCAGGGGAAATTCTCATTTGTTTGTAGAGATTCTACCAGCATTGTCTATGCCTTATTTGTCATTATAGAAATTCATCATTGTTTGCACTATAGCTCTGTGCTAGCATCTATCATAAAGTTGCTTTCATAGCTCATACTTACTATTTCACTCTGAGCACAATGATCTCATTAAGCTAATTAGACGAGTGTTGGTATTGCCCTGAGACTTCATACCAAAGGGGTTTTAAGCGAAATTACTAGTTAAAGATTGGAGGCATTAGTGCTTGCATTGTGCGTTGAACACAAGGAGGTAGATTCTTTTCTCAATATGAAAGCATTGCAGTTCTTAGGCTTATGCACATCAAAGCTCCTTTCTGCTTCTTTATATGAACATCGTATAGTTTAGTCACTCGCACATTTAAGCCTTTGTTCTTGATGCTTAATGGTCAAACAGATGAGAATTTGTCTATCTGTACATTTCAGAATACAAAAGAATATAATAAGTTTCCTTGATTTAAATATTACATCCCAAACTATATACCGCATCAGCAAATATCTAAATAAGTTTCAAAGTGTTTTCCTGCGCCGTCCGAAATATCCTACTATTTGAATGAGCTGCACAAATCCCCAAGCGTTCATAAGCCCCAGAATCCTGGTAAAGTTTACAAACAAGAATGTGTAACCAACGATTCCGCGATCCAAACCTAATTCCGTATTGGCTGGAGGTTCCGACAAGTAAGCAACACACTTCATCACCATCCGTGGTTCCGGACTGGGAAAGCGTACAATCCAAAGCAAAGCCGAGAGAATTCTTATGATGAACCTGTGGGAACTTGAGAGTAGTATCATTTAAGGTGCGATCATGCTTATCGTAGCCATGAAATAGTCTAGCGCTGATAGTCAATCCTCGAACAATAAGGTACGCAGGTTCTGGATTTTTCAAGGAATCTATGACTAACATGGGAATATTCGTCTGAACATAAGCAAAACGGCTATGCGCCTCAAAAGAATCTTCATACAGAAGTAGGAAGTTAATTGGAGTGTCCTTTCGATCGGATACGAGAGATGCCCACGACCAACTGGGAGCAAATTTCGACTCGGAGGTGCATCGATATATATTTAGATTGTCGTTTTTTTCAAATGGTAATGGCTTTGCTACATTCCATAAAAGACCTCTAGCGAGATCAGTGAGCCATATCCCTGCGAGATAATGGGATTCAAGGCGGTCCTGAAAGATTTTCGCTATTCCAATAAGAGCTACCAATCTGTCTCTATCATATGTGATGAGTAGTTTCGAATACTCGTTGATCAAACCGAGCCACCGATCTAGAATATGACGTTTATCTAGCGAATTGATATCGGCTAGCTTTGACCGGGAGGTTTTGTATATATTTTCAAGGCCGATACATTCACAGCGGAGACCAGATTTACATTCCATGATTAGTTCTGTGGGATGGAAATGAATAGTCCGTGGCGCTAATTGTCGCTCTTGAAATATCCACGCTCTTGATAGTAGGGATGTGATTTCGTGGTCTGCAGGATCGGTTTCGCGGTTCCTTTTGCGGATATTGAAACGTTGATGTACTGCATGAAATGAAGGTCGGATATAGACTATGGCCCCTCCATAGGACATATTACTCGTATTAATAGGCCATGCTTTAAGATCTGACATTACACCGTGCCTCAAGCTCCGCGTATTGAGACAGCCTCCTGTACTGTCCGATGCCGCTGTTGCAGCAATATTCAAACAACTTTTAGAGTATATCCTAGCCATCTGTGCCGCTTGTTCTTTCCAGTCTATGTCATCCTTCTGAATGATACATAAACTGTCAATCCACACATAGCGAATGCGAAGCGTTCGCAGTATTGTGACAACATCTGCAAATGTCTTCGGGAGATCGCATATTTCAATACCTGTCTTATGTTTCTGAAGAGTTTTTCTGTTGGTTTGAATTAAATGAGCATTTCCCCAACAATGGCTTAGAGTTGCGTATGACTCGCTAACATTAACAAAATGCATCGTTTCAACTAGTCGAATTAATTCCCCTTGTTCACCACTCAAATCTAATAATCGGCTTGGTACAAATGGTACGCCATCATCTTGCAAGGAGCAAATAGCATGGTTTTCGCAACAATCTTTGACCCATCGTTGGATAATCTCTGCGTAACTTTCGACTGTGATCTGAGGATGAACTTCTTCCGCGACGCCAAAGTAACTCGGCCTTGAGTTGGAGTTTGGAACAGGCGTTTGACCTTTTGTGTTTAGTGTACATTTCAGCTTGACTTGGACTTTTTCCAGAACTGACCTGGTAAGGTATAAAGCTCGAACTCAAGAGGTTTTCGCGGTACCAACGGACGAAGTTGTCGCTTTGGTTGTTTAGCAAGCCTTATCAGAGCGCTCCAATTTGTGAAGGATCTCAGTAGACCAAGTTTTTCACGACATTGATTTTCTCCCTCTTGCTCAAATGAAGTCACCGCTACTCGTAGTGGACAGTCTTGACGTTTGTATATATCAATCTGAAGCTGCTTGGACGAGTCGAAAGTTGTTAGCTTTTGGCTCATGATATCTAGACCTTCTTTGATTTTGTAACAATTGGGACAAGATAATTTTATTCCATGATTGATTTGCGAGGAATTGAGTTGGAGATGCTGTCCCTCGGTAGAGTCAACATCAAAGTAAAGATGCCATTTTGTTCTCGCACTTCTCGAGTAGGGATTGAGATCAAAGCAGACAGGACATTTCCGAGATCGGTGCATAAAATAAAGTTTATTAGTTAAAATCTATGAATTACTCGTTATGATATACTATATTTAAAAGGCAAGTTCACAGAGCTGCCGTAGTTTAGAATTCAACTATTCACGAGCCGAAAGGCCCTCGAGAAACTCGAATTTCTACGTGAATGGTGGTAGATAGAGCTTAATTAGAGGCCTGCTGTGTTCCATAGTTCCTAGCCTGAACCAGGTTTTCGCAAGAATATTTTGAAGCTTCGGAAAGCTGCAGGATTTTCGTGTTACGATTAGAACACAGCACTATGTACCATTAACGATATGGTGAAGACAACACTAGCAAGTTTGTCTTGAGGAATACAATGGAGTATAACTACTGATACCACTAAGGCCTGCAAACAGGGCTGAGTCTAAGCACAACATCATGATTTCAGTGTAAATTATACGCCGTGTCACAGAAGTGGCCAGCCAGACATTTTGCTGATATCCGCAAAGTGTAAACTTCTTGGTAACGTGCATGATGCTATGCGAGGCTATACGAGAGTGGTCTCAGCTCAGTATGCTGGTTTAATAGGAGGTGTATGCGTTGTTGTACTACCGATACTTTTGTCCCAAATAGAACCTCCATGGTTTAGATTTTTGAGAGAAGTATCTGTGGGAGTAGGAAGCTAGAGATTTAGGATTTGTCTGGTGGACTTGGATGAAAATCTAAAAAGTTAGATATGGTGTGTGGAATTTCGCTAAGAACGTATATTGCAGTGATGAAAAAGGGGGAGACTTGGATGTACAACGAACTGATCACGAGAACATAGTAGAAACCTGACAGAATATCAAATATTCTTCAATGATTCCTAGCTTATAGTGGCACGCTCACCTGAAGGCTGGAGAGTCCTACAGTTATAAAATTTCCAAATAATAATGCCTTCTGGTGATGAATCTAGCGAGAGATGGTTCGAGAAGAGATTATTCATGGAAATTTTCTCAGGTTGGCCCCTCGATGTTGCTTGATTGAATGCATTTTTGGCGTCTCTTATCATGAAATGGTTAGGAAAGTCGCAGTATTTCATAAACTTTTTTGTTGCCGACTTAGCCTTTACAATGCTTCTTTACATTCTGCATCAAAATAAATCCATTGAAAAATTAGGAAGAAATTCATTTGTAGTCTTCCAAAGTTAGAATAGGAACAAGGCTTTAAAGGTTGCCAAATAGAACAATCTTGCCATTAGGGTCCTTCATCGCTGGGGCGTTCGGGAAAATTTCCCATGTCTCCATACGCTTACTTGAATCTGCGGGCAATGTAATGCTGGTGTTCAAATGATCATAATCAAGAATAACAATAAACGATACTAATAACCGTCATTCAAGAGCTAATTAGCGGCCGGAGAGATAAAAGCTCCAGCAATATCAGGGCATGAGTAAGCTTGACCGATACGATCGGAATGGTGATAGACGGGTTGGTGGAGCCTGTGTTTTCATGAAAATTAAGCCTGTAGATATGGTGATACTGTATGCTTCTTCCATCTAAAAATCCTGCTTCTCGGTTAACAACACAGAAGAAAAAGGAGACGAGGTCTTTCTGGATCCCGTGTTTTCAAGAGTATACTCTGGTATATTCCTGCGTTAATTCTTTCACAATATTGAATCATCATTCTTATATCAGAACTCCAAATTCTTCGAGAAACTCCCACGTTCATCCTTTCGTAGCAGCGTCTTAGCAGCGTCTTTACACCTTCGCTAAAAACATATAGTGTCCCTCCCGCTCAACTTATTTTCCAGCACGCAATCATAGCTATGAAAATTGCCAAAACAGAGCTTTCTATCCCATCCAGAAATGTGCTAGGAGTTAAAAAAACGCATACATCTATTATTTCCACACGCTTCAAAATGGGAGACTTGGGAAGGAAATTCTACCACTAGAATGATATGTCCGGAATTCGAACGTACCAGCAATGTTGCCATAATCCAACTCAGACTAACCTTGTCCCTGTAGCAGGAAATTGTGCTGATTAAATCGACAACATGCTAGGCATTTGTAAGTTACTAAGCATACCTTGCGATGACTCGAAATATTAACCAGGCAAAAAGAGGCACTCTAACCAACAGAGAAACACAAAGAGAAATGGAAAAACAGTAGACGAAAGACGAGGTCATGGAAAAGCAAGTATATAATAGACTATCGATTGTCTCGGTTAGCATAAGCGTACGCTAAATCCTCATTGTGATTCATCTCGATAGCTATGGAGTTATTTGTAGAATCAAGCTGTGAATTCGATATATCAATATAACGATGAAATTCCATCATTTGGAACGTATGAGCCTTCTTCCCTATCATCTCCAATGCCAACTTCTGGAACCGGGTCATTCTCAATAAACAGGGAGTTAGATATGCAAGAGAGTAATGCAGGACAGGAAAGCTATTAAGAACAGGATATACCTTTGGATTGCTACGAATTAATATCTTATGGTTCAGCTCAAGGATATTGAAGTCAGGAGAATGTAAGTGAAATTTTGTATGGACTCGGGTAGGTAGGGATGTAGGTATTAACAAGTAACAAGCAGCGTCAGGAATCAAAGCAGCAGAGGGATTTTACGAGTAATCGGTGCCGCGACCACTAATTCTTCAAAGCAAGTAATGAAATAAGCATAAAGGATACCAAGGGCAGGAACTTAGTATACACGGGGAAAAGGAAGAGCCCGAACGTATAGACGAGAGCGTTGCATTTGATGAATTGCGAATACGACTGTGGATAGGTATCAGGAGATAAGAATTTATCAATATTAAAATTGAACCTAGACTTTGTGATACTATACATCAAGATGTGGAGACGACTGATTATAGCTAGTAGGCTGAGATATTTCGACACTATTTTGAGAGGATGTCGGAGTATCTCGATCTTCCAAAGATCTAAGAGGATGCTATAATGTAAACAGATACTCCGTACAAGTAGTGTGGTTCATTGTTTTTAAGAATAAATAACCTTTGATATTCCAATGAGGTCGTATAAGAATGAATAACCAATGTATCAATGGACGTCGGTCGATACAGCTATGCACAAATAGATTACGAGCCACCTAAGCTATAAGCCGAGGAATTGAGACTAATCAATCCCCTTAATCGTCATCGTCTCCTCCTGAATGGACTGTGCCCGGCCCAAAAGCAGTGACACCAATCAAATGGGGAATAAATTGTTCAACAAGTGTCGTTTACCCTTATGCTTGCAGATACTGAAACTTTTCAAAGGGGGCTCCACTTCTCAAGAGTGGGATATCACTTCATTCTTTATGTGTTGAATCCCAACCTCCTGTCGTCGAATGCAATCTCATTCCAGCAGTTGACGGGTCGGGGGAACAACAGTGAAGAAGACTTATCATCCAGATCCAAACAGTTAGTCAGGTATTTGCGGTGAACAAAAGAGTATATGGATTAACGGCACTTCTATATATGCACGCATGCACTCAGCACTCAGCACTCAGCACTCATACATTCATAAACATACCATACCTAGTATATCTAGCACACGCGTCGAAGCAAGCTCTTCCTAAATTCCGCATTGTGTATGGCCAACCATGATAAAAAAAAACCCGCTTTAAAAGGATAATCTGGTGGATATGTTTAAGAGCGGAGGTGGAGCGGATAGTAATCGACGGCAAAAGTTAAACCCGGATTTGATCTCAAATGTAACCAATCAAAACTCAACAATGGATCCGAAATCTGGGGTAGTCTACCTCGGTGATCGACAATTATCTCGGTAGCTTTCCCCGGTGAAGATATTACTTTACTCGAGTGCTTGTCCTTGGACAATGCTTCCATTTTCCTTTTTATCCTTTCCATTGAAGCTTTTCCGATATTTGTAAACTTTTGGCCGCTATTGGTGCATGTTCTTTAGATATATACCAAGTGTATAGGTATAGTGGTACAGTTTTGAATCCAACATTATGGCGCTCGGTATGTTTTTCTATTAGCACAATGTTATCCATCTTCACATTTCTACAGCCACGGCGGCGTACACCCTAGTCGCATCTCTCCAAGTTCACAAACAAATCACCCTCCACGATCAATGACTGTAGAAAGGGGTTTCTTAATGGTTAAACAGATACTAATAATGAACAGCAACGGCAGTCGCGGCAGGTACCACCGCTGCGGCGATGTATCTTGATGGCAGATATTCTATAACAAAAGATCTAAACGATAAACTAAAAATGAGAAGGGCGACGAAATTAATCGCAGAAGCTGGTAAGTCTCACCACTAAACCATGTTGTTCGCCTCTAAACATACCCATGTAGAGAAGAACAACAGATTATGTCTATATTATCTTTTCGAGGACAGTGTCAAAGCCCACCCAAATACAGAATGTATATGGTCTCGTGAAGGATGTTACACCTGGGCAGAATCCTACGATCGAGTAAACCAATATGGACAATGGTATCTTTCTCAAGGTGTGAAGCCAGGCGATCTAGTGGCATTTTATCTTCAGAATTCTCCGGACTTTTTGTTTGCATGGTTGGGATTATGGTCGATTGGAGCTGCTCCGGCTATGATTAACCACAATTTGGCTGGGAAAGCTTTGATTCATTGCGTCAAGGTTCCGAGTGCAAAACTCATTTTGGTCGACGATGACGAGGAATTGAAAGCTAGGATTGAAGAGGAGAAAGAGACGTTGGAGGGAGAGCTTGGGATTAAGATTCTGGTTATGGATTCTTCTGTGCGGTCGGAAATTCGAAGTACAAAGACCGATAGACCTGATGATGTCTATAGAGAAGGAGTTAAAGCAAAGTCGCCTTTGGGATTGTTATATACTAGGTTGGTATTTTACGCTGGCTGGAGAATCTGATAGCTAATCTATCTCAAGTGGAACTACAGGGTTACCGAAAGGATGTACTTTTCATGTTGTAAGAGGTTATATGGCGGGTATTTCGGTGAGTTTGGCATTTAAAGATGAGCATTGCGAGGGTTACTGACAATGTTTTAGAGAGCAGCTGGTCTCTCCCCAGTAAGAGATGACGATCGATGGTACAATTGTATGCCTCTGTATCACGGTACGGGCGGTATTACAGCCGTATCCAACATAATGAGTGGCGTAACCAATTGCATCGGCAAGAAATTCAGCACCTCCAAATTCTGGGGAGATATAAGAGATTCAAGAGCTACATGGTTCACATACGTTGGGGAAACGGCTCGATATCTGCTCGCTGCACCCCCTTCTCCTCAAGATAAAGATCATTGCGTGCGTGTCATGTATGGAAATGGTATGCGTCCTGATGTATGGTATAAATTCAAGAATCGATTTGGGGTACCGGAGGTTATAGAATTTTTCAACAGTACCGAAGGAGTATTCACTCTCACAAATCACGCGCGTGGAGACTACTTAGCCACCGCTGTTGGACACCATGGACTTATCTCCAGATGGCAGTTTCGCGATCTTTATATTCCCGTCAAGGTGGATGATGTTACTGGTGGCATTGCTCGAGATCCAAAGACTGGGTTCGCTATTCGGGAAACATTTGAGAAAGGTGGTGAGATCATCGTTGCGGTTCCTGATACAAATGTATTTGCAGGCTATTTCAACAATCCCGACGCGACGGATAAAAAATATGAGAGAGATGTGTTTAAAAAAGGAGATCTTTATTATAGAACTGGAGATGCTTTAAGGAGAGATAAAGATGGGAGATGGTATTTCTTGGATCGATTGGGAGATACGTTCCGTTGGAAGGGAGAAAATGTCAGTACGGCCGAGGTTGCAGAGGTTTTAGGAAAATACGATGGAGTTGTGGAAGCTATCGTTTATGGTGTTCAATTACCATCTCACGATGGTCGAGCCGGTTGCGCAGCAGTATTCATCGATCCAAGCATTACCAATTTCGATTTTGCCGGTCTTCTCAAGTAAGTATTTCACGATCTTTAGATTTACAGACTCCGCCAATCATCCCATTCTGCATAACACGGAAACCCAAGCTAACAAATTCAAGACATACACGCAAACATCTACCCAAATACGCCGTTCCGATCTTCCTCCGTATAGTCAAGGAAATGGTTCCCATTCATAATAATAAACAGAATAAAACACCGCTGCGTGAACAAGGTGTTGAGCATGAAAAGGTTAAGGAGGAGGATAAGTTGTTGTGGATAGAAGAGAAAGGGAAGGGAAATACATATGTGGAATTTCATCGGGATCATTGGACGGATTTGGAACTTGGGAAGGCGAGATTGTGATGTTTGGATGTTGGATGCTTGTGTGTGGTTATGGGTGTGGTTGCTTGGTTGGATATGACGGGTTTGTGATATATCTATATGTGTGTATGTGTGCGTGAGAAGGTGTAAGTTCCTATATAGAAGGTTATATATATACTCATGGAAAAACATTCCGAATTACTATATTTCATCTAACCCTACTCTTATAATATGTACCCAGAACCTTTAGTACCTACACACATCAACCCTCCCAACCCCTCGGAAAATCTCAAACATTAAGCCGTTTAAATATCCGAACTCCAAACCACAAAACAAACGCATCCCAACCGCAGCTACTAATCCAAATACAAATCCCAATATAACCAAATACCAAAATACCAGCAACCAAACAATCACCAAACAAGATTACCTAATACTCAAAACCCCATCTCTACTTCATACATCTACAGCAAATCCAAATCCCTACAGCAAATGCCCACAAGATGCTAATTACAAGAGTATGTTGATTTTTCAGGATATGGGTCTGGGTATCGGGTTTGGGTATGGGTATTAGTATTAGCTATTTCTAAATTGCGATTTTTATTTATTTTTCAAATCGCTATTTTCAAATTGTAAATCGATCTTTGATTTAAAAATTACTGCTACTATTATATATGTGTGTATATATGTATGCGCAGGATCTCAGGACACAACTCTTGTAAATATCAAAAGTATCACTTTTGGAAAAGCAGGCCTGGTACGTGGACGTCTTACTGAACCAACATAATACTCGAGTAACCCTACCTACTTAATAATTACCTAGTATTCCAATCTTATTTTCCGAGTCTAATTAAGGATGTTTTCAGATAGATATCATATAGGTAATGAAAGTGAAGATTTGGAGTATGTACCGTATGTATGGACTCTATATGTAGATAACAATCCAAAGACCAATATCCTAAACGTAGTAATTGAGTATACCACCTACCTAGTAAGATTACTATACTCGTTCCATTGCATCTGAATATATATATATATATATATATTCATTCGTTCGTTCCTGGATGGATGGATGGATGGAATAACTTATTAGCTTTAGCTGCCTAGGTACCGTAATGGTATCTAACCTGCACCGTAAAAGTATCTTACAAGTATATATATTCAAAAATTTGATATGGAAGAATACAAATCTCTCATTGAAATTTCAGGGCATGAAAGAAAACAATGGACAGCTCTGGTTCAATAATCTTATCGACATTAGGGATTATCGACTTCGAAACTCCGGTGTGAAAAGTGGTAGTGATGCATACCATACATACTGGGTATTGCTTGCTCATCTGGATTACCGTACGTCGCAATTCGCGGTTGGTAATCTTCATGAGTTCAGTACGTACTGTATGTAGTCTTACTGCTACCGGTGATTACAAGCGTTAGGTTTTGAAGACCTGTGCCATAGTTGGAATACTTTTAAAATGTTTCATATAAGGCAGAACGTAAAAAGTATCACCAAATGACAGAATGTCGACAGCTGCATCACAATTAATATGTGATACTGGGTGGGAACTTGGGGTATGATCAGTCGTAGAAGGCACATTGGTAAGGACATGCACGATAGCGGACATACATGAGAGCAACAAATGCTCCTAGTGATAGGTCGCAAAGTAGTAAAGATACAACCAACAGAGACGACATCATGTAAAATATTCAGTCATATGCGAAACATAAAATATAATTTTGTTGTATCAAAGCTACAAAAGCACGAACTAAAAATATCTAACTCGACAGCTCAAGCAGCTTCCTTGCGAATACCATACTCATAGCCACTACTTGTGACATAAAGTAATCACATCAAAACCCCTCAATGGTACCCCGCAGATGGCGCATGGGGTGAACGCGTCTCTTCGTTCATCGTAATGTATAGCATTGATGCTCCTAGACTTCCGGCTAGTTAGCAAAAGCTTCTAGAAGTTTGGCAATTGAGACAGAAAATCGGATATTATTGTGCTCATAGATCTTGGTTAAGTTGAATTTTCATGACTCCGAAGAGTTCAGTATTTTCAGTGCATTTTTCTTAATCATAGTAGGAAGTAGGATAAGATGCTGCGCAATGAATAGTTGTGACATACCTTACGAGATATACATCAAGACCATTGGTGATCTATGTTAGTTGCCGAAATGAGATGTGTAGCAAGTTGTTGGTAGAAGATGGCAGCGAGAGATCCTAATACTTTGAACTGTTAACGAAGGGTTCGATTGAGGTTGTGCCAAGACATAAATAATTGTGTAAAGGAAATCAGAATATGTAAGAATGAATTTCATCCACTCGCAAGATATAGCGACCCCGGCGAGGGTGCCATCAAAGTGAGGTCAATCGCAAATTATCTCATCATTTAAGTAGAGAAGAGGGGTTGAAAGAATAGAGATTGTACGAACCTTGTACCTGTGTTGACGCAGAGATACATTCAAGAATGCCCATTTTGCGAGAATATATCAATTCAAGCGATCAATTCCTGATGTTTTTGTCGTTGTTTATGAGGTTGAAAAAAGATGAAGAAACTGGTAGGAAGAAATTTTTTATAAGATTTTAAAGTTCTATGCGAAAGCTTTGAACTATCTAAAAGAACGCTAAGTCGATCTAGCTCTAGCTTCATTCAGCACGTGCTGATGTGAGTTGCTGGCCCAAATGCTAAATGATGCCTAAGGAATAACTTCTAAATCTCTAGGGCCATTTCGCTTAGATTTTATTCCCACGGTGACATTTTTGATTTTCGCATTTTGAAAGTAATCGACAACTAAACATCGACAAATCCTCGACCAACGACGCCCCGTAGGTTATCTTCAATTCTACACTTGATTGATTGAACTTCTAGAATTCATCAACTAATACACTCTTTTCAGAAGATTTCACAATGGGTGACGCAGATATCAAAGCATCTTCCTGGAGACTGGTTGAGGTCGGCCGTGTCGTCCTCGTAACTGGAGGACCACACGATGGCAAGCTTGCCGCGATCGTTGAGATCATCGACCACAAGCGCGTATGTACAAATGGTGAAGGTTTGGGAAAATGTAGAAGTCTAACACCAGAAATAGGCTCTTATCGATGGCCCAGCAACCGACAAACTCGCCGCTGTTCCAAGACAAGCAATCTCTCTCGCCAATGTCGTTCTCACACCTCTCGTCCTTAAGGGTCTTCCAAGAGCCGGTCGCACCGGTGTTGTTCAAAAGGAGTGGGAGAAGGCTGGTATCGAGAAGTTGTGGCAACAAAGCCCATGGGCACAAAAGCGTGAGAAGCAAGCCAAGAGAGCTGCTTTGACAGATTTCGAGCGATTCAAGGTTTTAAGATTGAGGAAGCGGGCTGGATTCCAAGTTAAGGTCGCCCGGGCCAAGCTTGCCGCGGCATAGATTTGGGAATGAGATATTTGGGAGCGCAAGCAAAACTACACAAGGGTTGATGGGTTCCTTTGCTCTCAAGTGAGCTTTGTATCCTACGTCAATGTGACCGGCGTAATGAGCATATGGACTTCAAAAATACCTCCAAACCAATTCCTCTACATCTGAATACTGGGCGTTATTTTGAGTGTGATTTGGTTCTGGAACTTTGAAATATCCTCGACATGAGAGTTGCGGAATATATTCCTGAACAATGAACTAGGAGCCATTGTACTGCTTTATCGGATAAATCCATAAACTGATACTAATAATTTAACAACCATGATATGATGTTAAATGCACTTTGACCCAGTCTGACGTCGTTAAGAAATTGTACCCCAGAAGTGCCCCAGCTCCAACCTCAACTAGAATACTAGAATACATACATGTAGGCTAATGTTATTAACTAATCTTAGCGAAACTATCACAACCCTAATAAACTGCAACAGTGACAACTCCAATAATTGATTCTACAAGTTCCTATATCATATCATTGCCTTCTTATAAACTCAGGTTAGTGAAACCTTTATGTTCACAATGTTCATCAGCCTTGTGGTTGTGGAGTTTTCCGCCGTACAAGGAAACTGGCCCCCAATTTCTTTAGCGCACGCACAAAATTTTGGAAAACCAAAACAACGACATTAACATCAAATTTCTAACAACTTTTCATACAGCCAAAACCACCACTCAAAATGTCGAACCCACGTATCGAGGAACTCCCAGATAACGAGGAGCCAGTCAAGCAACAAGTTACCGCAGAAGATGAGGGATCCGATAGCTCTGACTCCGAGGGAGAGGGAGAGGTAGAGTCTGGTATTCCAGCAGGTGCTGGAGCAGTCGTTCACTCCCGAAACGAGAAGAAGGCACGCAAGTCAATTGCAAAGCTCGGTCTTACAAGAGTTCCTGGTATTACCAGAGTCACTTTGAGACGACCAAAGAACGTAAGAAATTTTTAGTTGATTTGCGATTCGTTAAGGAAGTTCTTGCGATCAAGACGTGGAGCTGTGCAACAGCTTCATAACCGCGGGGTAGCTTTAATCAAACTTGAACATAAATTAATAACTCTCTACTGATCATATATTGTCTAATAGATCCTCTTTGTCATCAACAACCCAGAGGTTTACAAGTCCCCAACCAGCAACACCTACATGTATGGAACTTCTACCCCGCATTTGAAAATTACATTTTAGTCTAACAATTTCCCCAGTGTCTTTGGTGAGGCTAAGATTGAGGATCTTAACTCTCAAGCTCAAGCTTCTGCTGCCGCACAATTGGCTGCTCAAGAATCCCACGACCACGCCGGTCATGATCACTCTGGTCACGACCACTCCCACGATCACGGAAAGGGCAAGGCTGTTGATACCGGTGACGAGAAGAAGGAAGAGGAAGAGGATGACACAGAGGAGGTCGATGCTACTGGACTTGAGGATAAGGATATTGAGTTGGTCATGACCCAAGCCAGTGTCTCGCGCAACAAGGCTGTGAAGGCATTGAAAGAGAATGACAATGATATAGTCAATTCTATCATGGCTCTAAGCATATAGTTCTAAGCTAGCTTAGCTGGATCTTTATGGATTGCTGTTCTAGGTTGACATTCTTTGATGGATGGCAGTGGTATTACGTGGAAATAGAACGACATACATACCTGAATGAATTTCAGGAGTGCTATATAGTACGATTGCAATTCAATTCTATGCCACCTTCATGTGCATCTACACACTCAATTCTTTTCAGATGTAACTTCGTGACAATGCAAATTTGTCAGAGGCATCCCCTATGAATAGCCATCTTGCAGTTATGTGAATTATGAAAAGATGCCACTTCGATTTCCAAAACTTAATTCTGTTCGCTCTGATCAGTTCGAGATCCTTCATCAGGCTGGACACCGGGGTAAATCACGTGACTCTCCATTTTCTTGTTCGAACCGAGACTTGCAGCTTTTGACGACGAAATCAACAACATCTCAGTTCTCCACTCCCTAATCATATCAACAACTTCACAATGGCAGCCGGAGTAAGTTAAATCTTTTAATTAAAGTACTATTGCTATTAATCAAACTTTACCTCCAAACCTCGCCGTCCTGCAGACTTTGCACCCCCTCCGAAGAATTCCGAAGACTTCTGGCCGGACCTTCACTCCCCTCGACCTCGTTGAGCGTGAGATTATTACTAACCGATCTACTCCTACAGCGCAGCGCAGCCCTCAAACTCGACTGGGCGAAAGTTTCCCAATCCCTCGGACTCAAGGGAGCCACCGCGTCCTCCCTTCAAGCTTTCAAGAAGCGCAATGAAGATGCCCGTCGCCGCGTGCAAGCTCTTTCTGAGCAACCTACCAAAGTAGACTTTGCACACTACAGATCGATTCTCAAGAACACCGCTGTTGTCGACGAAATCGAGAAGCATTTCTCCACATTCAAGCCAGCAGCATATGATGTAGCTAGACAGATTAAGGCGATTGAGACTTTTGAGGCACAAGCTATCAAGAACGCACAAGAGACAAAGGGCAGAGTGGACTTGGAATTGAAGGATTTGCAGAAGACATTGAAAAATATCGAGGAGGCTAGACCATTCGAGGATTTGACTGTGGTATGTAGTGGCTCTTGAGAGGAATGTGCAGAGATAAAGGAAAAAAATGGGGTTGGCTAATGTGTTATGTGTGTCAATAGGATGAAGTTGCAGCTGCTCGCCCAGATATTGATGAGAAAACTTCTCAACTCGTTTCCAAGGGTCGCTGGGGTGTTCCAGGTTACAAGGTACGTTTTGAAGTTATATTTTCTGTTGTTTGGGATGATACGGCTGCTAATATATTTATAGGAGAAATTCGGCGATCTTTCTATGCTTTAGATGGAATAAATTTGAGCTCCCCTTTTCTTTGTTACCTGCACTGTTGTAGATAGGGACCGGTGGTGGAAGAATCAAAATCATGGTGGTTGAATGTTTAAAAGCCAGGTTGGCTAATCATGATACTGTTTTCTCAACTTATTGAACTACTGATAAATTTGTTGTTTTGATTGAATGCTGTCACAAAGACCATCAAATTAAACCTCTGAGATGCTGGGACTGCATGTAAATGATATCAATCCCTCTTGGGGTCATGAGAGATGGATTTCGGAGAGCGAAGCATCATCCAAAAGCGAGTCAAACTAGCCACGAATACTAAGATATCCACCTATTTTCAATCCAGAATCTTCAAATTGGGCTAAACACACAGTCGACAAGCATGAACAGTCCATGATCGCTTCGAACATGCGGATTCATGTTCTACGCCACCTCTATGCCATGAGAAGGGCCATTTTGCGGGAAAAGGCTTCTAGTTAAATTCACGTCACAGGACCTTCAGAAACCTTTCCACAATCCATTTACATGTGTTGCCGTTGCTCTTCTACTCTCAGCTTTCTAGGATCTATCTTGTGATCCGTGTTCAAACATTCAGCCTCGATTAAATAAATCACAATCAAACATTGAGCCTCGTTTCCGTATAAAACATAGTCCAGCTTTGGATCTCCATTGCATATTTTTAAGAACATTTGGTTCTATCTATGTCTGGAAGGAGAAGTTGGTCTCGGTTACTTTATTTGACTCATATCTCACAACCTAATATCCTCACTCCACTCGACCCAATCCATTTCTCCGTTCGCCCGGCTCTCTCCATCATCAACTACATCTGCTTCATCTAAAACCCACTTTGCCCCTTTAACTAATTCCATCTCAGCCTGCTGTGCTGCATCCAGTATCATACCTTTCAACCAAAACGTATGTGGCCATCCAACTTCGACACGAATCTTAACTTCATATCCTCTTTCTCTCAATCCAAGTCCTAGACATAACCCATCGGAATAATAAATATCGTTTGTGCAGAGCTGAAAGAACCATTTCATTTTGATGTTTTCTGGTCCTGCATTCTCGGGTTTAGATGCTCCAACAGGTTTCGATATCTCAAGCTTCGACATCTCAGCCAATATCTCCAAAGGCATCTTATATTCCCTAACTCTATTCTCCTTCGTCACAGCCGCTTTATCCAATATCCCAGTATAAAATTCTTCCTTCATACTCGCGTGCATATGTCTCCATTCTTCAGGGATACTTATCCCATTTTCCGTCGCATCACATGTGACGGGACATCTTAATATAACACCTAATATCCTCTTCCCTTCTCCTTCTCGTAGAGCAGTTAATGCGATAGTAGCAGCTAATTGTCCTCCGCTGGAACTTCCTACTAGTATGAATTTTCGACTAGGATGGAAAGAAGAGAGGTATGAGAAAGACAACAGAGCATCGGACACCGCGTCGTCGGCGCGGAATTCTGGTAGCAGACGGTAGGATATTGAGAGGAGAGGGTGGGAGAGGGAAATACTTAGTTGGCGACATGTTAGATCTTCCGAGTCGAGATCACCTACGTATAGACCTCCGCCGTGGAAATAGACGATTAGGGGTTCGGAATCGGGCGCGTGGAGAGCACGTGGTGTGTAGAGACGAGTGGGTATTTCGTGAGTGCTGCAGGGGATGCATGATGATGTTATGAGGAGGTTTTTGGTGAGGTGTGTCAGAGAGGTGCGGAGGAGGAGCTTGTTTTGATTCGTGCAGTTTTGGCTGTATGTGGATTTGCGGATGTGGAGGGAGGGGAGGTACTAGGGGGCGGGAGGTGTGGGATGTGAGATACCCAGGTTGGGTGCAGGGGAGGAGGATGGGTGAGGATTAAAGAGGTGATGTTGGTCTCACGGTTGGTGTTGGCAAACATAGTGGATGTAATATGATTTGAGTTTTAGGGTTGGTGAGCTCAAGTATTCAGTAGAAAGTAATAGATTTGAAGTGGAAGGAATCTTTGATATAGAATGAAATGATAGTTGATGGATCTGAGAGCTGGATTATACTAAACATTCAAGAGTAATTAATCATTGCAGAGTTAGACGGAAGAACTGTTAGTAGCATTTTATACGTGTTCATTCATTCTATAAGCACATAGTTCGACATAATGGCGTCTGTTCATTTATAGGTGTTTTTCCGGGGGATAAATAATTTGTAGGGCATCGAAAGGTAAACCAGGCTTGATTATTGCGTTCTGTGAGTCTCGTACTTTTTTATGCAGGGGCTTTGGTGTCCCTTTTCTGACGCGGGGTAAATCCACCATGCTAGTTATGGTACTTCTTTTTGCACAAATATGTGGAATGTTTCTTGCATTTCTGAATTGTAGATAGATTGGTTTTATAAATTCCCATTACTGTTATGATATACTCGAGATGGGAGGAAATTCAAAACACATCCAATCCATCGGGTCTCCCATATTTGACAGAAATCCAACTCCGCCTTATATTCAACACATGTCACAGATATTCGTATCCTTCCTTGCTTACAAGACAGCTTCGTGGGTATACATCCTTTCATATCCAAATTACTGCTGGTGGAAACGACGAGCTCAATTATGCGTCCTTAATTGCGATTTATCTCTTCCATCCAGTAACTTAAAATCTGATCTGAAACAATGAGTCTTTTGTCCGGTCAATCTTCCTCACCCGGAGATGAAATCACTCCCGAGAGTTATTGGGACTAGAAATATTGCGTCGATGGCTCGTGCTTGTTCAGCTTTAGGTAGTGAATGATGTTGGCATCCTTAATGATATTCACATCCCGGATACCGCATCAAAATCGAAAGGTAATGGATCTGCGGTGGTGATGACTGATGCTGTTCCATCTAATCTTCTGCCGCCAAATTCCCATTTATGTATAATGCTTGCAGAATCCGGCAAACGTGAGATAGAATACGTCAAGTCTCGCTTTTCGTACATCGCTTTCTTCTCAAGCCCAGTATTCAACGAATCAAGTTCGGGTCGTGAAAGTCTCCGCCACGGACGAACTTCTATCCACAGCGAAAAGACGTAACGTAGGTAGGGTTGGCATGGAAGAACTAGGAGCTCCGTGGATCCTAGTATAGGCCAATCGGCGGTACGGAGATGGATCTCCTCAATTTGCGCACTGGCAATGCTTAAGTGCTTCAATAGCTCCTCGATGTGAGATGGTGAGTATTCCTGCCATATTTCCAAAACGAGGCGTTTGATATGTCTAACTTTCTCAGGCCGAAGATCATGAATGAATTGAATGGTATCCGTACGACGACGATATGTGCCTTTTTCAAGAAAAGATAGGAAAGGCAAATACTTGGTGTTGAGGATGAAAGGTAGAATTTCCAAGCGAACTTGTTTATTGAGGCATAGCAGCAATTGTGCAGAACATCTGCAACTCTGCTCGTAGACTTCGGAATTGCCTTGGGCGCAGCTGTCTTTATGAATGAATAGACACTTGTGCGGAGTTCGGGAGGTGGACTCATCAAAAAGGAAAGCTTGTAGAACGACAGCTTTGCTTCATTGTAGATAGAACACCGTGGCTCAAGGTTGAAGCCTCAGATGGACACTGAGCTGCCATTGCCGCCATTGTTTTTATATTTTTATTAGATGTGAAGAATGAAATGTGTGGGAAAGAAATAGCAAAGGTAGGAACATTACTTACTCGAGTAGAACTAACTTATAACGACTTTTATGTAAAACTTACTTACTTACTTACTAGACAGGCACTTGAGAAGAGGGCGTGGAGGGGAAGAGGGGTACTTACTCGATCAGATAAGGTTAATGAGGATTATGTTGGGGCAGAATAAAGGCGGTGACTTCAATAATCTAATATTATTGGTTCAAATTCCTACTAATACAGGTCACAATCACAGTGGGTGTGTACGATAAGAAAGATGGGACAAAATACTATGTACACCATTACATGAAGATCACCCCTCCTTCATGCTTGACTACAAGTGCACAAGCTTTGCACCATGGCTGGAACACCAATCAAGGTACCAGGAAAATATACTCGAGATTCCAGTAAATCTGCCGTCCTAGCAAGAAAGATTCTGGTATGGGTTTTGATGTTAAAAGCAAATGCTGAATGTGAATGGATTTTGTTAACCTCAAAGTGTAGAAACGACCTCGCGGCAGACCTCTCAAACAACAATCCTCAAAGCTCGCATCGCATATTTCACAATCTTTGTCTACTACCGCTCGAGAATCAAAAGTCCGCACTATGAGGAATATCAAGTCGAGGCGCAACATGTCGCAACTCGAGAAATTGCCAACGGAGCTTCTCGAGGCGATATTCTTCTACTGCTTAAACCTCAATTTCCCGGTATGCAGTCCAATTATAGGAGGAAAGCTAAGCGGAGAGTCTGTCTACAGCAAGACCATTATTGCTGCTTTTGATCCAATCTGGGATGGGTGGTATGGACAATCGATTATTCCTAATTCGAGTTTAGAAATGAATCATACTGGTAGTGGCAACCTACGGGTAAGCCCAAACTCTATGGCTGAGTGGGATTTGACTGACAATATGCATTCAGTCTGCAATTTTGAAACGTCGTTGGGCAAGGGTACCTGTACTTATCCGAAGTCAAGATTTATGGGTTCGAAAATACGCACAAGGACGTCCATTCCCGACCACCATTATACAGCGTCTGTGGAATGGGCCGTTTGGAAATGACATCTGTGGAAGTGGTATTAAAGATGTTGATCCTAAGACTGTTTCGGCAGTTCACTTATTCGACAATGATTTTGCCAAATTTTGTTATATCTTCCGACGGGCAGAGCAAACGTCAGATTTCATCATGAAAATCAAGCATCTTTCGGGTGCCATGATGTATGATCATGTGAACATGGCCACAGGTACAGAGATACCTAATACGCTGTTGGTCGGCCCATGGGATGAGGAGGCTATCAAGTTCTTATATTGGTTAGTTATGGGAGGAGCACGTATTGATTGGCTCACATCGACGAGTGGAGAGGTATTATTCTTAATGAATCACTTGTGTGTTAGGCAGCCAGCTAATAAGAACCTAGGCAGCTATAATTGGATATAAGAGAGCTGTTCGGGAGTCCAGGATCGAGGTCATCTACCTCCTATTGCTTGCTGGTATAAAGGATAAGCTTGATGGTGATATCATCCAATATGTACTCGAAAATGCGGAAGCAAACCGGTGTTTTACCACCATACTGATGATGATGTCCCCTGAGCGTATTTTACCCTCACTTCTGTTGGACGAGATGCTCGTCTTCAAAAATAGTCATGAACATGAGAATGATTTTGAAAAGCATATGTTGATTGAGGAATTATTTGCTTGGTTTGAATAACGGTATGGGAGTTCCAGGCATATTCATATGTTTTTGTATGATGATAGGATGGACGATGGCATTTTGATTATTTTTCATATTCTAAGTCAATAGTTAATGCTAGGTAGTACTATTTATTGTACCTCCGTGATGTTTCCCTAGACTCTCATCTCCTACTTCATTCATTGCCAAAAGCAAGATTTCACGTGACTACGGATTACGTTCAAAATTTGATGTCCAAGCTTTTTTGATAGAAATATATTTGCGACAAACGATCCAAGAAAGGCTCATGAGCAGCAAATGATTCGTAGACGCTTTTATTAGCTCTTTTCAGCTGCTATGCGGTCTCCTCTACATAATTCTGTACCATCAGCATCTTTATTGAGATTTCTGCGGGCACAATCCGAAGGCATTTCCTTCTTCAATTCTAACCCCCGGCCAGGTTATTTTTTCGACCATGCACCCCATGTCACAGCTTCTGGTCTAGGATTTATCTATCATTTACGGCCATGTCGAAGACTCTTTTCAACTTCACTACTTCGCAGAGTAAATGTCAAGGCTGGATTCCCAAATATTGATTTCTTGAGACCGCGATTGGCCTCCTCGAATTCGACCTCAAAAGCTATCCAGCCCAAAAGGACTACACTACCGAGCAAGAAATCTGCGACTCAGAATCGCTCACAGACAAGTCGTGGAATATCTACGGGCACAAGGAAATGGCCTTTTAAGCTTTGGTCTTCTAAGAGAGGCGGAAAACCATTACAACCTGATGACCTGCCAAGTCGCAGTGAGGACGGAAGAGATATAGATGTGTTTAGTCTAGGGCGCTCGGTATCTGTGAAGGCTGCCAGTGAGCCTCGGCTACGATGTACAGAGCTGGATGAGAATGGGAATGTAGTTCTTGTAAATGGAGAGTTTAAGAAAAGCGAGCTCATTGCTAAGGTGTGGCAGGATATCTTCTCTTATGGACTTTTGGGCGTGCCAATACTGATCGTGTGTAGTATGGATTGCTTCCTCGAGATCTCCGAAAAATTGATTCAAGTACCCTTCCGCATATCCTTGTCCGCCCTTCTGCTATTCTCATCAATCTTCTCCACCTTCGAGTCCTTATAAAGTCCAATAGAGTTTTAATTTTCGACGCTTATGGCTCCACCGATTCCTATACACAATCACTCTTCATGTATGATTTAGAAGGGAAACTTCGCCAAAAACAAACTTCTCTATCAGCAGGCGGCCTTCCCTACGAATTTCGTGCCCTCGAAGCTGTCCTAATATCGGTTACATCTGGCTTGGAGAAGGAATTTGAAACAGTGCGGGAACCAGTTGTCAGAGTCTTGAAAGAGTTGGAAGAGGACATTGATCGAGACAAGCTTCGCTACCTTCTCATTTACTCCAAGAAACTCGGCACATTTGAACAAAAGGCAAAATTGGTCAGAGATTCTATTGATGAGTTATTGGAGGCAGATGATGATTTGGCTGCTATGTATCTTACTGAGAAGGATCATGATTTAAAGAGAGGAGAAGACGATCACACAGAGGTTGAAATGTTGTTGGAATCCTATCACAAACTTTGCGACGAAATTGTTCAAGAGTCCGGGAATTTAGTTTCCAACATTAGGAACACAGAAGAAATGTATGTTTACAGCCTTTCCTTCTGCTCCGGCTCATATGTACTAATCTAGAAATCAACAGAGTCAAAGCCATACTCGATGCCAATCGCAACTCCCTTATGCTTCTTGAACTCAAAATTTCCATTGGGACGCTAGGTATGGGTTCCGGCGCGTTCATTGCTGCCCTCTATGGTATGAATTTGAAGAACCACATCGAAGAATCCGACCTCGGTTTCCTAGGCGTATCAGGTTGGTGCGGAATCTTTGCAGCAATTGTATGGTTCTATGGAATCTCCAAACTTAAAAAGGTTCAACGAGTTAGTATGTGGGGAGAAAGTGGGATGCGGGGTCGTAACTGGAGAGTGGCCGAAGATGAAGCGAAAGCAGTAGAGATGGATAAGGGAAGGAGAGAGAGAGGACGGAGATTAAAAGAGGAGAGGGGAAGTGCTATGGAAGAGGTTAGGGCAAAGGTGTTGGAGCAGAGAAAATCAATTCATGATGCTGTCGCCAGCACTGATGCGGAAAAAAAGGTTGCGGCTATGGCGGCTATGGCGTCTAGGATCGCGGGGCAGGGGCATGGGCATGCACATATCAAAAAAGGATTAGATACCGCTACTGATACTTAGAGGTAGGGGCTCGCTTAGATAACAGGGTCGGCTGGTGGTGAATGTTGATTGGCGTTCTGGATATGTGTGTATGAGTATATGTATAAGAATAAGAATAAAGGAGTTGGGCGTTTCGATCAAAAGTCATATAAATACGAGGTGGGAATTTTTTGAAATGACCAGGGTGGGTTTAGATTAGATGGCTGATAGATATATGATGGGACTCCTCTCAGATATTCTTTTGATATGATGATAATCAGATACTTCACTTTCTTCTCTTCATTTCGGATGAAAATATACTTTATTTTGCTCTTTTTTTAGTTAGTTGTATAGTGATTTATGCAATGGCTAGATTTGATATTAATGAGATTTGATGGATTCAATTTGATGGATTCAATTTGATGTGATGTGATGTGATGTGATGAGATGGTGAGATAATGAGATGTGATTGGATGAGTATTTATATTAAACAGAGAATATAATTATAGAAAGCTTATCTACCTGGAGATTTTATTAAGGAATTAAAGAGTTTATAAAAGATGTAATTTTTTTCAAAGGTTTATTAGACAGAAAATGTAAGACTTAAAATTATTTACTAGTAATTCGCTTAGGACCTCTAATTCTGACTCACTACGAATTATTTTTACTACGTTTTGTAGGGTTATTTGCATGTATTTTCATATCAAATATATATTTACACGCTCTATATATCTAGATAGATACTGACTGAGTAATTAACTTCAAAATCTTAATATATCCAATATTGTTCAGACAAGCTCCAAAGTGTTTCACAGCCATGACAATGCTTTCAATAGCCTCATCACTGAATCTTCTCCATTCCACCTCCACCATGCCCATTTCTCTTCAGCGTCAGTATACGCTTTCAATCCATGGCCGCAATACTTGATGGTTTGCACTACATCCTCACTGCAGTTTCATCGGACCAGGTCCCAATCGACACAAAGTTGCCGACAAGTTTCGAAGTAAAAGGTTTCGGAAACGTGTAGTTTAGGTAGAGTTACGAAATTTGGATGCATCATCTGGTTCTGCAAGAGTACCTCCATTGTCTTCAAACAATCTTTTTAGATAATTCCCCGACTTCTTGATACCTTTTAGTCTCCAATCGGTCTGCTTAATCGCTAACTGAGCATTTTGATAATCTTCAATACTTGGTGCTCCACCATCCGTCGATAGAAAAGCAAGCTCCGAGGACCAATCTTTAATTAATGGATCATGGTTACCGGAACTCACAGTGAACAACCGGATGGCAATGTGTAAATATTGTGCGGAACTTGATTCGTCACTTTCGGATACTTGATTCTGGCCTGTGGAGGACAATAATATCAGGAATTGTCGAATGACCCCCTGGATGCAGAGGCTATAGAAAGCTGAAAGCCACCAGATTCGACTCCGCATATTTTCTTTCATGAAAACGACTCGGGATAGTTCATCAAGGTACTGCTCCATCTGTAGTTCGATATTCCGTATGCAATCGACTTTACAAGTGGAGAAGTCGCATGCTTCATGCGAGCCTTCGAAGCCTCCTAACGCTTTGACGTGCAGAGCTTCGACACAAGTCCGAAGGCATGTGAGTGAGTAAGCAATCAACTGATTCTGCAGATTTATATGAGCTTAGATTTAATAGATGTGGCTTGTGTTACCTACACTCCCAATACTTGCTTGATATACAGCTGCAGCATTTAAAAGTATTATGAAATCTTCTAGGGTGCCACTGTGTAAGGCCATCCAAAGATGAATTGCCCTCTGGGCCTTTTCACATTCGAGAAGTCCCCAAAGGATAGTCATAATGCAGTAATCAAGCGGCTTCAAAACAGCTGACACCGTCTCATTCGACTTCTCTACCAAGGACATTCGAGTTTTTTTTAGAACCGCACAAAGCGGTGACTCGCCGGTTTCCAAATTCTGAAGAAATCGGTGGACTTCCGTGGGGCTCGAACCCCTCATAATGCCGGGAAGTAAATCTTTCTCGCGCTGCTCAAAAATTTCCCGACTGCAATGATTTGCGTGTAGCCAAGGTCTGTTCATATCTGATATTGCAGGTGAATGTAACGATCCAATAGTTTTTCTAGAACATAATGATATTGGAAGCATTTTGTTCTTGATCTCGCCCCGCTTGCAGCCAATGCTATGCCATGGCCCACCTTGTTTGCCTTTACATTGACTGCAACACGTTTGTGCGTCACACTATCAATAGTTAGCTCTTGTTCTACATGTGTTGCATAGACACACCGAAATGGACAGTGAAGCCATATAAGTAACATTGAACCAACAAAGAGAGAAATATTCTTCACATTTTGCAGGCGTTGCGATGCACACCTTCCCAAAACAGTAAATTAAGCACTGCCTGATGGGAATTCCTGCCTAAACCCTGCAAGAAGTGTTTCACAATGGAAAAAAAGAGAAATACCGGACTTGATCACAGAGCATCATTCCACTAGAGTGAATATGAGATAATATATCAATGGACTTACTGGTTTTCGTAAGAACCGGCACCTCCAACACGCCCCCAAAGCTTTGACCGCATTTGCCTTAGCACGAGTGGCAGAGTCTAGAGGACCCATTCGACGAGGCGAAGATCCATAGGTTGTTGGCATGCTCGAAAAACGGGGCGTCGAACTAAAAACCCCTTCTTGATAGCTGGATGGTGTATTGTCGAGGCTAGAATGATTTCGATCCAAGCTAGATTTGATTGCGATATCAATTCCTTGTGACTGCGATTTATTAGACCGTACATTCTGAATTGTTTCTGCGCGGCTGAGAGGTCGAGGTATTGGCATATCCAATACTGCAGCAGGGGCTAGATGTGTCTCTCTCCATGCTGGAATGTCAGTTATAGGATTTTGGATCATGGTACCAGCTGAAGTGTTTATTTCCAACTGATTAGTTTGACATGATTGAAGTGCATTATCAAGAGTGCTGTTGTCGAGCTGAGTGTTATCCAGCATGTCGGTATCCAGGTCAAGGTCATGTTGGTCCACAATATTCACTAGATCTTCCCAGTCTGGGAATGTCTCATCACCAATATGCTCACCCGGAAATTCGTCCGCAAGATCATTGAATGTAGCGTCGTCCAGATTCAGTGGTTTGCCGGAGAATAGCTCATCTGAGAGACCAATGTTTTGCACAGCTGCCTCAAACCCACTAGAGAATTCATAGAGAGGCATTGAGAAATCTTGGTATGTAGAGATGTCCACGTTCATGTTCGTATCTCTAGTATCAATGTAATCATGATAATACGATTCTTGCATGCCAGCCTCGAAATAATCCAGGTCTGGTAGCTCCAGGCTATGAAGTGACGCGTCCCGGGTAATGATAACTTTGCGAGTATCATATAGAAACCGAAAACGAAAATTCAAACGTTCTGCAAGACATCGAGCCGTCTTAACTTGACAGTCTTCCGGTACATCAATAGATACCTCTTCCGCTGAACCTTTTCTGAAGGTAATCAATTGGATATAAATGGAAAGATTTGAACTGTTATTCATATCTATGATAATTAGCATATGAAAGTGGTTGCTCTGGTAGATTTACCAATTCCGGAGGTATCTAGGAAGTCATCCATGATGAAGAGTGATTGATAGGAGAAACAACTAGTGTCCCGCGGAGGCCCGATCACGTGAGTGAAGCAGCTCTTCAAACGATGTGGGCGAAGGATTCTTTCTAAAAGTATATTGAGTAAATAACAATAAATGGTACTCGATTGCTGATATTCAAAAGCATCACTGACATGGAAACAGCAAGAGTAACTGAGCTTCTAATCTTATGACATTAGAAGACTGCGATGATTCCTCTCTCTGGCTGTTTGACCTATTGACCGACCGTCTTAAGCAGACAGCTTAGCGATAGCAAAATAAACTTTGTGGGTCAGTGAACTTGTATAATTACAAAAAGATTGAGGTCTTTCGCAAAAAAGATTTTGTTTTCTGTGGATTGTCATCGTGTCGATGCAGATATTCAACCCATGGCAGGAAGCGAAGGCGGTCTTCAAAACCATCCCTTTGCGCTAGACCGTAAATGGACGCCCGCCACCCAAAAGAAGTTTTGTGTAAAAGAGGCTTTATTCAAAAAAAAAAAAACCTTCATCCAAAAAATTTCAATCCAAAAGAAATTCTATTCAAAAAGGGCTCTGTTTAAAAAATCTCTATCCAAGAGATTCTGTCCAAAAAAAAGGCTCTGTTCAGAAAAGACCGCAGCTTCTGATAGTAATGATAAATTCGTCTTATAAAATCGCAATGGCACGCTATTGAGTAACAAAAGGTGTGGCCTTAGTATGTGGGCAGCAGTGGTTTTAGTAACAGCATCACACACATGCAGAAACGAGACCGCCGTTATGACAGCCCCATATCCCGCATCTGGTATCGGGATATCTTGAAACTTGAAAGTTACAGGTCAGCGATTGAGACCGCTTCCAGATATGTATTTTCTAGAGAGGACCGCCGTCAGTCTACCGTTCACAATTCGTGTCACTGCGAGAGGTAAGATGGCTATTAAAGTAATGCCTCGCACATACTATCTTTTCATTTCTATTTCTGCTTTACAACCTTTAAAGTTCTTTCAAGCAATACAGTTTCCAATCAACATGTCGCAAGCCAATGGACCCGTTTGTACTTGTCGCAAATTTGGTAAACCCCTCCTGCAGCTTCAACATACGTCTCTGTATTCTGAATATCCCCAAAGTCGACAAGACACCTTTAATGAAGATTCATCATCACACTCCATTCCTGCCTCACCCATCTGCAAAAGCAGGTTCCGTTATCACAGTGAATTAGCTCGAGGTCTTGATTATGCTGGTTGCTTTACACAACAACGTTGTACGTGCGGGAGTGACAATGAAGACATGAGGGAGCATGGTATGAAGCCGTACCTCACATCGATGTGCCTGCAATACTAATTTCTATGGATCAATAGAGGAAGATGGCGTCGAAGAAGTCCAAGTACTATCTTTCACATCCCCAGAAATTAGTAGAATGTCGATCAATCTCGATATTGGACTGAAGTACATGGATTTTGAGCTTTATGGTTCCCAGTTCGAGGAATGCGAAAGTTATCACGATGTCTGCATTACCGCACCTACATCAAGTGACAGTTCAAAGGTTGTCGGTCTGGATGATTACAATAGCTCTGATGCATGTGATACACCAAGAAGTTCTGAAATGACCTTGGCTCAAGGGGATTTCTGCTTGCCTCCTCCAAACTCTCCTACTAGCTCTTGGAACATGAGCGATCGGTCCATAATTTCACTCCCCACAGTCTACCCAGGTGACTATTTCGAAGCTTGGGATCCCGATGAGTTATCTGGTGTTGGTGAGTGGATGTGTGGAACGATGAGCAAGCAGGATGATCTCGGCGGGGAAATAGAGCTTTATCGGAACAAGGACGAAAATACCGCCCCCCAATCAAGTCTGGAAATTGGTCAAGCATTGGATACTTTTGCAATCAGTTTTTATGGTGTCTAATGACGGGGTTTAGAAAGGAGGCAGATAAATACTTATGAGGCTGGAACTTATCGTACTGAGCATGAACACGATACTCGAGTAATACGTAGAAGAAATACAATAAGTCCGATGAGTATTTGTAAGCAACATCTCCCTCATTACGACTACGTAATGCCGTCATGCAGCTAAAGTTGCTTATAGATATTTCAGTCGATTTCGATCCGCTCCGGGACCGAGATCACGTGCCTAACCAATTGCTTACCAATACTTCCTTTTGGGCCACTTTTCCCCACCAAAAATAACAAAAATCAATCTTTATAATTTTCTTATTTATAAATAGAATTCAATGAAATTTGAATTACAAATTTGTTATATAGTTATTAATAAATTCTAAAAAATTTAGATTTTTGATAATATTATTAATTGAAAATTTGATTTTTATATAGAAATTTAAAAAACTTAAAATCTTTAATAACTTCTCAATCAAAAATTATTATAGATAAATTATGAATTTTTTTAAAGCGTTTTTATATTTATATAATAACATTACAATTAAAATTTTAATTGATTTGATTTTATTTATTTATTTATTATTGAATTATTAATAAATGAAAATTATTATTTGTGATATAAAAAATAAAATAAAAATAAAATATTAGACTTACATAAAACTTTATAAAGTTTTATTAAAATTTAAAAAAATAATAAGTGATTTAATTTCATCTATACATCTTTAAAATTTTCACCGAGTAGATACTCGATATCGATAGTCCCATTACTAATAGAAGCCTACTCATGCATGATTCCTGAAGAACCCTCTTATGGTAGGATATGCGAGCAAATATACTTGCAAATGAGTCTGATTTATCATCTATGATCTATCCCCGATATCAAAATCCCCACAAGAGCGTGCTATGATCTTTGTGATTATTAATAATATCGATGGTAACTTACTTGACCATAGATATAAATACCTGAGAAGGAACTTGATGATGAACGATTTATTAATCACTTCACACCAGCTTCTTCATTTATAACTCCCTTGAATATCTATACTCAAAATCTTCACACTTCCATCTCTCTCACACAGAACCCAATAAAACATCCAAAAATAAAAAATGCTCGCCCTCACAGCAACCACCGGCAACATAGGCGGTGCAGTCCTCCAAGCCATTCTCGACCTCAAAAAAATCCCTCCCACCTCCCTAATAATCTGCACCTCCTCAGACCCCTCCTCCCCCAAATTCGACACCTACAAATCCCTCGGCATCCAAGTACGACAATCAGACTACGAAGATCCGTCCAGCATGGTGCGCGCCTTCCGCGGCGTCACCAAACTCTTCCTAGTATCTACCCCTAAAAACAATCTCGATTTCAATAATGCACCCTACGGACAGGGTCGCGAGTCTCGTCATTTCGCAGCTATTAATGCGGCGCGGGAAGCAGGTGTAAAGCATATAATTTATGCCAGTTTAGCATTTGGGGTTGATAGTCATCCGGGCGTGATGCGTGCGCATGAACGAACGGAGGCGTATCTTAAGGCGTTGACGGATATCAAGTGGACGATTGTGAGGGAGGGACTGTATCAGGAGAGTTGGCCCATCTACACTGGGTTCTTCAACACGAATTCGGATTCGAGAAATGAGGTTGTGGTTGCCGCGGATGGGGAATTGAGTATGATATCGCTTTATGATCTTGGGGTAGCGAATGCGCTGGTATTGGACGATGAGAGTGGGAAGTACGAAGGGAAATTCTTTTTTCTCTCACGGAGGAAAACGGTGAAGATTTCCGAGATTTTGGCTATGGTGTCGAAGGTGAAGGGAAGAGAGATAACATTGAAAATTGTGGATGAGGAGGAATTTGTACGCCATTATGTGGAAAACGGGCTCGAGAAGGCTATGTTGGAGTGGTGGGTAAGTAGTTTTACGGCGGTGAGAGAAGGGGGTGGTGCGATTGACGATGCGACTTGTGACGAGCTTTTGGAGAGTGTGCGGACTAAGCCTAAGGAAATGGAAGAGACGGTTCGGGAGATGCTACAGGGAGGTTTGAAGGGCTATGATAAGTTGAATTAGGGGCTGAATGGAGCATGGTTTTGTGTGGCAGATGGGATTTGTAATCTTAGGATAAAAGTTTGTTATGCATCGGTTTTGATAATTAAATCAAATGTTGGAGGTTCGCCGTGACTGTGCTGCGTATTTTTAGGTGATAAAAGCATTGCTAAGCTAAGTATAGCGAAGTCAAGGGGATAGATTGTAGAAACTATTGGTATATTAATAAGATGATTACGCTCACTGCTGATATCTGTAGGTGATTACCCACCTAACTTGCTTCATAAACCTCAGTTCATCGAAGTCGATCTCAGTTCAACATTATCAACAATGATAATTTCCTACGTCGGCCCATCGATTAAGGTGGGTAGGTTTAAGATGAAAAAAGAGTTCGATCATGAATGAAATGATGACGTGTTTAGATAACAGAAATTCCCATTTATCCCATTTTTCTCGTATGATCTAGTGCTCTCATGTTCCTGATGTATCATGCCAATAAATGAACTTTCAAGCCAGTAAATGCAAATGGGTATCTTAGCGGAAAATGTAAATATGCCACCCTCATACCCAACTCCGAAGTTAGCAAATAACTAGCGAAATAACTCTAAATATGCAGATTCTTCCTTCCTTGTATGTTCGTGTCTGCTCGTTCCTAATACACGTATGCCTTTTCCCCATTGTCGTGAGTAGATGTTTCTTCTGTTTGTGGTGAGAATTCTTCAGTGGTTTGGATATTGAGGGAGGTTTCGGTCTCTGCTTCAATTTCTTCGTCTTCCAACACAAGTCCATCAACGGCTTTCGCATCATCTTCTAACTCCACATCATTCTCGGCATCCATTTCAACCTCTACGTCCTCGTCACTTTTTTCGGCACTTCTCTTTCTCTTCTTCGAACCCTTTGCAAGCTTCTTTACAACCTCCTTGATAGTCACCTTCTTGGCAGCACCATAACCTGATTGTTTCTTTTCCCCAGTTCTGTTTACCAAATGCTCAATAGGGCAAATGGTGCTCTCCCAATCGGCAGAACCCTCGGATGTGGCAGCTCTACAGCGACCACATGTCTTTCCATGTCGGAGGAACAATTGATGAAGAGAGTACTTCAAGTGATCTGGAATTCGAACTTCACAATGACTGAACGTTTGGTCGCGGGTTGCTCCCTCAGGAACCCAGCCAAGCCACTTGCAATGACGCCAAACGTGCGTATCAACAGCAAAGCTTGGTCTTCCCAAGCAGAACAAGGCAACACATGCTGCAGTCTTAACACCAATACCAGGCAAATCCATCAACACCTCCATAGCAGCTGGTTTATCCAATGCGTGAATATAGTCAATTGAGAGCATGTTCTCCCCCAAGCTTTTAATCTCAGCTTCCTTTTGCTCCTTAGTTTCCAAAACCTTTCCAATGAATGGGATTGAAACATTAGTATCGACTTCCTTCAATAAAATCTCTAGAAGCTCGGTGTTTTGATCGTAAACTTTGTTTAGGATTTTTTTGATGTTACTACCCTTCACGTTGGCAAGACCACCTGACTTAATGGCCTCAACAACATCTTCTTCCGGTGCAGCAAATACGGCCTCCCATGACACACTGCCTGCACCCTTGCCAGATGTTCTCAATCCAAATCTCTCCTTCAAGCCTGCCATAGACTTATTAGCGTTGGCAGCAGCAGTTGCAGCGCTGAGAAGGGTTCTCAAAGTCGCGTCAAGAGCATCTGGAACCTCTCCACATCCAGTGACAGTTTCTGATGGAGCTGGAACTGTGTCAGGTGGCTTGACTTCACCATGTAAGGCAGCCAATAAGCTGTTTACCGTCTCGGCCTCTAGGATGGTGGGTGAAACATGATCCGGGAAAGGTGTTTGATCAAAGACGAGACCATAATTTTTCTTATTTTTCTTGGGAGCTTTTGTTGGGGATATCCCAACCTCGTTGGATGTGTCGGCCACCTTCTCCTTGCGTGATAATCTCTTCTTATTAGGCTTCTCCTCCTTGACTTCTTCAAGGAGATCAGCTGCAACTGAATCGCCAAGATCAAGTAGCTTCTCCTCATCCTCATCCTTGATAAGTGGAGTTTCAGCAGCATCTTTAGCTGCTCTGGCTCGTGTAGCCTTCTTAGGGGCAGGAGTAGTGAGCTCCGTGCCGACATCGCCAAAGTTGTCATCCAAAAGATCACCTTTCTTGCCCATTCCATGAGGAAGGACATCCCAACCACCCATCATTGGTTCTGGTGCTAACTTTGCTTTCTTCTTTGGTGGGGCACGCTTTCGAGGCTTAGTTGCAGAACCGGTGGCGACATTTTTAAGAATTTTCTTGGCATTAGAGGGCGTAGCTGGCGGAGAAGAGAGAGTGGCAGCAGCAGTATTTTGATTTGCTGCTGCTTCTGCAGCCCTGGTGGCCGCACGAGTAGGCATTTTGAAATTGATAGTGCTGCTCGCTGGATGTGACGGAGTCCAATGTAAGTCGAGAGGTAGGACAATGAAACATGGAAAGCAGCTTAAAGAAGATGATAAATAATCAAAATAATTAAGTTTAAATCAGCTTGACAGACTGATTTGAAGAAAGGAGAACAAAAGAGGTAAAAGTTGTAAAAGTTGTAATTGTTGTGATTGTAAGGTAGAAGACACAATGGACAAGTTGAAGAAAAGTCAACATACCTTGACAAATGGAGCTATGATATATGGGTGTTTCTATGATGATGATACATAAATTATAATAGTACAGTAAGGGTACAGGTAGAAGCGAGAGACACCACTAATACGAATGAAGTAGTTTATCCAGGGACCTTGATGCCAAAAGAGGAAAGCACCAGATACTAGTGCGGGGTAATTTCCACTGGGGTATCTTCGGGCTAACTTCTTACAACTCGGGAAATATGTTGTAAGGTGATTGAAAAGGAACTTCAAAATAATTGAACGAAGCCTTGAAAGTCCCCATCCACCTTATTATTAATTGAGTTTGCATTATATATAAATAACATGAGTAAAGGAAGTCAAATAGAATCATAAAACCGTTCCCTATCTATTCTTTTTTAAATCAAGCAAATATGGAATGAAAGCGGGTGGTTCATTCATCTCAATATAGCTGATTGACTTGCCAGAGGATACCAGCGCAAGAGCGGAGGAAGTGATAGTATTGGATCCGGAAAAGAGAGTCAAGACTACAGCAGAGATGTTTTGCGTACAGTTCCATTGGTTCCGCTCTGATATTGACTTCATCGGCTCTGGTTCTGCTTTCCCATTGCAAGCAGATTGTTTGATACAACCCGCAGCAGAAGAAGCTTGATGGACCAATTGGCAAACCCCACTGCCGACAACGAAGAAGAACATGGAAATGAAAAGGTTCTCCTTATGCCGTCATTGCTGATAGGCCTACTAAATTTCTATTGAAAGACTCTATTCTAGACGGCAATCATAAAGATGGTGTACCAAAGGACTACTTATCCAGTTCAAACTCATGTGAAGTATGAAAGCATCAACAAAGTCGAATCCTATGGACATCGATATATAAGTTTTGGAATAAGGAGAAGAATGTACCCTGGATAGACTCTTTTTCACAATGCTCTGATAAAGTTAGGGTCAAATCAAATACTGATCGATATTCCTTTTTATTCCAAATTTTCTTCGGTTTTACTTTCATGGTTCTTGAAATAATGTGCTAGAAATCCGGTGAGTACTGTCATCGTGAAAGGTATTGTAAAAGTGGTAGGTCGAGATACGTGCGTCCCGATAGTATGCTATAAGGGGGAATTGGGAAGAGAAAGCTGATTAGATTATATGGTAATATATTACTTATGAAGAAAACAAAATTCATAATGGTTTTGGGATTAAGATTATATAGGTTCAAATGTATATATATAAAAAACTGATTATTCTGAAAAGAAGAAACAAAAACTTTTTTTATATATCTAATTACAAAAGGTTATATAATTGACTAATTAAAAACTTCTATGTATTTGGCTTATAATTCCAACTTTCTCATAGTATCATGGTAAATTCCATAGTTTCCTGGTGCGATAGTTTAACTTCTCTCCAGAGTCAACGATCCTGACTGACAGAGGTTCAACAAAATTCTCTGTCACTTGAGTTTTAGAAAAATATCTTGAGACACCAATGTATTTACCACCTCACATATTTACCCAACTCAAAATTTCCCCTATAAAACTCAAATAGGTTACAAAAATCTCTATTCATTTAACATATCATACGTACACTCATAATTACATCAATCTTCTCAAGCCCGAGCATAAACGGCGAAAAGATAAATCGTGCCAAAAGACTTGATCCAGCAAATTACAACTGCACCTCAACAACCGGTCCCTTCCACTCAACCTTCCCAAACGTAACATAATATAATATACAAAAAATCATAACGGCACCCGTAACAAGAGAACTATAATTCATGTTTGCCGGCGTAACGGGTAAAGCTGGGGGCCAAAAGCTAAAGAAGAGAATGGTGATTAAATAGATCACTGCGAAGAAATTGTTGATGATGCCGAATAAACCGGGTATGTGCCATGGTCCTATTAGTTCGGTTCGAGTTAGTTCCGGAATAGAACAGAGGGAGAGATGAGATGAGATAGGAGATAGGAGATAGGCGATAGAAGATAGAAGATAGAAGATAGAAGATAGAAGATAGGAGATAGGAGATACGACGTACCCCAGATTAATTGAGCACCAGCTGTATTTACCAAAACGGGTTCTTCGGAATTCTCATCAAGCTTTTGGAAACCTCCCGTAAGTCGTCGGTATAGTAGAAGAACAGCGCAGATGAGGTATGAGCTGTAGAGTCCCGCTACAGATAGAGATACTACGTCATTGAAAACTGTTGCGGATCCAATATTGATCAATGCAAGTAGACATGAGATGACGGTAGTAACCGCAATGGACCAGAGAGGAATGGTGGTACGGCTATCGACCTAAATTAATAAAAGGAGCCGTGTTAGTGTGGTATTTAATGGAAGTAGAGGGAGAGCGCACGCACCTTTTGAAGGGTTCTCCAACCAGGTACACCGTGATCTCTAGCAAAAGACCAAAGCATACGAGAAGTAGAGGCCAGACTACCGACCGTAGCGCAAAGAGTTAAAATGGTAACTATCGAAGCCATAGCTGCTGTTCCGCTGGTGGATCTGGTTGCTTGGTGAAAAATCTCGATAAATGGATATCCGGTGTCGGTGGATAGAGCATTGTCGATATCTCCAAGACAGAACAAAAGTGCGATTATCATTGCGAATCCCAGACTTCCATTTAAGATGACGCTCAGGATGATGGATCTTGGTACTACTAGAGAGGGATTGCGGATTTCTTCCGACATCTGGGGGGTTTATTAGTTTTATAATCTTGCGGAGCACTATCTTGTGCTTATTTTAATGGAAAACTTACGTGAAATGCTCCATCGGCACCTGTCAATATATTAGCGATTTACATGGAAAATTGAGAAGTTTAGAAAGCTTACCAACAAATGCAAAGACATTCCCAATAAGTCCAACAAAGAATGACACTCCCTGAGTGGGCCAGCCACCGCCATTAAGCCAACCATTAAACACATTTTCTGCGGTATCATGCGGTGCGAGAATAACCAAGGGGACCAGGATACCAAAAAAACCCAAAATGTGCAACACAAGGATTAAGCCTTCAAACTTCGGCAGTGAACTACTAACAACCGTATTGATGAAGACGGCAAAGAAAATCGCCGCCCAGTATAACAAAGTTCCCTGCCATGCCGTCTCAGATGCAGCGTAAGAAGGCACAGTCAACACAATCAATCCCTGAATCAGAGTACCAGTAAGGTAACCGCCCGAAGCAACCACACCTTGCCAACCGGTGACGGTCAACCAGCCGGTGATATAACTCAGAAATTTACAGCACCACGGAGGAGCAAGCATAGATACCCAATGATACTGGCCGCCGGAAGTAGGAGCCATAGAAACGAGCTCAGACAGAGTAGAAAAAACAGACAGATTCCCAACCCAGATCAAAAGAAACCCATAAATAATTCCCGCCGGCCCGCCATTCTGAAGTCCGCTTATGAACACCGTTAAGCTTCCTTCCCAGGTAATCAGAATGGTACAGCTAAAACCGAGAATGGACATGAAAGCAAAATTCCGCTGTGAAAAAAAGTCAGCACATATTCGAAGGAAACTCTCGTGACCCACAGCTGGCTGTGTTTGCCAAGCCACTGCCCTATATATACACGGAGTATATTCATGGAACACGAAAATAACGAACTTTAAGAACTGGTTTCTTGCCCAGTCGTATCAGATCATCCCGGTCCTTATTGTCGCTACTGCTATTGGAGCGGTGCGCCGCAGCTCGATTCTGCATGCCGCCCAGCTCGACAGCTTCGATTTCCGGATCGTATTTCGAGGGCTTCATATTCATATTTGTGAAGGAAACCTAGATGCGCTCTGCGCTGCTTGAGCTTCTATGTGTAAAGGTCTCCCAGATTGAAATAACGAGTTTGCGTTTGCGTTCGCGTTCAGTGCAGACAAAGTGCTGGTGAGTCGAGAAGCTAAAGTAGAGTGGTCAAAGGGGAGGGAGGGTATGCATATATTATTTTAATTGGACTACTGGTGGGTTCGCGCAGGGGTTGGATAAAAACTTCAATATGCGGGTTAACCGATTTGCATTTTACCGAAGTAGTGGACGTTTACAGATAGACCGACCGGTTTTATCTGTTCTGGCCAGGATTCATACCCCTGGTGCATATTGCCGTCAGTGTGGGGGCATGCATCACCTGGTAAACTTACCTTGTTCTATGGAGTCAAGCTGCTTCTCGGGAACTTCATTATTCATGGTGTGATAGTGGCTTATGGATTACAGTAATACGATAGTGGTGGCGGGAACCCCTCCTCATATTTCAGCTAATTTACATCGACTTTCCACGTTCGAGTCTTTTTTATGATTCTAGATTGGCTCGTTTGGCTTTGTCCATCCCACATAAATCCTTCATCAACTGCGATTATTGCATCCGATTGACTAGCTGGACGAGGCGGCACAAAGTCCGCTAATTCCTGATCGTCCTCATCGTCTCGACTTGTCAGGCTCAATTTCTGACTGATCATCCTTCCAATCTTTGCTCGTTTGCTCCCTTCAGATGAATTGACATTGACGTCGCGGTATCCTTCCACAGTTGTGCCACCTCGTCGACGCAAGTCGTCCGTCCGTAGCATACCCGACTCCAGACTATCGAGGAAAGGTTTCAGATACGGAACACACGCTGTGACTATACTGAAGCACTGAACAATCTGGTTACATATTGTCGTTGTCCACGGATCGAACGTCGGATCAAGCATCTCCTCGTTCGAATAATATAGCTGACAAGATACTGCGGCAACAACACTAAATCCGGTTAGTTAGCTGAACATTCAATCCGGGATTGGTACTTATGCTGCTCACCAGATACGACTACCGAAAATGCAGATCAATGTGAGTTTTCTACTCCAGGTGGTGCGAATATGTAATGCTATAAAAGTTATAAGCGAGACCAAACTGGCATCCGTTATAATATTAACGATAGCATTGTAATTCCAAAAAGCTGTCTTCCCGGAAGAAAAGTCAGCAAGGGCTTGAATGCGAATGCAGAAGATACTGACTTGGTCAAAGCAATCACCATAGATGTTATCCCACACTTTCGGAAACCGACATTGAAAGGCAACGGCAAAAATAGAGCTAATCGCCCACAGAGATATCACAAACCCCAGAATCTTCGTCGCCATTCTTTCAGCTGTGATAGGTGTAAAGTCACTGATGAACATGACTATAGACATTTTTGCAAAATACAGGCTGGTAATATAAAGTAGACTCGCTGAGTATTCCGCCTACAAAACTATCAGTGAGTATTGTGTATCCATGTGGTGTTGGAATGCGATTAGTTACTTTTTGAAGTGCCTCTAGTTGGCCATCACTCATTGTCCCAAGTAATTGGCCAAAGCCATTTTCACAAGCAATTACCACCGCCGCCGACTGACCGATAGAAAACAACTACAAATCGACTGTTAAAAAACATTTAGCCATTATAAACAATTGCCTGACATACCAGCGATATTGTTATCAAATGATCTTGCCACTCAAGCTTTTTGAGGATGGCCAACTTCGTGCCCAGGCGTGCACATACCCCCATAAAGGAGGTAGCAAGCGGAAGCCATACAAATATCTGCACTAAAGGAGTCTTATTGGTGTCCGTTATTAGAGCCTGCGTCTGATTCATGTTGACGGCTTAAAGAGGGGAAGGGAGGAAAGTGAAGAGGAGGAAAAAAGAGGCTACGAAAATGTTAGCAGTCATGGTTATGCTTGCCAGAGGAAGTGGAGGTGCATACTAACTATATGGCTCTTTTTATGATTACTCGCTGTGCTGTGCTGTGCTGTGCTGTGCTATTTGGACGTTGATCTAAGTGGAAAAAAGCGTACCAAGTATTGGACGTTGACATTAAGGTTTCATAACCGTGAACGTTAAGGTGAGACGGAGCGCTGACACTCTTGCGCACACTCTTGAAAAAATTGCGTTTTCCAACATAGTAGAGGTGGTATTGGGAATCTCTACTGCGATATGCTGAAGTTTGCACTGCATAACTTTAAGATTACTAGCAAGATCAATTCCCCATTGGAAAAAGTTTGTTTTAGCACTGATATGTAAGGGCCTATTATTGGTAGCAGTGGTGTTATCACCACACTTTCCAAAAGGAAGAGCACCTCGCTAGAAGATAGGAAATTAAATCCTTGTCAGTCGGTCGTATGATGTCCCGTTTCCCTTTGAATCGTTCAGCTTTCTTATAAGTTACGGCTGGAAAGCTGTGATTACTTATGACACTTTTGGTGGTTGGTCGTCTAAATGAGGAAAACATTCGCTCGTTCCCACATAAATTGCGCAACTAGAACCCAGACCAGCGTGCCAGTTCCCCAAATGGCAGCGGCCACATACTCCCCTGAATCGGCGTTCTCCCAGTGGGCCCTGTGCGTGCCTTCATAATTAGTTTACCTGCCTTCGTTGTGAAAGCTAGAGCTGAGAGGCATGCCAATGTTGAGCGCTGATCCCCTTGCAACCATATTTGCCGGTACAATCGTTTTGGAGCGGGCCCCACTCTGTGAAATCACTTGATGCAGAAACACTAAATAGGATTTGAATAGCGGAAGTATGATTGATTCGAGTTCTCACACCGAAGAACTGTTTTAAGGGGATTCTCCGGGACCCACGGAGTATTATTTGTGGCCTAGGATGATCCGCCGGACCCATCTTTTATGGAAATGCTGGGTACATACTTGGAAAAAGAACAATTTGGAATGATCAGTGTGTTCATGGTATGATGCAACCATTTCCGCTTGACAAGAGTCGTTCAATTTTGTAATAAGTAAATAATTCAAGGTGCCATAGGCTAAAGCTAAGCCTGCCACCTCCAAAGTATTCATTAGACTCCGATTCTTATCACGACGCAGTCTTGGACTGTTAGCTAGCGGTATCGCCCAAATTGAGTTTATACCCAATCCCTATTAGGTTTAGTTCCCCACTGCCCCTAACGGGAATTGTACCACTAGTTTGGGACGCCCCAGCTAGTGCTTACCGGGCCCGGTCAGGCCATACGGAAGTCGTTCCGAACCCTAGTTCCCGTGTCCTGAGAAGAAAGCTTAACTTTCAAAGAACGCGCGCCCCGAGTAAAATCTCTGCACCAATGACTAACCAGGTTTAATCTGCAAGTAGATGCGTGCAGCCAATACAGGATGTTGGCCCCTTCTCTGAACCCCAGAAAGCCCTTCCCAATACAACGTCACTGCTATTCATGTCAATATTTTGAATAAACTCCAGCTGCACAATTCCAAGAATGACTCTCGAGCTTCAAACCGTTGATCCCGAAGTGGATTTCCCTGCCATTGCACGGGGCATGTTTGACTCTTATGAAAACCCTCCACAAAAGTTTTTCCACGTGTTCTTCCCCATCCATGGAACGAGCGAAGAAGCCCGGGAAAATGCCATCGACGAAGCAGCAACTAGGCTGAAGCTCTGGCATACGCACGATCCATCCAGCCACTGGCAAAAAGTCGTTGATACTGAAACTGGGAAAATTGCGGGTGGGGCCTTGTGGAAAATTCACAAAGAAAATCCATTTGCAAACCCCCCTCCTTCCACAGTGACCTGGTTTCCCGACGACAGCACCCGCAAATTTGCCGCACAGGCAGTGCAGACACATTCTGGACCTCGGTCTAGAGCGGCGTCAAAACCTCATATCTGTAGGTAAAATTGTCAATTTCGCTGCTCAATGGCTGACAAAATTGCAAGATCTCTTCATCATCTTTAGCCATCCAGAATATCGACGTAAGGGTGTTGGCCAGCAATTTATGGATTGGGGTACGAAGAAAGCAGATAAGTTAGGATATGAATTCTTTTTGGAAGCAACGCCCTATGGGCGACCCTTGTATGAGGCGAATGATTTTGTCTACGTTGAAGAGTTCGTCAACCAGCCGGAAACCGATACTCCGGACGAAAAGTGGAAGGAGATCGAACAGAAAGTAGGTCCCTTTACTTTCTGGCTCATGAAGAGGCCACTTGGTGGAAAACTTGAGGCAAACAGCACGAGCAAGCGGTTGGAAGATATTTAAAATACAGTACTTTGCTCGTTTCGTGGCCGCTCAAGGCTATACACAAGCCCATTTAACTCGACTACTCCCCCCAAAAGGTATCTTGCAAATAAAATATTGACCTCAAAATCGTCACCATAAATAAGAATATCCTCCAATACCTGTCGCCATCAATGCCATCCATCGTATTTATAACTGCTCCACCCAAGTTAACTCATTCCCAACATTGCTTTAACTCCCCTCCATTTACCTTTTATCCCAGGTCCATACCCAATATCTACCACCGCCGTCGTAAACGCAAAGCCTTTTGTTGTGTCCGGAATCGGATATCTAAGTGGTGGAGGAATAGAAGTACAAGCCGGAGACCAGGGCCAACGGTCCTCACAAACAGCTTTGATATTACAAAGGCCCCTTAATCCCTCCTCACCAGCAAATCTTCCATATCCACTACCAGCCACACCACCAAATGGTAATTGAACTGCATAGTATGCAGCAAAGTCATTGATAGCTACCATACCCGATTTAATATTTTTGACAATAGCATTGAGCTCCCAATCTTTAGTTCCGAAGACTGAAGCGCCGAGACCGAAGTTGGGGTGGTTTGCTATATTGCAGGCATCTTCGGGGTTCTTGGCTCTCATGACAACGCAAATTGGTCCGAAACATTCTTCATTGGCAATGGCCATTTCGGATGTGACGTCGACGATGAGAGTTGGGGTAAAGTAATGACCGGAGCGATGGACGGGATGGTTGAATCTTTTCCCACCAACGAGAAGACGAGCTCCATCGTTGACAGCTGCTGCAATCAATTTCTCAAGTCGGTCAAATGAAGCATCAGAAATAACGGCACCGACATCAACTGGCGAGTCAGCTGTAGAATCAAGAGCAGAGCCGACTCGAAGAGCTCGGATTCGTGGCTCAAGTGCGGCAACGAGTTTGTCATAAACGTCCGGAAGGCCAATAATTCGTTCGATGCCAATACAGTTTTGCCCAGCTGCTTGGAACGTGCCACGAAGAAGAATCTCGGTAATACGTGGGAGGCCTTTGACTGCGGAATTCATGACAATTGCTGCATCCTTTCCTCCAAGCTCGGCGACAACGGGAATTAAAGGTCCGGATGCTGCTGCTGCTACCAATTTGGCGACGGGTCGACTACCAATGAAAGTGATGTGGGAGATTCTAGGATGAGATGTGAGATGATTTGCAGTATCTGGCCAACATGTAACAACTTGAATCAGATTGGAATCATGGCCGCATGCATATAATGCTCCTCTAGCAATAAGAGAGAAATGCTGGGCACTCCAGGCAGTATTTTCCGATACCTTAACCACTATCCCATTTCCAGAGAAAATTGCCGAGATTATTGGACCAAGCAAATTATGGAGGGGGTAATTCCATGACACCAAAGCAGCAATAACTCCTAGCGGTTGGTATTGTACAGTATTCTTTTTGTACATCATGAGCAAGTTCGTAGGCCTTCTAGAAGGACTCAAAGCCTTCTCACCATGCTTCAAAGTCCAACTTAGCTTTTCGACAGTCACTAAGATTTCTCCCAATGCAGCATCAATCATAGTTTTGCCCGAGTCCAGACATGCAACCTTGCAAATCTCTTCCTGGTGATCCATTATGTATGCCATCATAGAACGTAGAACTTGTCGTCTCTGAGTAAACGTAGTTCGTGCCCATTTCTTCTGTGCGACATGTGCCTTTTCAATTACTCTATCAATATCTTCAGTCGTGGAAGGAGTAACATATCCTAAGAATTGTCCCGTCGCCGGAGCATAACATTGAATATCTGAAGTTCCGGAGGCCTATACAGTATCAGCATGACTTTTTACTACTCTATTGTGTATCCACCAACCTTGATGCTCGGATTCTCCAAGATCTTCTTCTCCTCCGGTGCCCTAAGTTCAGCAATTGAATAGTGTAGGACAGGCTCCGCATTATACCATTCAATGAATCGAATTGTTCCATATAGAAGGCATGCGACAAATGCTGTAGCTCCAATGGCTAAAGTAAACATGAGCTTTTCACTACAAAGATGTCAAATGAATGTTAGCAATGATGCCCAAGATTTCCGCACAAATTAAAGCCAAACTTACACATCTCTATGCGTCCAACCTTCAAACGGTCCATCCGGGAGAATCTGTTCTTCCTCCATATCTCCACTGCACTTCAAGCGGAAATTTGCAGGTTTTGATATGGTTTTATCTTCAACGAGGCACGTAAGATGGTGGTGCTCAAAGAATTCCTATTTCCAGAAGAAGATATCCAGTACTCTAGCCATTCACCAGAGAAGATTCGGAAGACTAGATCATGTTACTCAATTATCAGATGCACTCCCTCAAAACATCTTTTCAGAGAAGAAAGAAATTGTATGGTTGTATGGTGGCACAGTCAAACAAATTTCTGGGGGAGAGCTTCATCCTTGTTGATTTGGACACGGAACTTTCCACCATCAACCCCGAGAAATCATAACCCTATAAACTGCAGTAATTAGCCTAAATCCAGTATACCTCACGGACCGAAGGGCCTCGTGTTACTGAATTGGGTAGTCCCTGAAGTATTATTAGTGTACAGTGGTAAGTTCGGGACTGTCATGTTATGGTAAATGTAAATGGCGAAGGCCTCAACTTCATCATATACATTCAGATACGGCGTCGAGTTCTAACCAGCAAGTGTTGTCCCAGGAACAGAGAATAGTCATCGTGCGATCTTACAAGAAGCTAAATCTTCAATCCAGCATCACAAACATTCATTTATATGCAGGCTCACAGAATATTCAACACGTAATATCTAATAGCTATTTGTTTCCGGAGTAGTTAAGATCTTACGTCTCTAATTGTATGTTTCTTGCCATGAGCCAATATCCGTTCCATCATCCATCCTATCAAGTACTGTAGGGTACCTTGTTTTGTTTTGTTATCTTTTTTATACATGTTATATGTTATAATTGTAGGGGCTTACGATATACGGATATATACACATACACTTTCACATCATCATGTGTGCAAGAACGCCAGGGTGAGATGGCATACCACGCATCTTGCGTCTTCAAATCACAGTTTAGATCCATATCCTGAGCGTCGAAGTAGGTTCCTAACAAGATGAAGGTGGAAATGCTTGATTCGTTTAGAAGTGATAGTATTTGGACGGTGGCCGAGTGGTGTTTCCCTGACAAAAACGCTCGATTGGTGGTTATCCTAATGAGCTATACGCGGTATAAGAGACCTTCCCCGCCTCTTTACTGAATCCCACAAACGGAGTTCACAAGTAAGCTGGTGTAGCTTCCAGTCTTTCTTTCTGTGCTTGGCACTGCAATATTTGACAAACTTCCCTCTCTTCTCACACTTCGTACAAGTGATCAAACGCCCTCCAGCTCCACAGTACTCGCAACATTGGCCCGCAGTCCATAAGCCCCTAGTTTTACTACCTTCGCAGGTAAACTTGTGCACTTCCCGCGCTTTATCTTGATGCACGACACCACAATACCTGATTATTTCCCCTCCCTTCTCGCATTCTACGCAACCAATGAAATTTCCTCCTCCGCGTCCGCATAGTCGCACCACTGGAAAACTGGGACCTCTGTTGATCCATCTCCCCAAAATCTCATCAGCGAATTCCCGAATCTCCCCTACGGAATTTGCATCCGTTATGTTACTCGTATCAAGTATTTCTCTACTCGACTCGAAAACTTTCTTACAGACTTTGGTCGTCGTACATCGTTGCCACTGTCTACCGTTGCCAATGAAATAAGGCTCCTCAAGGAGTCCCATCTCACCATACTCTATATGCGCCATCCCAACCACAAATATATCGTCATTGTATGGTGTACCAACAGGACCCACACTCGTATATGGTGGAGGAAATAGCAGAACAGTCTTTGGGGATTTTTCTCCATCCTCTGTAAAGTAGCTATCGTAAGTATCCGATCCCGGTATTCTTTGTACTTTGTTTTCGATATCTTCCTGCCTCAGATCACTCACATGCACGTGTGACAACATCACATCACGGGCTTTAACCAACTTCGGTTTTTCGTTCCTGATTTGAACTATCACCTCTTGGTTTTTTGCACATCTTAGAAGGAATTGTTGAAACACTTGTGCAAAAATTATGCTCCGGTTTTGCCATCTCGATTGGTAAAATATGCGCTCAAGTTCTGCAGACGACAAGTCATCCGCTCCTGCTTTTCCGTTGGGGTGTACGCTACAGGTAGCTGGAGAATAGGGAGATTCTGGAAGTGATAAGTCGTGATGGAACGTGTTGCGCCTCAGTGGTGCACGACTGGGAGCTTCCCGATCCTGAAGGCTGCGGGCTGAATATCGCCCGCAATTGACTGAGCATTGGTAGTTGATGAGGGTAACCAAGGTTCTGAGAGGGATCGGTGGGAGGGTTCGCAATCGGGCAACTGCTGGTTCGGGTGCTGTTGGTTCGGGTGCTTTTGGTTCGGCTGTTGCCATGATTATGAATATATAGCTGAATTTAAAGTAAGAGGTACGAAAGTATGGTTTCCGATGATAAAATGAGAGCAATGTAAGTCTGATTGTAACGAATGTATGTCTGTGGTTGAGAAAGGGGAAGATGAAAGATGAAGAACGGAGAAATATAGGCAACTTTACGGACGAGCAGAGAACGGAAGGAAGGAGCTGCGCTTAATATTAGCTGCGCAGGAAGGAGGAGAGAACCCTTCACACATGAAGCACTTGGATGAACTTATCAGACAAAATTCTGCATTATCAAATCCATTATTTAAATATAAGGCCGAGGATCTTAGCATAAGTATTCATTTGTTATGTCAACATTGATTTAATGGCCTTTCTTATAGGTAATAGACGAAACAAGTACCAGAGTAGTGAGCACTGTCTCCATCATCCGGACTACTACCCACCGACGAAAGCTTTTTGAATTCTTACAAACAAAACCTATATCGAAATACGCAAAAAACATTAAACCCCACACCACATGCCACACCAACAAAATCTCACCCCACTAACCTCCACCGGTCCCAAAACCCTAATAGCACCATCCAAAACCATAGTAACAGTCGCATTAGTAACCAGCAAACTCTTCTCAAAAAGACAACCAAGAACCTCGGACCAAGCAAGCACCTCTCAATAAGCTTTCTCTCCATAGAAACCACGACCTTGCTTCGCCTAAGTACCCGAAGCAAGTGCAGGCGATGCAGTAATTGTCTGGAGAGTTTGTGGTGGAGCTCGACTCAATGGTACTGTTGTGGTGCTACTTTCCCCTCTGGCGACATCGCGCACAGTATAGTAAATGGTGGAATACATAATGGTAGTTGTGAAAGTAGTTGTAGGCGTCATGAATTCCTCGCTAAAAGTCGGATTCTTGGGTTATTAAAATTAGCTCATGACCATATCACATGCAGTAATCAATGAGCCATAATATATCTACTCACCGCAGTAATGGAAGGTAATGGTGTTGGAGTCTCAAATGGTGTAAGGCCGGCGAGGACAGCGAAAGCAGTAGGGCTCCAGGTTGCCATGTTGAAGCCTCCTTCTCTCAAATTGCGTGGGTTGACTTGCTCAGCAAAATTGGTAACCGCATCATCACGTCGATCAATCGCAATTGTAGATGAAGGTTGAGAAGTAAGAGTAGTGTCTTCTGAATCGGGACTTGCTAGCTTAAAGAGGAATCAAAGTCAGCACTACCATCAAGAACTCTCACTCTGATATCAATCTCCCTTGAAAATGATGATCTCAACTCGCTAACGGAGTATGACTTCACATCTACTTTACTTCGTATACAAGGAACAACTTACATGGGACGGAAGAGCGAATACAGGGCTTTGTACAAACGTTTTAAAGTCCGCTGCAGCAGTAGCAGAAATCGGCGGCTCTTTATCAACACTGAACTCCAAACTATTTTGAAAGCCCTGTTGGCGAATCAATGCTGCGGAAGAGTATGTAAAGATACTCAGGAGTAAAAGGGAGGGCGTCAATGTGATATGCATGACTAATTGGAGACTTGGGTTCTCGAGTATGTGAAGGGGTAGGTTAATTAAGTGAAAGTAAGTAAGTTGAATATTCTTAAAAGAGGATAGATAAATTTGATGTTGGACAATGAAAAGAAGGTCACTGAGTGATTATGGTAATGTATTTATATTCGAATCTTCCGCGTCTAGGGAAAATATAGTTATCAAAATAGAACATGCATTCTGAGCACCAAGATCAATCATACCACCGCTAATCAAGGACGCAAAGTCCAGAAGTGAGCCAACGCTCGTGAGTACTATTCATAGACCTCTGCGCCTTTCCCTCGATACCAGAAATATGCGAGACAAAAATATACAAAGAGATAATTCTAATTCCAGTAAATCGAACCTCATACCCTACCGCAGCAGCAGGCAGTTATACGCTTAACGAGCCAGCAAGAGACATGACAGCGATCATGCATCCATTAATTCACTTCACATGTGCCACCAACATGCTTCTAGCATGCGCAGTGACTTAATTGTAATTTGTTATGTCTCGGTACCAGCAAATTTGAAAGAAATGAGGCTGAGTGCTCGCGAGTTTGGAGTTTTAAACAAAATTGTTTGTAACTGTTAGTTTTATCAGCACTGTAAGCAAAAAAACTGTTGGGAAATCAGAGCTAGCGTACGCACTGTGGCTCAGATTATCTGAAGTCCACGTTAAAAATAGTCAACTTGGGCACTTCCATATAGCTGAGTGGAACATTCGGTAGAAAGTATAGGAGCTCATCACTGTCAAAAATCGCAGTGGTCTCGCCTGGTGTTAGTATTATGTGCAAATGTGAAGCCATTGCAAGTGAAGAACTAGCATAATTAAGAGAATAGAAACTATATGACAATTGCTCAAAACGAATAGTAAATATGAGACAAAATCGTTAAACCAAACCCAGAGTATGAAACCAAGAACCTCAAATACATCTCAGAGATATAAAAACGAAAGTGTTTTTGGAAACAACGTCCATGCTAATGTTCCAATATATGTAAGGTCATCTCCATTCCGCTGATACATTCAGGGACAAATATCATACAAATCACAAACCGGCAAATTCCCCATGAGACTCAACGGTATCCTCAAAATCCTCATCTGTTGAGTTGCTATCTCCGTCCCGTTCGTTTCCAAAGATCGATCGCTTCGTGAATTTTGGCGCTTTTGCCATGAGATATATCCCCACTCTCTAAAGCATGACTTTCTCAGATATTTCTTTGGGTATCTTCATGATGGTGCTTTCCTGTCCATAATAATACTGCAAGAGTAACAAACGACACTCACTCTATCAACCGCGACATACCCCAAAAGCACTTCTAAACAATACCTATCTAATCGAACAGCTGCCCAAAAGCTTGCCGAACATCCATATTGATAAAGCATGTTAATATCTTCGGTAGAAACTTCCAGCTCTCTACGTAAAACCAATACATCACCACGTACGATGGCTTCGTGGAGGCGTGGAAAGCTTTGCTCGACGAAGAACTCTTCGGTCGAAAGGTGGAATATTTCAAATAGCTTCCTCAAAATAGCTTCATCGAAATCGGATTCTAGAGGTGGCCAACGTTTCAGATCCAATACTTCATAACGTCCATGGCTCAGATACAGAAGATGGTTTTACTGATGGAGAAGCAAGCGTCAATGACGGCGAGAACCGACAGAGACACTAAATAAATCTGACATGATTTATTACTAAAGAAAAGAGAGAAAGTTGCCAGTTCAAGTTCGGAATGTAACACTAAGGCTTGGGCAGTTTTGCTGCTCTCTTGAGCGACAACCGTAAGAAAAACTTGCACGCAAGGCTAGTTTTAAACGCAGCATCTTGTGACTTGGTCAGAAAACAAACCCATAGTCCTTAGGATGTAGACTCGATCAGGTGCTGTTTTCGGTGTGGGTCTTAGCAGCGCGATAATAGTCAGGACTGAGCGATGGCTCTTCTGTTCATGAAGTAGCCTGCAACAATTTAATAACCAAAACATAAACCACACCATACCTAGAGTGAAGGTATTCAACATCGCCCGCCAAATAGGAATTCTTCCTATGCTTCGAACGATAGGGAACTTTAGGTCCAACAGAAATCAAGTATCCAAAATTGAAGAGGTCTCTCGCGATCTCCGCTCGATTGTTACCTTCGGCCCACAAACTTTGCTTGCCGAAGTACTATAACGTGAAAGATTGTAATAGACAACCGCCAATTTCATTGCCATACTTCATACAGCATAGCTTTACATTTCTAGTCTCTGCTAACATCACATTGATGGAGAAAACATGAGTATGATTGTGGGTTTCATGAAAATTCTTTTTTATATTTGTTGATTGGTAGGCCAATCTCTTCCAATACCAGTCAGTGAGCTGGACGCTGGTATCTGTGGAGACCTCTATGCTAGTTGGAATATTCAAATTCAAACAGCCACGCCATATTTACTCCATGTCTAAAAGTTTGCACAAGTTTGAGTGTATTTCCAAATTCCGAAAATTTCAATCATAACCTCTGTTGGAATCAGCGAAATTATGTAAGCTATAAGAGTCAGCATGTTCTCTATGACCAGTCATTGAAAGTGAAAAAACATACCTAATATCTTGACGATCTCTTACTGAAGGCGTACTGGATTCAGAGGCCTCTAGCTTGGGTCTGGAATTACCATTCGCAGTTCCATTGATGACCTTATCTTGGTGGCCTTCGGGGACTACCTGACCATTAGAGTCCACTACTGCTCCCTGAGTGATGAGACTGAATTCCTTGTCTCCTGCTACACCATGAAGGACAGCTTCCTTCGCACTTTCCAGGACCTTCATCTTGCGTGTTTCACCTCGAATCTTCTCCAAATGCTCAAAATAGCCATCCTGAACAGGTGTTACATAAGTACCACAGAAAACGCCAACTTCGAACTCTTGAGTCTTTGGGTCGCGAGGAGAAAGCTCCGCACATGATGCCTTCAAATCCTCCAAGGATTGATAGATAACTTCTTCTGCACCAATGTGTTTAGCAATTGCATGTCTATCACGATTATGTGCGACAAGCTCTTGAGGCGAAGCAAGGTCGATACCGTAGATGTGAGCGTGGGTGATGGGTGGGGCAGAGGAAGCGAAAATGACTTTTTTTGCTCCTGCCTCACGGGCCATCAGTACAATCTCCCTACTCGTTGTACCACGAACGATACTGTCATCAACCAAAAGCACTGTGCGTCCGGCAAATTCAGACTCCATGGCACTGAGCTTGCGGCGGACAGACTTCTGACGAGCACCTTGTCCGGGCATGATGAAAGTGCGGAATACATAACGGTTCTTGACAAAACCTTGGCAGTAAGGGATGTTTAGACGCTCCGAAACACTCTGAGCTGATGTATTGGAAGTTTCCGGGATTGGAATAACAACATCAATCTCTTTAATTGCTTCTGGCCCAAGAACTTTGCTGATGGTATCGGCGAGCTTATATCCCATTGCCTGTCGACTTCTATGGACACTGATGCCATCAATAATCGAGTCAGGTCTAGCGAAGTAAACATATTCGAAGATATCTGGGGCGTAGTTCTTTTGAGGAACGATCTGTCTGAAGAGCGGTTTCGAGCCCTTTCTAATGATGACGGCTTGTCCGGGGAGAATATCAACCAGATTCGAGAATTGGAGTTGGGTCAAAGCGATAGATTCAGAAGCCATCATATAATCCGTGGCTCCAGCCACAGTGGAGGATGGTCGAGAGCCCAGGATAAGAGGACGAATGCCGTGTGGATCGCGGAAACCAAGAATGCCAAACCCAGCCAACATTGCTGTACAAGCCCAACCTCCAACGCATCTGCCATACATTCTCTCCAAGCTCTTGAAGATATCTTCCTCGTTGACACGAGCCTTTCCGGTCTCATTGAGCTCGTTGGCGAAGATATTAAGCATAAGCTCACTGTCGCTGTCTGTATTGATATGTCTATGAGCTTCGAAATCAAGAAAGTGCTTGAGCTCTGGAGCGTTGATCAAGTTTCCATTATGCGCAAAGGTAATTCCGTAAGGACTGTTGACATAAAAAGGTTGAGCTTCGGCACTAGCACTGCTTCCAGCTGTTGGGTATCTCAAGTGGCCTAAGCCCATGAACCCGGGAAGATCTTGCACACGAGATCCATCCTGGAACACTCTTGCAGCCATGCCATTACCCTTGCATTGATAGATACGACCTCCGGCGGCACACGTAGCGATTCCACAGGCATCTTGTCCTCTGTGTTGTAAATAGTAAAGAGCTTCGTGTATCTCCGCTGCCGCAGCGGTGGAAGAAGGGTCGTCAAATGCGGCCAATATCAAGCCGAGAATTCCGCACATCTTGTAGAATCGTTATCAAGTAACTATCTGAAATACTATCGCGATTTTGTTAGCCCCGCTATGCCGGAAATGCACTCGGTCATAAGAAAGGCAAGAAAGAATGCTTTCGCAGAACGATACTGGTGAAAGTGAAGCATTTTGGCACTTTCTGTTAAGGCATAATCCAGAAATAAAGTCAGGTGTAAAATTGGTAAGAAGTGACTTACAATGTTGCGAATTGGACAGGAACAAATTTCTTTCAGAACTCTCCGAAATCGACTCCTGTAGAGAATCTCGGAGAAAGATAAAATTATATCGAAGGTGAATAGACACAGGAAAATAAAGAATCAATCAAGGTTGAATTGAATGTGAATGAATGGTCGAAAATTGAGCAGATAACTGCAAACTGGAGATAACTTTGACGACATTTTGAAGGTTTTAGGATTTTTTTCTCCGGAATTCATCCCACCTTGATAAGGTTTCTCAGACCAGAGAGGCTCCTCGCTTAAAGCGGGCGGTGAATGATTACATAATTAGATAATTGGCAGAATATTTAGGAAAATGGGGAAAACGATGCAGTAAGGTTAGCGTAATTGGTTGAATTTACTCGCACACTTCTTTACAACCATGTAACCTTATCATCGTTGCTCTCTATCAAAATCGTTTCTTGTGATTCTTGAGTCGTTACATACCTGCCTACCTAGCTACTCGTAGGTATTGGCTCTCTCATTCATCCTTCATTTGATTATTTACACTGCTTTAATTGGCTGTTTCCGAAACCCCGCCAAGGGCTCAACTCAACATCAAATAATAGCGATTCATGGAGTCAACGATCGCCGAGTTCTAGGAAAACATCTATCCAGTATGCCCGATATGGATATAGCTGTGAAATGAGGGAATTCAACTACAGCAATCTCCGAGTTAACAGATGCATTCGTATACTTATCGAACTGCTCGAATATTCAGATTCGACTCTCATTCTAATATCTTCAACAGGCATTTCCTTTGAAAGTTTCTTACTTGACCTCATCAACACATGGTCAGATTACATCAGTCAGGACTAGCTTCAAGTTTGTATAATTATCTTTGGTCTAGTTGAACTAAAAGCCATTAATGTTCTAGTTTGATTTAACCTTAGACAACACGCCTTTTCCCCCCATTCAGAATGAGCATAAGCATTCAATGTTCTGTTCGATGGAGAAACAATAGTATTGTCCCAACTCAAATCAACAACTAGCCGCCGATATCTAACTCGAAAAGAACTACAAGTTGTTAATATTCTAGTTCAATATGCATAACAAACTCTCATTGTTCCGATTCACGTTTTCGCTCGGCCTCCCTAATAAATCCGCATCAGTATCAACAAGGTTGACCATTAGAGTTATCAATCTCCACTCACTGAAGTTTCTCCCGGTTCCACAAAAATCTGATCAAAAAAGCCGTCAGGATGAGAATGAAAGAAAGTACACTGATGGTGATGAACCCCTTTCGATACTCTGGCGCATCAACTTGTTGCCAAACAATTAATGGTAACCAAGCTTGAACAACGTATGCCATCTCATTCATCGTTCCAATCACTATCGCCCTTTCTTCATTATCTTGATTGCATATCTCATGGGCCCATCTGGTTGGTACATTGTCAGTATTTAAAACTGTCTATGAGGTCCATGAACACTTACGCCATGCAAATACCGGAAAGGCCATACCCAGAGCCCATGATATAATAACAGGCCCATTTCCATCCAATTGGTATGTCCCATATTGCGAGAGAAACATAACACGTGATGTTCACAGCACCTCCAAAGATAATTGGTGGCCAGCGTATACCATTCAAGATAGTGTCTGAAGTCCAGGCATAGGCAAGCGTTGTTACAATTTGTACTGCCGAAGTACCCGTCGGATATGTATTTATTTGCCCCACAGTGTACTTAGGGTTTTTTGAATCTTTCAGAAATTGGGCAAAAATTGGCGCCGCCCCACTCGCTCCATTGTTGAAAGCTCTGAATGCTTGTCAGCAGAATCTAAGTTGTTTGGGACCAAAAAGCCATACACATATAAAAGTGTTAGAGCATATATGTGCCATGATGAAAATATCTTCGTTATCTTTGCTTTTGTATATGGCTTTCTCTGCTCCCGACCTTCTAATTCCATGCGTTTCTTACCGTACTCCAGTTCCTATTATCTTATTAGCAGGAAAACAACAAGCTGGTTAAGCACAAACCTCTTCAGAAAAGTACCACGCCTTCGCGATTTCTGGAACATCTGGAAGCACGAAATAGCCCGCTATGGCGATGGGAAGTGAAATCACGCCGTCGATTATGAAAAGCCTACTTAGCCGTGAGTCACTATTCTAACTGTTATGATTAACTTATCTCGAGCTTCATACCATTGCCAACCTTTCAGACCGCCTTTGTTATCGAGATGGTATACAGACGCCATCAAATAGCCGGAAAACATTGATCCAAGAGCACCTGTAGCATGAAATATGCATGATCTTTTCGCCAACTCATCTCTTCTGTACCACGATCCGATGATATATTGCATTCCAGGATAGAAACCACTTTCAGCCAAACCAATCAGGAACCGCAACGCATATATCTGCGACACATTATTGCAGCGGGACATACACATAGTCAAGACTGTCCAGACTATCTGTACCACTTTCAGCTCCATCCTCAAACAATAGATTTTGGAAGTCTGTCACATACTTCAATCGTGGGGATCCATATAGAAGGTCGTACTCGAGTGAGTATGATGTTGCTAGGAATCCCACCAATTACATATCCCGCTGTCCATGTGGCCACCATATAATTGAGTTGGTTTCCGTACAACCCTAGGTCCTCTTTCATCCCAGAGACAAATGCATTGTTGATGTTTTGTTGATCCAAGTACTTTATGAAGTATCCTAAATCATTAAAGTTTAGAAGACTTGAAGTCGTATGAGGGTGCGGGGTGCCTCAAATATTGACAATGAAAGACTTACCCAGGGAAGCAAACGTCAAAACAGCCAAGTCAAGCTTGAATAAGAATGCTCTTTCTTGAGGTGATTTATCCAAGGTATCCCATATATAACTAGTCCATTTCTTTTGGGTATTCTTTTGGATGACGGAGTTCGAGACTTCTTCCGAGATGGTATTATCGATCACGTGGTTGTGTACAACCAAGCTATTCTTGGAACTCATCTTCAATCTGGAAAAGAATAGATTTGAGTACCAATAAGTATTTCTTCTATATGAAAATTTGGTTAATTTAAATGATTTATCTTGGTGAAGATGTTCGGAAAAAAAACTCGACAGTTCGAGCTGCCAATGTTTCGATATGATCCTTGCCTTTGACACCATCGATTGTTCGCACGCTGGCTGGTATTTTCAACATGCATATTGCCAAGTATTTGTCCAAAACTCTTTCTGTAAATGTAAATCTCGCAATTACGGGTAAAAGTTCAATGCACCCCTCATGACGTGCTATATGCATGAGCTGCGTGATGATAGATAAGATATCCGATGCACTTTATTGGTGAGGTTCTTATGACGATCAGACTTATCTATATCATGGAGAATCTTGATATGCTACCTTGTGTAAAACGCGACAACTGACGAGCTGACGAAACATTGTCAAGCTTGCGCTTATTAGATATACCATGTGGGAAATGTTGTCTTTGGATGATCATTAATCATTGAGCGGTTACATTCTACATAGTACTACATTAATCCACATCAAGAAAAGAAGTCATTGTTCCAGTTTTTAGTAGAATTAAGCAGTGCCTCGATGATTTCAGTCTTGGAATATCTGTGTCGTGTACAAATTCGAACTGCACGGCGTATCCTACATTTGAGATGACAAGGTTCGAGGAGAATAATTCTAAATATCAATGGTGAATGTTGCAAACGAGGCACGCCGGTGAAACGAATGGGAATCACTTCCAGAACTATTCTTCTTATGACAAACGCAGTTAGCCGTCGCCGCAAGTGTTCTGGTGGTGTTGAAAGTAAAGCTTGGTCAAGTACTCACCCAAGCTAACTTCATTCATGCAAGGGTCCATTTGCCAATATCTTGAAGTGGTTCTGTACTTAATACTACTTCCTCCCTTGCTAAAACTACAAAAGCAGAGATAGGACTAGTAAACGCGGGGTTAAAGGTATGCTGGATCTCATCTTCAAAAACCAAAACCAAGGGCTTGAATTTTGAAGTGAATATGATATTTCAGGCGGGAAGAGACCTGAGAATAAGATCCGGCGGTCCAAAAAGTGATTTAGTTTCAACGGATAACTATAGAGGAGATTGAAATAAATCAAACAAAGAAAAAGCCGAATAGAGAGATTTCTTGATCGGGAGGTAAGTACCTGTAGAAAGGTACTTGTCTTATTTGTAAATAATCTACGGATAATCCGCAAATTATTTATGAAGTGGATATTCGCTTAAATTTTGAAGCTATTCCTACATTTTTTATACTAGTTTTTATACCAATCTTTATAAATTATATTTTATTTATATAAATTATACTTAATTATGAGTTAGTGGATTATTTGCGAATAATCCGTAAATAACCTATGTGGTGCGGGTTATTTTAAAATCCTGATGGGTAATTTGTGGAGCGGATTGTAGGTTTATTGGGTAGCCTGCGGGGAGGATTATTTGCGGATATCTGCAACCCGCGGGTTATTTTTGTGCAGCCTACGTATGGGGCACGGAAATCTCAGATTGGTGAGAATAGTTTCTTCCGACATTTAAAGTGCAGAGTCATAAAGCAACAAGATGTATTGTTTGTATGCATTGTTGGAATGATCGTTAAAAATATTACCTTGGGGACAGACTTAATTTTATAATTTGCCAGACATAGAATTATTCTTGAATGGGCGGCGTTTCATAATGACTTTGTTAGATGTTTGGCTAGATATTTCAAGGTTTTCTGTATTATTTATTGTCCATTGTGAGGAAATTTATTATAAGAACTACCTATATAACACCTCTTTCCCCTGACGTTAGAATTTCGGTGAGCTATATAGGGAGAGCTGTCGCTGCGTTCATAGTCATATAAAATAGAACTGCACTCATAACCCCTTGCCAACTATAGGATGCAGCTGCGGAATTATCAAAAAAGTCTAACAATGCAGCGTAACTAGATTGACAAACAAGGTTATAATCAGACTGGAATTAACAAAAACACAAAAGAAGATTCAATAACATTAGTCGTCGTCATACACGTCACACGTATCCGTTTGTTGCACATCATAACCATAGGGCTGAAATAAACTTTCAGCCAGGTAGTACTGTCTAGAAATAAAGTTTAGACTAAGTAGACATGTAAAGCTTATATTTGGCCAAAATCATATCTTCTGCCTTTACATGAACATTAATGGAATATAAGAGGATAAAGGTAGATTGGACATAAGAATAGACACATTTTGCCGCAGACAGAATTGATAAATGATATGAATACTAGAATGAGGGATTGAAATGCCGAGATTATGTGAGTGGCAGTACTGTGGTTCGTCGTAGGTTCACGATCTTCCGGAAATATCAGGAGTTTGATCGCGTAACCAAGTCTTGGAAGGTATACTCGCTAGAATATAGTTCGATATGCTATTTCGAAGCGAGGCTTCGCGCTTGCGTGGTGGTGCCTTTCAGTTCTGTGTATAAGAAAATGCGGACGCCTCAAAATTCACGGTTCATTATCTAACCGCACTTCTAATCTTCTAATTCACTATCATCCGGAAACCGCTTCTCACACTTCATTCCACGTTCAATCTCCCTTGCATAGTGCTTCCTTGCTTTCAGGTGTAGCAATCGATAAAATGGAATATATATCGTAAACCCAAGACTACTACTACAGTCATCAATATGAGATTAGACACACTTGCCATCCCTTTGATTCTCCTCCTAACCACTGTTACATCTGTGGATCAACTATTCGACGTCATCAGCCAATTGCGAGAAGCAGCCATTGTATGTTATACCCTAACTTCGAACGTTGCTCACACTATTCGTTCGTATTCTAACTATCACCCCTTCCCTAGAATCTGAACAATCTCCTCAATAATGCCACCGATGACTCCCGCTTCCTGAACAAAGACCTCATCGAATTTTTCAAGAACACAACATTACAAAACACAATCTTCATCAACGGAATCAACGTCGGAGTGACACAGCGTGAAGCGTTGACAGACCTTGTAAGCAATAACGGTCATGACATATTCCCACTACAAGCTAGCCTGGCAGTTATTCAACAACTCACTGAAATCGTTAATAAGACACTTTTCAGCATCAATGATATTTCCAATGATGATTCTAACCTCCAAGATGATATCTTAGAGAATCGGATTGCAACTGTTAATCTCATAAGATGCAATCAGTTGATACCTGCCATATGGGAATTTTGGAATCAGACGGCTAATGTATTGGGTGAGGATCAGATTCTGGATCTTCCGGGCCCAATCGTTTGCGAAAATTTTGATGCAGTACAGGTAGTTATCCTATTGGGGATCCGGCTTTTGAGTAGAGTCGGCGTGTGAGGGATTCCTATTGACGCAAAAGATAAAGTCTCATTTTAGGGTTTGGACTAAGAGTGACTATATCTATATAGCTTTTGGCGAAAGGTACAGAGGCGTTGCCTGTGAAGCAGACGTTGTTTAGTACTGACTTGACATTCGTGGATATAAACAAGTAGTTTTCATCAATTAAGGTGCGGTCCAGGCTCATGATCAAGTGCTCCTAGGGTTTTATCTCAGAACTATGTTAGGGGGATAACCAACAATATAGCGAGGCAGATAACCCGAGCCCAAGTCCCTCATCTCATCAGCGCAAACCATATCCAGACTAGGAGTTAAGCATTTTTTCTCCACAACACTGGATATGATCCTATTCAAAAAGCACTTGGTCGCTTGAACGTGCTTTGATCAATGTCCCAACAACATGAAAATTCAAAACAAGAGGCTTAAGAGACTTTCGTGTAGTCACTGTTGAGAACGACATTGAGGAAAGATTCGCTCGAGCACGCGGTGATACCAGTATACATACATTTTAGAGCATCCGTGCTCGTATCGACGATTGAAGGAACCTTTCAACGCCTCTCCGCCAAATGTGCAGAAGCAAGAGGACTGCACTTGCAGTAGCTTTGACCGAACTGATTGTGCATCAGAAACTATGCATAATGTTATGCAAGATTTGTGCTTTTTGCATAAAATATTCTCCCAATCATGGCTTATTTATCTCGACTTCATAACAGTTCCATGGGAAGCTCTACATGTAATCTTGCGATGCTTGTTGTAACTAACCACTTTGCATCCGATCCATCCATGACTTGACGTGCTACCTCGCTGTCGCCGTCGCAGTCTCTCGAAATGATAGAGGGTAAGATGTATGTGTTCTCGGGGACTGATCAAGTTTGCCAGCAAGGAAGCCTAGGATTCGAGTCGTCAATAATAACAGCAAGGTAATTGATCAAGTGAGATGATGAGGAGTCGAGCTTGGAATCTTTCGAAATCTGGATAGCATTTGCTGTGGGCCAAGAAACAAGGAAATGCTCCCCACCAAAGAGTGCAGGTTACAACCTCGAGATGAATTACTCGAGCCGAACGTCATACAAAGCAGCCACTTAAAGAACACACACTTCTACATTTCTCTTCCTTCTCAACTAATTCACATCGTCCACAGCAACAAAGCAATAGTTAAGATGCCTTCTGCCGTGATAAATACAACCATTCAATCGTGCATCTTATCTGGCGCAAGCAACATTATCGCACAATTTATTTCCGCGCACCAGAATAATGTATGGGTCTCTACGCCTCCATATTGCTACAAATACTCATACTGACAGAAATATAGACTGCATTCAGGATAGATTGGACGCCGGTATTTCACTTCATCTTGTACACCGCGGTGAGCGCGCCGCCAAATTTCTATTTGTGAGTTCTGTTCTGTGTGATACTTGGTTATCGCAAGGAAAACAAAACTAGAATCTGCGACCAGACAATCCCTAATATCTCGAATGAAATTAACAATATGCAATCAGACAATCGCTCCTCGAAAATCTCCTGCCCTCCAAGAAACAACCTGCTACACAAAATGTCTCCGAGAAATCTCCATCCTCCAGTTCCCCACAGCCAGTCCCATCCCTCTCACTCACAAACACCATCCTCAAAGTCATACTCGACCAGACCCTCTTCGCAGTCTTGAACGTAATGCTTTTTCTCATAACCTTTTCGCTGCTCCGTGGATCCTCTCTCTCACAAGCTATACAAAGTTCTAAAGAAGAATACTGGGATATGATGAAGGCTGGCTGGAAATTATGGCCATTTGTTAGTCTGAGCAATTTTGCCGTCATCAAGAGTGTACAGGGACGGGCTTTATTGGGGAGTCTGGCAGGGATTGGCTGGAATGTGTATCTAGGATTGGTACAGGGTGGGAAGTGAGTGGTCAATCTCGATGATGGAAAATTGTGGATAGAGAACCAAGAGGGCTCAGCGCATTGGATTCTCAAACGTAGGTATATACCTTCTTTCAACCCGATATATCTGGGTCAACTAATTTCCAAGGCCATGAAGTATTACCATATTATACCTGTACACATTTGTTCAGTAGCAATTCTTCATGACCGGTCCCATGAATTTCTCAACCTCGCAGCAGGTTTCAATCTATCTCCCCCATTTTCCATACATTCAATAGCGTTCTTAAACCTTTTACGAGCATTCTGCGGCCAATGTTGTGAGTTAGTATGGTCGGGCATCGTACACGGGCAACTCATGTGCATGGGAAAGACCCAATGGAGCTTTCGGATGCTCCATCGCCGCGTTTCAGGCGAAGCCATTGTTATCTCGCCCAAGAAACTGTTTACGCGGTATATATTAAAGCGAAAGATTGGTACGGGACTGTTGCAGGAACAGAGCCTGACATTGAGAACAACGCATGAGACAGATCTGGCTAGTAGGGTTGAATCTGCATTGATTATATTAGGGTCAACGACAGTACATGCTGATATACTGATATTCAGCCTGCATCACTACGTCTCTCCATTATCCGTGGCAACATAGCATATACATGAATTCTAGTCAATTGTTGTCTAATCAAAGTCAAGCAGTAGAAGCATGTTACAAGTGGCTGAATTCTTAGCAATACATAATAGTGGAATCATCGGCACTTCTCCTATCTACTTGTATGAGCTGGCGCTGATAGAATCGGGAGAATATTCAAAGGTATGCTTACTTATTCTGATATTTCCTTTATTTCTAATCTATTTAACATTTGAACTAATTCAAGAATATACCTTTGGCTGTGAAAGGTGTACCCGAAAACCCGAGTATTTTCCCCATAAACAAAGCAATTTGTCATTGTACGAATGCAAATACAAGATCTTGACCTGCTTTTGCGATTCATTCTTCAAATTGATTATTGTGAATAACAAAATAACCTTACCTTCTCGGGTTAGGAAATAAGCAAGTACACCGGACGCGCAGCCGTTCACCATGATATTGACATCTGAGCTAGATAATGAAGATCTTTTTCATTAAGCATTAAGCTTTCAACAAGGCTTTGACTAAACTCTAATTTCATCATGTCAAAAGTTGTGGGTCCTGTTAAATGCCCGACAATCCGCCGATTATCGATTATTTGCCGCTTGACAGCAGAAGCTTGATTATAAAAAAATAAGCTTGAAATCATAGACAGCTGAAAGCAATTCGGATATTCGGGCCCCCATCCATATCATGTCACAAACTTTGAGTAAATTGATTGTGGATGGAGAAGTTTTGAACATTTCAAGTGAAGTCTTTGCTAGTGCTATGCCACGCATCCAATGGCTGGATGAATCGAGCTCAGCTGTCTGTCTAGACGCCTCTTACGCACTTTTATAGTCCTGGATTCACATAGGATTTTGTGGATAATTATCATCATCATATTGAAGTGCACGAGCACCACTTTATCCATCATTCCTTTGCAAGTGCAATTATTCATGGTTATTTGAATTACCCATTGCCTGGCGGTAATATCGGGACGGGACGGGGCTGATACCAGATCTGAATCCCCTTGCATGAGCATGGTGTTCCTTGACCAGCTGCAAGATCGAACCAGCTGCAAGGTAAAGAAGCTGAGTGGGAGAAAAATCGGATATTTCATTAGTGTCGATTCTAATGGCATGCAGTGTGTGTCACATATCGGTGGATCGAGATTAGAATTGCACCTATTTGTGCGCCCTTGAAAAGAAATCGAAGTGGGTACCTCGGTATCCGAGTATAGTTGGTTGAGTTTTTCTTTAGTGCATCTTCCCCACGTTTGCCATCGTGGTCTATTGGTCAATATTGAGCCACAAGCTGATCACTTTCGTGCTTCGAGATCCAGTTGTGAATCATTCAATCGGCGTTCAGCCAGCCAGGTTCTTGTGGCTATAAGGATTCTGCCATCGCGGATGATCTTCTGCCTCCCGGTATAGTACAGGCTTGGAAGAGACTTTTAGAGAAGCTCACTAACTAAAGCTGGTGCGAGGGGGCCTGTCAAGGACAAAATTTTCATTTGCTTCTATGCCGGAGGACTGTAGCTGATTACGGCGTGGCGTGAAGGGGAACAACCTTCCTCTTCGAAATCGCATGGACAACATTAGAAAAGTTTTGGTTATATACAGCTCAATTCTCCCTTATCATTCTTTTCTCATTGCATTCATTCTTCAGATCTGTGTCAAAATGCAATACTCTTTAGTCGCAATTACCCTCATGGCTGAGGCTGCTACAGCTTTCCCTTTCGTTGCCAATTTGCCTGGTGTCGATTCTAGCCTGCTGCGCGCAAACAAACGTCAGCAACCAAGCCCCGCTTCCTGTCCATTCAACACAAATCACGTCCCCGCTCCAGGAATCTCAGCCTCTTATCCGTATAACGGCGCCAAGAACGGTCTTCCAGGTAAAGGAATTGGTGGCTATCAAGTTCCAGCACCAGGAGACACTGATCACGAATTTATCGCTCCTAAGTCTACGGATATTCGTGGACCATGTCCCGGTTTAAACGCTGCTGCCAATCACAATTTCCTTGCTCGTGATGGCCTTACCACATATAATGAGCTTGTTGATGCTCAGCAAAACTTGTATAACGTCGGTTATGACTTGGCGAATCTTCTTGCTGTTCTCGGCCTTACAATATCAGACGGTGATATTGTTACCGAGAAACTGTCCATTGGATGCGATGCTACCTCACGGACATCTTATTCGCCAGTCTTGACGGGATCAGAGCCAGGCTTGGATGGACACAACAAATTCGAGTCTGATACATCTCTCACACGCAATGATTACTTCCTTGCCGATGGTAATAATTACTCATTCAACGGAACACTTTTTGGGATGATGACTGAGACCACTGGTGGAAATTATGATCGTGACGGATTGGCTCTATACCGAAGCCAGCGTTACCAACAATCCCTCCGAGACAATCCAAACTTTTATTTTGGTCCTCTTGCCCTCCTTCTCTTCGGTGCCTCCTCTTTCCTCTACGAGTTAATGCCATCTGGCACCAAAAACTACGTCCCAGACTACGAAACCATCTCCTCATTCTTCGGAGCCGTGAAAAATGCAGATGGTACCTATTCCTTCAACGGCGAGGAAAAGATCCCAGCTAACTGGACAAATCGCGTAACGCCATACACAACCGTCGATGTCGCTGTAGAAATTCTCGCCCAATATCTCGAATATCCCGTTCTCTTCGGTGGTGCCACCGGAAATGGCGGATTTGACGTCCTTAATTTTGGTTTTATTAAAAATGGAACATTGATTGCGCCACCGGAAGCTACGCCGACTTCTTGCTTGCTTTATCAGCTTGCTACGCAGAGTATTCCTTCCTCGTTGAATAGTATTCTTACTCCGGCTGTTAATACTCTTGCGTTTGTTCTTAAAAAGTTGAATCCTTTGTTTGGGAATTTGGGTTGTCCGATTGCTCTGACCTAGAGATTTGGTGGATAATGAATGTGACACTCTTGATAGATATGCAAGTCAGAAGTTCATGACTTGCAAATAGGTGCAGAATTGTTGTTTGGTGTTGGTTTATTAGCGATTTGATTTTTCGGGAGGTTAGAATGAGTTTTATACACATCTGTCTCAGTGTATCTTGTATAAAAATAGCTGTGACACATTTGCTCTTTGCACTGCATCTGTGGCTGAAGTGTGACACACAGTCTCAAACCGAGACTCATGATAAGATTACTATATAACCCTTCAGAGATATAAAAATAACTTCACATCAAGATGTTATTATTCCACTTTAAACCGATAGATATTTTTTTTTTTTAATTCAATTGAGTATAAGAGTTCTAGACTTCATCACTATATATTATTTGAATCTGATTTCTAAAATAAAAGCTTAAAAAAATCTGTTTATAGAATTTATTTACTTTAAATAATATAAAAGTTCGTCTTTGATTTTATAATATACGGAAGTATATGGATTAATTTTTGTCTCACCGCCTTGGTTTTGCCTTCAATGAAACTATTCTGCCCATACAAATCATTCTTTACAAACAAGGGCGGTGAGACAAAAATTAGCTCATCATAAATTACTCTTACGCAGGTATATGATCATATTAAGATTACATAATTTTATTATTTAGTTCAAAAGTCTAACTAAAGTCTGGCTCGTTCAGATTGTAATGTAACTCGTTGAGAGGATTCAATATTAGGGGTAGGCTGTTTGATTCGAAATATTTAGTCCATCCTGCAGCCTGGACTATTTGACACACTCTCTCCATCCAGCTCATACCCAAAGAACATCCCTATAAACCGCATCCCGCAAACCCCACAGATTCACAATCGACAGTGTTCTGATCTTACACTGCAGAAGCAAAGTAAGTCTAACATAATCCTTAAATCCCCGAAGCATCATGGACTTTCTTTCCGTTCCCAAAGGTTACACAATGTTGATATGTCACGCTCTTTTGTTCTCATGAGATATCAAACCTGTCACTTTACTGCACATGATTTTCGGATCTATATTAGGTAGGAAATTGATTTAGTAATACTTATCTATTAAAAAATATCTCAATTTAACATGCGCTTGCCAACTTAGCATATATTAAACCTCTCCAATTCGGCGTCTTCAACTAAGTCTTCCAAGTATCTCCCTAGTTTTGTCCAACGATCTATTACATAATAGCCGCTTCCAACGCGTTCATAACACGACTTTCCTGCTTCGCACTTACGGAGTATCCATGCCTGAAATTCTATGAGCTCACGTTCGAAGTTGAAGTGGACAGTAAGCGGCACCAGTTTGTGTGTGCCCTGCTGCAACCCCACGACAAGGGCTGAGCTGCCTTCGGAGTAGTAGAGGTAGCCCTTTTCGTACGGTTTTATGATGTATTCATATAGACAAATTTTGTGATCTGCTTGCTTTACTGGGTCTATGGCAGAAAAAGCTTCGGGCGGAAAGGCAATAGAAGAAAAACACAGCAACGGCTGCTGTGCTTGGTTTGCCCTATGAAAGTCCAGTTCCTGGGAATTCTCCAAATTCTCGATGAATCCTATATCTTTAAGGTGAAATAGGGTGCCTTTCCTCATTTCTTGAGATCGATATAGAGAACATAATTTTGGAATTCTCCACTTGATTGGACCCGTCCATCCCGCCCATGACCAGGATGGAAAATCTGGTTTGCGCGAACTTGCATTATCACCGAGTGCGCGACGGTCGTAGTGCCAACAAAGTCCTGTCGTGTTCAGTCGATCAGCTGGCCATTCAGAGGAAGGGGAAGGAACAATATATGAGCGTCGTGGGCCTAGCGCTCTCTCATAAAATGGAATTCCTTTCACGATTGCGATCCTCCAAGGACTGTCAAAATTTCGTTCCTGATTGTCACGGCGGTTAAAATGACCTTTATAATGAAAAGGCAGAGATTGTTCTCCGTCAAAGTCCTTTAGAACAGCCGAGAGAGCTTTGAGGGTGTCATTGTTGTACTTGAGTGTTCTTTGCGAGTAGCCAGCGATGAGATGCGTCAACCAGGACATCACGTCCTCCGTAGAATACTTTGCTTCATAGCGCGCTTTAGGTCCATTTTTCATTACTCCAGTTTCTTGTCTTGCAGTTTCCCATCTCCTAGTTCTCAAAATCTCTAAACCAAACACAGTGCCATGGAGATTAACTTTTTCTGAACAAGAGCATTCAAAGTAAATCCCATATTTGTGGAAAACGATCACCCGACGCGAAATATAACTCTCCTGGTAAGTCCAGCCGCGCGTGTTCCAGACTGAGTCATTAATACAATCATGATACTCTTCAGGTCCACTCCAGCGCTGCGTACATGCATCTTCTGTGGAAATTTTATCGGTAAAAGAACATGGGACTATTTTTGAGGAGGCTAACTCCGAGTTCGCATCACCACCGACAGCTGCTACTAGTGTAACTTGGGCACTATTGTAGACCAGGTGCATCTGCTGAATTTGACGCGCCTGTAATTCTGTGTCTATCTGTTCAACACAGTATTGATCAACCCACAGATACTGGAAGCCCAGATACAATGCTGCCTTCATGGCGTCTTCGATGACAAGGCAGACTCGGCTTGCCAGCCTCGGCCCATCGGGTCCATCCTCGGGAAAGGCAGCCTCTGTGCCGCCCCAGACATAACTAAGGGCTGCATATTCAGTAGAGGATGGCTCGTTGACAATGTGCCGGGTTATACAATCAATGAGCTTTAACTCAATATACTCCTTGGAGATTTTGTATTCATGACTGCTTTCGTAGCACTCAAAAAGTAACGATCTGGTATTTTCTAGACCAGGAAAAGGCTCCGCCCGGTCATGATCTTTGCGATGGAATGATGGTCTGGAATTTTCTAGACCAGGAAAAGGCTTTGTCCGGTCATGACATCTGCGATGGGGTGATAGGCCAGGGATCCGGTCATTCATGGCCAAACCCATGAAAAGCAGCGATGAAAAGCTTATGATAAGTAGAGCGGCAAAGCTGTAAAGTACAAACGTCAAGAAAAAAAAAGGCGCATTATAGAATCGTAAAAAGCTTAGGTACAAATAGTTTCAGAAATAATCATGGCATTTGATACCAACCACATGTCCGACCATGATTGGACTTACTCATTCTATTAGTCTGCCATGATTCAAAATTTAATTCGTGAGGCTACAAATTAATTTGCGGGTCCTGCATAATACACACATATACATTTGAAAGGATATAGTGCTCTTCATTTATATATGATCCGTTATTAAAATTGTTAGAGTGGAAGAAATAATATTATTAATTAGTTTAATTATATAATAAAGATTCATTTTATATACTTATAATTATATAATATATATTATAAAAGAAAATATAATTAAATCTTTAAATTTTTTAATAGATTATAGATTCTTTATTTTAAATGATTATATAATATTAATATATTATATTATATTTTTTTGTTCTTCAAAGATATAATTAAAGATAAATAAAAAGTTCTTCCTTTCAGGATCATTGTCACGATTCATGGTTTAGATTATAGTAGTATTATTGATGTTGGTGATTTAAATGCCGATTACTGAGGGGGTATGATTTAATTGTTGTTTTCAAGGGGCCTAATTGTTTACAAATAGAAATCTAGGATTTTTAGGACAAGTATTTTAAACAATTATATTAGAATAGAACAAATGTTTTAATTAATCAATTTTAATGAGATAATTATTCTAAAGGATGTTATATTTTAGAATAAAGATCCTTAAAGGAAAACTTTTAGAACAAGTGTTCTAGGAAAAGAAAAGTCTTAAAATAGATCATATGATAAGGAATCCTAAGAGCTTGGAAAGCTTCTAGAGCTTTAGGAGTTTTTTGAAGTTTTTGAACTTTACAAAGCTTCTTTTCATTCATTAATATATAATCAGAATAATTTCATAGTTTAAAAGCTTTATATTCAACTTAATTATCAATTAGTTTATCTATATTCTATTTGATTTAATAACGAATTCATTTTCAAATAAATAATCAATGATTAATAGTCTTAATCTACAATTACCAACTATACGAACCTCCGACAGCCACTGCCTCGACCAGATCGTTACATAAGGTTTATATCAAGCTTTTTGTTAGATTTATTTACTGGGGTATTTTAGACCAATCAGATTGTCAGGATCGTGACTGACTTAAGCGAGTTTCTCATTTTCTATCACCTACACTAGGGAACCTCGCGTACAGCAAGATTATAGAGTCGACAAACCGACAATAAAATAATATTAAAGTGAATAGATTTATCTTTGATTTTATTAATTAAGGGCCTTATATATAAGATCTAATAAAATATTTAACCGACGATCATCCTGATAAGAGAGTAAACTAGATAAATAAAGTTTTGTAAAAAACAATAAAATCAATATGATTATATATGTCGGTATATCATGTGATCAACCTCGAAAGGAAGGCCGTACACAAAGGGAGCCGTACGACTAGTGCATTCCAGCCCGTACCTCTTTCAATATAAATAGGTCTCTCTTCTCTAGATAGATAATAATCATCTATGAACAAATACAAGAACATAATACGATTGCATTGCAATTAGTATCACCGAAGTAATACCAACAATTATATTTAGTGCCGTTTATAGTAAGGTAAGATTACGAGCCACAGTTTCCCCAGATGGCACTGATGCAAGAGATAAGATAACGGCGCGCTATTATCCATCACCCTATGAAAGAAGTTCAGTTGCACGACATATCTTTATTAAATTCCATCGAAAGGTCAACAAAGAGCATACACACAATAATTCTATGGATTTATCCGATACTGTGTCGAAGGAGGAGATTAAATCACAGAGTTTGTTAGAAATTTGGCATACAGGAAGAGAATATTCACTTCACACTTGACAGCAAGATTGCGCAAAGTTCAACTGCTATGGCCGAAGAATTACACGATCATGTTGAAAGTGCGAATTCTCACGCTGTCATTCTGAGCGACGGGAGTACTGTCACCGCTGAGGACGCTATTGGTGAAAGAGAAGACTTGCCAGAAGATCTAGAGAGGTAAAGTGAAGAAAGCATTGGTGAAGAGTCGGAGAGTGGAGAGTTGGAGAGTGAAGAGTTGGAGGATGACGATGAAGTATTTGCACCACCTGCTTCTGCCAAGGCGGATGAATACTGCATCCTCTGTCGAGCTCGACTTTCCACTTTCTATTTCATAAATGAGCCGAATGTTCGACGGTATCATGAATAGCTTTCTGAAAACCCAGCCGAGCAATGGCAGCTAGAAACTCGAGCAGGTATGTCTCTGGCCAGAATGCCCTTTCCCACGTACTGACTTTAATTTAGTCATGAGTCTTCGCGTGGATGACGTTGAAAAGCCTGTCATGACAGACGTCGTTGTATTTGAATCCTTACAAGTTGAAGCTTCTTTGGTTGACCGGCCGGAATCCGGCGAAATTGTTTTGAATTCTCGCCCAGGCCTAGATTATGTGGACACCTCTGCTTATTGTTTTCACGATTGGTGTTATTCAATTTTTAGTTGGAGAACAAAGCATAAGAGCGCAGAGTTTTTGTATAAGCTCGCCACAAGCCTAAAGATTTCCTCAGCTTGGGAAAATCCTGCGGGATCAAATGATCCGCTCTATCCACAAATCAATTATGCTACTTTACTCTCGACAGTTGAAGATATCTCAGCTAGAATTCAACCTCAATTCCTTTCAAGACTTCCTCCTGAACTACGATATCGAATCTGGAATTATGTAGGGTCCAAGGCAGCCTATTCTGCGTTTATGTTGGTGACCGGAGAGACGACGCGTTTGGCGCAGCAGATTTCACAGCCAAGTGTACAAGATCTCATTATCGAACCAGACTGTTACATTGAAGCAGGCTCAATTGATATATACGGCACAGGATACATTAGGGACTTGACAAAAAAAAAAGAAATCTGGCAACGGGATCAAAATCTTACGAACAGTCACCGAAATTGAAGTTGTTTCTATTGTGCATGGCATTTGCTCCATCAGGTTTTTTGGCTCTGGTTGGACGTCTGAATGGCTTGGAACAACTCCTCAAATGGGCCATATCTGGTATGGGACGATTCAGCTCACTAGCTATAGATTGCTCTGCTTCCATAATGTAAGTTTTCTCGCTTGTTATTTTCGTAGTAAAAGGCTAACAACTTCAGGGTTTATGTATAACAAATTTGGCCGACGCATATAAAACAAGCAGACTTCAGGTGATGTGGGACCAACCACACCATCCTCCGGCGACATTTGATGCCGATTCGGCGTTGTTCTCGTTCTTTGATGCTCAAGAGGTATATCAAAAACTACTCCCAGAGCTGGGATTCTTTAGATTTGTTTCATTTGATTGACCATGGAGAATATATCTTCGACCTCACGATGTATTTCTTGTCTACAGATATAGTGGGTTTCGAATCGCATTTCTCAACAAGGTCACAATTTTTAGGTAGTCATGGTGAAATGGCTGTGCATATGTCACTAGCCCCAGGTGAAACCATTGAGGACGTTTGGTTACGTTTCTTCTCGGACCTGCCTGTCGAACCCCCCTCTGTATTGGTTTGTGAATTTCCCAACTCTGGCTAGCATTTACTTATCATCTCTGGATACAAACAACGTTTGGAAGGGAATACATCTTCGGTCCAGATATACCCCCAGACAACTATCGCAACTATAGGTGGATCATGCTGAAGCATACCGGCTGTGTGAATGGTTTTTATTACGAAAATGCTCCCGTAATCAGGAGAATAGGCATTACTGGCGACAACAAGGAAACACCAAAGACGCAGATTCGTCTTCCCCGGTATGATACTAGCATGCCAGCAGCAATCTTCGGAAATCCTCAATTCGTGAATTATGCAAAGATTTGCGCTATGGAAACGGTAAATGTGTGTCGAGTTGGCACGCGTTGTGTAGGTATTTTGATAAAATATTCTGATCCAAAGGTACCTCCAGCAATCTTAGGGCAGTGGTATGGCTCCAAAGAGTCAGACCATAGATGCATATATGACTATAATAAAACTACATCGACTGTTATTGCTTTCAAATTATCGGAATCGGAGAGAGCTGTGCGAGATGTCCTGATTTGCAACCATGATGCGCCTGAACTTGAAGAATTAAGTTCGGACATCAAAGTTCAAGTGTATAAAATCGGAACTGTAAGTTGATCCATTGCCAGTAATGATAGTTGACTTACAAGTTTCACAGCGCCTTGTTTGGTGGTTCAACACTAGAAATGATTCCATCTCATTGTGGGAAGACGGAAATAGCTCGCCTTCTAGCATCCCGATAGAGTTAGCATTAGTGCAAAACTTCGATTGAACTTCAAAACAACAGTACATAGTGTAAAAGAGAGTGGTCGAGATATTTGGGTCCCAATATCACGCTGCGAGGGGAAAAGGGAGAGTAAACTGATTAGATTACATTGGAACGGGTCACTTATAGAGAAAATGGGTTTCACAATAGGTTTGGGGTTGGAACGATTTGGGTTTTGAAAGTAGTATGTAAAGAGTTGATTGATTTCTAAAAGGAGAAACGAAAGCCTCTCTTTACATCTAATTACGGAAGGTTATGTGATTTAATTGTGAAACCTCATACGTATATGGCAGTCTGCAATTCCAACTATTTTCACAATAGTTCAAAACCTAATCCATCAATACAAAACTAGAATCAACAATCTTGTCAAATCCATTACTAGAACTACCCATCCAAGAAAACAAATATGACTAAATACATCTTTTCCCAAAATTGCTCATCTTCTCCTCTCATCACCTGGTGAGTAGTAATACTTCTGGCCGGTAGAGCGATTTTCAAACATTCGAACGCGTCTACCATTAAGAATATTTTGTAACTAGTTGTCGCGATCCGTACAGCGCTTTTTGATCCCATCATGGAAATAAACGTGATCTCTACTAACCTCGACTGCAATACGAATTGGTTCTCGCCGCGGTAATCTATTCTCACGAATTGGCTCTTGTATCCGGCTGAAGCTTGTTGCTCTTGATGATTCGGATGGTCGATTAGAAGGTGATGGATATGGTGCGTTTCTGGTTGTCTCCATTTGCACACGACTAGGAGTATTCTTCAAACTTGTATATGAAGATTTGGCATTTCTATTTAGCCTAAAATTTGCTCCAGAGCTTCCGCCCAGAGATCCCATGTTCTCAGTCAAATCTCTTACTTCGCGTGATTCGGATGTGAGGCAACCTGGGTTCCCGTATTTGTCCCCGAAATACTTCTTCATTCTGTTCTCGCCGAATTGATCGTCGGTAGTCATGGGCTCTAGGGGACGATCTTTGATCATTGCGAAACTGCGCAGGAAATAGACGTTGTTTCTGTCCAGTCCGACGTCTTGATATCTGCCCCAATTAGCATCTGGTTCGACATATACATCCCTTGTTGCGATCTCGGTCCAATAAGCTCGAAACTTTCCGGGTTCTACCTCTCTCTGTGGAACAAAGGCGGGGTCCTTTTCACACCTCCATATCCTCATGTGAGCTCCTACCATCGTGGCCGCGAAGATGTGATCTAATTCTCTTCCCTCTACAGATTGGAAATAAATCTGACAGTATCGATAGGCTTGCCACTCCAGTTTCTTTAGATGAGAACCTGTAGTCCGCAAAGTCCTCTTACACTCTCCGACCATCAGAATTTTTTGCGGCGGTGATTCGCCAGGACCTTAGCTATATCTGACAACAATATCGGCTTGCTTCCCCTTCGTAGTATCTAAATAATACTCAGCAGTTCCTGTGTATCTGCTGTCTGACGCGGCGAAAACGTTCATCTCGAGAAGGTGAAACATTAAAGCAGTTGTCTCGTGCTCCTTTGGGTTCAGCTCTAGGTCTTTCTGAACCGCGATGTGTGCTGCCTTATAAAGGGCCTCCGAAGCTTTGTCGAGTATCAGGCCATGTTTCCGAAATTCAACGCTGCGTGGCATGATAAATGCGTATATTCAGTAGAAATACGCCAAGATTTTGACTGCTGGAAGAATGATGATACCGAAGATGGAATTGATGATGAGCAACCTCAACCTCGGCCAAATCATCATCTCTTTATACATGCTCTGTTTATCCCCCCCCTCCTCCCCTGGATGGTACAAAGAGCTCTCCGGAAAGTAGCTTTGATGCCAGGGGATTCCTCATGAATTCAGACTTGAGTGGTTCCGAGTGGTTCCGAGTGGTCCTCAAGGAACCGAGCGCTACGAATCTCTCGCCTCGTTTCACTCCTCTCCATCACGCACATGGCGTCTCTCTTCGACGGCCTCCTGTCCAGTGGTATTCTACAGACTTCCTTACTACAACAATCAAATGAGGATTCTAGTCAAATCTTTGGCTGTAATTCCAAACACGTCCTGTCATGCGGGGTGCCGCGCGGTTCCACATCTTGAAATTTTGTTCATTCGATAACCTTAATTTTCTGAAAGACAATACTTGTACTACGTAAGAACTAGTTAGTAATTATGGAAAATAACCTCATCGATTAGTGACTGCGGTATACTTTCAACATATAGCGTCAAAGAGGTAGGTCGGGATACGTGCGTCCCTATAGCATGCATGCTGTAAAAGAGGATGGAGGAGAAAGCTGAGTAGATTATATTATAAAAGGGTCACTTATAAGAATAATGGATTTTACAATGGGTTTGGGGTTGAAGTTATATGGGTACAAAAGTATATGTGTAAAAGATTGATTCTTATAAGAAAGAAAGAGCAAGAGCCTTCTTGTATCCAACTACGACAGGTCACGTGATTAACCAGTTGGTAACCACTATTATGGCAACTGAAGCCACTTCTGAGAACTTCGCGACGCCATCTATATGTATACAAGTCTCCGAGATGGCAGATGTTGCCCACACATAAAAATCTCGGAGAGTCGGACTATTATTAATTTGGACAGAAGTTTTTTTTTCGATCTTTGAACAACAATTCCAACACTTTATCACACTTCTCCTGTATATTTAATCTTACCAGCCATCATTCCTCATTACGATCCCAGGGTCCATGGCCCTACATACCTGACTTCCATGCGGTATTCTAAAATTCTCCCATACATAACCTTAGGTGAATTCCCCCTTTCCATAGTCCGGACTTTTCTATACACAGTGCGGAAGTTTAGGAAATTCGTCGTATGGACAGAGGAGGGGAGAGATCAATTGAGTGTTGAAGCGGAATAAGCGGGGCAGGAGGAAGAAATTATCATGAGTCAGAAGGGGCCGATGGCTTGCTGGCGAGAAGAAGACAAGGAATTAGTGTCACCACTTTGACCCTTGATAGTAATGGGCATTGGGGAGGGATAGCCCAGTTTCTTCCATTCTGCACAGAAATCTGGAATATCCATGCGTATTGGCGATGGCAAGGGAGATGTCAAGATCAACCATGGGACTACAAATTTCGTGCTGGCACGCGGACCAATTTAGGAAAATGTCTGAGTGGTTTTATGGCTAATTATTGATAACAAATTTAGTTCTAAGGAATTGACAGTATGGACGAAGAAGACATCAACATCACAGAGCTCATGATTCCCAGACATTGCGGGCGTGAGCTACCTCGTGGCATATGTACCTAGTCTCGATCCATCGGAGAGGATTGCTGTAAGACCAACTCAATCCCTTGGTAACAGTCCGTACAGAGAAGCATGGTTTGAAATTCCATGAATACATCACGGGAGCCCGCTCCCAAAATTTCGCCTGGGAGTTGAAGGAATAGGATCAATATTACCAGTGGTCCAGAGGATGCGGAGCCTATGGAACCGCTGCTTCACTATGATACACCATACCAACGATCTTTCACTGGATTCCTGGAGATTTCAAAAGCTATGATCTTGATGTTTATTTTACAGACGCAAAACTTGTGGGAATGAAGATGGCGAGTTTATGTAGGATTGATGAGCGTTGTTTGGGAATATCAATAGAGTACCTATAATTCCCACCTGTCGTTCTCGAAAATGGTATAGAGCCTCAGTATCTAAGCATCAAACCATATATGATGAAAGTTATCCTCCTCCTTCGTATATAATTTTCCGGCCATCCAAATTCGAAGTCTCCGAAATAGTTATTGTAGTCGATATCAATTTCACGCAGGAATTAAGATCCTACACTCACTGAAGGTCAATGAAGATGAACAGGTATCGATATTTGATCTTACTCTTCTAGAGGTTTGGAACCCTTGGTCCCAAAGCCGATTTTCTATGTTTTACTAAAATCAACAGCGCAATATCTTGTAGTTCACCGAAGAAGACGATTTCATCGATGGTTAGGGGAAAGATAATGAATCTGTCGACAATGTGAGTCTTACAAAGATGGGAACTAATTTCCAAAGTGAGTTGAGTAATTGAGTAAGGACCCAAACGCGGGACCGCAGAATATCATGCTTCTTCTGGATCGCGGAATCTCTCCCATCAAGCAAATACTGTTTATTGGTTCTACATATTCTGATTCCTGGTTGTTTTTAACTTGACCTGTTCCCACTGAGGGATTCGGCTCGACCACTTCCGTTTCGCAGAAGTCTCATGAAGATTGTCGAAAACCATGAATAATATGAATAGTTTCAACGAACCCATAATATTTATGACGACTCCAAGGAAACATGACCATGACTCCGCATAATAACCAAGAGTTATCAATCAAAATCCAGAACGTCGTACTTTCCTGTAATGTGGCGAAACGTACGAAGTGGTGTCCGGGTAAATTTTTCTAATCACTCTCTTCAAAACCTCTACGGCAAAATCGCCATGCGCAGACATGAATTCCACAAACTCCCCTCTATCAAGTAAAACATCAATATTACTCGCAGCAGTTGCAACCACAGAGTCCCTAAGCAGCATATCAGAGCTCGGTGTGTTTTCCCAGAGTAGTTCCGCAGTAGCAGAAAACTCTGGCGTATTCCAATGTTCTTCTAGGCTTTTTGAACACTTCTCACATGCTAAACTCTTGAGTGCTGGGATCATGTATTTATCGGCGATGATGTAGACCTTAGCGTTGAGGAGTAGTGATGAAGGCAGCGAGACTGGTATCGCTTCGGGAACTATGCCTCCATTATTCCAAGAAAGGTTTGCTCTTGTGCGCCATGTATCTAATTCGGGCTCGGGATCTGGTTCCGACTCAGATCCCAGTGTAGGTGGACTAGGCGGCATCTCGTCTTTCCCGATTTCAACCTGTGAATGACTGCCCAAAGCTTCTGGCGGGCTTACTACCTGATCATCATACGTTCTAAGGTACAAATAATGAATCATGGCCTCCACTACTGGCAGTTCATCATCACTCATATGATATTCGCCCTTTGCAGCTTCTTCCTAGTGCTTCATCAGAGGGTGCACATTTTCCTCGATTTTGGATGTTACCTACCCAACGATCATCATCCATAGCAGCAGCAATCACCGGCGATCGCATACAGACCACTGCACGATGAGCATTGAACACTTTATCCTCGCAACGGATTTTCATATCCGAGTATTTCCCCGTGTCGTACAGGGCTTGAATCGCGTCGAGAGCGTCCGACATGATGTAAGATCTTAAGTTAATTTCCTGTGAGATACAATTTTCGAACCAAGGTGGTACCTTTTGGTGGATCAGGAGTGATCTTAATGAAATTAGAATCTCGACAAGGCCTCATTGCGGGGTATCTGAAGTGAGGCTGGCTGGGCCTACACTGGCAAACAATGCTACTATGAGTGCCCTGCAGGCAGCCTTGTTTCACGGTGACATGCCTATCCGATGTATCCATCCCACCAATAATCCGGGGATTCCACGGTATTGTATGGATGAGAAGGGGCATTGCAGAGTTGTATTATTTGACTGATCTTTTCCATTGCAACACGACGGCCCAGTAAGCCGTCATCTCTGAAGGCCATGTGGGAAGCCTTTATTCCCTGATTAAATGTATCTCCTTACCAATAGATAGCCTATTCGCGCAGAATGATATATGATTCGATATATAATATCGACGCGTCTAATCAACGGAAGTCGACCAGAAAAAATCACTACACTGTGAAAAAATCCACCATGATATAATGAACTCACCAACTCTCGATTCCGCATCGCATCCCCATCCATCTCAGCGGAAACATTTCCGCCTCCACAGACCCCTCCTTCTCTCGGTTTATCCCGACCCACCACCACAAACAGCCCCATCAGTGCCCCACGCCCCGCTCAAATCTCAAATTCGCTGCTGATACTCTTTAGAACTCGAGTTACTCACATTGAGATCTTATATCTAACCAATCTGAGCACTCTGCAACGATAATTCCGAGGATGGGTTCCGTATTCGTCATCCAAAGCAGGAGGCACCACCACACCCATAGCTCCAACACTTTTATCAATTAGTGTCCAAGCATGCATACTAGGTAGTATTTGAATAACATAGCTTGCTAGTCCGATCCGGATATGGTACGTATATTTAGATACTTAGGTCGGTAAGTACTTATATAAAAGTATCCCATATCAAGCTCTACTTGGAATTTCTTCTCTTCTCTTCTCTTTCTTTCATTATTTCTTTCTCATCACCAATTGAACTAATATCCAATAACCTTCTCCAACCAACCAACCAATACCCAATACCCACCCAATCAATCAATCAACAATAAACCACCCACTTGAGAGATAAACCTCCACAGCTCAAATCAAAAAGTTCTACATATATCAATCCTCCCACATATCCCAAACAGCAAAATGGCAGGAATAATCCGCATAACCATGTTCAAAGCCCCTACTCAAGCTTCCCGGGACGCTCTCCTCAAAAACTACGAAACGCTATCTAAAACCGCCGTTAAGGTAATTACCTCTTTCCCTCCTTCCCCTCCTCTTCCCTCCCTCCTCTTCCCTCCCATCCCAGCCCCACCCAACTAACCACCCCCCAGAACTCAACCCCCTACATCCTCTCCCTCCAAGCAGGAGAATCCCAACCCAACGATCCCCGCACGCAAGGCTATTCCATCGTCTCGAAAACCGAATTTAAAGATTTGGAAGATATGAAGTATTATGAGGATTCATGTGAGGCGCATCGATGGTTTAAGGGGGAGGTGAAGAATTTGGGGGTTGAGGGGGTTTGTTGTGTTTTTTATGAACCGAGGGTTGTTGCTTAGGGTTTTGGGTTTGGTGATGGGTGGAGAGGGAAGGGAGGAAGGCTGACAAGAGAATGGGCGAAATAGTTGTGGGTATTAAGGATTATGGGGTTGAAGGGAAGGCTTTAGTTATGATCTATATCAATGGTGCTAAATTGGTATCAGAGATGCTCGCGAGAACAACGCATACAAACGTAGCGATTCGATATTGTCTAAAGTTTTAAATGAAACAATGAATCAAATCTCCATGAGCTCAACATTCAGATATTCTAGCAGCGAAACTTAACTGACGTGAAGCAAAGTCTCCAAATAATATGACGGTTACAAGATGCCCGGTGTGTTGCAACGGCAAAATGCATTATGAAAATGAATGTTGACCGAACTCCTCTTACAATCTTGCCACGCCACTTTTATAGACACTACACCACCTCAGCGACCATTCTCGATTCACCCAACCACCCAGAAAAAGCAAAAGAAAGCTCCTACTTGAATTGTTTCCCAAAGAACTCAATAAGCGTCTTATAACCTCTCTCATACTCGCTCTTGACTCTCTCGTCTTCAAGATTCGATCGTGCGGCCATGAATCTACATTTTAAAATCAGTAAAGTGGACTTCCTACACACCTCAAGGCTTCACGAAAATATCAGGACAAACATACCCATGAATTTGGTCATTAAAGGTCTCAACATATTTCTCTCCCGTGAGATTAGCCTCAAACTTCTTCACCTCTTCTGCATCTTCATCCTTCGATGCTAGCAGAATAAACGGAATTTTAATATGCGCCGCATCATTTGCATCAACCATAGCTGGGTGGCACTCTGCAGCCACAACGAACGGGTTGGAAGGAGCAGAGATAGTGAGGGAGACGATTTTACCTCCCCAACAGAACTATTTATCACAAGTATTAGCCCATATTCTCGAACCACAGACTTCTATCTCCATTCCTCTTCATGATCAACTCAATTCCTACCTAGCAAGTAGAAAAAAAACTCACCCCAAGCATACCCCACTTCTCAATCGAAGTATACTTCTCCCCAATCGCCTTTACCAAACCGGGGACTCTTTCCGCACACTTTGGAGGCAATCCCGTCGTCTGAAAGAAGTTTCCTAGCTTCTTCTGCTTCTCTTCATTATCAGGTGGATACCAACTAATATCAGCGGGGTTTCCCTCAGTAATATCTGGCATAAAGACGAGATATTTATTATGCTCGTCTGAGTTGGCGAGGATATCAGCACCTTGAACGGTCTGGGGATAGAAACCGAAGATGTCAAAGATCATGAAGATGGCTTTCTTTGCATCTGCGGGACCGGTGACATCTTTGGATGGGTTAGCTGGAGTTGAGATATGAAGGAGGAGTAAGATAAGAACAGTTTCCTTCCTAGAGAGAGGGCTCCAATGTAGAGAGTAGTAGATATGTTTGGAGATCAGACCGATGGGAATACTTACAAGTGTTTAGACCACCAATGGTCTCATATTTTCCCTTGTGTTCATATCCCTTGGATACAATGGGTGGGATATTGCAGCAAGCTGCGCTGTGTCCATGTTGAGCTTCCATTATAAAATTTCAGAGAAAAGTCGTATGGATGTAGTGTTTGCGTGTCTTTACAATTGTTGTTCAGAGTAGAAGATGTGGGCAAAGGTGGGATATTGCAAATTCAAGGCGTCTATGCAGTGCGGGGCAATGGCGACAGTGACGTCGATAACACAATGTCGACTTGGTAATTCCGATATCTATCTACTATCTACACGTGACGTGGCTCAATTGCTATTCAAGAGAACGTATGAAGATGAGCATGTCATTGCATATGGAAGAGTCTATTTTTCAGTAATAAGAAAGCTTCATATTATTTAATATCCAGTAATGATCAAGTATCCCGAGATATAAATCGCAAAGTGATCTGGATGTGAATCCCTAATACAATCTCCCAATCCATCCACATACGGTGCAAAAACCGCAAATACAGAAAATGATTCAATCCTTGCCAGAACTCCGAGTAGATGAAGACCAAGAAGACCAAGCACTGTATGGTCATCGCCGCCGTATGTAAGTAAAACCGCCAAATCGAAAATGGTGATTCCTGTGGTCAATTATGAAAAACCTGAAAGAATAATATTCATAATTGTTGGATAGACGCCAAAGGAAATGTAATTCAAGAGAGATTATAACCTGGTTGTTTTGGATGCGAAATTTTCAAGATTAGAAAATCGAGTTGACGATGTTGCCACCAATTGTTGCTCCGGCACCAAAGATAGCAGCGTTACCCAATTTCTTGCCGAATTTCTTTCCCATCTCCCCTCCCTTGCTAAGCTTGTCATCGGTAGGTTGTTCTGCGACGGCCATGGGAGGAACAGAGCTGTTGTAAGGGTTACTTGGTCCAGGTGGTTGAGGTCCTTGTTGTTGGGGAGCGTAGGGAGAGTAGGTAGCCTTCTCGTTACCATAATAGGCAGGCTGTTGGTTGGCATGCTTCTGAACGTAGTTGGACGGGAATACACCCTCCTTTCCGGTCTTTTCATTTTTGCCCATCCACCAATCGTCATTCATATATTCATAAATAATAACGATGTCTCCAACATCGAAGTTGCAGTCTTCGGGTTCAGTGTAACGGTAAAGAGCGGTCGCACGTCCGATTTCTGGTCGAGCAGGTGGTTGAGTTGGTCCACGAGGAGGAAGGTTTGGAGTTGACTGATATGATGGTGGGGGGTTGTCGCTATTGACGTTCAATTGTGAGAATGCGGCAACTGGAACAACTGGAGCTGGGGAGACAGCATTGGCACGAGGAGCGGGTGAGGATGTCGCGTTCAAGCTAGTTTCGGAGGGAAGTCTACTGATCATAAGCTCATACACCTCGTAAGTAATGAGTTCATCTTCGAGAAGATTTTCAAGTTCCTGCGAATTATCAGCATAGATTAGACCCCAGGATGAAGAGTTTACCTTACGTTCTTGATGTTGCGAATAGATCGATTAGCCTTCATGATCTGTTGGCGACGCTCTGGTGGCATTGAAGTAGACATGATTTTGTTCTCGTAGTATGCGTATTCCTTTTCGATACAATCGGTACAATTTTGATGATTCGTACAATTTCTGTTTTTACTCTGCGCAACGAGTTGTTCAATCTTTTGTCGCTCGTGTTCGAAGAAGTACAGTTCACCACGTTGTGGCTTAGATGGCTTAGTTCGGAAAGTGCGCTTGGCGATTGTAGGGGATGATGGGATTCGGTAAATCTTAGAGTTTAGTGCGAACTGGGTCTCTTTTAGTGCCTCGGGAGTGAAACCGCTATTCTCCTCATAGATTTTAAAATTGAAATAATCACGACCCTCTAACTCGGTGTTATTGGGTGTTCGCAAACTCGTAACTCTTGAATGTGGTACTGTTGTCATAATACCCAACTTGGGGCCCCGGGTTGGTGTGTATGAGAGCGTAGGTGAAGAAGAAGGTATTTCCGGTGGGGCCGTATAGTTTCTGATTCCAAAAGCACCAGTAGTAACAATTGGCTTGGCGGCAGATACTTGACGGATGCTCTTTGGTGAATTGGTATGAGTAGAGGTCTTCCTGCTACTCGTTGGGCTTGGGCAAAGAGCGTCGGATTGTTCGCGGAGAGTTTTCTCGAGAAGGGTGCCCAGTAAATGGTCGCTGTCGACAATATCTTCTGGGTCTGGAGTTCCAGGAAAGCTAAAGTCCCTCGTGAATGATTCGCGTATTCTCAAAGGTGCTCTTGCAGCAACAGGCGGGTCTGCATGATTAGCAAGTTAGAAATCGCCTATCAAGAAATCTTTTCCGGGGTAGAATGAGGAAGTAAAAGTGCATGGAAGTGAGGATGATACACACCCTTAGGAAGCGGCGAGGTAGGTTTCTGAGTACCAATTACTCGAGGAGATTGAGTCCCTGGTGCTCGGGGCGACTCCACTACCTGTGGCAAGATCTTATTACCAAGATGGTCATAGAAATTGATTCCAAGTCCACCAAAGCCACCAAGCTCACCGGGACTTTCCTCTCCAACAGTATCCATTTTCTCAGCTGTTGGCTCCAGCTGTATACTGTCGCATTCTTGATGTTGCAGAGAGGTCTTCCTTCCACCAATATTGATTGTAGAAGCGCGTCTCAAATCACTTGAATTTTTCTCGCTAAACAGCTTCGAATTTGCTGTTTGAGATTCACCGGACATTCTTCTCCGAGCTCCTGTATTTTTATTTTCCTTGGCCACCTTGGGATCCAAGATAAGAGGGGAGACCATGATGGGAAACATCTTGGTTGTTGATATGTTTGTGAAAAAGAAAACGTTTTCGAGAACAGAAAGCTGAAGAAGAGGCTTATTAGCTTCGTATTCTGTCCGGTAATGTATTAGTGGAAACCACCTACCCTGATCCTCGAGGTGGTTGAGGTCCCGAGGTTGAGATCGAAGTCTTGAGGTATCGAGGCACCAATGATGAGAAATGTGCCTATAATTGAGCCAATCCTATCATCTTATTAATAAATCACTTTATTTGAACCACTTGCTCGCTCATTGAAGCTGCAAAAGATATATTCTCATCATCGAGAAATAACTTGGTGAATCTTGAGAGGGAAGAGCATATTCAACCGACGAAAGCTACTTTGGGTGAAGTCATCTTGTTGGTGAGATGAAATCTCAGACTACCGAGAAGCAACATGCTAACAGAACTTTTGCAACCCCTCATACAAGTGTGAAGTGACAATGAAAAAGAACTCTAACCTCCAAGATGAGATTATCTGGTTTCCATACTATTTCTATTTCGCTACGGCAGACTTTGCATAAGTCTCGCGCCTATTAACAAAATCTAAGTATGAACTACCGCATCATTCAGAACCCGACCAGATACTGCGCAAAGCTCCAGGTACAAGTGCCCATGGCCCCCCAAGACATTCCCTTTGTGAAAGTAAGGAGCTACGACTTTCCCATTCTAACGTGGTGTGAATGTCGTCGGAATTTCGTCGGAATAAATGGCCAACACTCACAGCACAGTCGTACGGTAAAGTTTCGGACGGAACAATTCGATAAAATCCAATTGCAACTAATTATGGTCTGCATATATCTCCTCCTCCTGTTCAGCTCGTTACATCCGATATAAATTATCTTAGATCTCCGAACAAGCACTTTTATACTTGGATTCAATCTCTACTGTGACCTTACAAGATGGGCGCGAAGAGCTTTCAGCCTGATCATTTCTATAAAATTTGTAAGATATTACCTATAAAGTCAAGATTGGATTCCATGGCAGCTCAACAGTAAATGAGATGAATACCTGGGTGGCGCCATCATCCCGCAAGAGACGTCTGGACTCTTTTCCGACATGCTATTATTTTCAAAGATTCACAATTCACTTATTCATACAGTGTAAGTGCAGGAAAAGTGAAGTCTCTGCAGGAGCGGTCAAGTGAAATTTCTCGGTTAACGTTGTGAAAAGTGAAGTCGATCTCATACTGCATCATTCATTCCCTACCTACACAATCAAATATTTCATCCCCCGCTACAATATTACATATCATACCAATAACTCAAATCGCAGTCCCGTCGCTGGTATCTGACAATATCCTCTCCTCGAACCCTTCTTTTTCTCATCTCTTCTCTTCCCAATCATCTATCAGTTTTGTACCATATAAGGACGACATATCTACGAACACGTGCCGCATTAACCTTAATGTAACGTCAGCTTAAATTGAACATGAGTATCAACTTTCGCACACTGCGCAAATGCGGGCAAATCGCAATATCCAAATACCCGATACTCTTACACCACCGTCCACCGTCCACCGGCTCTTATAATGATTGAGTCATGAGGCTGGTCGCACACTCCACACGAGATGCAGGTTATCGTCTAGTTCCTAGTAGTTGCAGGAGGAATTTCCAAGTGTCTCCACGATGAAGAGCTATTTTCCATCATATGCAAAGCACGTAGTGATTTGAGCCGCCTCTTCGGCTCCTAGAAATCGACCACTCCACATTCCTGGTTTAACCGCTCCAGTCGCCGCACACATTTGTATCATTCCACTAGCACGTCAATATTAGCTCTCATCCAGTTCGACACGAAGTAAACTTGGCCAGAACCTTGAGATTTACTCATCATGTAATTTTAACCAGAACCAACCACACAGGGTTCCTTCCAGCTCCGATTGTTCTCAGGATCACTACTTAGGTACTCTCCATTTTTTATCGTGGAGTAGATCGTTATCGAACAAGTAGTTACGGGTTAGGTCACGGAGTCGGTTGAGCAGGTTGTTGGATGTGAAGTAATAGTTCCATTCAGCCGCTATTGGTGCTTGAAAGAGAAGCGCTTTTGCTTTATTGGAAGCTGCAGCTTATTATTTGCTCGACTCTATACAGTTTGCTGGACGTGTTTATGCGGTGTGTGCTGAGTGATTCGAGCAAGTGTTGAGCGGTATTATCCTGCTAATCATTTGTTAGTCCCGAGTTTGAAAAGTGTTGTGGGAGGATATCGATATGTAGGATAAGATTTTTGGGGGTCATTATGGAAGAAATTTGTGGATGTGATGATAAATACCTAGGTAGATGGTAATAGGAACTTGAAAGACGAGTTACAAATATCGAGTCTGCAGTACCTACCTGGCCATGCGAGGTACTATTTCTCATCACTATATAACTTCCTTTGAGCTTTAGGCTATCCAACATCGGATATCTTCATTATTATGCAAATGCACAAACCACACGAATTTAACACGTTATTCCGCAAAATCTGACATGCTGAATTTGTCCGAATATTAGGATCCTCCAATTGTAAGACCACATACCGCAGTCACCATCTCAGTTTCTCAAATCAAATGTTATATTCTCTATCCTTCTACCAAATCTGCACGGTAATATCTATAGCCAAACCAATTGTTCCTAATACTGGCTCCATTCTTGTAGATCATGTTGTTCTGCACACATTCATTCCCCTCTATCACGTCAACTTTTCTAATCTTACCATCCTCTCGATTTTGACAAAGTCTATTTTCGTCGATCTATTTATCGTCAGATTCCCAGGTACAAGTTGAGCTCTTCAATTTAGATCTAGCATTTTTCTGAGACTCATGTATTAATTAATATCTATTAACATAAGAGATCTATAATTATACTCTTATAACTAATTAAGTCTAATACTCTACTTTCGGCCACCTCTAATTTCTGCCACCCTTTTATATCAAAAATCATCATTTTCGGTTATTAATAATTTAACAACGAATGAATGAAATCAACTGAAATTTTAATTATAAATTTACTAGATAATTATTAATAGATTCTGAAATTTTTAGTTTTTTCATGATTTTATTGATTGAGCAATTGAAAGTTGAAATTACGATTTTCAATTTGTATTGGATTTATATAAGATCTTAAAAATTTGAAAATAATTAAATCTTGAATAACTTTTCAACAAAAAGTGCTAAAAATAAACTATAAATTTTTGGGGGATTTTTAAACTAAATATTATATAATGGATTAATGTTTTAAATTTTAAATCATATAAATAAATCTTTATTGATATTTTTATATTTTACAGGGATTAAAAATCATAACATTTTGATTGAAAGGATTTTTATAAAATATTTTTAAAAATAAATTAATCTATTTGATCATTTATGATATAAATATTAAAAAAAAATTATAATTTATTTTTCATTATTTTGGTTGAAAAGTTATTCAAGATTTTAAAGATTCTATAAATTTGTATGTAAATCCTATACAAATGTTACGAGGGTAGCCGTCTAGATCACATGGAAGTGCTCTAGGCTCTTGAAGTAAATTTATAACTAGATATCAAGCGGAGACTTAAGTAATAACAATAATGATATACTATTCGTAACTAATAGTAGAGTATACTAAATGATTGATCTTGAGCACGAAGCTTTATACAAAGGAAATCCATTTTGATTATAGAGACCTTCATATTTCGTAGTTCAAAGGGAGCAAAAGGATCGAGCTTCGATCCTTTCGCTCTCTTCAATCGAAGGGCTCGAGAGGCCAAGTCTTCGAGCTCTTCGAGTCCTCGCATCATATATTATTACTAATCCCGTGACCTAATTGTTACCTGTTGTAACAACAAATCAAAAATCACAAAATTTAAGGTTATAAATCTCAATGAAATTAATTCCAAAAAATCTAAATTTTTCAGAATTAAGTTATAATTATATAATGAATCTACGATTCAAATTTCATCATATTTTATTCGTTAGTTGTAAAGTTATTAATAGATGAAAATCACGATTTTTGGTGTAAAAAGGTGGTCCATATTAGGGGTGGTCCAAAAAGGGGGTACTAGACTTATCGAGGAATCTCTATAAAATAGACAGAGTTTAAACTAACAAACAAACATAAATAAGTTGATATACAATATGCGAAGGGTAATATGACATAGGTATTTAAGTCTACAAGTAGTTGAAAGTAGTTAATATATTCAAGTCCATCTTTCTTTGCATACCATGAACGCAGGTGATTAGAAGCTAGCTATACACTATGGTATTCAATACTATTATTCTCTAACTATATCCTCCCCATTACTCTAAAAAATACCATCTTTGTTATATCTAACTATCATTATACTTCTCCATCGTCATTCCATTCAAGAAACCATCCATGTTTAATAAAACCCCGAAATTTATCCAACGTGACAATAACAAAAATCCCGCTATTTTCAACTTTGCAGGAGCCAATCTAAAAAAAAAACTGATTTATCCAGCGTATTTCATACACAATCAAAAAATTGCACGAGAGTTAGAATAATTTACAGAGCTTTAGATATATAGGGATATTCAATGTAAGAGGAGAGGAGAGGGAAAGTTGCAAGTCATATAAAGTAACGCTTTATCTGTCACGACTGACTGTGTTTGCTCCACTCATCATCCATTTCCGAATGAAAGTCTCATTGCGAAATAAATCAGAAACTGATGAAATAGTGCTTCTTATAGGGCAAGTTTCCGCGCCTCGTTTTCGTGCGATTGGCTTTTCATGTATCATTTTGCTCATCTTTATTTCGGTGGAATGGCTTCGGCTACGTCTACCAGCGTCTTTGTAAGATCTTAGCTTCCTTTATATAGACGAATTGCAAAATTTGAATAAATTTGGTATTGTAAGCTTTCTTATGAGATAATATGAACTTTTTCCTGTTCTTGCCCAGCCTCCCGTGAGAATAAAATCTTTGGAATAGAGCTTGCTCGGATTTCTGGGCGAGCACTTTCGATGGGATTATCTGAGGACAACACTTTCCTATGGATAATGAGGTCAGTAGCTCACTTTATGGTGAAGTAAAGAACTCTTTTAGAAACTTCTATATATCACTTGAGCAAAAAGAATTGGGATGGGTGTTGACCGAACTGCATTCTATTCCACGGGTTCACCAAAAGCACAAATTCACATCTTTATCATCTAATCTCATGCGATATTCAATTGAAGTTTAGATTTTTATACACTTACGTAACCAATCCCTGAAAGCGTTCTTAAAACCACAATTACTCAATTTTTCAACTCCTCAAACATCGCTTCCAGCTTCGTTTGCATATCACAAAAGATATTAATAGCCTACACAAAATCAAAAGTCAGTAAAAACCTACACCAAATTTGACACAAAAAACATCCTGTCAAAAACAACTCACCTGACTCAATTTTCTCTCTCCCTCTCCTTTTCCACTCCTCGTAAAAGCAATCCTCCATTCACTCTCGAATTCCGCATATTCCCTCAATTTATACTTAATCTCCTCTTTCTCAACCTCATCAAACAAAGATCCCACTGTATAGCCTTCCACCGATGTAGCGGCCAGTTCCCTTAATAGCGCCGGCGCAATAGTGATATGATCTACGCCAGCCAACATCATAATCTCATCTATATTTGTAAGACTAGCTGGTAGGACTTTTGTTTTGAGGTTATTTTTGCGGTAGAATTGTTGGATTTCGTGACAGAGTTTATGAGCTTTGTTTGTGTCCGTGAATCTGTTTATAATTAACACGGGGACTTCCAATCGTGACGAGACTCAGTGGAGAGGTATGGAGTATCATACTCAGCGTCAAAATGAACTTTCAGTTCATTGACATAAGGCGCAATATAAGTACACTTTACTTCTCCAGCCAAGGCGGCTTGCTCAATCGTAAAAAGCGTAGTCGCTAATGTCGTTATTCCTCCTTCTTGTAAAATCTTGCATGCTCGGAGTCCCTCCCATGTACTTGGAATTTTCAGACAAATACGCTTCGTGTCAAATTCTGGATCGAGATGCTTGAATATGGATATTATTCCTAAATCTTTTAGAGCCTCTTCATGTCATTTTAGGAGAGGAGAATAAGCTACTATGTGCGTCGTTGATCATTTTTTCGTAATCATACGAATGATAGGGATTTGTCTGAACATGGACGAATCCCGTGACTACACCGGCAATTGCAAGTTGTAGTTTTACCATCTAAGATATCAATTAGTTCTTCGTCCTCATAAGCTTTTTAATAGAAGACTGCATACCGCAATCTCAACTGCTAATTCCGAATACTGTATATTTGAAAATCCCTCAGTATCGAAGAGCTTCTTCGCTGTTTCGACTGTCTCTAAACGAAGACTTTTGTTCTCTGGTTTCTGGAGCTCGAAAAATGCAATAGCTTGATTGGAGGTACAGTCTGTGAAAGGACCAAGAGATTTCGCAACTATGATACATTGTCAGAAGATAAATGTGTTTAAGATTGTGAAGGAGTCCCACCCTCGAATTCCATAGTATCACAATCGACCACAGTCTTCGACCGAAGCAGCTCTAACAAGTTTTGTGGCGCCATGATTGTTGTTTGAAGATATAAGTTTCCTCTTGAGAGCTTTATTTTTGATGTGTATTTAAAGGCTGGACAAATTCTTGAGAAACATTCTGGATATTCGACATTCTTAGAGGAGTCTAACCCTAAATTTCGGGTATATGCCGGTCTGAGGTGTACAACGTGGGGTAAAAGCTGAGGAAGGTGAAGCGAGCGACTGAGTAGTGGTCGTCGGGTGACTTACTTTCAATTCAGGGGTACCCCGCTATTTGTGCTGTACGAAATTTTGGCAGAGTCAAAATATCATCTATGCTTCCAGAAATTGTATGGATATTTTTTGGAGGACAGAAGAGGGCCAAGATGTACTCATTTATGTTCCGCTCGGTCTAGAACATTCACGCTTCAATATTTAGCCGAATCTCGACATTCACGCGTCATTGTCCAAATCAGATCCATGCATTCAAATGTCGCTGTCTAACTTCTAACAAAGCCTCATTGTGCCACTTAATCTTGAATTCTGAAGCCTCAATATTGATTTTCCTCAACTATCACACTCCCTGCCCTAGCTCTTCAATACAACCTTCAACGAAACCACTTCAATCACAAACCAAACCTACCAGTCGCCCAACCTCTCACCCATATAATCCTTCCTACGTCGTTCCCTCACCTTAAAGCATCCTCTCCTCTTAAATTTCAAAAATTATCCATAATATCAGCAATATATATCTAAGCAGTCTTAACAAATTCCTCATCCACATCCATCAGGCCTATGCAATATCGACAAAATATCGTTTCAACCCACCTTATTACCATCCGATAATCTTCCTCTCCAAAATCTCTCGAGCTGTTCTATGCTCTTCTTCTAAATGCTTGTAATGAGCGAGATATTTATCCATGATTTTGTTATAACGAGCTTCGTGTGCCAGGTTACTGGGGACCTCGTATAGAACTTACAATCATCAATATCAGAACTAACCACAATTCTAAAACGACTATCCACCACCAAACTATTTTATATTTGCTTCCCACCATCAGAACTTTCTGAGCTAACACCAAAAACACCCAAAACCGTATTCACCAAAGCTCTCCTTACGGCTAAAACAGACATCACCATGATAACTCCGCACCTTCACGACTCATCTTTTCCAAATAAAACAGACCAACCCTCTAATCCATCAAAACCAACCCTGCCATCAGCATTCTTCCAACCCGGGATGCTCAACACATAAGATATACCCAATATCCCCTCCTCCCCACCACTGCCAGCAAACATAACACCATACCGCGCAGCACGATAAAGTCATAGCCACAGATATCAATCCGACAACTTCTAATCACCATACCGTATACAAGATTACAACTCCCAACCCCTTATAGCCCGAAAGTCAAACACACAAAGCGCAAGAATCAATATTCTTCTTTTATATTAATGCTCGTGCTCGTTTGCGACTTCGCATTTTGAGTTTGGATTCTGTGGGAGATATACTTATATGCATAATTATGGAATTCTTTTATCTGGTTCCCTCCTCTCGGTTGCTATATTACCCTTATACCTGTTTTTGATTGCTTTTTTGCTTCAGCGGTAGGAATTCTCTTGAATTTAAGCATATTGGTGGGTCTACTAGATATAGGCATGGCGAGTTCGTCCTCAAGGTTTGGCTCTGCTACTAAGTCAGTCCAATTGTGAAATTGTCTTTGTTATTCATGTCCTTAACCATCGAATAAAAAGAATTAGTCTAATATGATATGTACCTCATCTCCAGATCTATATTATATACATTTATGTACCCCAGAATTATGCCATTTATATACATCATTCATCTCAGCTTTTTACCAATCCATCAACCCTTAAACGGAGCAAATTTACTCTTCCTCCTCAACGCAACCCCATACTTCATAAACAAAAACGGGACGGGTATCGCCAACGTAGCCACACCACCCAAAACACTCATCGCGGGCCCAACACCCATTCCCCTAAACATAGGACCCGCCACCAGGGGAAACCCACTCGCCAAAATACTTCTCAAGAAAGTATTAGCACTAACCGCACTCGCGGCATACAAGGCATAAGTATCAACCAAGAAATTAATACACTGTTGAAAAATAATATTAAAGCCAGCACCAATAAACACCGAGGCGATAACCGGAAGAATCCAATGAATATTTGGGGCAGCTGTCCATCCAAACCAGAAAAGACCGATGGCGAATAAAATTCCCCCGAGTGCCATGGGAGCGAGTCTAGCTTCGGGGACAGGACGTCCGCCTGCTGCGTCGACGATACGTGCGTAGCGGGGTTGATTGCCGAGGTTGACGACGACGGCAAGATTGACGCCTACGAAGAGTCCGAGGAAAGGGAGGGAAGAGATGACGGGGGACCAGCCCCGGTGTTCGGAGAAGACGATGGGAAATACTTCGAGGGTGAGGTAGAGGATTGCGTAAACGAAGGAGGCGTAGAAGGCTATACAGGTGACCATTGGTTCGGTGGTAAGCATTAGGAGGGGACGAGAAAAGTGTTTCGTGATGATTGTCTTGGCATCTAGCTTTATATCTTCGTGTGGATGATAGTAAGCGTTATTACCGGTTTCTTTGCGGAGACGAGCGGCTTTCTTTTTGAGTAGGACGGGAGTATAAACTTCTGGTAGAAAAACCACAGCGACTGCAAAAACACCAAATACCCAAATTGCCTCTAGATATTCCGTCCATCTCCATCCCAAATGTGGATTCACAAGCAAAGCGCTCCCTATCAAAGGACCTAGTGTCGGTCCACCTACGACTGCAACTGCATAAAATGTGACAGCCGTCCCTCGAGCTTTGGGACTCCACATATCTCCCAACGCGGCAGAAACATTGGAAACAGGTGCCGATCCGAATAATCCTCCAAAGAATCTCGTTATAAAAATGGACGCCGCATTCTTACTCGTGGCCGTTCCGATGGAGAAAAGTCCCAGACAAAACAATGCAGGTAACATACTCCATCTTCTTCCCCAGAGCTCAGATATCGGTGCCCAACAAAGCGGTCCAAATGCAAATCCCAATCTTTATGAAAGATAGATTAGTACACTCATTATCCCAAGAAATTGAAAGCTTCAAACTCACATATACAAACTAATACTCAACACGCTAACTTCCGAGCTAACACCAACATACGTCGCAATTGTCTTTTCAGCTGGACTAATAATACTACTTCCCAAACTTGCACTCAGCGCCAACATACCCAACAGAAAGGTAATCCAACTCTTATATAACGTCGACCAATTCCGTGGATTCGCTTGATCGTTCTCTCCATCCCAATTAACTAAGATTCGTTCATCTCTTGTCTCATTCGGAACCGAAGGTTTTTCTTGGTCAAAGCCAGTAGTTGTGGGTATATTCGACTGTGAATGTGGTTTAGAAGCCTGTGAGCTTGGCCTTCGTGGTGGTGTCTCAACATCAGTAGTTTCTCCATCGCGATCCTGCATTATTAAAGTGGCGTTTGAATTTCCACTCGCCCTCTCCTCTTTTTCTAAACTCCGCGATGATGCATCTCCTTCAATCTCCGTCCCCGAATCCGACTTGGGAATCATATCTTTGTCTTCGCCTCGACGCTGCACTTATTTGCTATTAAGAGACTCTCTGTAATCGATATCCCAAACTACCAAAAACTCGCAATCACCAAGAACCAACCTGAAAACAGGAATATACAAGAAATAGAAAAATGCATCTTCAAGATGGAAAAGGGACCAACGGCACAATCCATCCATCCATCCATCCACTTACCTAAAAAAACCAAAACTCCACTTACGAAATCCCCCTCAAAAGATCCTCCCAATGACGAATATAATAAATCCACCATGCAAAATGGCTTACTAATTAATTAGTGTAACATTCATTCTGCATGCTGCATACACCACAAACCAGCATTAAAAGAAAAGAATAGTAAAAGCCCTACCCTAAATAGGAAAAAGAGCGCCTCAAACAGCAGGATCTTAGATGACTAACCGAATTCTAGCCAAAAGATCTTATCTAATCAGTCTCGAACCGCGGATCTAAGAAAGATTCCACCAATAAACAATACAAAAACTGATGTCGGTACCGAAACGGCGCAAAATCAGAGACGGATGTATATATCCGACGAAAGAATGGGTCCGTCCGAAGCGTCGCCGGGGTGAAAAATACTGGGAGCTTGTTTACACCGTACATAATCTGCTTTGAAAGGATGTTTATGCGTACTGGGTTATTTAGAGTTTGTTAATCCCTTCCTAACATATGAAGATCGATAGGTTTAAGACCCTATATGATAAACCTAGTACATTATAACGAATCAGATCGCTCCAAGCTCGAATAAAGACTCTTTAGGCAGGAAGCTATTATAGCAGTTTTCGACATTTTAATTCAGAATTTACCAACGAAATGATGTTTTGGAGTCCAGATGGTCCACAGGTCTAGATTTCGAGCATATTTTCGATTGCTGTTCATTCTGTCCATCGGATGTACTACAATGAAAATGATGGGGCCATTGACATGCAAAAACCAATAAGATATGAAGAGACATAGAGTTGGAAATGATACTGTAGATAAAACAAAGCAAAAAAGAAAATCTATTCCACCATTACAGCGGTTGGTTGGCACCATCCGTCCACTATCCCCAAAACACTCGTATTCGAGTCATCGATAACAATTTCACAAAACCAGAGAAAGAACTCCGCACCTGCCGCATCTAGCATCTCTCTCATGAAACCGACACATTCTAAAGCGTAGTAGCACCACCCATGATCATTCGGAAGATCTGTTTGCCTTCTCCAAGCTTCTTGATTTGGTCCTCTAAATATCTTCTCTCCTGTCTAGCTTGGGGTGGCTCGCTAGCAATAGCCTCCACCTCTTTATCAGACATCGTGTTTACTGCGATAGGGTCGAAAATACGGTCCAAGCCGCGAATAATGTGACGCTCAACTACCTGGGTGGTCACATTTGCGATGAAAACTTTCTGTAGGACCTGAATAAATTATTAGTGTCAAGATTCGCTAAATTCAATGGGCAGAAGGTAACAAACCTTATAAATAGCCAAAACACAATCCAAAGCGGCTTCGCTTGTGACGACTTCCATGTCTTTTTCCGTGCTCTTCATAAGATTCTCCTTTAGTTTTTGCACCACCAGACTGATCTCTACTCCCTCAGATGTCTCAACTCCTTCCGCAGCATCTTGACAACATTTTTCGAGATCTGCATTGTCTCTTTCTTGTTGGCGGTTTTTGATGGTATCTGTATAGTAGTGATTGTAATTGATTGGATGATTCACATTGTCTTCCATCAAGTAACCCAACTCTCGAGCTGCCGCGGAATTGCGATCTCTTAACTCATCCTCAATTCGTGATGACCACAAGCGTGATTCAACGTCTTTCGGGGTCATTTCAAGAAGTAAGTCCTTGAGAAATCTAGTGCATACATCAGATACTCGTTCGGTGTGTTCTGCTGCAAGCTTTTCCCATTTAGTAGACTGCTCCCAAAATAGTTCTGAAATCAGTAAAGGATTGTAATTTCCGATGAGCTCTTTCCCACGAGTTCTAGTGAGTGCTTGTCTCACCCAATCCAAACCCTCCTTCTTCGTAAGTTTTTCCGATTCACCCTTTTCACGTGCCTCCTCTGCTTCCATTGTTCCTCTGATTGAAACTGCCCCTACAGACTTGTCGATCTGATATTTATGACCTTTGGTGCGCATTGTTTCCGTAAATTGAGTGTTCATCATTTGAACACAGGCTCGCATTCGACGGAGTGTGGCTTTTGGGTCGAGTTTAAATTCAGAATTGACTTCACATTGGAAGTATCGCCCCTCATAGTATCCGTCGACGGCAGCAGCACAGATTTTCTGTACATCCGTGCTTAGCTGCACTAGATACGCTCGACAGTCAGAGGCAGTAGATCTAGGCTCGCCGAGCAATCCAAGTTGTTCCCGTGCAGTGGATAGTTGAGTTTCCAGTTCACGGCGGAGCTGCGGGAGTTCTTTCTTAATGTGCTGAAACAATAAATCTGCCAGGCGAATACGTAGTTGCTCAATGCCGATGTGATTTCTAGGCAACGTTTTGAAGTTAGAAGAACGAAACCAAGAAACTTCCGCCATGTTACGCTCCATCAATGAAAACTCTCGTTCCTCATATCTCCGATTCTTTACCACGTGCCAACCAAGTCTAAACCTGACATTCTCGTTCTTCGCCAAGCCAATGAAAGCTTTTTCATTTCCGGAGCCTTTATCAAGAGTATCTGGCTTCGTGATGATACCAAGAGTACGATCACCATGAGGATCATGGTCCCTCACTCGCTTGAGGATCTGTTGATTTGCAATATCGTTCTTTGCAGATACAACTGCAAGGCAAATTGTGCGAGGTTGCTTTATGTAGTGTTCTGTTATGGCCGCGACCATATCAACATCGGCTGCTGTTGCCTCTACAGTTTCGGATGCGATCAAGCCCGGTAGATCAACCAAGGTAAGCTGGGGACGGTGAGGGCCACAAATTTCAATGCTAAGTACATCCCTCGCAAATGCTCGTGGCGGAAGATTTGGGTCAGGATTACCACTTATGCCCATAGATTCCATTGCGAGATCCATAATTCGAGGAAGGTCATCAAAGTCTGTGATGCTTTGAATAAACTTTCGAATCGTAACCTGCTCCGCGGATGGACGCTCATTGTCCGGGATAATCTTGATAGTCAAAGATTCCGTTTCCACGTTACGGAGACTAATCTCCGTTGCAAAACGGGTACAAAGATTGTCGTTTCTCGGGAAAGGGATCTCGGTTAACGCCTCAAGAACCGAACCTGTAGGTGTGAATTTAGCTTGCACTCTTTGGCAAAGTTTAAGTTTCTTCGTCAATCAGTGCAGAACGAATCCGCTGGTTACCAAATGACTAAAAGGAAGCAGGTTACTCACTTTTACCGGCAGACTGATCGCCACAAACCACAAGTTGCGGAAGTGGCAAAATGCTTTCAAGGCCGCACTTTCTCAAATGTGCAACGGTATCAAGAACGCGTTGCTGTTCCTCCGTTTGGAGACCCTTGAGAGAAGATGTAGTTTTGATCTCTTCTATTGGAACTGGACTTTGAGGAGTGACAGGGCTGTCGTGAAAGCTCTCGTCCTCTCGATCGATCGATGATCCACGAGATGAGGACATATTGAAGAGTGTAAGAAGTGCTTTCTTGTGTAAGAGATTTTTGAATGTAAATGGCTGGGTGCTGTATTGCTTGAATATGCTTATGAAATGTACTGTTAGAATAATAGGGATGAGACTCGTGTAGAACATCGATTGCTCTACAACTGGAGGAAAGATGTACGTATTTGTACTTTCACCCACCACCTCACAGCCTTCCATCTTCTTCTCATTTCCTCCAACAAGATCACAAAAACGGCCACCCTTAACCATGCTATGGATAGGCTGATTCATGCATTGTATGCATGGTGCCGCACCCTCATCAATGGGATGCGGTAAAAGCCAGGGTCTGATGCTCCCTAACACTTGATAGAATGTTGAGGCCTATAACTTCAACAAAACCAATTATACAAGTGCACATGACATGGACTGCGGGCTTCCGCGCCGAACAATAGAAAAAGATAAAGAGTAAAGGTTGGAGAAGAATGATTAATCGTAAAACAATTTACAATACATATTGTATTTGTTATTTGCGCTATGCAACAAACAAACAGATGAAGAAAGAAACCATAATCACAAACAAACAACACAATACTACAGTATCAATCCGTGCCGCAGTATGAACCCTGTGTTCATTACTCCAATTGGCCACCATTTCCAGCGCCTTGAGAGAACTGCTGAAAATGTTGGTTACTTGTTAGATATTCTCCAGGGTACTGTTTCGGGACAGCGTTATTGGGGGTGAGATGAGAGGTGAAGAAACGGCGAGATATATTCGATACCATGTAGATTTGAAGGAGTAACTTTACATTGGGTGCGACCGATAGCTATAGATATCTTTTTCTTGTCAAGGGAAGAAAGATGTTCTGGGAAACGCCGACAAGGTAAGGTTAGGTGTGGTGGTGGTAGTTGACGAGGCGTATTCTGTGCCACACTAGTTCCACCCGGCCCGCCACAAAATGGCTTGGCATATTTTCATTTCAATGCTTTTTTCCTTTCCGAGAATGCCACATCCCGCTATTCAAGGATTTCAACATACTGATTTTGTTTGAACAGTATTATTTGACATCATTCAAGAATTTGTCTGGAGGCAGAGTTGTCGGACTTTAATCTCCAAACCTATCACACAAATCGCATAAATCTGCCATTTCATTTTCTGTATCGTCATCTAACAACCATAGCAAATCCAACAGACAAGGAATATCGATTCGAGGTTATCATATTCTTTACCTCGATTCAACTATCAGGTACTCATTATAACCTTCATGAACAGCTGCTTCTCTCTGTCCATCAATATATACCAATATTCTCATCACATTCAATCACATTCATTCAATAAATCAATCAATCAATTCTTTCCATCTTCTGAGCGGCTCTCCTCTCCTCTCACTTGAATCAACTAATTCATATATATATATTTATATTTATAGGTATTTGTATTATATATACAAGTCCCTACCATCCATCCATCAATCCAAGTCCAAGTCGTATCATTCATTCATTAATATTCTCATCCCTCCCTCCCTCCCTCCTCTCTTATCTCACCTTCTGTCTTCCGTCTTCTCTCTCGTCATCATCATCATTATTACCATCTTCATCTTCATCCTCTACTCCAATTGGATTTAAATTCAATCCAAATACAAAACACCTCCTTCACCGATCCATCCATCCATCCAATTCCCAACAAAACAAAAGCAAAACTATTCAAACGATTTATCCTCTATACCCAACCAATCTAAGTCTGCAGATCTTGCTCAATTTCGCAAGCGACAAAGAATAATGAACTCCAAATCTACTTTATCTCGTCTCATCTTCTTTCATCTCTCTCATTCCATCCCATCTCATATCTACCCAACCCAACTCCTATGTTTTCCCTTCTCCAAACTATCCACCAATATACACTTCAACCCTGACTGACAAACTCTACTTCTACCCAAATTCTTAAACTTCGGTCCTAAAGGTCCATTAACATAATGATATTGACCCACAAATCTCCACTGTCTCCAATCAGATAATTCATAAAATTTATCACCCCAATGTCCATTGAACCAAAACCATCCAGTGGGTGCATCGGGATTTTGCGCCGCGGGTTGAAAAGAATCAGCCATGGTTTGAACAGGGAAGTTTGAAGTTGCAAATCGTGCATCGACATTGTGAGTGAGAGATGTGTTATAGAAATAAGCTCTGTAATTGAGAACGGGGTCCCAAATTGGTCCTTTATCGGTGACATCCGCCAGGAGTTTGAATGGTAGAACATATGGGTGAGTTCCCGGTGTCGCATACATAGCGTGAGATCCAACTGCGCTGTAGATTACCGGTCTCCCTTCTCTTCCTGGACCTTGTCCTTTCTCCACTGCTTTGTAATGATATCCTAACCCACCGAAATGCGCCGAAAAAAAGACAGCTTTTGGTACACCATTGTGAAAACGAATAAGCGAATGTTCCCAATCACCAACATGGTTTCCGAATCGCATCTTCATGACAGTCGTACCAAGATTGTAGGAATAAAAGTAAAACCAAAATGCATCAACAATACCATGTCCTTTATCCACAATGATTAATGTCGCTGGAGCTGGGGAATATCCTGATTGATTTGGTTTACCCGAAGAATCCCCACGTTTCTTCAACTCACGTCGACCTTGTCCTGTGATTCGAGGTTGTGCGCTGAAGGATGGTTCTAGTGGTGTAGCAATCTTCATTCTATTTTCATCACTCGCATCATCCCAGGCTTCCTGACCATCTTCTTTGGTTTCAATAAACTCCTTCTCTTCTTCCTCTTCCACAATTTCCCAATCCTCTTGATGTTTGATTTCATCTTCATATGGTATAGGTTTATTATAAGCACTTCCAAGCCACCTTGGTCTATCTTCAACATCGTCTTTGCTTTGCATAAATAAGACTCGGCCCCTGCGTCCTTCGTTTAACAAATGTAAATTGTGTAATGTATATTGCGAGCTATTCATATGCAATGAAGTATGGTTTTCGTAAGGAGTAACATGTTGCAAATGGTCCTTGATGTCCGCAGGCCAGAACTTTTCACCTGAATATAAATGTACCAGAGGCGCGTGGTCGAGGACGTATTGTGGAACTTCTCTCAACACTCTATCATCGCCATACCAATCATCCGGACGCATTTTTGGCGCATTCTTGTAGGCATTGTCCCATTCTACCCAGCTCGCATCGAATTCATCATCTGCCATGGCTTTCTGATCCCTCGTATCCTTATCCAATCTTCGTTTCCAGGCAGGGTCGGAATGGTAGTGAGCAAGCCCACAAAGGCCAAGCCATTTACATGATTGCCTATCCAAAAAGTGCTTTGATGTTGCAATCCAGCGGGCATCCTCTCTCATTTCCTCTGATATATGTGTATTCGGATCGAGGTATTGATGTAATGAGGTAGCTCCGAACCAGGTCGCCCAGACCAGGCCGATGGACAGTAAAAATCGTCGTAAGGAAATCATCTTGTTACGCTTCGTAGACGGCATTGAACAAAGAAGGGTATCTTAAACTTAAGGAAATGAAGAATTGGAAGAAATGAGCTAAAGCATTGAGGTTTCAAAAACGACCAGCGAATCTGTTTGGCGATTAGAAATGCGCGGGAATCAGGTGTAAAGTAGAGGATGGTTCAAGTCCTTTGTTGATGAGTCTGGAAATAGATTGGGAATGGATGTGAAAGTGATGATTCAAAAGTAGGGCATAAAGAAGGACAAAACCTTTTGTCATGCATAGACTTATTAGTTATTCAATAAAATACAAGTCCCGTCTGTGTTGACTAACATTATCTATCCCTCCGAAGAAGCCGAGCTAACTTGAGAGTAGGAGTTCACAGGAGGTGATCGAACTTTAATCATAAAGCGCTTATCGATTGTGATAAAGTATGGAGTACGGTGAAGGAGGGTGGTAGGATGCTTCCACTCCGCATAAACGAAAAAACTTGATTGTAAAGTTGATTGTAATATTGTGGGTCAATAATCGTGTATATACTCTGCAATATATAAAGAATGATGGTGTGAGGACGAGGACGGATAAATCGGATTGGCTGGTACTACTTTTGATGGTTCGTCTAGAATTAGAATGTTGGCTTAGTAGGTATGCATGTCAATCAAAGGCAGGGCAGAATAGGTACAGTCAGCAACATCAAAGATAGAGATTATGAACCAATGAACCCATGAACCCATGAACCAATGAACAAGCTTTTCCTTATGCGTGCCAGCTGCCGAAGATATCTAAATCTAAACGCCGGCAATGCACCTTTGCAAGTCTCACCAAAACCGTCGAGGATTGTCACTTGAGCATTAATCCTCTTCATGGTCCGGTATTATCTATCCTACTTTTTATTCCTTATTAGACATCCTTTCTACCATTAACAGTCTACGCCATATCTACCTATTCACATCCCAGCGGACAGCGGCCCAAGAGTAACATGAACGTGTCCTAGGTATCAAGTCCCATTTCTTTTTTCTTCTTGCATGAACCTTGAATTGTTGCACGATTAGGTAGGTGGGTGGGTATAAGGCTATCATCTCTGGGGTAAATCAAGTACGGAGTGTTCTCGCGGTGTCTCCATCATGGTAACCAAAACATTCATCTGAACTCGGGGTGAGGTTACTCTTCACAGTTTTGAATGTACTAGTAATAGTAAGTCTGTCTTACATCCTAAGCCAATCCTACACATATCACACTCACACTCACACTCACACTCACACTCACACTCACACTCACACTCACACTCACACTCACACTCACACTCACACTCACACTCACATTCACACTCACACTCATGATGAGACATACACATTGAACAGTTCATCTCAATGTGATTTGAGAGGCTAGAATTGATCTGTACTCTGTCCACCATCTACCGAGTACTCACCGATTCATTAATCCAGAACTCACAAGCTTTTTACCTCGTTCTCGTGTCATGATGTGTTGGACTGATAGGCTTCACTACCTTATCGCCATGCATATTCCAGGGATAGTCAGCAGGGTGTCTTACAGGCACCGGGATATCGGCAGGCTTTTGTTTGCATTGAACCGCTGTACTTTACTTTTACTGCCTTTTTCAATCTTCCATCTTCATTCTCCCAACAATTCTAGACTCGATTCACTTGATACTATGGATTATCCACATCGACTTATCTTCGGTTCATGTCTCCTACTAGTCCATACAGTAGTCATACATTTCAACCATGCTTCCATCATCAAATCATCTTCTTGATCCCAAAAATGTACTGCATAGCCAAGTCCAATGGTTCTGACGGAGATACCTGACTTAAGACCATCGGCAAAAACGGAAAATGAGCACGCGACCTCATGGGGTGTGTTATCGGCAAGTCATTTTGCAGCAGAGATGATAATGATCACCAGTGATCGATCATGGGTGGATGAGTGGATGGGTGGATGGGTGGGTTACAGTACAAAACAACTCGACCCATCCGATTGTTTAGGTTTCGTACGTACATTTGTCATGAACTTGTGAATGGAGAGGTTCATTACCTATCCTCAATACTTCTAAAAAAACGTCTCACAGGTTAAGTAACCCCAGAGGCTGTTTGCGTTATTTCTCCACACACACACATTTCTATCTTTGTCTGAATCAACTTGTTGCCAGTTGTTAGTGCTGAAAATAATTACGCTGGAGATCGGTATCCAAATATTAGAGAGGAGAATCGAAACTCACATTTTGCTGCATTGCTTCTATGATCACGTGTTAGACACGAAATCCTTGATTCCCATGTTCGAGGAAAAGTCAGACACTCGAGGCAAGTATTGATGACTTGAAAGAATAGCCATCTTAATGCTTAAGCTCATTTTGGCATTTTTCTTTCCTTTGGGTATGTCGAACAACATGTTGGGCAATCCTTCATCATGCACATTTACCTGTGTTAAATGCATCATTAGGATCTGCTTGAATTTTGTGCGTATTGTAAGACTCTTATATCCTTCTACGCAATGATGAAGGTTTGTATTACCATTTCCCGCCTTATTTATGCAACAAAGATTGCAGTCCGCATTTGGTAGTTTTCGATATTTGAGAAACAACGGTTTTTGATCGTGGTTTAATCGTAATATTCCACGTATCTCCTTCACTGCACTTCGGTCAATCAACCCCTGCGGATTCAAGCATTGGGTGCCAAAGATTCATGATCATACCATTACATTTGTTTTACCAAGAATTCGCTGTCAATACATCTAGCAGTTACTTCACATAACTTGTGGTAAATTGAGCTTTTCTTCAAGTGAAACTGGGAAGCTTCCTGAGTATGAGCTATTTTGAAGAGTACTTTTGTTTATTTGAGAGTTCAATCTTTTGCTAGCACAGCTTTTCTTATTTCTTGATGAGTGATTCATTCGGCTTTCTATACACAGAGCTTCTCTTAAATAGTCTTGCTCGCTGAGAAACTAAACATATTATCTTATTGGATTGTTGGGAAATTCTCTTGGTGGGAGCAACGGTTGTAATGATACAATTGGTGAACATAATTCAAAAGTTCGTTGGCTCTCACTGACTTCTTGACTGGACCAACCATCTGTTTCACGCACGTGTTTTCAGATTCTCTCGTTTCAACTTCTCCCCTCTCTTCAATCGATGAATTTTGCTTGTTTTGCGAGACTGTCTTTGGAAGGTAATGGTACATGCGCTTCTTCCAGTTTATGGACTGGTCCAAATTTCCTTTTCGTCATCCGAAGATTCTCTCCTTACTCTTAAGCACTGATATTTCAATGATGATATGCAAGATGGATTTTTGACGCATACATCGATAATTGCTGCACTCCTTCAATTCCATCAGTGTACGTTCCTTTGTGGTCCGGATATTAAACAGGTCAAGTGATGCTCAAAATAACGGCATCACATAAATGAAGGTTATAGATACTAGATGCGCTCTTGTATTGAAACTGTGTCCTACCCGCGATAATATTTCTTGCTAGCGTATGCACTGGTAATTTCATTCATTGTACCAAATATTCTTCGCGTCATCATAGTATTGATATTTTCAATAGTATAACAAGCATTGGGATTATCCCTTCAACAAATTCAAGAGAAGAGTAACCTCAGTGTTTGACGTAACTTTGGTATTAAATCACTTCTCCACCATTCTAAGTTTCTGATGAGAACAATTTAAATGTTATAACTTAATTAGAGTTTTCGAAATCATTTCTGATGATCCTTAAAATACATAATCACTAAGCATTTAAAGAAAATTTGAACTTCCAGTGAGCAAAAGAAAACCAACAACATGAACATCCAATAATCCTACTCAGCTCTGAAAAGGTTAGTTCTCGCCTCGACTTTCTTCAAAACACCCATGACTCCAATCTGCCAAGAACATTCGTGTCGATTTATTTGTTTCCAAAACCGGGTTTTAATCGCCAACCGGCTGACCTCAAACCCGAATACCGGAAGCCACTCCGCACCCGGATATCCAGTCAGCGGGCACCATCTTCGGGGACCAAAAACATGGATAAGAATGCGGAAATATTGATCAACATCCGAAAAGTCGTAAATTACTTCTTTGAGCTTGGTGTTGGAGATGAGATTTGCAACAAATAGATTTTTTGTGGGTAGATGGTGAGGTTGAGAGGTTGAGAGGTTGAGAGGTGGGGGTTTATTTTTGTTTGTTGTTTTTTGTCTTGTTGCGTAGGCGAATCGGAGGAAGGTATTAATGTATTTGGGGATGTTTGTTTCATGGAGATGTCTTGGAAAGCTGAAAGCTTGGACAAGTGTGTTGGATTGCGTGGTAAGGCTGTGATGGACTTGGATTGGGACCAGAATCGGGATGGGGGATTGTGATTACGATCGCGATGTGATATGAAACAGATAAAATGGACCTGGACCAAATCAGCCCTATCTATAACAACATAACACATCCCACATCACAACCCTGGTTCCCTTCCCTATGTACACAAATCTTCGGTTTCGGTTTCGGTTTCGGTTTACAATCAATCAAATCTATGATGAATGGATGGCCTCCGGTATAAGTATCATTATCGAAAGATAGATATTGAAGTTGAGGTGGAGTATATATGTATAGGTATATATATAGTTGACGAATGGGAAATTGAATGGATACTAACCCGTCGATTCCTCCCATGCCAACTTTTCTAGTTAGGGTTATGCTGTAAGAGGGGTTCTATATGCGGAGGTTGGGGAGGGGGATATAGTTGAGTGGAGGTGAGTGGAGGTGAATGGGGACAGGATTGGATGTTTATGTTCTTATGGGTTTGGGTTTGGAATGGTGGGTGAGTGGGTGAGTGGGTGATTAGTTGAGTGGATGAGAGGTGATTAGTTGGAGAGGGATTTTGGGGGTATTTGTTGCATGTCTGGATTTGTATCCACTTAGGGTTGATTAGATGGGGATACGGAAGGGGGATACTGAGCTGGAGTTGTTTAGTTAGATTGGTGATTGGAAATTGAGTGGGATGGGGTTTGGAGGTTTGTGTTACTTGTCTGGATTTGTATCCACTTGGGGTTGATTTGGTTTGGTGATGCTGAGGTAGAATGCATAGGTGGGATGCGGAGGAGGAATTTGAGCGGAGAATATTACTTGGGAACTTGATTTGAAACTATTTCATGGAGGAGATTTGTGGTTAGAATCGAATCAGAGTAGAGTTTGTAATGTTTTGTTGCATGTCTGGATTTGTATCCACTTGGAATTAGGTCGGGGGATATGGAAGGAGCGTATTGAGCTGGGAACTCAATTTGGAGTTACTTGATTGGCGTTCCTATGATATGGAATTTATAGAGTTTTGTTGCTTGTCTAAATTTGTATCCACTTGGGTTTGATTAGATTTGGGGATGTAGTGGGATATAGAGGTGGAATGCTGAGGTGGGAATTTGAGCTGGAGTGATTGGGGTTCCTGTAACATGGAATTTATTGATTTTTGTTGCATATCTAGATTTGTATCCACTTAGAATTAGGTTTGGGCATGCTGAAGTGGGAATTTGATCTGGGAATACTACTTGAGGACTTGATCTGGAATTGCTTGACTGGGGTTCCTGCCACTAGAAACCTATCAGCATGGAATCTTGTCGAGTTTTGTTGCTCGTCTGAATCTGTATCCACTTGGGACTAGGTCAGGGGATACTGAGCTGGGAATTCGAGCTGAAGTTGCTTAACTGGGACTCCTACTAGTAGAAACTTATTAATTTAGAAAGTTATATAGTTTTTCTGCATCTCTGAATTTGTTCCTGATTTGGGATTTGGATCTAGATTTGGATTTGGAGTACTGAAATGGAATCCTGTGATTTGATCTAAAAGTTTCTGATTTAAGAAGTTTATACTTCAATCAAGTGATTTGAAATCCACTCATTTAATTGGAAAGCTTTTGATTCAAGTAACGTCTGTCTAAGTCCATCAAATAAAATTAATCAAGTTTTATTATATATTTAAAAATCTTTGATTTAAATAAAAATAAAATAAGAATATAAAAGTCAAAAATAAAACGAATTTTTATTTCTATATTTAAATATTATATTATATATATTCTTTTTTTATAATAAAAAACAAAATATTAATATTATTCAAAAAGAACTCTTTAACCCTTTCAAATCTTTAAAAATCCAAAATTTTAACTTCGAACCATTTATTTTTCTTTGGATTTTCAAGCTTTATAAGTTGAGATGATGAAAAAAACTACTCAAAAAGATGGATTTGACCTACGCAGGATTCGAACCTGCAATCTCTTGATGCCGGACCTCAGGGAATTGCGATCCCTGCGAGTCGTAGTCAAGCGCCTTGCCATTGGGCCAGCAGGCCTAAATCGTTGAAGTTGATTTATTGAAGTGGGGTCATTATTTAGAGTATATTATCCAAATTGACTTTGATTGATGATAGGTGTGGGGTTAAGCGAAGATTTGGCCGGGGTTTGCTCTTGATCTTTAATGAGCTTGAGATAAATCTGTAACGATCTGGTCGAGGCAGCGGCTGCCTCAGGTTTTTGTATGGTTGGTAGTTGTAGGTTAAGGCTAATAATCATGGGTTATCCATTCGAAGGTGAATATGTTATTAGATCAATTGGAATGTAGGTAAACTAATTGATAACTAAGTTGAGCATGAAACTCTTAAATTATAAAATTATTCTAACTATATATTAATAAATATAAAAGAGTTTTGTGGAGCTTTAGAACTCCAAAAAGCTTTTGGAGCTCTAGAAGCTTTCGAAGTTTTTAGGGTTTTTTATCATATGATTAGAATCAGATTATATATCCGAGCTTACTAAAAGTAAAGAGATTATATAAAACGATTATTATACAAATTTGTATACGAATTGCTTTGCTTTTCGATAAGGTTTAAGTTTATGTAGACACATTGATTGTTACCCCTCAACATATCCTTATCTTAATTGTAAATCGTGATAACCGATTACTGAAAAAATATGATTTAATTATTGTTTTCAAAAAACCTAATTGTTTATAAATAGAAATCTAGGATTTTTAGGATAAGTATTTTAAATAATTATATTAGAATAAAACAAATGTTTTAATTAATCAATTTTAATAAGATAATTATTTTAAAAAATATTATATTTTAGAATAAAGATTTTTAAAGGAAAACTTCTAGAATAAATATTCTAGGAAAAGAAAAGTTTTAAAATAGATTATATAATAAAGAATCCTAAGAGTTTGGAAAGTTTTTAAAGCTTTAGGAGTTTTGAAGTTTTGAACTTTATAAAGTTTCTTTTTATTCATTAATATATAATTAGAATAATTTCATAATTTAAAAATTTTATATTCAATTTAATTATCAATTAGTTTATTTATATTCTATTTGATTTAATAACGAATTTATTTTCAAATAAATAATCAATGATTAATAGTCTTAATCTACAATTATCAATTATATGAACCTTCGATAGTGTAACGATTTAATTGAAGCAGTGGTTGCCTCAGGGTTTCGTCCGGTTGGTAGTTGTAAATTAAGACTAATAATCATTAATTATCCATTCGAAAATGAATACGTTACTAGATCAATTGAAGAATAGGTAAACTAATTAATAACTAAGTTGAGTATAAAGCTCCTAAACTATAAAACTATTTTGATTATATACTAATCTCTTTTCCTATGTTAGCTATACTAACTGGTTAGCAGAGTTAGTATATCATATGATTGATCCTGAAGCCTCTTATATCCCAAAACCTTTCCTTTTTTAGAATATTTGTCCTAAAAGTTTTCCCTTTAGGAACTATAACCCTAGGATACGATATCTTTTAGGGTGATAATCTTATTATAATCAATTAGATAGGATATTTGTTTTATTCTATTATAATTGCCTAGAATACTTATCCTAGGAATTTTGGGGTTCTAAGCTTAGATAATCAGAACCCTTGAAGGCAACAATTAAATCACACCCCCTCTGTAGTCGGCCTATAAATCACCGACATCAATAATACTACTATAAAGAAAACCGTGAATCGTGACATTATCTTATTTTAATTTTAAAAGATATAATATATATATTTTAAAAATTATGTATATTTTTTTTAAAATCTAAAAAGATTTATTTATTAGATAATCATAACATAAAAGTTATCTTTTTATAAAAATTAAAATTATTTTATTTTATTAACTTCCATCCCTCCCCCCCTCTCTCCCTCTCACTCTCATCCTTGATCATAAATCCAGGTCTTCAAACTATTCTACCTACTAGGTAGATATACAATCATAATAAAAAATCCTTCAATATCTCTCTCTAACTTACAATCGATCTACGCGCTATACCTAGCACTACTTCCCCATGGCCCTCAAGTGTCTCTTCATCAAATGTCTCGTACTGGCTTTATGTTTTAGATGTGAAGGGAATGTTGAAGAGGAGAAAGACTTTGCTACCTAATGATATAGTACAAGGTGGAAGGGAATCGAGCTGGTTGGTTTTTGATATGAGTTTATATAGTGTTGTAATATATATATGTTAGGATGGAATAAAGCATATAGAAAACTGCTTGGGTACCACTAAGCTTTCCTTCGATGTCCAGAACAAAGGTTTGAAATCATTAGAAGACACTCAATGGAGTATAATATGAGGATCAAGTACCTATGCATAGACATCAATCTTCAGTAAACGCATATCATACTATATTATAAAAAAGCAGCTATATAGCTGACAGAATCCAACCATTGAGATTTTCATTCCCATCCCAATCTACGCCATTCAAACAAGCCAGTTTGCATCAACATCATATTTTAACCAAACGCCATATCCATAGTTGTACAGTTATTCATTTCCATACCTTTCCGCCCTCCGCCTTGAACTCAAAGACTTCCACCAGGCATTAACTTTGTTCCACTCTTTTTAATTTCTTCTTTCCTCTGTTGCATCTCTTGCATTAATTTAGCCTGTTCTTCAATCTTTCCACTGCGATTTTTGCGCGCAGCTTCTTCGGCTTCGACCCAGACTAAAAGGACGTAAGTTAGCAAATTTCTATCCCAATATGAAGCATATACCGCATTCACAGCAACAATTTCATATTCCCCCAAAACTACCCTGATTCAACTCTTTCCGCAATCCCTAACATCCTCTCCCATTCCAACTCTCCTCCTCCTTTTCCTTCTCCTCCCACTTTACAAAAACAATCAAAGCAAAAACACAACTTACTCGGCCTATCACTCTTACTATACTCCTTCAACCTCGCAACAAAATTATCAAAATCCTCCTGTTTCCCCACCCGATTCTCCAAACTACGTTTTTGTAACTCCGGGTTATATTTAAGGAAGAGTTCTTCTTCAGTAGGGGAGATGTAATAAATAAGAGCTGGACCACCAACACAACATGTTATGCCGCTGAGATAAAAGATGTTAGTTTTGTTGCGGGAGGAAGTTTGTGGTTTGCAAGGAGAGAGGGGAGGGGTATTTGGGGGGGGAGACATACGCCACTGCCATCTTGCCATACATGCGCCAGTTTGTGGGTTTAGGTGGCATTTTTGCTTGTTGGGTTGTTTCAATGTATTGCTTTTCCTGATGTGGAAATTGATAAAATAGATTCGGTTCCGTGTTGCAATTATGATGTTTGCTGCTTTCGGAGATGGGATGAGATGAGATCAGATCGATGACATGATGATTTTCAAATCGAAGCTGGGTTTAAAGTTGCTGCAAAGCTAGTTGTGGCTGAGCGGGGAATGAATGGATTAGTTGTGGCTGTGGTGGCGTAGGGAGAGACAAACTGTAGAAGAGTGATTTCATAAGATGATGCTGGGATGGAATTGCATAGTATTTACCAAACCAAAGTCAAGGAAGATACTGCTACTAGGCAAGTACCGGTTGTCAAAATTTGGTTTCAGATAAAATACCTTTTTAGTTCTACGAATATCTGATACTGCGTTGTATATTCATTCTCAGATGGCCAAGATATCTATATTTATGTACGTCGTAATGCCGTTACAGAATAGAATGTAAGTATCTAATACATTACTTTCTTTATCTTCATCAACTTCATTCATCTAGGTATAGGCATGATTGATCGATGACGAACAATCGATTATTCGATAGCATCACTTGTATACCGAGGTACATTCCGCCTTCGCAGTGCCATGTTTCCTATATTCTCCTTGATACACCCAGGTAGTGGATTTCATGGATCTCATAGAGTAACAATCAATATACTGATTGTAATGCGATAACCAATCGTTCTTCATTCGGACCTGACTACAATCATGGTGCTGATGGAAAACCCCCCTGTCATATATGTAACACGGGAGAAATTGTTGATAGTAAAGGTTAATTGCATGCATATACCGTATATCGGATAGATTTCTAACACTTTAATTTAAACCAAGCATCCCTTTCAATGGTATGTGGTTGATGATGCCATAAGATCTACATCTATCAATAAGGCAGAGGCAGAGGCAAAGGCAGAGGCAGAGGCAGAGGCCGAGTTAAACTTTTTTCCTTGATATGCAGTTAGCTAGATACTTTTCCTGAACATTAACGACAACTGAATAGTTGAATAGATGCCAATGACAACATATTTTAATAGGAAAACAAACCTCAAGGTCGGACTATCGGAATCTTCCAAGCTTTGATACAGAAATTAGACTTTCATCAAAACTAGCCATGAGGTCCATCCATAACCAACAACTTTCAAGGAGCAACAGGAGCTTGTTAAGTCCATTATTGTAGTAGTGGAGTGGTTCAAACATTTGCGACAGGCGCAGCAATAATGAAGAGCAGTAATAGGAATTAAAATGCCTACCGGTTTTTTTTATAATTCAAGTAACCCGACAGATAATACCTAACTTCCCATAATCACCTTAATTAGCGCCCCTGCCCCCACTCCGCATTCTCTGAGACGACCTCCCAAGATTTCCAAGCCGGTCAGCCGTCTTGGATTGGTATTGAATGATCCTTTTTAACCTTCTTGTCGAAATACTTACAACTATCTAATAGCCCTACAATATCTTCTCCTTTTCGACTTAGAGAATTCAATATCCGCAGAATTTTCTCACTCGATTTCCTTTTTCTACTTCCTCATAGTTTTAAGAGTATTGGTTTTCATGCGAAAAGAAATACCGAGACAATCCTCAAACTTGACTTGCGAAGCTGATAACAACAAATTCATAATTAGAACGGGCTAATTCCATTCCCGAAACATTGATCATTCAACCATTTATAAAAGAGACAACTCATTCTTTGGTTTTTAGGGAATCTGTTAAGCTTGCCGACTTTCTGAAATAAGAAATCATAGACTTCTCGAGGCATTGGTTTCCATGGATTGATTGCTTGGAGTTATTATAATTTGTTAAGATTTGGCGCAAAACAATCGGAGGGATAGGAGAGTCGAGGCGATCAAGAAGGAGAGAAAGCAGGAAAAATCATGGCATATGATCAGGGTTATTACGAACAACCACAGAGGCCATATAATGGACGAGCTGCTCAAAGACCGAATCCAGCACAAGAATATCAACAAGCGCCTGCACAACAATATTCACAACAACAATATAATGAATTTGGTCAAGATGGTTATGGATATGAGAATTATGACAATGGATATTCACAAGATTATAATGGTGGAGGTGGAGGTGGAGGTAGAGGGAATGCGAATGGAGGTGGTTATGGAAATATGAATGGAGGGGGTAGAGGTGGTTACCCTCCAAATCCGAATGGACGAGGAAGGGAATATCCTCCAAATCCAAATGCAGGAGGTAGAGGTTATCCACCACCGAATCAAAATTATCCTCCACAACAAGAATATTATGCAAATGGTAGAGGTGAGATGCCACCGAGAGGAGGTGGACCTAATCCGAATGGTAGAGGTGGGCCAATGCAAAGACCTCCTCCAGCTCGCATGGGACATGAAGGACCACAAGGAAGAGGATACCCTCCAAATGGTGGCCCTGTAAATGGAAATGGCAGACCAATGGATGACCGAATGAGGCCAGCACAAGGACGTGAGTGAAAAAAAGGTGTATATTGTGAATAGGTATATTGACTACATTTCAGAACAACGACCTCGGAAACCTTTAGTAACACCTCCTAGATCACCAGAAGCTTCCACATCATCTTTCGATAGCCCTTTTCCTACTTTTCCCGGAGCAAGGAAGAAAACTGCATTGTCTGAAGAACAGGAAATTATCCAAAAATTGGGTGCAATAAATATTTCGAGTCCTCCCACTTCTAGGCGACCTGGAACGGCTGGAAGTAAAGGAAGTCGTGATAATTATGGACCGAGGAGAGGTATGTCAAATGATGATTATGGAAGACCTTCATTGGATAGTCAAAGGAGCGCACCACGAGGAGGGTATCCACAAGGAATGCCAGATCAGCGAAGAGGCCCACCACCGAGAGGGATGACACCAGGTCCTCCTAGGCAAGACTTCCCGGAAAGGAGGGGACCACCCCCAGGACAAGGTTTTGGTGGTACACCAAGGCAGAATGGTTATGGGGATCGTGGTTATGATCAATATGGAAATCCCATGTCACCAGTTCGAGATGATATGGAGAATTTTGGTCCTCTACAAAGAAGCATGACTATGCCAGATACTCCTGGACCCATGGGGAATGGTCCACCAGCCTCTTCAATGGATGGACCAGGAATGAGTGCACCATACAATGGTCCTATTGGACGTAGTATACCTGTCCGACCTGCTACAACTACCGGATCAAGACCGCCGCCACAAAGAGCATACCCAAACCAACAACCTATTCAACAACCACCTCCGCAACAGCAATACCAGCAAGATTATTCAGGTAATCCTTATGCCGATCATAATCCGGATGACAGCCTGGGCACATTCTATGATGCATATTATGAATCATCGGCTCCACCACCCACACATAACCGAAATCTTTCAAATACTTCGGAAATGCCAGATTTTGATGCCGCACCCCAAAGAACTGTACATAGAAGAGGTGCTTCGATTGAAGCTCATATTCAACCTGGAGCAGGTTCTGAGCCTGGATTTGACCTCATGCATACTGGTGGCCCTGTGGAAAGGAATGGAAACCTCCGTCAAGTCAAACCTGTTAAATCTCAGCCGGATTTCAGAGCTCAAGCCCAAGCTCAAACTGCAATTTTCGAGATGGCAGGGGATGCGCCACCAATTCCTAACATACCACAGCAAGGTTTTCAAAATGGCTGGGAACAACAAAATACTCAATATAACCAATATCAAGGCCCACCACAAGGTCAAGTATATGACCAATATCCTAGTCAAGCACCAAAGTTTCAACCACCACCAAGAAGTATGTCTGCCGCTCCTGGGGCTGGCCGTGGAATGTCACAACCTGGATTTGGAGGAATGTTGAATGGCCCTTCGCCTCAAAATGGTGGTTACCCTGGTCCACAAAATGGAGGATTTCAAGGTGATCGTCAAAATAGTCTTCAAAAGCAAGGTACTCCAGAGGGTAGTCTACCTCCTCATGCTCCACCAGTTCGTGCTGGCTTGATACCCAATTCTTTCGCTCAACAGCAACAGAATATTAAACCACCACCCATGCGCAATTATGGCGGGTTTAACCCTTCGCCTCAATCAAGTACTCCGGTTCAAACATCTAATGGTGCATCTCCTACGGTTCCTACTTCTACAACGGCTCCCGCACAACCAGTAACTCAAGCCGAACTTGATCGTTTGAGGTTGAAGTATAAAAACGGTAACCCAACCGATAACGAGACACCTCTACTCTTTGTTAAGAAATTAGTAGAGGCTTCCGATGTTTTAGTCGCACCTATTGCTGACCAAAGAGCACGTAACAAGGCAAGAGAAAAGTATGTTTTTGAAGCTACTAAAGTCCTGAAGAAGTTGAGAGAGGCTCAACATCCAGATGCCATGTTTTATTTTGCAGATTGTTACGGCCGTGGCGCCCTTGGTCTTGAAGTTAACGAGAAGGAAGCATTTACCCTCTACCAATCTGCCGCAAAACTTGGTCATCCGCAAGCCGCATATCGAACTGCAGTATGTTGCGAACTAGGAAACGAGGAAGGTGGTGGTACACGTAAAGATCCTCTTAAAGCCATGCAATGGTATAAACGCGCTGCTACTCTTGGAGACACACCTGCCATGTACAAGATGGGTATGATCCAACTAAAGGGACTTTTAGGGCAACCGATCAACGCTCGCGAAGCCGTCGTTTGGCTTAAAAGAGCTGCTGAGCGTGCCGATCCTGAAAACCCTCATGCCCTACACGAACTAGGCCTTCTATATGAAGCACCACAAGGTCCAGATACGTCACTCCTTCGCGATGAAGCATATGCCTTTCAGCTTTTCCAGCAAGCGGCCGAACTCGGGTATAAATTTTCACAATTTCGTCTAGGCCAAGCTTATGAGTATGGTCAATTCAATTGTCCAATTGATGCTAGACAGTCTATTTTGTGGTATTCCAAAGCAGCGGTTCAAGAAGAGCATCAAAGTGAATTGGCGCTTAGTGGTTGGTATTTAACGGGTCATGAGAATATTTTGCAACAGAGTGATACAGAGGCTTATTTGTGGGCGAGGAAGGCTGCGATGGCGAAATTAGCAAAGGCTGAGTATGCTATGGGTTATTATAGTGAGGAAGGAATTGGTACGCCGAAGAGTTTGGAGGATGCTAAGAGGTGGTATTGGAGGGCTGCTGGTAGGTTATTTTGCTTTTCTGTGTTATTTTTACTCTATTCTACTTTCTCTATTGTTATTGTTGGTGTTTTTTTAAAGGATGCATGGCTGATAAATATACAGCGCAAAATTTCCCCAAGGCTCGTGAAAAGCTCGAGGAGCTTAAACGAAATGGCGGAAAACAGAGTAACAAGGGAAGAGAAAGAATCTCAAGATCTAAAGGAGCGAATCAGAAGAATAATGAGGAATGTTCTGTTATGTAGACAGGGCATTCTTCTCTTCTATTTCACTTGATTTTGGAGACTAGTAAGAGTGTGTAAAAAGGGAGGACGAAAGGGGTAGTGCAATTGCATGGTATCCCATCTGATGCACGCATTGGATTGGATGAAACTCATAAGAAAGAAGAAAATATGAGAATGGTTGGGATGAATAAACGGATGGAGTTTTGCAATATCAGGATTTTAACATAGCATTTGCAGCGTATTTGGATGGTTGGATATCTTGATGGACAGGACAGGACAGGACAGGTGCATTGAAATGTTCTTTAGGCGTTGACTACAATGGTTTGGAATGGTTTGGAATGGTTTGGAATGGTTTGGGTGGAGTAACATGACACATTGATCCATGGGTCGTATTAGATGGATGGATGGATATGTATTTACACATTTGCTGTATTTGGAGAAGATGTGCAGAGGAAGGGAGAATGATTAAGGGACGTGAGAATGGGAATGGATTGGATTGGAATGGAAGTTGGGAAGAGGAGCAATTAGAGTGGAAAAATGGAAGCGTGGATGTGAATGTATGTGAATTGAGGAGGAGAGGAAATGATATGATATGTATACTGTGCAGTGTGTATATGTATGTGCATGTAATAGGTGTAGTGTGCATGTAAGCTTACTTACTATGTATTATGTATTTATTATGTAGCAGATAAATAACCAAACAAATATTATGGAATTATGATTGCTTGCACTATTTCACCTAGGTATATATATATATATATATATGGAGAGGAGAAACATGTATATGAATGAGATGAATGAGTTTTCTAGATCTAGATGGCAAATCCCTTATTGATATATGAGTAGAAGAGCTAGTATTAGATGATCAAAATTGCCTGCCCTCACTAACAGAGTAGATATATTCAATTCAAAATACACTTTCAGAATGATAAATCAATCGTTTGCGCGGCCTCCCTCCCACTCGTGAAATAAAGACTCTCAAACTTAAATATTTGACATTTGATAGTTTCTCCTATATCGAAATGTGGGCACTCACTGAAGCTAATCACAAAGGAAATGATATTGGAAAAAATCAATTCAAAGAATCCAAAATTGAACGCCGGCCGTGAGGCTATTCCTTCTCCAGCCGTGAGGCAAATACTTCTGTACAATATGTCCTGTCCGAGCCTAGTTCTCCATTGGTATCCCACGTATAATCCCTGAAGGTAAAATAAAATAAAAGAATCGTATCCCTCACTCCTCCTTCGCCTCCATTATATTATAATTTGGTCCAGTATATCATGATCCAGACCAACACTGAAAGTTCTTAGTTCTCGTCCATCAAAAGGTGTTATATGTCCAGCAATTTCATCTCCGATGTCTTCTCGAACTACCAGAGCTCTCCTGAGGAACCCTATGTCTGTGTCTACTTCCGCTCATATGCGCACTAGCGCCTCTCTCCACCGCTTGTTCCATTTCCTCCACCCTCTGTCTGTACCCCCTCACAATATCCCTAATATGCCGAATGCGATCGAAATCCAATTCCAGCTCATCAATCTGCCTGAGAATTTCATGAAACCGCGCGATCTCCGCATCCGCCATCGCAATCGCATTCCCCGCGCTATCGTATTGTTGCTGTGCTACAATCGCAGATTGTTCAGATAGATACTCGAGTCTTGCGGCGATTTGTGAGATGAGATGATCGAAGTGTCGTCCGAGTGCTGCGAGGGAAGTTGTATCGAGGAGCAGGAGACCTTGGGATGAGGCTCGCGAGGCTGCACGAGAAGAATTTGACCCTGCGGTTGCGGCGGCTTGAGATTGATGATGTCGGAGAAGAGCAATTTCGTCGGCTGTTAGGCCGAGTTGAGTATCGGGGACAGATGGCGCTGGTGAGGCCATTGGTATTGGTTCTATAGCTCTTGGTGGTGCGAAGAATTTTGGTTGATGCCAAGCAATAGCTGAAGTGTACTCGATGGTTTTGACACCCTCACAGAGAACTGTGAAGGTGCTGTAAACTTCATGGTCTTTGTGCTTGAGGCAAGATCATTTCTTAGGAGTCCTTTCCCCTTAGCTTGGTGATGGTAGCAATTCAAAGTTTGGTTCCGTTTAAGAGATTTGGCGGAGTCTACCACACGAATGTAATGGTAAGATCCACAATCGGCTCCGGTACTTGTGATGCCTTTCCTTCCTTTTTATATATGACTGAATCGATCAGCCGAGAACGACAGGTAAGCCACTCTGTTGCTTCTTCCCTTCCCTTCTCTTTTCTGGATTATTCGATTCGGGGTAATTTCCGCGCAGAAGCGTAGATGTAGTAGAGTTTTGTTAGAAAGGACGTCGTATATTAGGATATAACAAATTAAACAATATATAATTAATTATACACGGGAAAGAATGAAAATCATTAAATAAATAGGGATGAGTGGTTGAGAATAGAAGTTAAATGATGGGCATTTCTGTGTTGTGGCCGTTCTATGTGCGACCTTCCCACCGCCAAATTCGTACACTGTGCAATTGAAGAGGTCATTCAGTACTAAGAAAGATTCAGCATGGTCGTACACGTATATGCATAAATTATTTATGCAGTAACCTTGAATTATGTAATGTCGTTGTGCGAGAAGTTGTTGGTAAGAATAGGATTTTCGGAGTACAAGAATGAGTTCATTCGCGTTACACGAGTCAAACTCGAGGGCTGCCATCACATACATGTACATCACATACATCATACTCCGTACACATCACACACATCACACACATCAAACATTATAGAACATCATCTAACAACACCACATACATCACATACGTACATCATCTAACAACATCAACAACATCAACATCATCAACATCATCAACATCATCAACATCATCAACACCAACACCAACACCAACACCAATACATAAAACTTATATTCTCATATCCTACACTCTTTTCCGCCGGGTAAAGAAACCCTGCGGATAAATAGAAAATAGAGTTTCATATGAGGAGATGTTGTTATTTGCAGGTACACCCTTACATCTTCGCGAGTGCGGCTTGGTTTTCCGTTGCAGATATCCTCATGTAGTGTATGAGTCCCTGTCTGATTTACAACTGTCAGCAAATCTATGGTTAGTCAGTCCCGATATTTGTTCTCGTTATTGGACATCTTCTTTAAAATAGTCTGGGCACTATGCAGCTACAAAACAGCCGCCACGGGAAAACAAAATTCTTTACTTTTTGCTTTGCGGTACCCCGCAAATCCATCGTGAATTTGCCGAAGTTTCCTGAAGATACCTACCCATAGACTGTCGTCTTATAAATAACAAGCTCGCAGCAATCATGCAATGCTTCATGTGCTTCTTTTTGTTCTTGCTGATGTAGCTTTGGTTCTCAAGATGAAGCTCTCTATGGTTTCAACTACCGTTTTATTTATGGCCAGTGTGGTAACTGCGACCATTTGGCAGAATGATCAAGTCCGAATCACGAATTATCCAGATACAAAGATAGATCTGGATAGCTACACTCTCGCTAGCTTTCCTCCTAGCTCACCAGAGCTCTCGTACAAAGGACGATGGGATAGTAAATATGTTTCATGGTGGTCGTAGGTTATCTCTCTTGAGTTCCTTCCGTCCGGACGAGGAGGCTAAGCAAATCTAGGGCACCTGGTCTCAAATTCGGATTTACCGGAGAACAAGTCGCAATTACTTTTGGGCCTTTAACTTCAGACACGGTATTGGTCGCCTATCGAGTAAATGGTCAGGATTGGCAATTCACCAATATCACTACAAGTGCGACCCATCTACTTGTCAGTTCCGAATCTCCCGCAATCGATGTTCCCTGGCCCATAAATCCATCAACGTTTGAGCTAAGAGTCACCAACTGGGCCTATGGTGTTCAAATCTCTGCCGTGCATTTGAGTCAAGGCCAAAGTCTGATCAAAATCCCCAATTATTCGAGGTCTATTGAGTTCATTGGAGATTCCCTTTCATCTGGGTACACAGCTACTCTAGAAGGTCTCTCGAGCTTTACGTATGGTATGGGAGCTGGTCTTGGAAATACTGAGTACTCCATTACAGCATATCCGGGCATTTGTCTCTACGACCAGTTATGTTTCGGCAATACTCGAGGGATGTTTCATCAATGGTATTATACTTCTGATACTAGCCCTCGTGCTGCTCAAATATGGGGTGACAAGCCAGAGCTTTGGGATTTTTCTAAACAAGACGATCCAGATTTTGTAGTGATTAACCTAGGGACTAATGATAGCAACGGGGCAAACAATGTTTCTAGTGCTCATTATGTCGCTCAATATAAATTGCTAATTGAAGGTATCCATGCTGTTTGGCCCAACGCTCAAGTAATTATCATGGTAAGTCAAAGTCTACTTGTGTATGAAAATTACTAATAGAGCCAGTCTCTCTGGGAAGGCTTTTTTGCCTACGGAAATTCTTATGCTCAAGCTCAAGGATTCACCACCGAGATATACGACATCTATCAATATTTCAACTCCAAAGAGTACTTATCTAACCCTATACTGTACAATCCGCATACCAATTCCACCTATTCGTCCAATAAAACATCCTCACCATTCGTATCGTACTTCAACACCACAGGTTTAATGCAACACAATGACATTGGACCAGCTTATCACCCAACGGATGTAGGACATGTCAAGATTGCAAGTCACCTCATCCAGTACGTCAGATTGAAGTTTGGATGGGAATTGTATGCAACCGGGCCGGAAGTATTCCATGATACACTTTATGTACGTTCAAATGTGGATAACATTACAATTTGAAGAGACTACTAACTCATCACCAGTGGAACGACAATCAAAGTTATTGAACGCCCTCCAGATATTTATAGAGTGTGGCTCTTTTGATATATAAGAAAATTCTTCGTGGAATCGAGGGACTTTTGATGTGCTAGAGTGATAATTTGGCATGAAGTCATGATAACCTTTATTCCTCCCGTCCCCTCTGTTTGATAGATGTTACACAGCCTCCTCCACAAATTTACCGTCTGTCATTCAGCAAATCATCAATAACATTCCCGTCGTTTTGATTCAATCAAGACTTGCACTGCCTCCTCCGCATTTTTGTCAACGTTCCGCATAACTGCTTCGTTTCGTTCCATTTTGTCTTGTGATGATTACAAATTGTTCTTGCCATTTCAATTATTTGATCTTGTTTCGATGCTATTCTTACTTTCGGCCCTTTTGTCTTTCCTCACATTTTCTTACCGCGCACCAATAACAATTAATCCATTATTAGGTACCTTTATATGCCGTCTATGATGATAGTTTCACAATTTACACTTAACATTTCATACTCTCTCCTCTCCATTTCCCGAAAATCAATATCCATCATCCGAAACTACCAAGTGAACCGAACCCAAAATTCTAGATGAATGCATGTATGTACGTATGAGTAAATGAATGAATAATCCCCAGTAAACCCCCGTCCCCCCTTCATCCCCAAAGTTTCACCTCGTCTCATGTCACACAAGGATACCTATGTAACCCGCCCACGTTCGTCCCATTGCTTCTCTCTATACGCTCGTGTTACATCTCAAAATCCAAACTTTAAACTTCAAACTAGTACTTCTCAAACCCCGAATTGGTAATCCTCAAACCTCAAACTCTAATCTCAAAAAGAAAACATAATTAGCTCGAAAGTTATCTATCTCTACTTCTACTGCTACATCTAATTTATAGAGTACTTCCTCGTTTAGACTTTAAACTCTACCGCGCTGATGTTTTCATCTTATTTCGCCATTTCGCCATCTCTTTACGAAAAGGAAGATCAAAACTAAGACTTAGATTAGGTTTTTATAGGATAGAAATTTGAGAGCTTGTGTGGAGATGTTTGGATATTTAGATATGGAGATTTTACTTTGCCTTTGGGTTTAGGTTTGGAGGTAGGCAGATGGATATATAGGATGTAACACAATCTTCTATAATAAGCGTTTTACTGTTTCTTTGTCCGTCTAGGAGCTGAGATGAGGTCAGCAAGACTATATGCATAATGAATGAGATGGAAATTGAAGGTATTGATGCTCTTGGATAATAATTAGTGCTACTTGCTGTTTATATTTGGGAGTTATGTTATTGTAAGATTGCTTGGTGCCCATGATGATCATGGTGTTTGCGGATATTGATGCAATAATTACGATGTTATATGAGTATGAGCAGAGTAAGACAAAATAGGGTAGGGTAGGGTGTAAGAGTAGGATGAGGATAGGAGTAGTGCGATGGATGGATATAGGGATATGATGAAGGTCGGATATGTATTTTGAGAAAGAGATTTATATTCTTGTTTTTGATTGTGTGTTCTGGTAGATATTCTAATAAAAGAACATCTTCACGCAGATTCTTCTTAGAGGTCGGTGTATTCTAATAACCAGGGTCTCGTCAATATCATTGATTCGGAATCATATTTACGATGTTATTATTTGTGTTTATAACTGATATATATATATATATACTCTTATGAAGTGATATTGAGGTGGTGTCAGTCTCAATATCACTTCGCATACAATATAATTGCAACACTGCTGCAGATACGCAGATGATGATATGCTGTATATCAAATAACCCTGCGTATAGATGTTCAAGATATCCAATACAAATAAAACGATATAACTAATACCAAACATTGAAAACATTTCATTAATGATCAAAATGACCCCTTGGAGACATGTACAAACATAGACTCAGCCATCAAGATTACAACCTCAATCTCAATCCCGCTCAGAGTCAAACAAAATTTCTCAAACATCATTACATTCTAGACTTCTCGAAAACATACCAACATACCTATTCTATAGATAAGAATCTAAAGTCTCACTACTAAACAAGTCAGGTAACCGAGGGTTTCAACTAGGGCAGAAAAGCAACAGGATCTCGGAGCAGAGGAAACGATAGATAAATAGTCAGACAGGGTATGATGCGCACTAGTGATGAAAATATAAAATTTTATTCCTAAAAAGCTGCGGACTAATTCACATAGGAGGGAGATTTTTACTTCCATGAATCGTGCGTGCGTTCTGATACTCGCGAGGCAGAAGTAATAAGTAATATAAAAAATATCCAACCATGACCCAAATAGTCGCTGTAAGATCTCTTTCCGGTGGCGTTCACGTGAAAATGGATCTAAATGAAGCCCTCCCGTCCCACAACACTACACCCCTGATGTAAATCAAAAGCAATTTCTCCTATCACACTCCTATCATACATCTATCATACGATAACTCCTATCCAGCGACATAATCCGGAAAAAAAGCCCCAGGCCTCGACGCCACATTAACCCATCCGGAAGCCACTCCGAAGCCACCTTGCGGAGAATCTCCATATGCTCGCATCCCGTCTTGGGTTAATTCTTAATTTCATCTTACGATTTCTTACTCCCCTCCCTAATCCTATTCTATTAACTGCAACATAATTCAAGACAGCAAACAAATGTTTTTTATAGGTAGGCTATTAGATTACTCCGTCAAGGACTCCGTCAGGACTCCGTCACGACGCAGCAGCAACTCTTACGGAAAATTCTGGCACACGGAACAACGCGCTCGACGATCCGGGGCTGCTAAGTATGCGGTGTGATGTAAATGTGTGTTTAGGGGGTGATCTGATTTCTCTAGTGAGGATGGTTGGTGCTTCGCGAGGTTCGCTTGGATGATTTATCCATGAATTAAAGGATTGCTGTGGAGAGAGTAGTGCACCTTAGCGATCATGAGCTATCATAAATAGGGCTAGGGGATTGTGGAAGGGGTGAAGGGATGTTTTTGGTTGTAGCGAAGGTGCGTGAAGGAGCGAAACGTGCGGACATGGATTTACTTGGGATGATAATGCAGAGAGATGGCGAAGGAGGGGTTTCAAGGAACGGGGGATTGTGGAGGCTCCATTCCGGGTATTTGTATTGTACAGAGAATCTAAGTCGTATTGTCGCGATTTGTGTGTGTGATGTTTGGTTGTATTGTACCTAAGGATAAATGTAGGTGAAGATGGAAACTATCTAATTCAAAATGCAGACGCAGGGACGCGCGCTTGGAGTTGGTCCTAGATGTTCAGCCTTAGCTGTGCTTGCCCGTAAATATTTCTTCAATCGACTTATTCAGCTATGTTCCAAGCCTGCCGTGAGACGGACGATTCAATTTAGTGGAACCGTTTGTCAGTGCCAAAGCTTGTGCTTACATCCCCCAGCTTGCTTTGTGGCCCAAACCAAAAATTCGACATTTAAGCTTGTTTCTTAGTCGAAATAGATATCATAAACCATTTTACTAAAATAGGCCAGACGAGTTATTTTCAGCCCCAAGCCCTGCCTTCTATGCTTTGTCTCCGTATAGCCAGCAGACGGCTGTCAAAGGAAAAGAAAATTAACACTGAAAGTTATCAACCATTATCTCTCCGAAGACGCCACCAATATTTCATCCCGTTCCAACCGAAGAAGAAATCAAAAAAGCATCAAAAGAAACATGAAGAAGCCACAACGTTGCAAGTTTTAACGTTCTTGTCCGAGGGGCCTCTGCCGAGATTCGGGAAATTGACTGCCGAGTGACTTGTGAAGGCAGGATAATGTGTATAAAGGTACAGTAAATGCAAGAATCGACTCTTTTTAGATACAATCCTTACAGTTTGCAAGGGAGACAATACCTCTCAACGAGCATACAGTAATCTAGCGGATACAGAAGTTTGCTTCATAGATACGGGTGTCTGCATGTGATTTTGTAAGAATGGGGTGACTTTCGGCTTCAAAAAATGAGCAAACCATTCAGCTCGCTTGCAGATCAAAAACTTTAGTATAACTAGAGCGCGAATATAAATGCGATACATCCATTCCGTGCGTCTATCGTTACAGTATTTCCAGATTTGTAGAGTACAATGAACTCGCTGGGCTGGAGCCTAGAAGGTTGAAAAACCTGGCAACGATAAATGCAACACCAGAGATGAATAACGCAAGCTAAGCTGTGAGACCAAGTGCCGTTGCCCCGATGAGGATACTTGAGCGGAGGTAGCTTGACCCCCCACTTGCGGATGCATACAGTGCTCACTCAACCTACTGCCGGCTTGTGGTCTTTTATCTTACGTGCCAAAGCGCGTTTCCAAGTTGGTGATGTGATTGGAATCCTTAGGATTTTAGTCTGTTCCTGGGGACGAAAGTCTTTTTGATTAAGAGCTTGAAATAGATTATGCTAGGTCCTGAAATGACAATCATTAACCAAAACCAGGAATGTCAGTAGTCGAATGTCCGATCACAGACCTATAAAAACGTTGCTCCAAGAATAAGAATGGTAAGTATAGCCCGATGATCCCTTCTAAAGTTACCAATATTTGATCCATTTGACCTAAATCATGTATTCGTCATGGGTTGTTTCGGTTCGACCTTCATAAGTATATCGGGAACGGGAAAAGTTGCGATACAATCGATGCATCCGATCTCATACCCCAATCCAATCTACAAGATATGTCAGGTTCTGAAGTTGATCCACCCTCCACAAAATCTCCGAATGAAAGTACCTCCACGAAAACGGCTATGATCAGTGGTTGGGAATTGCTGGTTCGTATTACTACTTATCGGAAAATGATAATTATCTTTTTTAAAAAAAATCAATATTCGGATCTATCCCTCAAAAAGCGCAAGTTTTATGGTTGGATTAGAGCCTGAAGCTGTGAAGCGATGTATAGTAATTAGTTCTATATGTGCTTGTAACAAGGTCCAGGGCCCTAACAGAAAATAAATCATGTGGTACCGCGCGCAAAGAGTGAAGAAAAATACTTTTCATAGCACCTGAACAGAATGGTTCCCATGGTATCTGCCTTGCGAACCAGATAGGAATACAATGCTCGTTCGGCGGTTGCAGAGACAACTCAAAACAGGCGCTGCGTAATGTGAATCAACTTCCGGGGTATGCTTCACTCTTATGTTTCGAGACAAGGAACTTGGGAGCTCCGCACTGTAAAACCATAAACTTGAAGATAACTCGAAATGATACGTTTTTTTCTTGTCAATTGGTAGGATTTGTAGAATTCGGATGATGGCTGGATCTGGTGGCACTTTCATCATAAATCAATCAAATCACAGGTACAATAAGATTCC